GGTTACTATACGAGTTTACAACTACTATAGATCAGTAACGACGTATACTAGGAGCTGGTTTATTATCAAATTAATGCCATTATGTCAGAAAACGCGGAATATTATATTATGTCAAGAAAATTGCATAATGCTCGTGTATACGTAAGCACAACAAATACCCAGTAGTTGTTGCGAAATGTTTCGTTTAAAGGTTATCAAAACGGAATTTCGAAAAATGTTTATAAAACAAAATGTGGAAACTGCCGAACAATAATTTTATTTGTTTCCATTTGTTTCGTTATAAAATGATTAAGAGGTCCATAAAAATATCGTAAAGGAATATTAGTCTGCGTTGCTAATTGCAAGACGAACGCGTACTATACGTCGACCTGAAGAATGTATTGTAACCGGTAACCAAACGATTGTTATCTGACACTCAACTTCTGATATCGATTTTCTCGTAATTTCTAATTGTCATTATTTCCATTTGTAGTTTGCGACAAGTGATGAATTGTTTAAAAGATTGATGCAATTCTGTGCACGTGTTATATTTTCAGAGAAGAAAACACTTTTATTATTACTAATATTATTTATTTATTTATTTATTTACGTATTCTGTTTGGCTACTTTCAATCGATTGTTTTCCATTAAATTGATTACACGTTTTTTCAACTTTATTAAACAATCATGAAACGTTCGTTATTTTTATGAAACGCGACGTTGTAAAGAGTTAAAACATGTTTAATCTTCACTAGTTATCTCTCCCTTTTTCCATTCTGTTTTTTTCCTTATTCTGGCGTGTCGTGTCCTATTGTATTTATGCAGCCATCGCTTTTTCTTCCTTTTTTTGATCGAACTGAATAATGCATCTATGTTTAAATTCAATATATGAAAATTATTCCTCAACATGTACGTCGAAAGGAAATAAAAAAAATAGTTGACACATATGGATACATTTTTTATCTAAAAGTTGCTTGTTTCTTATTTTAATTCTGCTATTTTATATCTATCTTTTCTATTAATCTTATCAACATATTGTTTTAATCTGCATTCTTTTAATACGCACTTGATACGAAACGGTACAGTTTTATCTTGTACGGAAACATTTTCATCGCACAGTAATTATTTTAGAAACGTCAAATCTTTTTAAACTTGTCAAGCTATTAAGATAAAATTCCAATCTGCTTGAGATATACATATTTGACAATTATGTACTTTACAAGGTTGCAACAAATATTGTCGAAGAAAATGAGGTCTTTTTCGAACTTTTAAATTTCGATTTGTAACAAATACTTCGATTACCGAGTCTTTTTAAGAAACTATTATTTCGCGAACTATTGAGCTACGAGCCATAGGTTGAGAAACGCTGCTCTAGACATAGTGAAGTTGAACTTCGGTCCGTGAGCACATTAGATACATACATACATACATATAATGTTCGATTCGCATAAGGACCGACGTTCTCGATAGAAATAGGCAAAATTTCTGTCTACGTAACAATTTTAAATAATTAATAAAAAAATGAATGACTGTTAATCCGTTACTCGTCGAACAAAAATAAAAATTTGAATTACAGAATGATACATTTCACAGTGAAAAAAAAAAAAACAATTTGGTCATGCGAATAAATTGCTAAACGTTAGTTTTATTAATCGTCTATTATTCGAATAATATATTACCAATCGTGGGTTCCTGTGTATACGTATACATATTTCGTTTTCTCTGTTCGGCCAAGATCCAAATAATCGATCTTGTCTCGTGACTAAAGATTAGAGAAGAATATTCATCGAATCGAACGAGATTTAACGTCGACATTGGGCGTCACCCCAAGTGCATAGTTTGTTGGCTTGCAGCCCGACATAACCGCAGAAAGATTGCACACTTCTTCGTTCTTTTTAGTTGTTCCCTCGAATTTATTCGGCTTTACCCAGTTAGCCTGTGACGTGAATACATTTTACCACTTCTGCGATGGATACTGTGGACGTTGATGCCGATTTCGCCCTTATGAAGTATCTGCAATCGGTACTGTTTATTTTGTTAACCTCTCTTCTTGTCGTGTCTCTCATACAACGTAACATTTCGAGGGGGGGGAAAAAAACAGTTGCAACGAACGAAACACTCATATCCTGTTTGTTCCGACGAGGTCCTTTTACCCTACATTTCGATTTGAATATTTTCTACGGGCATCGAAAACATCACCCCTTGAAACAATTTATGCATTTGTAGAGAACCCTCAAGTCATATGATTCTATTAAATGTTTTAACATTGTAACAGCGAACATAGAAACTAAGCTTTGATGATACATACATAATCTGTTCAATGCCAAGGACGTTTTAGGATTATGTAGCGGATTTGGAACTAAATTACCTTTGTATTTTTTTTTTTACACAAGAATGTCGATAAAGCTGCTTGTGTAATCAATCGAAGATGTACAAGGTCGAAATCTAATTCAGTGAAACCTAACAGCGGTCGAGGCTTCTCCAAAGTTACTATGTCTAGCTTTTTCCGGGGGGGCGGGGGGATAGAAATTCGGAAATTGAAGTTTCATTGTCATTCGATTGATTCTATTCCTTTTTTTTTATTCAAGGTCGACAATTTTGGTGTAAATTTCCAGGCGATCGATCGCCTAGCTTATTCACAATCCTTCATAATATATTCGGTTATTGAAACACAAACATCAATGTCCTGTTCGAGAACACCATTATCATTTTTCCCCCCGGTAATTTATTAACAGAAACAAACGCTTTCGTAATCAAACTGAACTTCAAGGTTATCCTCGTATTCGGAAAAAATATTTTATTCCCCTCCGTTGTCACTATTATCATGCCATTGACTTACCCTGGGTTCAAAGTCTGTATTTGTATGCCTGACAGTCTTATACTCGTTAAATGTGCAATTAACATAATAAAATTATTACATACGTTAATGACAGAATTGGGCGATGTTAACTTACGAATAACAAATAAAAATTTTAGATTTATTCGTAAACTAATTAGTTTGCTCACGGCTCTTCCACGAAAAGTGAGTAATGGTATTTGCTGCAGAATTATCGCAAAATTAACTTGTAGCTATAATCGCCAAGTGCTCATACTATTACCAAGTCTGCAAAACTGTTAAACGTTTCTCCTTTGTTTGAACGTATACATACATGTTACGTACAGAATTGGACAAATTTTATTCGCTGTTAAGAAATAAAATTAGTATTATTCAAATATATTTTATCTTCTTTGTGAGTTTTTATTTTTACTTTGTCGCAGGAACGATTCGATTGCGTCAATGTATTCGCAAGAAACGAATTGAATTCTATTACAAAACTTGAAAAAAAGTAAAAGTAAGCTAATGGAAAGATACAAACATGTTTATGCCACATGTTCAAAATCTGGAAAATTATCTTGTTGTTTGTGTACTCGTTTTGTCATTTGTTTTTCCTCCACTACAATTCTATTGTAAAATGAAGTATGGTAGAGATCGTAAAGGCACGCAAAACATAATAACTCCCGTGCACACAAGTATATTTTGAATTTGTAACATCATCTTTAAAAGAGACGTCATTAAAGTTCATAGAAACGCGCTTTTCACGTGATAGTTTTGACACGTGCTATGAATAAACGTATCATTGGCGCGAAAATTAGTGCTATTAACTGATTATGAATTATGGAATATATTTTTATAGCGTTTGTTCGATTACATAATTCATGATTCTGGTCAAGTAGTGTTTGATTGTTTTGTATTTTATTTATTAGATTTATGATATGTCGAAAGATGTATACGCTACACGTTTGACATGTACGCGACGTTTACTTTTACGAAATAAGATTCACGGTACGTGTTAGCATGTTTTGTCATCAGCGAATGACGTTTCTTATCTTGTCATATCCGTCTGCTCGATCCACGAATCTCTAGCGTCAATGAAATTTATTTTTGCCAACGTACTAATATCTAATTCAAATATAATTGGTATTTGTGTAATGTTAATTTTCCAAATTTTGTACATGTAACATAACATGTCAGTTTGCTTACATTTTACATATGTATATTTTTCGATATATTTCACTCAGAAAATCGAATTTGTCCCATTCCAGACTGAATGACTCATAGAAGTTCGTTGAATAACGCGGTTCGTTTCACTTAATTAAGATTGGACTGCGACGCGAATCGAATATTTGAATGATTATCAGAAATTATTGATGCAAAAAAACAATAAATGTGATGTAATGTCTATAGCTGATAATAGGCTTGAAAATCAGCATGCTTCTTTGTATTTGTTCGAAAAGTATAGTTGATCGGAGTTCAAGAATTATCTATGACACGTGATATACCGACTACCGGATCGAGCAAGGCTTAGTTGGGCAAATGGTGATTTTAGCATGACCGAGGATAACCAGTTAACACTAGCTCTGAACACGCTGGCTGATAGATAAAGAGGCTTGAGAACCGTTTACGTCTCCGATGATGTTTTAAATTGTTTTATGAATATTAGCAACGTTTCAAAGAAAAAATTATTCGAAAAAAATGTGTATTTTCCAGACACCCGATATATTTACAATGCTGGATATAATAATTTTGGTACAGTACATAATTATATATGATATAATTACCTACAGTACCCAACATAGAACCCAGAGTCGGGCAAATTTAATTTACGAATAACGAACACAAATTTTATATTTGTTAGTAACTAACTTTTGCCTACGGGTTCGTTCACTTGGTTGTCAATTTAAAAAATCCATTAACTAATTCTACATTGTTATTTCGTGTGTACATATAATAACAATGAAAGAAAGATACGGTTACGCGCAACGGTTAGATGTCAAAATTATAAAATATTACGAGTAAAAAGTTAACGATTAACGAATCGATCGTGTACGATTTATGGAAGCAAAATCAGATTTTTCACGCTATGGTTTGTCTTCGTACGCAAAGCCATGGTTCTTCTTATTCGGTACGCGTGCACGTAAATTCATCACGTAATGCAGTATATGAAAGCATCGTTCGATACAAATGATTTCTTTTCTTTCAGTATATGGACATTGGGGAGGACATTGGGGTCCCTGAAGATTTTACAACCAGTGAAATGGTCTCTGGAATGTGGTGGCGACATTTGGTTTCCGGTGCTGTAGCTGGTGCTGTCTCACGCACATGTACTGCGCCTTTGGATCGGATTAAAGTTTACCTACAAGTGAGTTTACAAAAATAAATACGAGTGCAATTGGAATGTTCCTGATGTTCCAATGTTTTCTCTTTAAACCATTTTAATCAGTTATATTTTACACGAAAAAGTCCCTTTTCTACATTGAACTGAACCTATAAAATGTGTTTAGTTGTTGGAAACAAATCCAATGGACTAGCTTTGTTTGCTTTTCAAAGATCGAACATAATTTTATTCGAGTACAATTTCAGGTACATGGAACACAACGATGCAAAATCAGAAGTTGCTTCTGGTATATGCATCGTGAGGGTGGATTAACTAGTCTGTGGAGAGGGAATGGTATAAACGTACTTAAAATCGCACCAGAAAGTGCATTAAAATTTATGACCTATGAGCAGATTAAGAGAGCAATTAAAGGAAACGACGATAGAGAGCTAGGACTTTACGAACGATTCATGGCAGGATCTTTAGCAGGTGGAATTAGTCAGTCTGCTATATATCCACTCGAGGTATGAAATAAAATCAAGTAACGGTACATTTATGCATTATTTATTATTTAATGCTGATATTATGAATATGTTTCAGGTACTGAAAACTAGGTTTGCGCTTAGAAAAACAGGAGAATTTGTAGGTTTGGTTGATGCAACAAAAAAAATATATAGACACGGAGGTTTAAAATCCTTCTATAAAGGTTATATCCCTAATTTAATGGGGATAATTCCATACGCTGGTATTGATTTGGCCATATACGAAGTAAATATATAAAGCTGACATGATATTGGAATGGTCATGTATTTAATGATGTTTGTTACCCAAGATTTTAATAATAACATCTTTGTTGTAGACTTTGAAGAATAGGTATTTACAAACACATGACAAAAATGAACACCCACCGTCTTTCGTATTATTAGTATGCGGAACAAGCTCTAGTACAGCTGGTCAAGTGTGTTCATACCCATTAGCTCTAGTCAGGACACGATTGCAAGCCGATATATCGCCAGATAAGTCTCCTAATACCATGGTTGGTGTTTTTAAAGATATTATTAGAAGAGAAGGACTTCGTGGCTTATACAGAGGTATAACACCAAATTTCTTAAAGGTATGAAACAATTCTTTGAAAAAAATATTGGCTATTTAAAATACCTTTTACTTTAAAGCATACAAACCATGCATTTTATGTGTCTCTCATAGGTGGTTCCGGCTGTATCGATTAGTTACATAGTGTATGAGAATTTCAGAGGGCTGCTGGGTGTCAATATGACGTGATGAATATTTATGTTAGGTGATATTAATTTAATTAAATTATTCTTTAACTATATTTTAAGATATACGAGCCAGTCGATTATCGGCTAGTATAATTGAACCGCAACGCCGCTTATTTATTATTAACTTGAAACTTCCTCAATTATTTAAGCATTTGCCAATTTTTTTTTTTTTTTTTTTTTTTTGTATGTATCATGTTCTTAACGTACACAACTAACAACGCGTTTGTTAAAGATTCTAAGTGAGAAACTAAATGTAATAAAACGGCCAGCACAGGGCATTTGAATTAAATTTTAAATGAATTTTCATGTATATATGTGAGAACACATACATACATACACACACACTTTGTGTATACGTTCGATACATCGCATTAACGATTTACGTTGTACTCACTGTTGTTACTTACGTCTATATTTTTCTCCCGCGAAGCGAAATGACAGTGTAGATATTTAAAACAAGTATTATGACTTACGATTTCATTTTAATTTTATTATGGAATAAAAGGGTAGAGAAAAATACATATTTAGTTGGTGTAATATTAGGAAAAAGTTTTTCATACAATTCACAAGGTGTTCTAAAAACGAATTATTATACATACACGAGGCGTAATTTTATCAAAATGTAAACGAAGGTATTTCTTGAAATATACTAGACAATGTTACAAATTGTAAAAATAGAGGAGGTATCGGGTTATATTGATACTGTGATATGTATGAGTATAAGCTAAATTGAAAAATGTGATTCCGTGCATAACATTTCGGTAATTATAAAAAAAATATATTTAATTTTCATCGTAAATATCTTTTAGCTACTAGTTTAATGACGACATGTAGATTCTTCGCTATCGAGATGTTATGCTGTGAATTACATAAAAACTGCACGTTTCTCCGATCTTTTCTGCTAGTTTGTGTGTTAAAAACTTGTTCCACAAACAGGTACTACACGCTCGATATGTTTACTTGTTACCAGGGCTTGAAAAGGTTTCAAAAATAATTGTTTCAAACCATTATATGAAAGTTCTGGTCAAAGCTATTACGAAGAACTTCTATTCTGAATAACTGTTATGAGGAACATAAAAATGTTGAACTATATCGGTTTAAGTTAATGTTCTTGCATCAGCACTCATATGGGTTTTCTATAACCATTATTTTTTAGATTTTATATAGATAATAAATCTATATAATGAAAATATTTATCGTTTGCCGTTTATCGGCGGCCAGATCAAATTTCGTTAGTTTTATCAAAATATTAGTAAATTACAGCTAAGCAAGGGCAATATCATATGTAGAACAATTATTTTATAACTTAATAAATTCTTCGTAACTGTTCCAAGAACCTAAACCTATATTATAACAGTTTTCAAGCCTTGTTTGTTACACATTTGTTCCAATCTAATTCATTCTCCAGTTAATGAATCTTGTGAACAGGTTGTGTATATCGTGTATATTATAAATATGTATAGTTACGTTTTATGGAAGTGCATCGCGAGATAGTATTATATCCGTGTCTATTTGCTTCTCTCTTCAGAGTAATCGCGAAAAATAATTACGAACGACAAGTGATGACGATAAGAACAATAATTTCATAAATACACCGCGCGCGTACGCAAGCTACTATTCATAGTATATGTTCTTAAAAATTATACGTACCTTATTCTCTGTCTCCATCACTTTTTACATAGAGAAAATATGATATAGTAAACAGTCAAATGCAAAAGTACGAAATCCATTTTTTGGGGGTAATCGTAGCATTTACAGTTTAAGTACGTTGTACAGAAAATGGTCATTGATCGAACAACAACACTTTATTAATTTTAAGTTATATGACAGTCATGATATGTTTTCAGAAGAAAGTTTTGTAAATAACTTTAACGAATTGAAAGAAATTGTAAGAGACTATTTCAGTGCAATGCTTGATATTAAATTATTGCATAGCATTATACAAGTTGCAGTAAAATTAATATATAATTCTATTTGAAGCACGATATGTGAATCGGTAAATTTTTTAAATTCGTTTTATGGCTCGATGTTCATGTACACGTAAGACTTTTGTAAAGAATAAATATATAATTTATAAATTATTTTTAAAAAAAATTTGGTTCCTAAGTAGTTGATACGGGTTAATTAAAGAATCTGACTGGTGGCAGATATTACATGTTTAACTACATGTTACAGACGATATTCCTGCCTTAAAATATATATTTATAATATTAATTCCATTTAAAAATATACACAACATATACATCATATAAAGAATAGTTACTTTTTGCTGTATACCTATTTACCTTGCATATATATTTATCAGTCTCATGTAAATCACCAAAGAATATCTTTTACCATCTGCCAAGCAAATATATAATTGTTCATTATATTATTCTTGATAATATTTACTTCTGTATACAAATGATGACTATGATATTTATTCTTGCAAATAAAATAATTGCGTAGAAATTTTATGTTACTCTGTTTTGCTAGTTGCTTTGCAATTTCGTGGCAATATGTTTTTATATATTATCTTATTAAACACTACAATAAAGATAAATTTGCTTTTGTACACAGATATTATTACTGTACAGTCTAGTGTATAGTGATTATATAAACAATTATTTTATTATAATTTATATTTTAGTAAAATTACAAAGTGCTACAAAATTACATATACTCCATTACTTACTTAACGTTAATATTTTTCTTTCTCTAAAATCGACTTATTTCTAACCAAAATGTAATTTTATTTAAAAAGTTATTAGAAAATTAGAAATAAATTACAGTGAATGTATTTTTTGAAAATATTCTTGAGAATTGGCTTTTCTATATCTTTTGTGTGGTTAAATAAAAATAAATATCGCTACAATCGTATATTTCTAATAAAGTAAACAGATTATGGAATCATTACAAAATCAGTGTGTATTCTTTAGGAACGTGATAAAATTTCATTTTATTATCGAGGATATTAGTTTTTGTGTAAATTTTTAAATTCACAAATTTGTTCATTATTTTTAGTTTTAACTATTTTTTTAAAATTTATTACAACTTAATTAATATAGTTAAATTGCACATTTTCACGGTAACAACAAATTAATAAAGTAATGCAAAAATACCTTACTGTATTAAATCTATTTGGTGTATAGAAATACGAATGAAAATGATATAAAGTATCGGAAAATTAATCTATAAAAATGCATTGGAGAACAACCTAATATATTTTGAATAATATCTAACGCCGTTACAATAAACAAATATCGCTTTTGAGCAATAAGTTGCCGGAAATTTATTTGTTAAACGTTTATGTATTAGATATTATTTTAAGTAAGACGCACAGATGTATAGAAAATAGTAAGCCCCGGAACATTAGGACACGATATTAATGTGGAATGTCATAGTTGAACGTATCAAATGCGTTTAGGCGGTGTCTAAGAATTTTGCAGCTTCTTCATCTAGGATCCAATATAATTCCCCATTGTGTGGCTGTACACGACCGGCTGGTAAATTTTCTCTGTCTTGCAAGATTTTCTGTGAAACATTAAACATTAACGATGGTTGAACAGCTTTTGTAGAAATATAATTTTAGTAAAAAAATCACCTTAACAACTTCGGCCTTGCCGGATCCGACAACGGCAAATATACATTTTTTTGCATTATTTATCACAGGAAGAGTGAGGGTAATACGAGATGGAGGTGGCTTAGGAGAATCATTAAGAGGGCAGACCCATAAGCTTGCTTCGTTCAATAGCTTATGCCCAGGAAAGAGTGAACATGTGTGCCCATCTGGTCCTAATCCCAAAAGAAGTACATCGAAACATGGTACACGATCAGGAGGAAAGAACACAGACATCTTCTTGATGTAATCTTTTGCAGCCTCTTCGGCTATAAATAGAATAATCAAATTGATTAGAAAAAAAAAGTTTTCAAATGAAAAGAAAGGCAGATATAAAAGTTAGTTCACCGGATAGGTCAGGATTAATTTTTATAAATTGATCCTCTGTGACTGGAACTTTCCCAATCAATTTTGCTTTGTATTCTCCATAAGTTGAATCATTGCTATCAAAGGGAACGATTCTTTCATCGCAGAAAAAGAAGTACCATTTACTCCAATCGGTCGTAATGTTAGGTAAACTCTGTACCAATAATTTTACGAGAGATCCTCCTGGTAGAAATTAATATTTCATTGCTTAATAAATATTCTACATTTAAAATGACATATTAAAAAAAAAAATGATGATATAGTTAGGTACAATTTAAAAATTTGAAAAGTAAAGTAAGCTTTTTAAATATTAGCATTTGTATTAAAACACTTATAGTTAACAGAAGGATATATTATATTTATATATTCCAGATAATTTTTTACATAACAAGTGATAAAGTGAATTTGATGCTCAAATTTGGTGTTGCATAACTATTTAAACATACAACATATTCTACGGTTTATTTACTAAATAAGCCTGTTATATTGCTACATATAGTATAAATTAAGAACCGACTATTTTGGACACCCTGTATGTACTTTCTATAAAAATATTTTCCTGCAGCTTTTGAATATTAATACAATGCCAAAGTTGAAAATGATTAATTTTGTTGCTTGTTATGTGAAAAATTATCCGAATTAAATAAATATAATATCATCTTCTATTAACTACAATGAATGTTTTAATACAATAACAATCAGTTCATTAACATTGTTATAAACAAAGGATATAGGATAGACAATAAATTCTCGAGCACCAAGTTGTCCGAATATTAGTGCGAGTCATTGTATATTTCGAACAACGACTGCAATTTGGAAATAGTCAGGAAAATATGTAGAGTAAAAGTGAAATATATAAATTATGTAATTTTTTAACTCGTTTATAACCTACGAGTTTACAGATTTCTATAGTACTGTGAATTTTTGCTTAATGTGTACCTGATTAGTAAAATGTACATCGATATATACGATCGATGATCAATCGTAATTTTTTTATTATTTCGTGAACGATAGATAAAATGAAAAATTATTCGAGACATGTCACCTGATAATCCAACTTTGAATGTATCACCACCTGCGAGTGCCTGATCGGCACTCGTTTGTAGAAGGTTAGACAAACATGACACTACAAGTCCGTCTTGAGGCTCGATTAATATTTTCTCCATTATTTGTGAGCTATTTCTAGGAAAAGCTTGAATTTATAAACTATACATAAACGCAGGCCCCGATACAAAGAGTAGAACTAACTGCTGAGTGTAAAGATGCAAGGTAGTATTAGTTATGTAGTATCGGTTAACAGTAATCAGAATATAGCATTGGGCATTCCGATGACACGTGATAAACTCACGATAACTATCCGTCGAACGTTACCACGATCACGTTTTTCCCTTTTTTTCGTGTAAAAACGTATTTTCGATTAACATCAGATCGTAATATGAAGTATATTGTTCATAAAAAAAAAAATGTTATAGTTTGTACTTGACGATAACACGCTTTATCGATGTAAAACTATGTCCAGAGACATCACAATATCCGATGCTCCCCGATTTGTTTAATATTACAGTGATTTCATTCTCGTTAAGCATATTTCGTTTAAACAGATTTACTCATATACGTTTATTTACCGATTCGAACGAAATCAAACATTGCAAAGTGTGTATTCGTAAAAGAAACATAAACTGAAATTATAGGTTATGAAATTTTTAACGATAACTGGAATACTTAACTCGATGGGGCAGTTTGATCAAATCAGGATGCATGACAATATAGATTTTGTGTATGCAGAAACATATTAAATGATTGTTAATCAATTATTTGGAGATACTGCACAGGGATCATGTCATTTTGTGTACGACTTGCTCGCAGTAAGCCCATCCGTGTATTAAGAAATATAGCTATGAAATGTTGGGCATTCTCTGGAACGTATATACTTGCCTGTTTTCTTCTGTATTGGTTGTACGGTGGACTGTATGCTTTCTTTCTTCTTTGTTTCGCCACTACAGGTAAATCGTATAGTTAAATTTTATAATTTAAATGTTGGCACATACATATCTCAATTTCTCTCTATAGGTATACTGTACCATAGGGAAGATCAGCTCGTGTATCGTCCAGAATGGCCAGCCAGTTCACGGGTATATGTTCCTGCGCCTTCGATATTTAATTTACCTTATCAAAGTATATACAGTAGATCAGGAGACGGTACAATGTTACACATGTTCTTTATTTCTCAACCAGAGGACAGAGTAAAACAGGTGCCTACGTTATTATTTCTTCATGGCAATGCTGGTAATATGGGCCATAGGTCAGTATTCCTTAACATTTTAAGAGGGGATTCCCATTAGAAACATTAAAACGATCAACTTTTCACTCTCAGCAAAAACAGGGATGTATCAAAGTCTGTAATGTCTAAAATATTTATTTACAGTGCATTAAAACAATTCAGGCAGAATATTTATATGTGAATAATTATTTAAACGATCATTTTTTTAGCGGGAATCTCCCTTTAATTGTGTAATTTTGAAATTTAAGATAAAAATTTCAAGATCATTTTAGACTTCAAAATGTAGCTGAATTATATCATAATATTCAGTGTAATATTTTAATGCTGGAGTACAGAGGATATGGGCTATCTCAAGGTTCACCATCCGAAGAAGGTTTATACATGGATGCTTGTGCAGGAATTAATTACTTATTTAGTAGAAACGATATAAATACTAATGAAATTATCGTATTTGGAAGATCATTAGGTAATGCATGTTTATAACAAATAACATATATCAGAGAATTCATGTTGTCTATTGATTAAAATATTACTGAAATTATTTCTATTTTTATAGGTGGAGCGGTAGCTATCCACTTGGCCACAAAACCAGAGAGCTCTCAAAAAATTTGGTGTCTTATTCTTGAAAACACCTTCACCAGTATTCCCGATATGGCTGCATTTCTTTTTGGATTAAAATTTTTACAATATCTGCCTCTTTTTCTATATAAAAATAAGGTACAATATTATTTTTCTAACGAATACATTATATGCATTAGAACAGAAATTCAAGTAAATTACACTGTTTGTAGTATTTGTCCATTCTGAAAATGCAGTCGGTAATGGTACCTACGTTATTTATTTCTGGACTAACGGACACGTTAGTACCACCACGCATGATGCAAGACCTTTATAAAAGTTGTAAAAGTTCATGTAAGAAAATTCTTCCAATCATGGGAGGTACACACAACGAAACATGGCGTCAGCCACGATATTATCAAAATATATGCACTTTTTTGAATGAGTTGAGGGAAAATCCTCCGACGCAAGTAACGTCTACGCACTGGCAAATAGACGATATATAATAACAAATTACGAAGTTCATTTTACCTCAAACGCGATAATTATATATTTTAAATATTGTTCAATACTAGGTCAATGTATTTTAAAAAATACAGATGGGAGGAGAGAGAGGGAAAGAGTGTGTGTGGGTGTGGGTGTGTGTGTGTGTGTGTAGAGAGAGAGAGAGAATGTTTCATTGATAACGATTCGACGTCAACAGAATGTTCGTATAGTGATAATTTAATTACTTGCATCGAAAATCAGTTAATTTTTATATTTCAACATTTACATAATTATACAAATGCTAATATATTTATACGTGCGAATTTAAGACTGTATGTGTGAACGTGTGTGTCTGTATATTATATTATTATGTATATTATTAATACGATTGAGACTAAATAGCTAAATGAATTTCAATGAAATTTAAATTTAAGTTTTATGTTCTTATTTCAAAGTTCGATTGGACTTTGAACATAATCAGCCCATGGATAACAATGACTATACATATACGCTCATCATAGGAATAGCAAAAGAAATTTCTTTTTTTTTTCAATAGTTAAAATATAATCAGTATGTTGTGAAGCATGCTTCCGTATTTTCTGCTAAATGCTTGGCAGTGGAAATGCCTGTTGATTGTGCCAACCTGGACCATACTAAATCTTATTTAATATGCATAGAGTCACTCAGCTTATTACAGAGATAATAACAATCTCTTTGACCCCTGAAACCAAATATTTTCAATCACAAAAGTAGTATAAAAACATATTACTCATGAATTTAATTTATTTATAAAATATGCTATCGACATTTCAACGCATGTTTTTATTTAATACAGTTAGAAACATGTAAAATATTCCTTATATTTATATTAATAAAAAATTAAAATCATAGTACATATTTTTCATACTTTTTATTTATACTTGCTTCTACCTTTCTCATTAATACCTTAATTTTTTTAATTCTAAAGTTAAAAATATTATTCAAATCTAATTAAGTTGTTCAACCATTTCTCTATACATTATTTAATGTAATTAATAAGTTATAAACGATTAGACTGGAAGCGATATTTATTTTAATATTGCGCCAAAATGTGCAAAGAAACAGTATCGCCATCTAATATCAGGAATTCGAACTGCTAAAATGCATATATATATACGAGCTCACGTACATGAATGACCTATAGTTGTGTTAAAATGTGCAAAGAAACAGTATCGCCATCTAATATCAGGGTTTCGAACTCAAAAAATCGTCCCAGGATCACAGAATGTTAGTGGAGGTATCCGGAGTACAGTTACCCCCACTCCTCCTACTCCTGACACTCAGTAGGTACCTTGATTATTCATTAATAACTCCTTTCCTGGGATTAAAATATGAACTTTTAGAATTTAAGAATATAGTATGGACCCTTGGCAACATTCAAGGATAGTTTTTAGAATCATTCCCCCCGTAATTAACAAGTTATTAATGAATATCGGAAGTCGGGACATTTGCGACTGCGTCACCGTCTGCTTTAATCGATGAATTATCAACTTTTCAACAATAACACGCATATTTTGCCTATTAGAGAAGCAAATAGACATCCCTGGCAACATTCAAGGACCGATTTTACAACGCTCCATGCTCTAATTAATTAGTTATTAGCGATAGATCCCTAAGGTGTCTCGTTAAAAGGTTAGACGCATTGTGCCGACCTCCGATATTCGTTAATAACTATTTAATAAGGCATGAGATGGTTCCAACAGGTATCCTTGAATGTTGCCAAGGGTCTATACTATATTTTTAATCTATAAAAGTTCATAATTTGTTCCCAGGAAAGGCGTAATTAGTAAATTAACGAGCAGTGATTCATTAAAACTACATATTGATTTCTACTGTGGCGCCACTAGTGGCGACAATGGCGTACTATGTGTTTCCCGGCTTGTAATTAACTACTGCTCGTTAATTTACTAATTACGCCTTTCATGGGAATAAATTATGAACTTTTAGCGTTTAAGAATATAGTATAGACCCTTGGCAATATTCAAGGATACTTTTTAAAACCATCTGATGCCTTATTAAATAGTTATTAACGAATATCGGAAGTCGGCACACCGTTTCTAACCTTTTAACGCGACACCTTAGGCATCTATCGCTAATAACTAATTAATTAGAGCATGGAGCGTTGAAAAATCGATCCTTGAATGTTGCCAGGGATGTTTACTTTGTTCCCTAATAGCGAAAATATGTGTGTTATTGTCGAAAAGATGATAATTCATCGATTAAAGCAGACGGTGATACAGCCGTAAATGTTCCGATTTCCGATATTCGTTAATAACTTGTTAATTAGGAGCGAAATGGATCTAAAAACTATCCTTGAATGTTGCCAAGGGTCCATACTATATTCTTCAATTCTAAAAGTTCATATTTTAATCCCAGGAAAGGAGTTATTAATGAATAATCAAGGTACCTACTGAGTGTCAGGAGTAGGAGGAGTGGGGGTAGCTGTACTCCGGATACCTCCACTAACATTCTGTGATCCTGGGACGATTTTTTGAGTTCGAAACCCTGATATTAGATGGCGATACTGTTTCTTTGCAGATTTTAACACAACTATAGGTCATTCATGTACGTGAGCTCGTATATATATATGCATTTTAGCAGTTCGAATTCCTGATATTAGATGGCGATACTGTTTCTTTGCACATTTTGGCGCAATATTAAAATAAATATCGCTTCCAGTCTAATCGTTTATAACTTATTAATTACATTAAATAATGTATAGGGAAATGTTTGAACAACTTAATTAGATTTGAATAATATTTTTAACTTTAGAATTTAACAAATTAAGGAATTAATGGGAAAGGTAGAGGCAAATATAAATAAAAAGTATGGAAAATATATACTATGATTTTAATTTTTATTAATAATGTACCTACGCTCATTTGTCTTCTCTCCTTTCTTCTCCCTCGAGGCGGTCCGAAGTGCATTCGTGCTCACTTCCGGCAGCTTCGGAGAATCGAGAAAGAGGGCGAGTATCAGTTTGTCTTTCTCAACATTCCAAAACGATATGTACTTACGAGCTTCCGTATGTACTTACCTACTTCCGCATGATCTGACATAGTGTGCGAAAGTAGAGGAGGAGTTTCCGGTGCACCCAGTCGTTTGTAACTTGTGAACTCATTGAGTTTTGTGGGTGTCGAAAAGTTTTGTTCATTAAATTTTGTACTAGGTAATTTAAAACAGTAACAATGGCAGAATTCGTGGAAAAACGATGCGAGGACATGATCCCCGAATTAGAACAAATGGAGAGAATTAAATTGTTCGATAAAATTGAAATTCGGTATGCAAAAGTTTTAGGTTAGTTATATTGTTTACTCAAAAGTATTAATTGTACATCTTCGTATATTTTACATAGGGGAATTGCAAAGAAATTAAAAGAAAATGAATATAAAATTCAACGGCATACGAAAACTAAAGAAGACTATTTACGATATATACAGTACTTAATGGACCTTCTGAAATTAATTAAGCAACGTAGAGACGTATGTTATTACAATTTTGTTATTCTATTCTTGTACATTGATGAATAAGTATTATATAAGTATAGATACATTAATAATTTCTTTCAGAAATTTGGTATTAATCAAAAGAAATCAAATATTGATAATATTATTACAAATAAAATGAATCATTTGTATAAAGAGGCAATATTTAAATTCCAAGATGACATTCGTTTCTGGATCGCATATATGAAGTTTTGTAAACACGTTGTAAGTACTTACTTAAATTGTATTATCTCTTAAAACCTGTTCGCTTAGTAATTTGTAAATGTTAATATACATAATGCGACAGCAATTTCAAAATAGTGTTAGTCGCATGTTGGGTAGGATGTTACAAGTACATCAAGATAAACCTAAATGTTGGCATATCGCGGCTCGTTGGGAGCTCGAAGAAAATAAAAATAAGCAAACTGCTCGTCAGTTTTTGCTTCGAGGTTTACATATACATCCAACTTCTCAATTATTATTTATCGATGCTTTCAAGTAAGCAAAATTGTAAATACTTTTTCAGTTTCTTGATATTTTCGTTTTCTTAGATATAACTTGATACACGATTTAGATTAGAATTAGAAGAGGCATCATTAGATGAACAAAAACGTGAAAATAATGGTGACTCTGTAACACCAATGATAACGGAAGATGATATGAGCATTGGATCGAAGAGGGCTTACATTATATATCAACAAGCGTCAAAATGTATCAAAGATATTAAATTTATAATAGAATTACTCGATGCTACAAAGGAACATACCAATACAGAAAAACTACAACATAAAATAGTTAGGTGGGTAGGGTAGAAACAAATCTTGATCTTTCAATTGTGAATTTAGAAGATAATATTTATTACAGCGATATGATACAAGAATATGCTCATGAACCTCTAATGTGGGACACAATGGCAAGACGAGAGCTAGAAGGACTTACTCAACCTTCTCTTGACGATGCAACAATGGAGATTGACAATTTAAAACAGACCTCGTTAAGAGACTGTATAACGTCTTGTAATAAAGTGTATCAAACGGCCCTTAAAAAAATTAAGACCGAAGAAATGTGGTCACTGTATATAGAGTGTTTAATAGAAATTAATCAGAAAGGAGGGCCTCTACCAAATTTTAAAAGGAAGTTATTAAAAACTGCATTTACGCAAGCACACCAAGCAAAAAAATTGAAGGAAAAGTCTTATTTGTATTGGGTTGGTAACACTTCTAACCACTGACTATTGTATTATGTATTAGTGTAAATAAAGTAGAAATACAAAGGCATTTAATAATTGTGTCATAGGTTAACATGTTAAATGTTGAGAAAAGGGATGAAACTACTGAAAAGAAATTAAAAGATATTCTGTGCATAGCAACGGAAGCTGTACCAACTAGTGTAAGCCTTTGGCATGCCCGATTAAGATACTTATTAGTTTCAGGGCAAGAAGATGAAGCTGAATCTATTTTTTCAAAGGTACTGGAATATTGATAGGCTTGTGTAGTGTGGCTGGTATATGGAATCATGTTGATCCACTGTACACATATGTACTACAACATATAACATACTTTTTAGATAACACAAATTCTCGGAGAAAAGTCATTACCTCTATGGAGAATGAGGATATTGCATGCACAAGCAAAAAGTCCTGAAAAAACACAAGAAATATTTCAAGAAGTAATACAAGGATATCCTAATATTGCTCAAGAAATAAAACCTACTTATATTGAATGGCTGGTTCTAACAAAGAGTGTGTAACTATGAGTTATGAACCTACGTTTTATGATACTTATATATTATATTATATGTTAATTTTAGGCATTCAAGCAGCACGCAAAATTTATGATGATCTCTGTTTGCAACCACCATTCTCTATTGAATTGCATAAGAAAATGACAGAACTAGAACTTATGCAACCAGAAATATCTTTGAAACGTACAAGAAGATGCCATGAAATGTCAACACTACAATTCGGCAGAAGTAATACAAGTGTCTGGATAGATTACGTCTCCTTTGAAATGAAACATGGTGATCCGAAAAAAGTTGGAGAATTACATAGGAGAGCAGTGAAAACTCTAGAACCAGAATTAACAGATTCTTTTATTTCAGAATACAGTTTAATTAAAGCAAATCCAGATTCTTTAAATACAGATATATAAGTATTTTCAAACAGAGCAAAGCATGTAAGATGAAGATACGGTTACATGAAATAATAAACTCACATTTTATATATTTAAGTGCCATTTTTCATGATTCGATTGGTATTTCTTTTTCCATACGTGTAAGAACAATGTTACGATCTGTTTCATTGGGCAATCGCGTTCTATCTCCAATTTTCAATGTTGCTCTCATATCTAAACACATCACGTCTGTGGCTAAAGAATGTTGTTTATCGTCCAAGTTTCTCTCGATTTGCAAAAGTAAACTTTCCAAATTATTATAAGCTTCTCTAGAAATTTATACGAATATAAAATAGAATAATAAAATGTAACAAATATTATAACACCAATGATGCTACATGTCCATTCTGTAAATCAGAGTTGGGCAAAGTCTTTGATTAAATAAAAATGTTAAGCAACAGATAAAGACAAACTATCTTGTATTCCATTCTTTATTTAAATAATTTTTGTATTAGACGATGCCCATCTCTATTATAAATTGTACATATCATTAAATAATCTGTGTACATACTTTGAATTTTCGATAACTTTCTTTAAATCTTTTTCAGTATGTTGCAACTGTAAAACTTCATCTTTCAAACCTAAGTCAGCTTCATCACGACAAAGTTCAAAACCGGGGCGATAAGTGCGATTTTCTAATCTGGTTTCTGCACACTTTATCGCATCAGTTTTATGTAATAATGCATCTTCTAATCGTACTATTTCTTTCTGCATGATTTCCATTTCTTTTTGAATCTGTAAATTACAATTAAATGCATTTGCATGTTAAGCATTTATTACCTCATTTATGTATTCATATTAAGGTTGAGATCTGATTTGTTGGGTAATGAAATAAGTTATCTTCAGAGACGTGTGTCTTGAAAACATTATTACTTAAAATTCAAATTTTTCCCGATCGAAAACAAATTCGAATCTTATACCAAAATTTACTATAACTGTACTCTTCAAAAGGTTATAACTATTTTACATCTTGGAATATCCCCACAAAATTTTACTTAAAAAGAAGTCATATTTTATCCAAACAAATCGGAATCTTGCCTTAATGTAGAAGTTAACAGTACTTTCAGCTTTTGCCATTGTAATTCGTTACGAGCTTTTTGTGTCTGATAGATTCTTTTTCGTAAACTAAAATCTGTTACATCTTGTTGAGCCTTAATATCATTTCTGGCGCGTTCTCGCATTACATTCATAGATTCGCGAAAACTGTATATATCGCTTAATTCATTATCTGCTAAGCTCTTTGAATTCTGGCAGTGCTCCAACCAAGCTTCATAAGATATCGCTCTACAATAGTAAAATCCATACATTTTATTATTTAAAAATTTTTACATAAATATTTGTTCTTACTCTTTTGGAGTTCTTAACGCGTTTGGTTTGTAGCTAATATTTGCACACGTTCGATCCAAATTAAGATTATCTTTATCTATTTTAATGGTTTCATCTTTATCTTCTATATCGAGTTCCACTTTAAACTTAACTGTTTCCAAACAATTTAATTTTTCCCATGCAGCTTGAATCCTGTACAAAATAATATACACAAAAATGTTTTCGCTCTTATTTGCATTAACGTTAATACCTATCGGTCAATGATTGTTTAACATTTTCAAGGACGCAGAGTTCTCTTTTCAGTTCTGTATCTGCTTCGTCGTATGTAAGTTCTGTTCCTCTACGACAGTCTCTCATGGATATACACTCTGCTGTTATTTGTAAAGGATTATTTAGAGTTTCCAATTCTTTGTCTGCATCGGTTTTCTCATCTCGTAGAAGTTGAATTTCTGATACTAATTTCCTTAACAAATTCTGAAGTAATTCTCTCCAACGTGATAATTCTGTTATCCTACAAACATGGCGTAGACGTAGATTCTTTTTTAAATATATTTTAGGATATTCTATACCTGTCTGCAAGACGAACATTGTTCATGTATGTATCCCATACAGTTTTTACCATTGTCTCTGATTGAACAATTCTTCCTGAATTTCTTAATTCGAATGCTTCTGCACTTCTGGTATCTGCACCTTGCTGAAGTTCCCATTGTCTGGCATACCAATCTGGTAATCCTAGCACATAAAACATTATATCACATGTATATAAATGAAATTATTATAATTTGATTAAAAAATATACCACATATAATTTTTTCGATTCTATTTGTTAAAAAATTTTTGAAACACATTGCTATATTACTAACCAAAAAAAGTAAATATCAATATGTGTTGTAAGAAGAAATTGAAGATTTCATTTACCTATATGTGGTACAGGTTTCTCATACGTGGTTACAGATTTGTTAGCCATAATTTGAACAAATTTAATCAAAATACCGACACAACGAAAAATCTAAATTAAAGAAGTACTATTCTACTATTCTTAAAATAGCGCCCGTTACAGAATTATTATTAGTTGCTAAAGCAACCACATTATATACACGATCAAATATTGATTTAATAAGACTATCATAGACAGTTATTTTATATGTACAAAAGTATATAAATACTTTTTATTTATGGTATATTAATAACAAGTTGACAACAAGTAACATTTCGGTGTCGTTAAACGAAGAAAAAATTCCTTTACGAAATTTTATTCTGCAAACGATAGATTATTTCTGTATGTTAATACGTAATTACGATATGGTAATACGTGAGAAATCATCGAAAAAACAGATTTTTATTTGGAAGGGTTCGGCTACATATCGAACGACTCTCTGAGACAATATTTCTCTTCAAGTTACAGGTCAAATTATTTAATTTTTTCATATTAAATTTATTTCAACGATACGATGTATTAGAATAATATATACATATATGCTACGCAATCCATTTTACTGGTATGCATAACATAAACGTAAAATTGCATATTTGTACGTCCTATTAGCTCGGATGTATTGTATACATATATGTATACGATGTAAAAAGTGTTTTAACGTTGCTTTAGAAGTTGAATGTCTCGGAAATTATTAGTTCCAGAATAAATGTACTGTAATACACACATTTATTTTCAAAAATGAATATTTCATTCAAAGAAAACAAAGTTATGCTAATCTCTTCTCTAAATACGTTCATCACGAACGTATACGTTTTTTATATCACGACTTGAAAAAACATTATCGATGTGAGACAAAATCATGTTGAAACTTAAACATATTGATGTTTTATTATCTTTCTGTTCCTTTAAGATAATTAATTTGATTGTTTAAAAAAATATTCTGCATTTTTAAAATATATAATGATGGACGTTTGATGAAAGGAACATAAAAAGAGGGTTACAATGAAATTGAATAGTTTTCTATAGTACTAAGATTGTAAAATATTTGTAGAACTGCATATTATAGTAGTTCAAAATGACTGCATTGATCATGAATCTTCATTGAAATGCAGAATTTCAGTACAAAATATGCCAATGCTGGAAGTTTTAGGTAACCTTAAAAAAGACATACAAATATTTCTGTGACGTCATACAAATATACTAAAGTATCGATATTCATCGTATTTGTTATATGTATAACAAAATTTAATCTAATTAAAGTATCCTGGATATTGGGAATTACATTTTTATGAAGCAAATGTAAGGGAATAGTCTAGAGAATATATGTAGGTAGATGTGGTCTAAAATAATCAGTATAATTTTTTTTTTCTTTCTTTATATTCTTTACTTTGACTCTAACTATTAAAACGTACTTAAAAATTATGTCGTTAACAGATTGAATAAAACATATGCATACCATCCAACTTCATTATGTTAAACAATCGTAAAAGTAAAGGGTTTGTTGCTAGAAAGGACAAAGTAGAATGCATACCTACTCTTTGTCCTACATGGAGGAACAAACCGGAAATATAATGGCGTTACCTTCCATTGTTAACGTACTATAATTATTTATCGGTACTTAAAAGTGTGTTATTATAAAAATTACAGCATATTTTAACCGTAAAAAATTATCGATGTTTTAAACTCATTTAACATTAATTAATATTGTTTTAAACTGATCGGTACAAGGAATGCACAGATGTTATTCTCACATGGCGCGCTGGGTTGGAACCTTCTGTATCGATACGTCTGCGCAGTTAAAATTTACCCATCATCGCGCCAAGCTGTATTTCCGGTTGTTTGTAGAGACGCGGGATAGAAGCCAGCTACAAGTTTGGATAGATAACAGGGGTAAAGTAGGTAGATGTGTAAAGACGCGCCATTTCCAATTTTGTAACGGAATCCATAAAGGAAGAATTTTAGAGACGGTCAGAGTATTATGCGAAGATTGAGTATGAAGAGCAAGCGTAGGAAGTCTGAAACGATGAGTGATAATAGTTCAGAGGAAAATGGCGTCTCGCGTACAACTACAGCCGATGAGAACGACGAAATGAAGAAAGGAAAGGAGGGCGAGATCGCGGATACACCACGCAAAACTGCTGCAAAAAAGCGGCAATCCCGTAGTCGACATAGTCTAAAAGCAGCAAACGAGGATACCGCTATGAAACCCGACGAGGATACTGAACCCATGGACTCCGAAGAAGAAAATAAGAATGCCGGGAAGGGTGGTACGGGCAAAAGATTTAAAAAAGAAGATCAAAAAGCATCTACTTCGATAAAACAGCAAGGAAACGAAGAAAAGGAATATGAGGTATGTTGGACGTAATACACGTTAACATGAATTTCACGAAAGACAAGTTTGTTTACACGATATCAAGAACCGATTCATGGATGGCTTGGGATGCTTTATGCAACCACAGGAAACCAGTATGTCCCTTACTGCATAGAGCGTCGGGTAAATTGTGTCGTTTGAATAGTAAATTATGAAAAGTTATTTTATTTACAAATTCGAATCATTTGTAATGAAACAAAATACTATCTTACTTATATTACCATGAAAATAGAAATTAATTTTACTTGAAATAAACATGCTACTTAAAGTAGATTATTTGAAATGCTATTTTAAAAAGTAAATGTTTCAAAAAATGAAAATTAAATAACATTTTAAACATAAAAGCAATTTTATTTAAATATTGAAAAACAATTAAGTGAAAATGTTATATTTTTAAACTTCTATATAATTCGAATGATGGTATCATCTTTGAATTTTTATTTCCATAGCGGCGCAAATAAAAATATTTGACTTTCACATTTATCTAATTCTGTCCAGCAAGTAAGAAAGATCTATTTTTATTAACCAGGTAGAAAAAATTGTTGGTCAACGTACTATCAAAGGCAGGCGTCAGTTTTTGGTTCGCTGGAAAGGTTATAGCGAAGATTCTGACACATGGGAGCAGGAAAAAGATTTGAATTGTCCACAATTAATTGAAGAGTTCTTGATCGAAGATTCAGAAAATGATGAAGAGAAATCTAAAAAGAATGACAATGCTCTAAAGTCTATAAAAAATAAAATTCCGAAAATGGACAAAAAGCCTAAAAGACCTAAAAGCAGTCCAAAAAAACAAATTGAAAATGGTATTTTAATATATTACTATAAATATTATGTTCTATTTATTACGATAAAATTGTAATCTTAAATGTTACTTTGTTGATTTCAGACAAGGAAATAATAGCATCGGAGGAAGCAAGAAATGAAAAAGACGATCAGAAAGAATTTGAGGTAGAAAAGATAATAGAAGTACATTTTAAGAAAAACAAAACAAGAGAATTCTTAATTCGTTGGAAAGGATTTACTTCAGCTGACGATACATGGGAACCTGAAGAAAACTTAAATTGTTCGGAACTCATTGAGAAATTTATGCAAAAAGTTGAAAAAGCAAAAACTTCTGATGTACGTGAGCTTAGAGCAAATCGCCCTCACACAAAAAGATACACGCTTACTACGCATGATGCAGGAAGACGACTATCTCGTAGAAATATGGATAAACAAAGGTAATTTTTTTTGTTTGTAAATTTTCATGATTTCCTTCTTTATTAGGATTAATTTATGTTCATTTTTTTTTTTTTTATAGAGCTACGTATCATGAATGTGACGAATAAATGGTTGCAAGTCATCAAAACCCTAAAATCCATATATATGTATATAACATTATTTGTAATGTTATAAAAAAGAAAACATCTTCAAAAATTTATATCTAAGTGACATTCTCTGTAATGCAATCTTAAACTAAGGAAAGCAATTACAGAGTAGTCTATGTGTCTTACATTCATATATTTCTTTATTTGTAATACTTTTATAAAAATATCTATTTTAAAGTATAGAATTTATTTCTCTTTGTCCAGTTTGTAATAATTTTCAAAATACATTATGAATTCTTAACTTTACAACTTAATGTTGTATTTTAATATATCTTCTATATACGTTTTTTTAAATTTGTCTTTTTTCCCCCCCCTTCAGTTAAGTACATCAGTAACTAAGAAACTATTCAAGCATCATCATAAAATTTATACTAAAACATGAAGAATTACAAAACCTGATACTAAGTAACACTTTTTAACTAAATACGTTTACATGCATTAGAAATTAATCAGATTTTAACACGTTTACTGTTATATGGAGCATATATACCCTGTATCGTATTTCATTCCATACAAGTTATGTTTCATTGAACTTTCATTATATATTAAGACAATATCTCCAAAAAATGTTTTATTATTCTCATTAAAACTTCCAGAATATAATTGAAAAAAATCCATGGATTTATTTGCCCTATTTTTCTGGATATGAAAGTCTAATACAGAGTGTAATTGATTCATATTGCAAAATATTAAATTGCACAAAGAAAAGTCTGAACAGTGAACGTGATAAAACAGATACTTTACTTGTATACAGTATGTTACTTCGATTTATTTGAACAAAATTTGTTTAATTATTACCTAATAATTAGGCTAAGAAATATAATGTGAGTAATTTGTAATTTGTGAAAAACCCATAAAAGATTTACCTTTGTTGCAACACTTATGTTGCAAACCGAACATATGTAATACTAGAATAATTATAAACAAATTATATAGTGATTGTAAGTTCAATGTTCTTACGAGTCGTAATTGGTCATGTAAAAATATTTAGTATTAATTTTATTAAGTTCAATATACTATAATAAAAATGTTTTAGATAGTAAGTTTAATACGTTCACGCCAGCCTTTTATTTCGTATATTTTCCACCTGTCGGCGTAGCACAAGTGATTTAATGATAAATGTTAATATCATTATATACAAATTTATGAGCGTTCTTGTGCTGTTAATTTTATTTGTTGAATATGTGCGAATACTGAATAAATTGCAGCTTAACTCATTGATGAGTTAAGTCGGCGTGACGTGCTAACTATTTTGATAAACCAGTTTTATGAGGTAATGACAGTGTAATTGAAAAAAATAAGAAATAATGTTCAAATGTAAGGTAAGATCGTGTAAATGGAACATCTAAATATCCCAATTACTTATTGATACGTGAAAAGACTATTTAGAAAAAACTGTTTAAAGTGACAGTGTTGGGAACAAATTTCTCCAAGTAATTTTTTTAATTCTTTTCTCACTATTCTGTGTATAAAAATAATAGTGAAATATGTTCAAAAGATGTATGCTTTGCAAGATATTTCAAAATTTGTCAGTACTTGGAAGACTGACGCCTTTTGAGACAATGAATGTTTATGACCGAATTGAATATCACATATTTATGTATTTACGAAACTATTTCATTTATGTCAAATAAGTAAAAAAGAAAACTCAAATTTGGCTGAATTTACCTATGACAAAGCTTGATTGTAATCCTATACATTCATTTTTATGTACTCTATGAATTGTATTCCTCTTAACTGACTTTTAAATACACGAGTAACACACAGTAAAATCAATCGGAACACTAGTTTAGTAGAAGACTTAATCGGTGTTGTACAGTACAATAAACATTTGTAGACTGATTTAATGTGCTCGCAGAACAAGAACTGACAAAAACCTTTTTTCGGAAGAACGAGAGACGAAATACATATGTATACGAAAGGTGAGATTACTAAGGGAAGAAATTTTGCATATTTTACAGTATTTGTAGAAAGAGGGTATCATTATTGATACATAAACACGATATGGCATAATTGGCATTAGTAATTTATTTTCACTTCATAAAAGATCTTCAGAGAACATGAATTCTTGAGGTATGCGTCTATGATCATTTCTTCTAAATGTTGCTATGACAAATGCAATTACAAGCGTTCCAATACGGCGAGGATATCCAAACAAAACTCCGGAGCTCAAACTCTCGACATTTTTTCTCATTCTGTCCAGTTAACGGCTGGTTGAAATCAAGGTAAACATCTCTCGTAAAAATGGCCGCGCCATTTTTTTGTTTTATGAGCAAAAATGTTCACATAATATGCTAGAGTTACTCTACTCGTAAATATTCTACACCCATATAAATGTTCGATTATTTTTATTTGTACACGAAATATCAGGAAGAATTGATGTATCCAAAAAAAAATATGCGTATGGTTGCATTTAACAAATTGACTAACGATTTGAGAGTTAGCTCGTGGCTGAGAATTAGGTATTCCCATTTAAATGGTTTAGAATTTAGATATTTGTGTTACTGTATAATAAATAGGTCTTCTTATAATATCAAAACTTTCGAAAAGTATAAATGCTAAGTCGTAATTCCAAAGTAATTCCAAGAGAAAACTATAATAAAGATTTAAATTCTAGACAAAGTTTCTGTATTTTTGAATGCTATACTATATGTATTAAATAATTAATGCATACTTCATTATTAGAAAGAAGAAATATTTACTAATGCATGTTCAAGAGAAGGAAACAATTCTTAAATCAACCATATGCTCTAACCAAAATTTTGGAGCAAAAAAATGATTGTGCATTAGAAATGAACGCATATCTCGCACAATATTCCCTTTAGAGCATATTTAAAGTTTTTTTTAGCTATAGTTTTATGTTATGATATAGTAAATAAATAAACATATATATATATATATCATTAAAAAATTATTTTATTTCATTAACTACATACGTTCGCTCCTCTTTACTTCTTTTACTTGAAGACCTGAAATTGTATTAGTATTTTTATTAAACAAGGAATTAAGGTGTTCATATTAAATATAATTTATAAAACAGAAATAAACAGAGTAATTAATATAATTAAATTGTAGTTCTTAGTATGAATAAAATTTTATTCGCTTAATATAATTAATGGAAATGCATAAATACCTGGGGGTAAAGATTGTTTCAATTTTTCTGCCTTTTCTATGTCGGTAATTACAAGAGTATACAAAAATCTTGAACACCTAACTTTGAACTTAACATTCTCAGCATTCTGCTTGATTTTTACGGCTAAATAATCGCAATGAAAAAATATAATAATTAATGAACAGATATTAGAAATTATTAGAGTAATGCTTGTAATGTGAATACTGACATTTGGCATCTTTTCTCCTGGCTTTCAAGAGGAAGTCCTTAATTTCTTTAATTTCTCGTGGCTAAAAAGTAATATCGTAGATCAGTAAAATAATTACAGGGGTATAAAATATATATATATACATATACAATGCAAATATAAATGTATCAATACTCATGAACGTTTAGTTATTGTTACTTATGTTTGTCAGTACGTTAAGGTTATATCGCCTAGTTTTAATATATTTTAATTTATTAAAAATAAATTAAAACTAATAAAACTTATGAGTAATAAAATAAATCGAAGTATGTTTCAAGAGATAAACTATTATACATTAATGTTATTAGTAATTATTTAATATTCACCATTCTGTATCGAAGTATGGAGGTTACAACTAGAATCACCTAGAACATGCGAGAAAAATGATTGATGTATGAATTTGATTCCAGAAATTTTCTAGATAAAAGATGCAATATATTCTTTTTCGAAACGTACTAATAACGTAGAACAGAGAAAGGAAAGGATTCCTTACTATAATATGGATTTCGGAAAATTACCTAGAAAAGTTGTATATATCTCTCCACTTTAGTACCGGAAAAGAATGCAAGCAATACGAAGGCTGGATCAAATCAGCAACGAAATTTGAGTAAATAAATAATGTTGTACAATTAAAAATGAGAATCGAATAGATGTTATTTAATAAGAATAATCGACTAATTTTAATTTTTGAAATCAATTTTCAAGATATAGTGTAATAAAATTATGTCGTTCATTTTTATAAACTATGCGTACTTTTAAATAAATTTACTAAAGACATAATTATATTATTAATACCATACTGAATAGCAGCGAATAATTTTGACAGCTTTTTAGAGTAAAAGTTTCTTTTTTTAATTCAATTTTACTTAAAATAATGTTAATATTGCAAGCCTTAAAATAACATATATGTAATTGTACAAAAAGCGTAAAGATATCAATCGCACGTTTGAAAACAAATTTAGTTATATTCTAGTAAGTAATTGCAATACTGTATATGTAATCTAACTATATATGTACATAAGTACATACGTACGATTAACATATATGTATAAATCAGATATGCCAGACGAAGCCCTGGGTGTAACAGGGACAATTCACAGAGATATCAGACGGAACACCGGGTGCACCGGGGCATCTCATTCCACTTTCTCACTTATGCCAGATCACGCATACGTGAGCTCGGACGAGTTTCGAAAAGTCGACAAAGGCAAACTGACACATGCCCTCTTTCTCGATTCTGCGAAACTCGTCCGAGCTCACGTATGCGTGATCTGGATGGTGAAAAAGTGGAATGGGGTGTCCCTGGTGCACCCGGTGCACCCAGGGCTCCGTCTGGCATTTCTAATATAAATGCGTGTGCACTGTCAGTTATTTTTTCGTATTATGGTTTACAGTTACCATTAAAGTGTGAGAACTGTGAGACAGTGTACATTGTGACGGCATTAAAGGATATAAAATTAATCCGCGATCGACAAGCTTGCAGTTTAATTTGCGTTTGATTATATATTTTCACTTTGTAATTACGTGTTAAGCTGCTCCGTTGAAGAACAGCTTCGAGAATTCCTTAAAAATGGATAATAACCCATTGCCGCATATTATAGAATGTGCGGATTGCGAGGGTTCGGTGAAACCAAAAGAAAGGTTAGTCAGTCTTCTTGATCAAATAGAAGTGCATGTAGAACAACTGAGGAAGGATGCCTGGAGACTCGAAGAAGAGAGAGATACTCTGTTGACCACCTTAGATACCCTTAGGAACAACGAAATGCTGGGCAAATTAGAAGAAAGTAAGTGTTTATCTCTCGTTTTCTAAGAATTCAAGGTCAGTTGTAATGTTTCTAGAAAAATCGTTATCAAGAAACTTGATATTTGTAGAATGTTTCTTTATAACGTTATCAAGAATTTAGATTTTAACTTATATAATCATCGAATAAATTGTGTTTTTTGTATTTATACAAGAACCTATTAGACGTAACCTATCTAAAAAGTATATAACATTAAGGTTAAATTTCCTTTTTCAAAATAGCTGACAGAGATGATGTGTTGAGGTATGCTGAGAGATTGTCTATGCGATGTCTAACGGTTGATATTTTGGTCAAAATTCAACGCGACCAGATTCAACAAGAAGCATTACATCAGGTATGTATCACCTGTTGCTTTACATTTCTATTTTCTGTCAAAAAATAGAGATATAATTTTATGCTGTTACTTGAACAACAGATGACAGAGAATATGTTGATTAATTTTAGGTAAATGGTTTAATCGACAGTTTAATTGTTGGCCTTCGCGATGATCCAACTACAACTCGACTGCGATGCGCATCTTTCATGAATGCTTGTTCTTCGCACGGTTATGGACATTCCGATAAAAACTTTGAAAGTGCGATTCTTGGTTGTACTTTGGATGACCAGAAGCGGGTGAAGAAGAGATTACAGGGATTATTGGATTATATTGACAAGATGCATACAATTCAACTACTATGAAAATATATTTGGAACAACCTATTTTCAAAGGAAGCAACTAAATTATTCATTAAACTAGCAGTTAATCTATCTTAGTTGTTCTGAAGGAGATTTGAGGAAAATAAAGTTAATTAAAGCAGGGTGCTTGATGATGATTCAATGGTGATGTTTTATGGTATATGTAGAGAAAGCATTACTCATGTTACATAAGTGTGTTATCTTTTATGCATAGATCATGAGTTTTGAGTAGAAGTCGTAGACGTTGTATGTCTTGCAATTGTGGAAATAAGCTATGCATTTATATTATATTTGTGCAACAGATGCATTCTAATGAAACTTATATTTTTGTTCTTTTCAATTTTGAAAATACAACTTTATACTGTGTTAAAAATAATACTTTTTAGAACTGACGTTTGAAGTAAAACAAGGGTATATACAATACATTTTCATGTAAAAGTATATTTCCATTTTCTGTTCTTTGTAACCGGGGAAAACAATAGTACATAGAGTAATTAGAATAGTGTTAAATTTTATCTTTATGCGTATCATACGTATGTGACTGCTGGTTAGTCTAGTATGCATACAATGTAATAATCTGTCATCATTTTGTCGACTTGAAACTAATAATGCTTTCCATAATTAAAAAGATTATTAAAAATGTTTAAAGAAATTAAATACAGATTGTAATTATGCTACGAATGTGGGCTTTGGACTATTCCGTATTCTAATAAATTATGTAATACATTTACTTCTTGTAGTACTGTAGATAGAATTGTCATGTTCAGTGCAGATTGAGCAGTTTACTGCGTATTATACTTGGTACAACATGGATAAAGATTATATGTACAGTCTGACGTAATTTTAAAGAATTGTTTAGTATGCTTAACCCTTTAACGCTCAAACCCGAGTCCGACTCTGACATAGCTGACCGTCCAAAATGTGCATGCCCGAGTTAGACTTGAGCAGCGATATATGTATATGCATTTCTGTTCCGTTTCATCTGGCCATTAATATAAGTAATGTGCACGCAATCGGAAAATAATAGAACTGTGCTCCCTAATTTCTTTATTCTTCTTTCTCTTTCTCTCTTTTTCTCTTGGCTTTCATTCTCACTGTATATATTGATGAGTTTAAAGTCTTTAAACGTTAGTATTTTTCGGCAATCAGGTCAATCTTGGTTCAAAGTAAAACCATAAAGATTAGTCGAAAGACCTATTGCTGATTATATTTCAGCTAGCAAAAAAAAAGAAGCCCCGACTCGAATTTGTGTCGACAAAATTAGTGATATAGGAAAATGCATATGGAAAGACAAAATTTCATTGCGAAAACTGTAAATTAAATGAAATATAAGTTTATGCTAATAAAGAAATCTATTTTTTGCATTTACAAAAATAATTATTTTTTTTTTCACACTGCTCCAATTTGCACTTTACTATGTTTAAAAATGCGAGTTTAAAAGTTTATCAGATGAGATACAACGTTAGAATTAGCAGAGAATGTATGTAATTTGTATGTAATTTTGGACAAGTTAAATCGAAAGAAACGCAAGCATTAAGGGGTTCAGCAGCTATTTATTTTTTTTATTTTATATTTTGTACTCGATCATTTTATTGATAAAAAACATTGTTTCCGGTACAATATCGTATTGTCAAACTATTTCAGTTATATTATTGTATATATTTTTTTATTAATATAATTGCAGTATATTTTATGCCTGATACATCTGTTCAATCTTTAAGGTAAGGATGAAGTTTAGAAGCAACGCATAATAAATTTGTTTTATGTGGTAAAAATTGAAGGAATAAAACGTTATGGTAATTAAAGTGGAGTGCAATATATCGAAATATACTAGATGTATTTTTTTTTGTATGCTTCTTCAATGCTTTTTAAGGTACTGATTAAAAGAAACTGTTTAAAAATCGTAACGCTTTATTTTTATTTATTTTATGCGTTTACTGTGGATGAAAAAGTATTTTCTTTTGACATAATATATTTTTTCCCTTAGAAACTAGTATATTTGGTTAGCTATTATATTGATATCTGTTTACACATAAATTAACGTCTAGAATAATATTTTCTACGAATTCGAGGCGATTTAAATTAATTTTAGTTTTAAATATTCTACTCGATGGAATATTTATACTTGATTAAAAAATTACCATATATTACCTAAACTGATGATTCGTTACAATTATATCTTGACTGAATGTATACAAAAAAATGAATACTATACTCATCTTCCTTAACGTTCGTCTTTAACACATACAAATTAATATATTTACAAAACACGAAGGACGATTTAAGCTTTTCGACGCAGTTATGAGAAGATATTCAAGTGTAAGATAAAATATTTTTCGAAAAAACGACACGAGAATTTTGTGTTCGGAATGAAAAATTATTAACCTTAAGCAATTAAAATTTGTTGTCGGTTGTACGAATTGAAAATTTTAAACAATGTTAAATTGTATGGTTTTGTTTATGATAATGTTAATTATTCAATGTACCGTTAAAGCGAATTTAAGCAGAACATGTATCGGAGCAGTACTTGAATAATTGTTTGTTAATGTGAATGTATATCACAAATTGACTGATATAATATCAACACTATTCGGTGACAAATCATACAGCGCATTCATTCTTTGATCACGATCCTGATGCACAACGTTGTGCCTAATTAATTATTATGAATCATTAGACCAATTAGTGTATCGTTGCCGAATCGACCATAGGATATTTATATTTTCATAAATATGAATATCAGTCACGATACACCGTTGGAGTATATTCGTCAGAGCTTTTGACACACTTCTATTTTGTCCATGCAAAAAACTAAAGTAGCCTGCAAGCATTTTTCACGAAATTTCGTTTCTTGTGATTTTTTGTCTTGACTCCTGGCCGCAAAACAATGGTACCGTTCCCTGTACTCCGGCCACATGCGGATCCGTTCGGACTAAAAGCACCTGTAATAGATATGAATATACATATATGTATATATATATACATGTATATATTTTCGTAAATCGAGAAATTCACGGATAAAACAAGAGATAGCCGTTTTCTAGTTTACAGAAGTACAATTCTTTACACTCCGTTTTATCGTGATAGGTAACGTGTTATTATAAGAGATACATGTACTTACATGCGTTTATTAATTTATTCTACATTATCTGTACATGCTGTAAACATTTTAGACTGTTACTTGTATAGAATCTAAATTACGTTATTTAATAAAACGATTCACGCTCCGCAATTTATAATGTTGTGTACCTACCTTTCTCATTATTATTGAAACAAATGGTAACGTGACAAAGATTACGTAAAATTTGTTTGTGCAAAATAATTAACAGGACCGATTAAAGTCAGCACGATGTGCAGTAGTTGGTGCTACATTCCCACATTTTTATTTTTTTTCTTGTCGCGTAATTGAATCGCTATACATATACATATAATGTAGTATGCTCGAATAATTATTTCTTAAATTCATAGAATTCATTTTACGAGAGCGATGTTATTAACATAGAAAACGAAAAATTCATTCTTTGGCCAATGTCCGGTAGCGAGCGAAGGATATAATATCACACATACAGGCATGAGTTTGTGTGGTTTTGTGCGTGTTACGTATGTACCACTACTCTGGCTCGTTATTCAAGAATCAAGATCAATGGCAGCAGTCACGCGATCAGAAGATGTACATGTACAGTTGGATATACCCTACAGAAACGCAACCAAAGTCCTCAACCTTAAATAAACTGACGTCGACCAACGTTGATTCTGAACAACTGGAACACTTTTCGAGTACTTTTAATTACCAAATATCACATAATATATAATATCAAACGAAATATCAACTAATAAATCTGTAAGGCCAATAGGAACGATCACTGGTATCTAAACGACGATCGATTCTAAGTTTCAAACAAGCAGTTACGCGTTACTTGAAATTTCTCGGTGAACAAATTTGGTCGCATTTTTTTACATCCGTGGAATCATTCGCTACGGGTTTGTACCTCAAGGACAAACAGTAAACGCTGTATTTTACAAAGGCGTAACGCAACGATTACTCGCAAGAATTCACAGAGTGGAACCAGATTTTTATTCAAGCGGAAAGTGGTGGGTGGTTCCTCTTGCACGATAATGCACCAGCCCACTCTTCGGTAATTGTGAGTGTATGTATGGCTAAAAGGCGGGCTATAACTATTCTTCACCTACCCCAGCGCCGCTGGAAGTATTAAATTACCGATGGAAGTAAAGAGACAAGCTGCTGTAGAAAATAGAACAAATAAAATTCATTTTTATGAAAAATTACAATATTCAAGGATATTTAGCGACCTTAAAATAAGTTTTAGGCAACGATCAACCTATCTAACCATACCAGTTAACCGCCGCGTCGAAGGTATCGAAGGTGCTTAAAACTTTTGAACGGCAGTGTACGTTTTCTAAGGTGGTTCGTTCGTTCGTTGCGTGCGTGCGTCCCTGCACAAGGCGTGTGCAACACGCTGATCTATGTACGTATATGCATAATTAGATGCGTGACTGTTGTTAAAATATGTACCAACCGGGGGTAGACCACCTGCTAAATCTGGGCCAACGTTCGATCGTCCCTTTCTCTTGTCAACGAATGTACAACGAATCGAGAGATCAGGGGTTCGAGGGTAGACTTTTAATCCGAGCTGATACATCTGTCTCCTCACGATCCGCGAACGTGATGACGATATACTTAAGGATGAAACGACAGGATCAACCCGTGTATCGTCCCGGCACAGTTGATACATTATGCATCTTCCCGATGGTGTTTCCAAGAAAGCGCATTGTTCTTTTCGCGCAGCTATTGCGGGGCTAAACGACTGGTCAGCGTCCACGTGTGAACCGGCTGCATATACCTATTGTTCTCCGTCGTACAAATTTTATGCAACCGGTGTGACTACGACAGAACCGCGCAGGTACATATGTATAATGCGAGGGATACGTTCCACCAGACTGAAAACTTGTACACGATACAAAAATAACAAGAATTTTGTGGCGTCGCCTCCCACACTCGCCACCAGAGGGGTCGCGCTGTCACAAGCGCTCGACCGACCCCTCGGTTGCTAATTCATCGAACGACTTCCCAATATCTCATGAAAACGAGGTTTTTGAAAGTTTTCCCTCGAGCCCGAATTCAAGAAATACCGCAACCCCACACTAACAACATAAATATACCCAGACACTAACAGTCATTCTAAATGCAGGTTATAGGGCCCCAAAAATAACAAAAAAAAAAAAACCCGGACGAAACGCGTCCTCTCCCCTTTCCTTTTCTGTCCTCCTACGATTCTCCCAAGTTCCTAACCCTCGGCCAGCAGCGCCACAGTTTAAACATTTCTTTCTTTTAAATAGCACCCTGTTATTTAATTTGAGATACAAACTTGTTCGGGATCCTCGTTTAAAAATCCTATGTATCGTAGAAGGGACCGGTACGAATCGAGAGTACTAAGTTTCATTGAGAGTAGTTGGCAAGGAAAACAGAGGTTAAAAGATTTCACTCACTTATTAGAGAAGGTGATCTGGGCCCCGTAGAAGAGTATAATTTCAGGTCGTCTTGATAATCGTCGTCGCAGCGGCGCATCTCGTGGAGACATCGTGACGCGAGATGCCGGAAGACGCTCATGACTCCGACGTCCTCTTTCACGGACGTCCTCAGAAGTTTGCAACCCAACGCGCGGCCTAGCCTCTCGGCTTCGTCCCTGAAACAACGCGCTACGCTCGAGATTACTCGAAATTAAGCCGGTAATTAAGCAAACCAGGCGTTACGCTTACGGATCAATCACGCACTGATCAACCAGGTCCATCTTGTTCTGTACAAGCACCGTGGGAATTTCACCGCACTCGTTCTCCACCTGAAAACCAAAAGAAACCGCGTCTTCCTTATGCGTCTGCCTTATCAACGAACGGGATTCAAAGTATTCTAATTACCACCAACTAATTTCCTACGAGTTCTTAACAATCTTTTTAACGGATGCCTAACTTCTACAGAGCATGTCTGAAAAAAAACGATTACGTTTTAAACAAAAGGTACATACACAATATACAGTAAATTCGTTCTAGAATACCTTGAAAAATCGATCTTCCGATCATTTAGAGCAGCATACTTTCAAACATCTAACAAATAAGATAAACGAGCTTGTTCCGGAAACATTACGTTAAAATGGAACACGATTATTTGCAACAGAGTTATTCATGCTGATTTGTACTTGGTTCAGGTTGAGCCTACACCTTTCTCAGCAGTTGCTCGCCGACAGTCAAAGAAAAAAGCCAACGTACAAGTTTCTACGAAAGGAATTCGAGAGCGTGTCCGATGATCTCGAATGTCTCATCAGTATCGTCAGCGATTTTATTTTCTTCTTACTGTCTTAACTGTGATCGTCGATAGGAATACATATGTACTTTGTACTACATATGGACGACGATTACGACGAATCAACTTGGTATACATTGCACAATATATCTATAGAGATTTTCCACTTAAAATTTCTAAACATCTTGGTCTTGTACATTTATTTTTCGTTGTAAATTAAGAAAAAACATTTGTTAAAAATGCCCGCCATCTAGCATCGAGAGCAACGAACTATTTCTCGACAAACTTGGCCGTTTCGCCGTAGATGGCAGTGCAAATCATGTACCACCGATGGGTCATAAATCATTCACATTATATTTTCAGTAATGAATTTTTTTCTCGAAAATGCGTAGGATTTCTGGTGTATGTCTATTCACCAAAAATGATTGCAATTGATCCCCGCAGCCGAAAATAATTTTTCCAGCATGATTTGAAATTTTGTTTTTTCGCCAAAAAATTTAGGCACCTACCTCCTGTCGATTTTTCTTAAAAATTTCTACGGAAATGATGCTTAATACGACGTTTTTGTAGGCATCTGGGAACTCTACTTCATAAATAAATGAAATCTATTCGCTATTGTTGGAGACCATTAGAAACAACTAAGTACTTGTTCCTCGAATTCCCGAAGGTACCATATACGACGCGTCAGAACTGATATACAATGTGGCTATGCATCAGTGTGTGTAAGTGGAAGGGCAGTTTCCTTCGCGCACCTGTATTGGCTTTTCCAATCCCTCCCATAGTAAATTCACATGTTTTTATGCACACACTACAGCTGTGTGGCCATCAATACTAAGTCAAATCTCCTCGGAATTTTCAGGTCGGTATGGCAGTCAGATTGGGCCAGGAAAACCCCTAAGGTGTAAGGTGTCTACTCGTATACCTTGTCTGTGATATGAAAAAGTTCGTCAATTAGTCAGAGGAGGAGGAGGAGGAGGAATTGTATGGAACTGGTGTTTGGAAAATGATCTAGGCTGTGCCGCTACCTGTGGAAGGAAACGTACTGCTGTAGAGCGAGTTAAAATCAGCCCCCTTGCTTTAATGGCACCTTCACTTTCACATTCCACCTTCTGTCGTGACTACCTACGGAAACGTGCTTGCACCGGTTCAGCACGGTGTGTGTATGTCTCGCGGACGAGTCGTACCTTCAGCTTCCACGAAGGAATGGCGTCGAAGGAATCTCTGTCAGTGGCTGAATAAGCAAGGACGCAGGCATGGGCGCCACGATAATAAGCTGCGGTGATTGCGTCGAATTCCTCCTGGCCCGCAGTGTCCCAGAGCATCAGTCTTACGTCCTCGCCGTCCACCCTGTGGAACAATGGATTCTGATTAGAACAACCAGTAAATTAAACTATTAATTGGAGGAGAAAATATTCCAAAGAATCTTGTTATTTTTTCTTCAAATGGATTTAGGTACTTTGAGATAAACGCGTAAAATGTGAAGATTGTGTAAAGTTAGCTGCTCGTCGGTTAAACGGAAACCAGAGACAGAGAGAGCGTGTGTGTATAGCGTTTAAGTGGCCCATAATCGGTCGTTCAAGTAACGAATTTCTGTTTATAGTCTGCCTTTTGTCCAGAAGCAAACAGGTACGCGTTTCTAGGTTCTGAGAAGCGTACGTCGTGGGATAGTTCCTGGTGCATTTATACCTCGCGGGCGGCACACGTGGTTACCGTTTTAAGACGGGAAGCTGCTTTTTGCACCTTCTTCCTTTCAGCGAGCGCACGAAAATAGAAATCAGTCTGTTAATTACTAAAACACCCGCCCAATCGCAAGAGATTTAAACAAGACCAATTATTACGAGACATAAACGAGATTATGGATTCCAAGAACGCATGAAAAATTTCCGTCTTTGGTAGCTTTAATATCCCGTTGATAGGCATAGAAATAATTAGGCTACATTAGGATTAATAGGACATGGTTTAGATATTTTCAAAGTTCTCGTTGAACGGCGATTAGGAATCATTGAGATCCCGATTCAGGATAATATTAATGAAAGTGTGGCAACTGTACCACCTCTGAGTAACGAATGGATACTAAACGAAATAACGGAATGCGATGTTGGTTCATCGCACAACCCAGTTACGGGTTCAGTTGTGAGAAATGCGGTCGAGTTTTCTCTTTTCCCTTTTCACTGGTCAATTCCTCTGATCTTGTATGATACTCGATCATGCACTTGGAACGTTTGTTAGCAGTTCCACTCCTCGATGCGTCATTTGATTTACTTTGGCAGTTAATCGAGACCAGGTCTGGGCTTATTATTCGAATATTCGGCATACTAAAATAATAAGGCAATAATAATGATTAATGACGACACTCGTAGTCAAAGTTACACGACTCGTAGATATTATTTATATTATTATTTAAACGTTAAGGACATTTCTAGACATATAAAAGAGGCGTACATATTTTAACGAGTCTTACAAACATAGTGTTCCCGCGTTGCGAATAATAAAAAAATGTCCAAATAAATATCTATAGTTTAGAATTTTATATTAAAATTCCAAATTATTCCCGCGTATAATTTTTTTGCGGATAAGTCTAGAAAGAAAATAATGGCTTCTTTTTCAACTTGGAAACTTTGAGGATATCCCATTTATTTCTTCAGTCTCGGCATCTATAACAGTTATCTCGGTAATAAAATTCCGTACGTAACAACCGTTGGACGTTTTTTCCATCTAAGGTGATACTTTTCTTTTTTCTATTCCACGTATACATAGATACATGTGTACGTATACGTATAGAGTATTTAAGACAGGTGTAACGCTGTGTTATCATGCATTTTTACTTGGAAACATAATTCAGTTTAAGCCTCGTAAGATCGTTTTTAAGGAACAGAAATGTTACAAGTTCATAAACATCGTATTCATCGGTTGTTTGAAATAGACGACCTTGGCTCGCGATACTCTTTTCATCTGATTTTATTTAATTTCCACGTATGTAGAGCTTCGTTTGTAACTTCGTAACGCATTCGTTTAGAACACTTTACGCTTGGCCGCTGGGTGTAACTCGGTGATATTGTAAAAACGCAAGTGTTTCTCTGTAATTTTCATTTCATTCCGGTTAATCAGACCGTCCCTTTTCTATGCTCTTATTATTATACGGTAAGTTCGTTCTGTCTCGTGCACGTTTCTTTATCGTGCAATAGCTTTAAAGTTTCTTGCGATTCTCGTTAAAACGTGAAATATAGAGTAGTGCTTTATAACAACGTATCGTTCGCTATTTCGCAAAGTTCGGCGATAAACAAGGGACATAAAAGCAATTGATAGAATTTATATGTATAAACGAGCATTTTGTTTAAGCTTCTTCTCGAATTATAGCCATTTTAATGCTCCTAATATAGCTAATATTTCTTAATCGCTATTTCAACCAGTACAACGGATTCTGTCACATTGTTTCAAACGAAAAGAGAAATATTTCAGTAGAACACATTCACCATGTTTAGAGAATACAAGTACTTAATGTAATTAATTTCCCTTAACCCTTTGCACTCCTATGTCGAGTGTGATTCGACATCAATTTTTATCTCAGGAGCTTCCTCGTCAACAACAGTGTAAATAAAACAGATATTTCAACAGGTAAATATTCAAATAAAACACTTAAAGGCGTTGGTAGCTGCTGGTAACAAAATTCAAATATAATTCGGAGTGCAAATGGTTAAAGGGTTGCTGTCTATGGACAGCATACGTTCCGAAACATTCTGTGTACCGAGGCTCTCAACGTGATCGTCGCAAACAAGAACACGGAAGTTGATCCTGTTACAGTAGTTGGAAAGAAAGTTACGCTAAATGAAACCAAAGTGAAATCTTACTTCAAGATTCGAACAATACAAGATTGATTAACTTCCAGATATTAAATGGAAGTAAAGGAAAAGAAAGAAACCGTAGAATATTCTCGACAAGTTATAACGAGCGAATTATTCCGACCAGTTCTCTTTCACGGGAGGAAACTTCAAATATTAAAACGATCTATCGCGTAAATAATTTAATAAAATTATAGTAAATAGTTGCTTACTGAATGGCAGATTAAAATTATAATATTGACCGTTACCTCGACTAATGATTTCATCGTTAAATTAACAATCTTTACGCAAATTGGTCAAATTGGGGAAAAATGAAGCCACAGATCCGTTTACGATAGAAAATATCTTTCCTTCGAACTTTCTCTTACGTACACATAATGTGAATGTTTTAAAATTTCTCCTGAATAATTATCTTAAAATTTCTCTCCTTTTTAATACTCGATACCTGTTATTGACATTTTAAAAGACTATCGTATCAAATGTGGTTTAAAAACTATAGTATGACCAACAAACAAGCTAATATACATTTTTCCAGAAGCGAAATTTCGAATAAATCCAACGTTAAAGATTTGGATGGTAAAGAAAATGCTAGATTGTTTGAGAAGAACCATAGTTTCGCTTTAATTACCAATCGATGGAATAATGGCGCGTAATATAAATTTAATTGAACAGATATAATAACGGTGATTTAATTGCATACTTGGTTATACGATCGAAATTTATGTTAAAAGCTATTAGAAAATGTCGACAGATGTTTGCCGATCTCCTTGAAAACGGCAAAAGGATAGCCGAGACTAGGACGTCTCCCGCGAAACGTAATTAACTCAAACAACTATGTAGGTATACGTGTATGGTATGTAGGTACACACACGTACTCGCGGAACACCTATTATGTATTCTTCTTTAACATAGTCTTTAATTACCGTCCGACGTTACAGCTGCTTATCTGCCTATACTTTCAACGCCGTGAAAATGATTTTTCTCTTGTCCCGGATATTAATATTCCCACCATTCCGTGGGATATATTCGACGTGACCCCGCGGACGGACGAATCTTAACCGATTAATGATTCGTAACAACTATGACCGATCCATAATACAATATAACCGAGCTATCTCGCTGTAATTTCATTTCCTGAATCTGTTTATCGGAGAACTGCGAGTGTTTTCGTTACATTTCATCCAGCGACGTTCTAAACCTTTCACGCCGTTCTGGAAATTTAATAAAAAGGACCACATAAGTAAGTTAATTCGTACGTGTGTTGCGATTCAGTCTATGTCTCTGATAATTTACGAAAGTAATGGTAAATGAAATCGAGTATTGGATCGATCGTGAGATACTAAAGGTAAACTAAAGAAACGATATTTTATGCGTAAAAGAAACATCGCGGACTGTGGAAATGTCGCAGTGAATTTTCTCGTCCGAGGCTCTTTTTTCCCCCCGATTAAACGACTCTCGTCCTACCATTACCGACCAGTTCGATACCTGTTTCAATGGATTTTTCCCCAACGACCAATAAAGATCCCATGATGATCCGATTACGGTAAGCAAAAACGTCGCCGGCAAGATCGTATCTCGGTGACCTTTTTTTTTTTAATTAAACGTATCGTCGCGTCTTTCGATCCATCGTTGCCCCCAATGTTCATGTTCGTTTAAGAAAAATCATTCTCTGTCGATGAATCGAAACGTAAAATATAGATGAAAATTGCTATTATTGTCGCAAGACGGATAAGTTCGTTTAGCTTTCGTTCACTTACTCGATCTCCCGTTCCAAAAAATCGACACCGATCGTTTTCTTGTAATCCCTCGTGTATGTACCTTTGCAAAACCTTTGGATCATCGATGATTTTCCTACGGCACCGTTGCCGACTATCACCACCTGCAAGTCAAAAAGTATCTTCTTATACATGGAATTTCAATGTCGATAAACATTCGTGCAGAAGCATACCGGATCCTCGATTTCGACGTCGCGAAAATTGGAAAAAAAGAAAAACGAAATAATATAATTTTGCATCGGTACATCGTTTCGCCGTGATCACGATACAATCTGTATCGCGCGTAATTAAGAATAATTTCCGATTCAGCGAAGATAAGGTGCGTTACGTGGACGATGATCCCGATGGTGGACTTTCTAAAAGCCATAGGTCGAGACGAGCAAGGAATAACCATAGATACAGTAGTTAATTTCTTGCGCGACTTTCTTGCCAAGCAATTATAAACCGATCGGTTAGAACGGGCAGCTTTTTTTCTTATAACATCGATTCCAGTCTGGTCAACAGAATGTTTCATCGTCGATTAAATGGGTAGGATTATCGTTTAATATTCGAAAGTAATTGCGAGCAAGTAGACCAACGGGGATCGGTAAGTCGAACAGTAATAAATAAGAACAATAATAATCACGATAACAGCGACAATTTTAATTAACATAGAACAATAATTTAAACGCATAGCAACGATTGGTAGATGTTAAAATACAAACTCAAATTGTTCGCTGACTTTTATAATCGCTATAATGTTAATATGCACAAGAAATTCAAGTTTCAGGTAAGTGGTAGTAACAGCGTTGATATACGTGCCGGTAAAAGATACGAATGTATTACAAGCAGAGAGTAAATCGATAAGAGTACGGTGGAAGCATTGCTTTCTAATATCGTACTTGCACAAAACTGTCTCAACGCGTATCGATAACATTATCGAGCATTAAAATTCACTATAAACTCTTTGTCGCATTTAATCTATCGGGCATACAATAATTTCACCTCCTTTCAATAGTTAATGCCACTATTACAATTTACCTTATGGAATAGTATCCATGGACATATTAAAAAAGTGAACAACACGTTCACCCGAAGTGATCGAAAATACAAAGGTCATGAAAACTGGTCGAACCGCGTGCGAAGGTCTTTTATGATTTCAGGTTGATTAACAGTTTTTCAAGTACAGTTACTAACACCAGCTATAATTTCATGAAAAGAAGAGGAAGCAATTAATTACGAATACATTCGCGCCGATACCGAGGATACGTCTTTATCGTGATACGTTTAGTTTAATAAACAGTCTAGGGATGTTCTTGAAAGCGTCATTTTAAACAAAACATTCACTCTACTTTACATCAAATAAACAAATAAAATTTTCTTTAGAAAGTTTAACGCAGCGCAACATTATCACGTTGACTGTCACGTCCCTCAACCCCATCTATTTGCATAAATAGTACAATATCAATGTTTGGTCTATTCGCTGTGACAAATTTCATTGCGTGTAAAAGTTTGTTCGAAATCTCGAAGATCGCGACCTTAAAGAGCGTTGTACCTTAAATAATTCCGCTTTTAAGATAACGGTGCGCCTGAAACGACAAGTGGGTTAAGTCGATAAGGGCCCGAGTCCACATGAACCGGTCCTCGAAATCGAGCTATCTACTGTAGAGAACTACAAACATATGTTATGTATGTATACGTATAGGAAACTAGTCCACGCTAATAAAATACACCACAAACACACACACACACACACACACACACACACACACACACCTTGCCTAGAAATATGTAAATTCAACATGCACGTATACATCGTCGATCGATTATTACAACTTTATCGTGTAAAGTTGTCTAACGTAAAATACTTAATTACCGACACCTACCCGATTACCATCACTCTAATATATTTTATTTTACATTCTAAAATGTTACAGAGGTCGTTCCGTTATGCGTATACGACCTTGCATAACCTTGCACGATAAGTCATTGGTTTTGCTTTAAGAATTTAATGTTCCGCTTAAACAATGACCAAATTTAATTCTGGAAGTGGTCTTCGTATAGATCGTTCGAAGACAACCAACACACGTTAGTGGAATAATTAACATTGAAATAATCAAGACCCATACTAACACATACATTATTTATGGTCATACATTACTCATACCGGTATTAAATAGTCAACGGTTGTTATTATTCGGTATTATCATACTGTACAATGTAGATTTTAATGGGAAAAGGATTATATATATATCAAGCCGGAACATACCAAGAATGTGCAAGCAATCGCAAGACTTTTATAGCTATCGTAAATAACGAACATTCGCACAAAATATTTTTTGCGAATGAGCTTCGGGCAATAGTTAAACTAATCGATTGTACCGTTTTCCGCATTAACGTCGTCGAAAAAAAAACACATTTTTAAAAGCTTCAAAGTGATTTAAAATATTATAGAATTCAGACAACAGTTTTCCTTACGCTTCATTTTCTCCAGATCCGGTCAATTAGAATTTTTAATCACAACTCCGCGATAGTTATTGGAAACGAGTGGCACCCAATTAAACCAGTGTATGCTAATTGTGTGAAGTTCTCAAACAAGCCTATATCTCCCTCCCAATTTCATCGGTAACGTAGCAACTATCCTTCGATCTTATCGCTAAAACAGTTAAGTCAAAGTTTGAGTAATGTCAAGTATTCCACTGTTAGTTTTTACTAACAAAACATGCATCCAATAAGAATACCATATCGTTTTGTGTTTATAATTATTTTCTGTCGTTATTCAATCGCTTCACGATGTAATGTTATTATCTTCAATGTGTACAGCGGATGTTAATATAATATATGACGATAACCTAAAAATACGAAGAATTTTTAAACATAGAAATTATTCATTCAACACGAATCTTTGGATGCCTGATTTAATGACTGAAACAAGTTATTCGAACGACGCGGTGACAAACACCCGAAACACTGTCAAAATTTCCGTTCTGTTCGAATAAAAAGTATCATCGTAATAGATCGCATTCCAAGTAAACGAATACCGTATACCATCGAGAATTAAACACCATCGCTTAACAAATCTTTTCGGTAATAACGGTATGAGTATCGACTACAAAAAATGTCAATAAAAAGCATCACTTTTAACCGTCTGTTACGCAATTGCCACCGACAACTGGCCAATGATGTTCGAACCAAGTTCGAATTTAGTAGACGAGAAAGTTTAATTTCTATAGAATCTCTTTCGAATACTAATTCCTTAACGAATAAAGTAGAATTTCTTTTTCTATATTTAATAAAAAAGAAAAACTGTTAACACGTGACAGGTACGAAGAATGTTAATTATGTTGCATATTTCTCAGCGACGAAATAACATGTAACAATGTACGCGCGTACGCACTGCTTGTTCCAACCGCGGACAATAAGAACAGTAAAATACGTGGTCTTACACGTGCACATGCCTATGAAAATGTCAGTATGTACCGTTATAGCAATCGAAAGATAAACTGCAATCATTGATGCAGGACTATACAATATTGTACAAGTTTTGAATTACATAAACGTTTGGCATATATTTTTTTTAAATTATCATTAAAGAGCAAGTATCTCACGCTGCGTGATTTACTCCTGTTAATATTATTACTGTTCAATAATAATAATTTCATCAATTTCAGACCTTACGAATGCTGAACAATCAATGCGTTCTTTAGGGCAAATACCTTTTGCGTGAACACTTTTTAATTTCTTTTTTATACTAAATTATATATTATTATGTACGGCAAGCAATTATTGTTAATTACCTTTCTATCGTGTTTCTATCTATTTGTTGATAATTATCGTTATCATTCGTTTCTCTTTGGCTCACAAAACGAAAAAGAACAAAAGATGCAAGTTTCATATTTCTAACCTATAGCGTGTTTTAGCCGGCTTTGGTTGTATACATACCACAATGCAGATCTCTCACTGCGCATACGCATTTCCGAAATTTGATTTGAAACCGAATCTTTAGCGAAATACATCTACGTTGTACAAAGCAATCGCAATCCATTACTCTCCTATGCATTTATTCGCTTTTATTTTCCACTTCGGAACGAAAAATATTGATTCGAGTAGGTAAAAGTGGTTACGCTTCGTGTAAACAAGTAATCCGTTTCCTTCTTTTCAAGGATGCTTCTTCCTAATACCTTTCGAGGCGCGTTAATTAAAATGTTTTATTTCGTACAGCCGTAACAAAAAAAAATCGAACGTCTTGTTTATGGAAATATCGAGATAAATAATGAAAATTAAATTTTTGATCACCTTGAGTGATATCTCGAGTTCTTCCTCCCGCATTCTGACCGTAACGTGATTAGCATAATATCCAACTACAATATATCCCGCGATGTCTGCCGCTGATCTTTCGTGTGAAAATTCTGTTAGCAACGATCACCTTTCACGATATTTTGAATCAACCACCACACACTGTGACCGATACATTGCTGTGAATTTCAAATAAAACTCACGCGCATTTGCTTTTGTACACGATTGTCATCGGAAAATACTTTGTCGAAAGAGCAACACACACACCGGACACGCGACTACGCGCCACTAGCCGACTGAACACCTGTATGGGACACCTGCTCTAACTAACCGTTTGGTAACTTTCTCTAGTGACTTTTCAATCACGTCAGGGATCGATTGCCAACCGTTTCGATGAAATTCAAAACCGCGAGAGCACCGCGACAAGTAAAACTTTCCGGGCGATTATACGACGAGTTTAGGAGTTTATTAACTTAAAGTATATCGTCGACATTTCGTACATGTGCTAAATATATTTCATAAGATATTTACAACAAACACAGTGAATGCAGAAAATCGTTGTTAACCGGTGTGTTTAAACAACATTGAAAGGTAAAAAATACAATTAAAATAATGGACATGGTGTGATTTTCATCTGCAAAAAAAAAAATATACATTATATAAATGTTTGGGAATTAAGGAAAAGCGGTAAGGAATGTAAGAAATTACAAACAAGTTAAAATTACTATTTGTAATATCTCTGCATATACGATATATGCATATGTATACGTATGTAAGTATACATATTCATATATACGCGCGCACGTATATATATATATATGTATGTGTATGTATGTATGTATGTATGTATGTATGTATGTATGTATGTATAAGTAACTACACAATAACTAATGTTTATGTATATTGTGTATATATTTTTATATGTATGCATACATATAAAACTATAAAGATGTATATAATATAATAGTTATTAGACGATACGCTTACATACGAACAATTTTACCGACAATACTATTTCATTGACATTGTTTTCGTTTTTCTTCAAAAACAATCTTCTTGCACAGAGGATTATGCTATTTCACATCGTTAATACTGCAACGCTAGTATACCCTCTGCTTTTTTTTTTTCTTTAATTAAGAAAAAGCTATTAATAAAGAAATTACTGAGCTTGTGTATAAAAATTGCATAGATATTTTATGTATAAATGAAACCTATATATAAAAGAGCATTTCGTTACATTCAAATAAAAACTGTACAGAATATAAATATGTATGCTTATATAAAAATGTATTTTTGTACAAAATCGCCTGACATACCCTACATAAATGATTTCTGTAATTCTTCCTAACATCAATGTTAATATTATTCATTAAATACGGTATAATTTTTTAAAAATAATAACGTGGCAAAATACTTTCAATTAATTATCAGATGACCACAAAAGATAATCAAAGTTCCCTTATACTGAATTTAAAAAAAAATAATAATTATAAAATTTTGGTTCGTCTTTGAATTATAATAACGGTAAAATAAGTAATCAAAGAATTTTACAAGAAACAATGCATTTAAATTATTCCTGTTTTTGAGTACAATATTGATGCAATCATTCCCGCGTACGCGTTTGGCAGTATGTGTATTATTTTTATGTTTTAATGGATAAAAGTTTTTAAATGTACATCGTGAAAATAATTACAACATACGTAGTGGTCTCTGACTAGTATACATATATGCATTTGAGTAAAAAAAGCAAAACAAACCATATCAAGTTCTACATGTACAGTCTACAAATTTATAATATTTTTTTATAAACGAGATAGACGTTTTTTTTTACATAGAATGAAACAAAGGTACACATTGTATTGTTAATGAAAGTTCTTCAAAAAATATAAGTAAATAAATATTAGATATGACACGATACTTTTACTGTAAACGTAGACAAGCTAAAGCATATACATATAACATACATGTAATATAACATGTTTGTTTATTCTAAAATCTTTCGTGGAAAACAAGAAACTACAGATTATTAATGTGTTTCCATATACTAGTGTATAATTTTATATTGTTTAATTGTGAAATTATAACCTTTAGAAATATAGACTATTAGTAAAAGTCAAAAATTATCAAAAATAATAAATGAATAATAAAAATGAATAAACATAAATTTAATTAACATGAAAACATGATCGAGTGCAAGATCAATAATAGTTAATACTAATTGTGGAATTCTAAAACTATAACACGCCTATACGTATATGATTAAATCAGAAATTCGGGCATTAAAAGTTTACATGCCTCTAATAACATTAACATTAATACCCTTGTGTACTTTCTTACGTTATCTTACACATTTACTACTTTTACTATAAACAATTAAGAATAATTTTTAGATTAGATGCATTGCTTCTATTTACTAACGTGTTTTTTTTTATTTTTTTTTTTTTTTTAATTTTTTTTTAGAATGACTGAGAGTTAACATATTCAGAAAGATTGTAAAACAAATATGTATAAAACTGAAAAATATCTATCATACATGTGCATGGGTTTTCAATGAACCAGTTCTAAAGTTTTCAATTTTAAATGCATTAGAATTCAAGTTTATATATATTCAAATGTTTAATATCGACAAATTACGTTATTTTAAAAAAAGAATGAAATGGAAGCAGGAATGATAAATCAAGGCGCATGATAATCCGCCTCGTCATAGATCTATAATTTAAATCCTAACGGACCATCTTTCCAAGAAGATGGAATGTTTATTTTAATTAGTTGAACACTGTCTTAAAGTTCTTTACATACATCAAATATTTATAATACGTTTGACTTGTATTATATCGTCAAGGTTTATAAATAACAAATTCTTACTTTAAAAATGTTAACTCCCATAAATATTGCCCAAGGAAAAAACTATTAGTATTCGACATTGACACGTTCAGAATATAATTTCTTAAAATAAAATTTAAACTACGTCACCGTTTTAAAAGTCATCAAAGTACCGATCTTCAATGTTGTATAATTACCGATGAATTGACAAACTTGTTCTTCGATTTTATGGCAGCCAGAATGTAACGAAAGCAATCAATATAATGATATTGCTAAAAATATAAACGACATCATTTATCTTTTGTAGAAAGAAGACTATATCGTTTAGTATAAAGTGTACTCTGAAATATCACAAACATCCGCGTGTCTCTAATAAATTCTTAATTATAATAATCTGCATTTTTCTCGTTGCATATTCATACAGAATATCTATCATATCTTATCAGCATCTCAACAAATCATATTCTAACAAAGAATAGTACTTCAGTTTGGTACTTCAATATGCGGATGCCTCCTTATACTCGGAGCCTTCCATTGTAAAGAAGTCCTCGAGTTTCCACTGAAGTGTTTCGAATGTCGGCCTTTTCATTGGATCTTTATTCCAACATTCTAACATAATGTCATATAACGCAGTTGGACAACCGGGTGAACATGGCATTCTATAACCGTGTTCTACTTGATGAAGAACTTCAGCATTTGTCATACCTACAAATAATAACATTAAATATCTTGAAAAAAACCTAAATTTACAAATTTATTTACCTGGATACGGTATTCTGCCGTAAGTGACCAATTCGCTAAGAAGAATACCGAATGACCACACATCGGATTTAATACTGAATTTACTATAATTTGCAGCTTCAGGAGCAGTCCATTTAATAGGAAAACGGGCTCCTACTCGAGCTTCGTATTCATTTTCTTTAATCAACCTAGCTAAACCAAAATCTGCGATCTTCACTACATTTAATTCCGCTACCAAAACATTACGGGCAGCTAAGTCTCTATGAATGTAATTCTGTGATTCAAGATATGCCATACCCGCTGCAATTTGCGCAGCCATATCGATTAATCGTTGTAGATTCAAAGTTTTGCCTTTTCCTAAAAGAAATATTTCGAATATGTATAATACATACGAAATAATTAAATTACACATCAAATACGTGTACAAAATTATTTAATATTACCTTGTAAATATTCTAACAAACTACCATTCCTCATCAATTCTGTGATAATGTAAATTGGTTCTTCCAAAGTGCATACAGCATACAACTGAATTAATTTTGCATGACGAAGTTTCTTCATAATTTGTGCTTCTGCTAAGAAATCTTTGGGGTCCATAGTCCCTGGCTTAAGCGTCTTTATTGCCACTGCAGTAGTGTTATTCCATGATCCTTCCCATACCTCCCCAAATTGCCCATGGCCTAATTTTCTCACAAATTTGAGAGACGAACGATCAATCTCCCATTGATCCCGTGTGCGATGGCTAAGACCCTCGGTAACAGGTTTCTCAACCTATCAACAAAGTCAAGTATAGGCCAGTCAATGGCTGCTGAATATTTAAATTTTCTTAAATAAGTATACCACTATAGTGAAAATGACAAATGTTCCTTTAAAATGTACACACTAATGAATAACATGTGAAAAGTTAGGTGTGTATAGGCCATTCTAAAGTTCCTTTAAAAAGCCAGAACGTTGATCTTACTTCCTGTTAATACAAACCTAATCAGAAGCCCTTTAAGGATGTTGTTTAGGCTGCATAACCGCTTATTAAGTTTGTAAAGAATTCATTATAAGTAACAACAAACAGCAAGTGTTGCTTAAATAAAAGTATCTAGTCTAATGATAATACCACAAAGAATAAAACAAAAGAAACAGTGACTATTATGCAGGATGCAAGTGATGAAAAGCAAATGTTAAGTCATTTAATTTCATGCCTTTTGACATTCACAAGAATTTTGAAAGAAAACTATTTTAAATTCGCAAAAATGTAACAGCTAATGTGTGTAAAGTACAATTCTAAACTTGTTATATAGTAGACGAATCTTTATTTCTGACATATAACAATATTTTTCAAAAGGTCTTAAAGTTGTTACATACAATTCCAGGAACTTAGTAATTGAACACTTATGCGCAGTCCAAGACATAAATTAATATACTAACAATTCTTTCATTGTCTAGTATACATATTGCCAATAAGAATATAGCACCATATGTCAATTACCTTTGTAACACAAAGTGCTCTCAATATCTTAAAATTGTGATGATTTAGAAAAGTAAAATATAAAAAGTTCTTAAAGAGACATAGTTAGAAAACTTGTAAAAATTGAAGAAAAACTTCAGTCGGTGAGAGCATTAAATAATGTAATTTGGCAGGACAAAAATGTCTTTGTATTTGAGTTATGAAATTTGTATGCAATAGTTTATTAAAAATTTTTCAGAAAATATATAAAATTTATTAGATGAGAAGAAAATCTGTTTTAAAATTCTTCAGTGCGCGTACAAACACAAAAAAGAATTTTAAAACACATATTTTTAAAAACTGATCTATGAATTTAGATTTCATATACAGGATGTCTCGACTATCTGCAAAAAAATATATTATTTATTACATATAATATAATGTAATATAATATAATATAATATAATATAATATAATATAATTTAATGCGATATAATAATATTTTTCCTCTATATTTCTCACATTTATTGTTTGTGCAATCAATACTGAAAGACATAGTAGGTAATTTGGCATAAAAGTTAAAAATATATATTTTAGATATCCTGTATATCAAATAGATTTTAAGCACACAAATACTGGTAGTAGAATATGTTTATCACCCATTATGGTCCACATACAAAAAATTTATGTACCACTAGTTACTGCCATAATGAATTTCAATAATAGTACATCAAAAGAGTACACGCCAACGCATTTATTAAAATTTCTTTTGCCCTTAAATGTGTGCTTTCAATCCTATTTCTTTTAAAAAGCTATCAAGTTTAGTAAGATAATTTAAGATTACAAAAAGTAGTGAATTTTCTAAATGAAAAATGATAATCTAATGTCTTTGAAACATGATTCCATATAGGACGGGCTTATGCTGTGTGTACAGGCCAAAGACATAATGGAAAGCGTTCATGTTAAAAAGAAAATTAACATGTTATGTCATATTGGGACATTCAATTTACCAAGAAAATCCAGCGGGAAGTAGGGTAAGCAATAACAGAGAAACAAACAAAGTCTATTCAGAGATCAAACTTTGCAATATTATTTATCAAACTAAAAGCTGTTTTCAGACCTTAATATTTTTTAAAATAAATAGCAACAATATATATTATGATTTTTCATTTCATCCAGCTATGTATGTACTCTCCAGAAATCAATAGAAAATTTAATAAAGAACAATCTTTTTACATGTTCATAAATAGAGATCCTTCGATCAATTTTGATTAATGTTAGTATTACTTTTTATTTGTCAATGTATTTAAATATCAATTAAGAAATATATTTTACACTTTGAATTACAACTTTGCCCAATATATTGTTTTTAAATATTTCAACAATATGTCTTAAAGAAAATACTGATTATTGTTATAGTCATTTGGTAAATTACATGATTTTTTTCAGCAAAGTCCAACTGGAGTTTAGACAGTGCCATAAATATATAAAACATACATAATGTTTAAATGTTATTTAATAGTTAAGTACAATTGTTTATATTGCTTCATTTATTCTATATACAAAATTAATCATATTGTATGCTTGTGTACAATAAAGATCAATAATATCATGCATTCATGTTCTTACTTTCAGTTTTAGCTTACACTCAAAATCAAGGGATTTCTACAACGCTATCGTACGTTAGAATGTAAGTTTTTAAAAAAATGTTTAATTTTATCATACAAACTGAAGAAGCCCCTTGATAAATATTTTTAGTAAAAATATTGAATAATAATTAAGCAATACATCATATTCTTTAATACAATACTGATATATTATTAAAAATCATTTTCATACATGCAGCAAGCTGTCTAAACTCCATTTATATGATATAGGATCATTAAAAGTAATAATTTAATTGGTAACTCTGTCATACCTGTACACAAGGTTTGCATAGATTTACACACAGTCCATCGGCATCTTTACTATAATGTTCAACAAGATCTTGAAGGTTCCTGAATGTAGTTCTCCTAGCAATGAAAAAACCACCCTCGTCCAATTGCCTAATCCGATAATGTTTAACTGTATCGCCGTCACGTACTATAAAAAATTAAAAGCATACGAGTATTAAAATATACTACAAAAATATTACACTGTACGTATATGTAATTGTAAAAATATGGTATTTGCAAAACATACATAATTATTTATTAATTTACCTGAAAGAGAATAATCATTATGTCGACTTTCAGAATCTCTGATTAAAAATGCACCATGATCATTTTCAGGCAGTAATAACTTCTTTTCAGCTTCGATTCGTTTAATCTTTCTAAAATACCATCTAAAAAGAATAATATTATTTTTTAGAAATAATAGTTGTAATATTTATAAATAATCATATTATAAAAATATACAAGATTTCAATAATAATAATAATAATAATAATAATAATAATAATAATAATAATAATAATCAATCAATCAATCAAGTCATAATCATTATAATATATTCTTTATTTATCTAAACTAACTGATAGCCAGAGGTGCTCAACCAAGTTAATACAACTTGGAGTTAATGTAGGCACTGTTAGTGAAAGCAAGGTCACATTGATTACTTGACTGTATGGAGTGAAATTCATTAGGTGAAAATGCAATAAAGACAATTGAATAAATCAAAATTCATTGGACTCTTTAAATCATTAATTCATATTAATAATATTATTTCTATGATATGTGATGTATATATATACACACACACACACACACACACACACACACACACACACACACACATCATGCAATAGCATCAAGCACTTTCCATTTGAATACATAACTGTGAACTTTTACATGACTTGCGTACTTAATACAAGCATATTAAATATTCATTCATTCATAATATTCTACAACATACAGTTGTTTGTTTGTTACCAACTGATATTTATTATAATAAAAGCATAATGCACTTTTCTGTAACTTAACATATGTTTTTTAATCATAATCTGCCAATCCACCATTACGAAATATACAAATAGTTTTGCCAAAAAGATAGATGTGTATATAAACACTTTTAAAAATATAACTTACGGTTCTGCTTCGATAGATTTTAATTTTGCAACATAATTGCTGGGGATATATCCTTCCTGTCGAGTTCTTTTACTTCTAGCTAGCCACCAATCCCCTTGAGTATCGTTTAAAATCTCTAGGTGTTCACCTTTTCTAAAGCTTAAATCTTCATCTGTACGTGCATCATAGTCGTACAAAGCAACAAAAATTTTTGCGGTCGGCACATCCGCATCTGGAATTTGCGGCGTAGGCCTAATAGGATCTGGAGGCGGTGTTGGGACTGGACTAGCTTGAGATGCAACAGCCTCTATATTTGGATTGCCTATTCTATCAGGCTTTTCTTTTTCAGTATCTGTCGGACTGCTGAAACAATTACCCATTTTTATATATAGTTTTTGAATTCGTCCAATGTAGAAATTCACTGTCACTGTATCATGAAATATAAAAACTCTTTTTGTAAATGTTCATCCAATATGTTCACGTTTGATCCTTTTGCATGGACATTGAGGTATAGTGGTGCAAATATAAAATTTTCATAACACACATGCCTTGGTACGATTTCTTAAACAGTTTTTAATACATTTCTCGTACACTTGTAAATCCGTTTATATCGGGTGCAGCTTAACTGTACAAGGTGAACACTAAAGTGCACTTCGGTTTCTAAAACGTTTTGTATAGAAATCACTAAGGAAACCGAGGAAATGCATAGTCTTTAAAATGCGATATAATTCATAAAATCGGTGATTCTCTTCTCGAAGCTTCTTCTCTTCTTCTTAAGAAATTAACAATTGTTACGTCGACATCTAACATAATAAATATCGAACACTTTAAATTATTCGAAAGTTTCACTAAAAAACACGAATAATAAATGCGAGCGTTCATTTGAGTAGCCATTCACTCACAGCAGTGACACTTTCCATTAGATCTCTGTATAACGAACCGTGATATAAAAACAGACGTATGCTCGATTGGTGTACGCATTTTCGTCGAGTTCGCGCTGATCCAAGCTTGACGTCATAATGTAACCCATGTTTAAATTTAGGTTACGAAACATGAATTTTATTACTATTAATATTTATTTGCCACTTAAAGTTACTCATAATATTGCTATGCTTTCATTTGATCCTTTCCCACTGTAAAAATATTATCGTAACAGTTTATGTTTTATATACAAAAATGAAAATAAAAACAACAGTTAAACATAAATTTCATTCATATTAGAAATACTCGAACAATTCTAATTACAATAGTGTTCGTCTCTGAATTTTACGATTTGTTATTCTGTGTTTAGTTAATGATAAATCGTTTAAATTGATATATTATATAGAAAATGCTAATTATATACTTCCGCTGTAATGACGTGCTTGGATCATTTCTCGAAGGACTTGTGTGCTTACGCGGCGAACATACACGTAAGCATATCCTGTTTTACTATCAAGCAATGAATAATTAGCGTGGGAGCGTTTCCTTCGACGCAGTTTGGTAAAGATAGAACAGTTTAAGGTACATACATATGTAAGAAACACAAGTACGAGATCTTAAGGACGCTAGGAGACACGAAATAAAATGCACATTTTAAGTTCGAAACCGGCACTCCTGGTGTTTCTATTTTCACGGGCACAACAAAAGGATAACAACTATCAATCGAATTGTAACACACCGACGAGATATACGGAATAAAAATTCTGAGAAAAGAGAAAAAAAATTGAAAGGAATAACACTTTTAAATGGGCAATAGAGCCCGCTAAATTTGAACTTGTTTAATGGGTCGGCCATCGCATTATTCGAGAACAATGTGAATTCTCTTACACCGGAAGATCATTTTATTTTTCTATCGTCGATGTTTTAGCACTGGTGTCGCGTAACAGTGAATGTCTTCGGAAACACAACGACGAACAACGATTAGAAAAAACGTGGACAACATAATAGAAAGTAGAAACGTCGTCGCCATTGCATTAAATCGGATCCGTAAAAATTCTGATTTCCACATTCACGACGAGAAATAACTATAATATGTAAAACACACGGTCAATTTATCATCGAAACATACGATTAAGTGACGAACGTACTACGTACGGCGTTTCAAGACACCTCTACAATTGCTTTATTCATCTTTGCAAGCAAACGCAAAACATGAACAGACTTTTCACGAGAAACCGACGGAGAGGTGAAAACACCCATGGTGAAGGTGGCCAACGGAATGTAGCTTTCGGATGAGATCGGATATGAACACGAATGCAACCGAACATTTACTGTCCCCAGCCAACCAACAATACAAACTTCTTTATATGTATTGCTATGATAATCTCGTCGCATTTAGCATATCAAACTGATTACAATTTGATTAATTCAAAAAGAGTATGATATTATAATTTTTAATACAACAAGGTGATAATGTTCGAAAAAGATCGCCATACTTTTGATCAAAATTAAATTAAAAATCTCCGATTACGTACTTTATCATGCATTTTCGTACACGATGTTCAAGGAACATATAAAAAAGAATAATTACCAAGTACACAAAAGAATAATATAATTCCATATTGATGTATCGATTATCCCCGTCTAAAAATTATATTTCGAATTTTTAGGAAATTTAACACGTATTATTGCAATAGAAAATAGAATATTCCGACGATCCTACATCAAATATCAAATGAGTTTATCAGCCAACAAAATAATGCGATAGATATGTACTTATCTGCGCTACTGATACAATATAAGTATTCATTACCTGAAATATCTATCGAATAAATGTCGAAGGGTTTTAAATTTTTTGGAATACATTCTATCAAACGATTCAATTTACACATCCAAGTAACTGCGAACTGTGCACGTTATTTTTTAGTAAATTACGCGACAAATATAATAGATATTGTTAACCGTAACCGGCGGTATCTTTGATAGTACTGCTGAAAGCTTAACCATTTCAAATTATCTGCTTCACAGTTTTTATGTACCTGTGTATATGTATGTATAAAAATATACCGCATCGTGGTTATACGTGCAAATGTGTATACAGTCTCATTTATATTACATTATCAGATTTCCTTCCGTTATCCAATTACACATTTCTACGAAGATACATCGATGTTTGTTTAAAGAATCATGATATTTATTAAGCAAAATTGTATTCTAATTTAGGAAATCATCGTTATGATAAAACATATTGAAAGAAACACGTTTTTTTACAATTTTCTTGTAAAAAACGTAACAAAGTGAAAGTGACAAAGATGAGATAAAAAATTTTATACCTAGAACCTATAAAAAATTTCATACCTAGAAAGTAAAAGATAAAAATACCTGGATAATTTTTTACCATACAAATTATTGAATAACTGAACAATTTATCTTTATATTGAACAGTGTTATATAAAATATAATGATTTATAAATACGTTCGATATAATTTTCAGGTTGAATTAAAATTTATGAGAAAAATAATGTGTCTACCTAAAGTTTTAATAACAAAAATTTACAAAAGCAATCATAATTTTGATCGTAATTTTATTGCATCATTGTAAAAAGAACACATTAAAGATTGACAATAATTAATCGCTTGTATTTTATTTTCAACTTATTATCACCATTTTTTCATCTAAACGTATAGAATCGATGAATAATTTTTCGTATATTACCATCACAGAAAGAACATGAATGCAATTGCATCATTATTTAACATTTGTAATTTATTTGAAAATGTTACAATTGCTATTGCAAATAGTAGTTTGCAGTACCATAGAAGTGAAATTATATTAAGATATTAATTTGTATAAAAAGAAATGCATTTCCTAACAGACGCAAGGTGGAAGTTTTATTAGAATCGTTTAGTCGACAAGGGAATTTTCTTGTTGCGCATGAATTATTTGGTACTTGAATCCTCGTCTGTATCCGTATCAGGTGTTTCTAAAACTTTTGGACCATAAAGAAGAACATATGCGCAATGCCAATCACCACCACCACTGAGTCTCAATACTTCTTCGCTAGTTACAGAGCTAACAGTTTCATCGTCACACTTTAACCAAACATCACTTTTTTGACGAACCCAAGCTACATAATGACCACTACTACTTGACCGTCCTCTATGCGTTAAAACTGCTTGTAATGTGTAATAACCACTGTTGTTTGACCCTAAATCTGTAATAATAATAGCATAAATAAAATTATACTGGCTCGTTAGAAAAGCAACACATTATTAGATATAATTTGCGTAATTAATTTCTAATTTATATTTGAATTTATTTACCATCTGGAAACCAAAAAGGATGTTGCTTCATTTTCTTATTACTTTCTTTATCTTTGTTATTATCTTTAACATTACGCGATTCTTCTACTAAACTATCTTCGTATTTTTTAAATTTCTCACGCATAGGAGTGAGTTTATTTTGAAGTTCACTACTGCACAATTCAAAAACATCAAATTCAAAAGGAAATTTCACATCTTTTAGAATTTTTGCGTTAATTGCTTCTTTCTCTTTGTAGTAAAACCGTACAAATTGGATGGTTAAGTACGCCGGTAATCTACTAATTTTTGACTGTAAAATAAATTATAATTATAATTAATGAAAATAGAATTATTGCTCCGAGAATCAATTTTTACCGTTTTTGTATACACTGCATCTCTGTTTAAAGTCGATGACATTTTTGTAATTTGTTCTTGCATCTTATTTCTGAGTCCAGAATGCATGTATTTAACTTCTGTCGAAATAAAACAACTTAATTGTAAAAATTCTTCTTTTCCTTTAGTAGGTGGTTCATCTTCAGATTCTACGCATTTTAATTCCGTATCAAACGTTCCTCCAAAATACTGCTCGATCAATGAACGAGGCTTATAACTCTTTCCATCGTCGTTCGAAGTTGCAGGATTATCCTATAATTGTTTTATACTTGTAAATAATTTACTACATACAAGACGATTCCCTCTAATTTCGTTGTCTTAACGTAAACTATAAATCAAAGGCTTAACGTGGATAATACAAATATTGGAATATTTAATAACCTTTGCAGGTAATTTCTGTTGTAACATTCTAACAAGCTCTGTCCAACATTCGTTAGCATCCTGTTGTTGAAATCCACTGTGTTCAGATTTTTCTGCAAATCTTGGAAATGCCAAATGCATCATTTGTACGAGTACAACGGGTGGCAAAGACGATCCCTTATCCATACTATCATAAAGATCCCTTAGAGCAGCTGTTATACTTTGCGCGGGTACAAGCGATGAACTACCAGCAGCTGCAAGCCCACCTGAAAAACCCTTTAAAGCATCTCGCAGCTCGGGCACAGTCTTCAAGCACTGTACAGTTGCATTAAGATAACACGTATTTCCTAAATTTGTTAAACCAGCAGGTAAGTCTAAGGCTGTAGCTAATTCAGATTCGTTCATATCTTCTAAGAATAATGGTTTTTCTGTAGGCTCTACCGGCACATCTTCTTCTTTGGAGCCCATCATTAATACAGTAATTCCCTACAACAAAGACACAACGATTCATAAAGCTTTAATCAACAAAGGTTTAATTATTTTTTATTTTATTATGTATAAAGTATACTTATTACTAACAGAAATATCAATATTGACAATGTTCATTATTTTCTTACATCTTTTAACTTGACGTTACCCCAATCATCGTCCTTTAATGTCATCCCTTTTAACATAACTTTTTGCCTTTCAGGCTGTACTCCTGTCAATGCAAAAAGTTGTGCCTTAAACAACATTGGTCCTTCGTCTGTATTAACTTCTACGCCCGGAAAGAGTTCCTTTCCCCATTTAACTTTAACTGAAAAAAAGTATTTCAAATGTCAAGCATTGTGCAAATATTCCGGTACAAAATGGTACAAAAGATTTTAGGTTAAAACTTTTAAAAATTATCAATTTTCGTTTTACATACTCGAGTATTGAGGCATATTATTTCTTTTCCCTGTTCAAATCTATTTACTTTTTGTAAAGTTATACCACTCAATGGACTTCAAGTGTATAATATTTATTCACAAATGACTAAAAATGTGCATAAAATGCAGCGTCAGACATCGCTTACAACACGTGTACATGGCGCCATCTAACATCAGAGATTCGAACTGCTAAAATCGTGCCAGGATCACAGAATGTTAAAGGAGGTATCCGGAGTACAGCTACCCCCACTCCTCCTACTCACTCAGTCTACCTTGATTACATATTCATTGATAACTCCTTTCCTGGGATTAAAATATGAACTTTTAGAATTTAGGAATATAGTATAGACCCTTGGCAACATTCAACGACCGATTTTGCAATGCTCCACGCTTTAATTAATTAGTTGTTAGCGATAGATCCCTAAGGTGTCTCGTTAAAAGGTTAGACGCATTGTGCCGACCTCCGATATTCGTTAATAACTATTTAATAAGGCATGAGATGGTTCCAACAGGTATCCTTGACTGTTTCCAAGGGTCCATACTATATTCTTAAACTCTAAAAGTTCATAATTTGTTCCCAGGAAAGGCGTAATTAGCAAATTAACGAGCAGTGATTCAGTTGAAACCAGCGATTTCTACTGTGGTGCCACCTAGTGGCGACAACAGCGTACTATGTGTGTTCCTCGGCTTGTAATTAACTACTGCTCGTTAATTTACTAATTGCGCCTTTCCTGGAAATAAATTATGAACTTTTAGAGTTTAAGAATATAGTATAGACCCTTGGCAACATTCGAGGATACTTTTTAAAACCATCTGATGCCTTATTAAACAGTTATTAACGAATATCGGAAGTCGGCACACTGTTTCTAACCTTTTAACGCGACACCTTAGGCATCTATCGCTAATAACTAATTAATTAGAGCATGGAGCGTTGAAAAATCGATCCTTGAATGTTGCCAGGGATGTCTACTTTGTTCCCTAATAGCGAAAATATGTGTGTTATTGTCGAAAAGTTGATAATTCATCGATTAAAGCAGACGGTGATACAGCCGTAAATGTTCCGACTTCCGATATTCGTTAATAACTTGTTAATTACGGGGGCAATGGTTCTAAAAACTATCCTTGAATGTTGCCAAGGGTCCATACTATATTCTTAAATTCTAAAAGTTCATATTTTAATCCCAGGAAAGGAGTTATTAATGATTAATCAAGGTACCTACTGAGTGTCAGGAGTAGGAGGAGTGGGGGTAACTGTACTCCGGATACCTCCACTAACATTCTGTGATCCTGGGACGATTTTTTGAGTTCGAAACCCTGATATTAGATGGCGATACTGTTTCTTTGCAGATTTTAACACAACTATAGGTCATTCATGTACGTGAGCTCGTATATATATATGCATTTTAGCAGTTCGAATTCCTGATATTAGATGGCGATACTGTTTCTTTGCACATTTTGGCGCAATATTAAAATAAATATCGCTTCCAGTCTAATCGTTTATAACTTATTAATTACATTAAATAATGTATAGAGAAATGGTTCAAGAGCTTAATTAGCTATTAATAATATTTGGAACAGTTACGAAGGATTATAAACATTGGGAAATTAGTGGGAAAGGTAGAGGAGAATGTAAATAAACGTGGATGTATTCTGTGGTGGAGTTTTATTAAAGGAAGTTGTGCCATTTCTCAAGCTAATAATTCGGCGTTTGTTTTAAATATCACGATGATCGTATCCCGCGGGTTCTTAGCGATAACATGGCTATACTCGCGATAAGACATGCGTAACGTGCACAAATATAAACTACATATGTCGTTGAACACTCGGTCTATCGTACATCTTGTCTGCGGTGTAAGGAGTAACATATCGTTTATAGCCGCATTTTCCTCAAAGAACACAGCGAATTAAACCATTTGATTGTGTATTTGTAGATGCAATTTATGTCTATCAAAAGATAGTCTGATACGATTTTACACAATCTTTGTTTAATTGCACTTCGTTGATACGTTGAACGAATAATACATACTATTTTTATGTACTTGTAAGCATTTGAGATTCTTCGTGTACAGAGTCGTTAAGCATAATCAGTTATTAGTTTTGCGTACAAAGAGTATTTGTTTAAACGTTAAATCGTGTCGCTACTGAAACAAACAATGAACGCATTACGATTTGTCTCTCGACGTAATGTCCATCAAATAATTCGTCAATTTCATAAATGGTAGGAACTACACCGATAAATACACGTTTCAACGAAACGTGGTTACATATAACCTCACTTTCGTATACTTTCTTCAATTGTACGAATTATTGAAACTAACGATCAATTGTATTTCGATCCAACAATTTAATACTCTGCTTATATATTGTTGTTCCACTAACCGAACCATAAATTACGCTGATACAATTAAACGAATCAAGTTTAAATGTGTCAATGTACATATAGTATAATTTGTTCGATCCTCTTTATGCTTCGTTATGTTTTAGCACCGTTCGACGACAAATAGAAGCGGCTGCAGCTGTCGGAGAACCTTCGGTGGCCCCTTCGGTGGCCCCTTCGGTGGCCCCTTCGGTCGCCACAAACAAAGAACAGAAAATAGATTCTAAAATAGATCAAATCGCCAATCAGATAATTTCTTTAAATCTTATAGAGGTAGCACAATTAAGCGATTTGTTGAAGAAACGATTAAATTTACCGGACGCGCCTATAATGCCCATGGGTGGTTTTGCTGCTGGGTTGAAGGTCGAGGTACGCGCAATTTCCTTCTTCAGTAATTATCTTTAACTTAAAAACAAATGTATACGTAATCGTTTTGTTTTAGGAGGAAGAAGCTCAACCGCAAGTGGTACAAACTGCATTCACCGTTAAATTATTAGCTTTCAATGATAAACAGAAAGTTGCCCTGATAAAGGAATTAAAAAATATATTACCAGACTGCAATCTTGTACAGGTGATACACCTTTTCTTATTATCATTGTGTACGATTTACTTGACGGTATTCAATTGTATAACCGTGGTATTGTTTGTACACGTAGGCCAAAAGATTTGTTGAAAGCGCACCGGTCATAGTCAAGGCAGATCTTCCAAAAGAGGAGGCAAACCAATTGAAAGAACTTATCGAAAAAGTGGGTGGTACCATTGAAATTATATAATTACAAACTACTGGTTTCGGTATGTAATATATATCCGACGAGTCGCTTAACCAGTCCAATAGTTTTAAAATATCTAAATTGGTTAGAACTGAAAAATGAAAGCAACATTTTTATACAGTTCGAAATAGAAGAGTTCTTTTCATCGAGTACAAACAGTGCATTGCATTGCAATCCTTTTGTACGTCCTTCTTTTTATCGAAATACATTATTACGCCGCTTCTTGTATATTTCTAATTTAAGAACAAATAAATGATTAAATTTTATAACAATTTCTATGTAAGATATCTTGTTTGAAATTATCGACGATAAATAAACTTGTAGAACACACGTTCGTTTTATTATTTGCATCGCTTTTCCTGAAACCCTTTACAGGGTATAGCCGAATAAGGGGGTCAAATGTGCTCTATCCATCGATAGAGCATCAGAAAAAAACATTCTGTGCCAAATTTCAACCCTCTGTCTTGTCCGGAAGGGTAGTTATCGGGAAAATTCGGATTCCCCTATTTAATCGAGTACGAAAATTATGAAAAAAATCTGGTGCATCGTGGATATTGAGATACGTGTTTGAGAATTTTTTCCGATTTTTCGATTACAAATTCGCAGAAAAATACCGATTTCGTATTGAAGCTTCCGAGACACTAGATTTATGAAATTAAAACCTGATTCGGACATCGATAAATTAAATTACCTCAATTTTTTTATTTATTTTTTGTTCGTTCGTTGTATAATCGGAGTATATTTCGCGGTAGAGCGGAGATTTCTATTTGAAAAAATGTTTTCTTTTAAGCGGTCTCGATTATAGGGGATTTATCATCGTCTAGGGAAAGAGAGGGCGACAGAAGAAATTTTGTTCGGTAACCAACCGCGAATGCAACGAACGAACGAACGGATCACGAAGCTGCGAGGCTGCTCGCAGCTGTGACGGCACTGCGCCACGACGACTACTGCCACGATGGCCGAAGAGGCTGACATAAACGATAAAGCGGCGATGGAAAGTATAGCGCAAAACATACTCGAGGTTCGTGTCAGCAGTGATCAGGACAGTGCTCGATAACGTAATAGTGCCTTTCGAAGCATCGAGAGAGTTTTTAGTTCCGGCGATGCGGCATTATCCGGGTCTTTTTCTGTAATTTTGACAGGTCAGTGCCGGAGGTGGGTCTACGTCGAACCAAGTGACCGCGTTGGAGTTTCAGGCCTCGCAGGTGATATCGAGGCTCGAGGAAGCCGTAGAGAGGACAGCCGATGGTGGCGGTACCACATGGAATAATCCCTCTGGATTTCTCTCGCAATCGAAAACACCCGACGAAATATTAACTTTGATTCAGGTAAATACAACGCTAGCAGAAGCCATTGCTTCGTCGCCGTTGGTCATTTCCATGAGTCTCTTCCTTTGATTGGCCCTTTCGTTTCTGTTACACGACGAGCGCTCATCACGTGGTTCTACGATTATCGTGAAACGGTCAATTGGGTTCGCGGGTCTGCGGAATAGCGGCTCTTTTAAAATATTCCAATTTCTATATTCATTTCTCTTGTAATGTTCGCAAACAAACTTAAATGCTTTCAGGAATCAAAAGTTGTTGGCTGATTGTACACAGTTGTGCAATATCATACCAAACTGTTAAGGAGCAATTAATCTGTTTACATCTAAAGTTATGATACCGCAATGTATATTTAAACATAAATGATAGTTGGCATCTTATTTTATAGATACCATCGTCTGCCTATAGTCAACAGGTGTAAAGTGGAATTAGTTTTTAAAACTATCTAGAAAAAATAAGAAACAAATTTTCGTTTACAGGATTTGGTAATTCACGACGACGCCCCGCAAGCAGCGGAGGATGGTTCGACCGAGACGGCGACCAGTCAAGTGACGAGTCTGCCAACGTTAACGGAGCCGGCGAAATTAGCGTTAATCACACAAACCATTTCCGCGTACGCGCTCGCACTTCCAAAATCGCATGCTCAGAAATTGGCCGGTCGATTGGCCGCCGACACCACCAGATGGCTGAGCCACATCTTCCGTTTCGTCGACTGTGCTTCCTCGTTTCACGAGGATCATCTGGAAGGTTTGGTCAGGGTAACCAGACTGGCGCTACACAGAAAATATCCTCGGTACATGGAAGAGGGTTTCACGGCTCTTGCTGCCTCGCCGCCATTAATTTACAGTTCCGTGGCCGCACCTTTAGGTGTGGTACAACACCTGTGCAGACAGGTACGACACACACGCTGTACGCTTGCTACAATGAGAAATAACTAACGATACGTACTTTGTATTCCGTAGCTTTCTTTGCCGCTTCACTGTGTCAGACCCATTCCTCATAACACAATGTTCGGGTCGCGATACAGTATGGACGTTTCTGCTTTGGAACGACGTTTAGCGGAAGACGCGCAATCGAACAGTGTAACGCCGCTTCTCGTGCTGGCCGAAGCAGGTTCGGTATTAACGGGCCACTGCGACAACATTGCCAGGCTTCGTGCAATTTGCGACAAGTACAATGTTTGGCTCCATCTTAGAGGACACTCTCTGGCCGCGTTAGCGTTGAATAATTCAGCGAAAGACTTGGTGCGTTTACGTTACTTTCACGTGTACGTAATTCGTTTCGTTAAAAGTCGAATCTGTACGATAAAATACTGTTCGTTTCCAGTCATCAAAAGTGGCGGACAGCATTACGTTACTTCTCGGAGTTTGGTTAGGTATACCATCCTTGCCAGTAGTTGTATCCTTTTAAATAGATATCGAACCGAATACAGAAACGTTCGAAACGAAATAAATGGTATATTTGTTCTTAACTTGTAGATACATAGACATTGTATAGACTAACAGACACGAAAGGTGGTCGACCCACTCCGAGAGACACAACCCTGTCTTTGGTGTCGGGTTTAATGGCGGATTCGTTGTCGAGACGTTTACCGACGTTACCGTTATGGGCGACGTTGCAAGCGTTGGGTCGAGACGGTGTACATAATAGGTTGAAAAGATGCTTTTTAGCCGTGGAAGAATTGTATAATAAAATCAAAAAGTTTACTTGCATAGGGATCTTGGTAATTCTCAACGAAATTAATATTTTCTTTATCAAATAAAATTTATGGACATGTACGTATAATTGACTGTTTAGAGCCAACCGCCAGGAGGGGAACTCGGATCCTACACGATAAACGAGCTCTTGACGAACCCGGTTAACAGTCCGCAACTGTTCGAAGTAGTGGCCAGCGCGTTGGTGTTTCAATTTCTGCCCGCTGACAGGGATTCCGAAACAACGGAACGCGTGCCCCCCTATTACGACAAACTGAATTCCTGGCTGGGGCAAATTCTTCAGAGAGATATCGAGAACGTACAAATAGAGCTGTGCGAGATCGAACACCATGGCGCGGCGATTCGCATTTGCCCCCTTGAAAACTCGGAACCACCTCCTTCGACCGAGGACATAGATAACGTGGTGGCTTGCCTCGAACAACAAATAGTGAGTCTGTTTGTTCGACTATAACCGACCGATACGCGTCCGTTCTCTTTATCACTAATTGTTATCGTACCGTTTAACAGGAAATACTATTGGCGACGGTCGAACGCAAAGAAACGTTCGTAAAATTAGTCACGGAGAATGATTCGTTGCATTTAGTGGAGATGCCGGGTTGGGCTGGTCTGGGTGGCGTTCGTTATGCTCCTCCTACGTGGATCCACGTAATGACCGATCAGGCGATGGAGGAATTGAACAGATTAAATACGCAACTGGTCGAAGCTTTACGAAACACGGACGCGGCGTTCTCTTTGGGCGAAGGAGCCGACGGTTTAGCCTGCGTACGATTTGGAATGGTTACACAAGACACAGGTAACAGTAAATAATCGATCGCTTGTTCGTTATTCGCGCGTTCTACTTGTTCTGCTCCATGTCCCGATCAACTATGAAATAATTCTCTCGGCAGACGTATCCGAGCTGTTGTCTTTGGTCTTGCGAGTCGGTCAAGAAGTAGAAGCTAGTTCAAAGTTACTGGACACTATATCCGAGGTGGTAAAAAGAGGTATCGAGGCAGCACAAACAGATTTGGAGAGGGAAAATGCAGAGAAATTATGGCAAGAAGGTATTCTTAGGCACGTGCCTGTGGTTGGAACCTTCGTTAATTGGTGGAGTCCACCTTCGAAGGAAACTGGAGTTCGTGGACGTAGCCTAAATCTTCAAGCTGGTAAATATCGATACCAAGTACGGACGGATAGCCCGAAACTCGGGTTCTAGATAGATCTAGGCCAGCTAGACTGAATTTCGGGTTATCCATCCGTGTGCGTGCACCCAGACAGACCTAACCCACGCTAAACTAACATTACCTAACAACATTTCGTCCAAATGCAGGAGTGGTCGAGAGTACAGAGAATATTTACAAGTATCATATGCAACTGCAACCGAATTCTACAGTGATCAATGGATCCGGAGCTAGAACACCACCGCAACCTTTGGTACAAACACCAGTTGGTGCAGGGAGTCAGAGTCATAGTCGCTCCTCGAGTCATTCTAGCCTGCAGAGCGGGAAAAGTATTTCCGCGGTGACAAATGCCGTTTCCCATTCACAGGTAAAAGAGGAATCCGGCGAGGTGAAATCGTAGTGAAGGTCAAACGGCACGGTTGGTTAATAGAAAATCACGCTCAAGTCCCACGGACTTGGCAAAAGAACGATGCTGTAGGTGAAACGGTCGAACGTTTCCCGCGAAAGCTGTTTTTTATGCTCGAAGAGCAAAACAAAGCAAAGCATTAGCCCCCTAAAGCGTACACCGAAGAGCTTGGTAGCTCGATCCAGGTAAACACGCTGCCTATTATTTGTAAAATCATTATCTTCTTAAGAAAATAGTTTATCTTATCTCTCGGCCACGTTCGATTCACCCACCGTATTCTTTTCTTTTCGCCTGGTTCTTACTTTGGAATTCCAACTTTTTAAGGTCGCGTACGATTCGTTGAATTATGGCTGGTGTACTTATTAGACTGACACAGAAGTTATAATCGTCGCTTATCGCGACGAGTCCGATAAGAATATTAACTGTTATCATTTGCCGCAACATTTTTCGCAGCACAATACGATCAGAGATACACAAGTGTATGTTTTATAAACGATCCTCTCGATACGATATTTGAACGACGTTATTATGTTGACTTTAGCTAGTTGAACGAATAACAAATATTCCAACGCAGAGATAAAAGTTCAAGTAAATATAATTAAGTAAGTTTTGAACGATAGAGCTTTGCAGGATACTTTCTGTGTACACATGTTGTTCGAAATAAATTTCTCAACAAGATGTCTCTCATATTAACCATTTTTTTTACTTTGCGACGCTTATCACGATCACCAAAAGCTATACGAGATTTATTAATTTCTTTCCAAGCACAATATATCTGTATCTGATAACGACGAGACACGCAGAATCGTGATAGCATCGAGCATTTAACGAAATATCGTAACGCACGTTACTATTTCTCCGTAACAGTTAAGCTTTTTTTAAGGATACAAACGATCCTACGAAACGCATCAAAAAGAGAACGTGTTCCAATGTTCGTAAAGCGACGACTCACCAAAGAGATACGCGCAGGAGGAGCGCAGCATATGCGAATCGTTGTTTCGACTAAAACTTTGCTCGCAACCGAGCGAAAAGTTTGGTCGAACCGGCGAGGATCCGAATGCCGTGCAACCCCCTTCACCTTTCTTACATTTAAATCCGTACGACTCGAACCGTTCTTGTGTAATAATATGTAACTCGCGACGGAGCCAGAGTTTCGTCGGATTTAAACAAGAAATAAACAAAACGTTCGCATTACTATAGTATTCGGTAAATTGTTGACAGATACACTAAGCGAAAAGAAATTAAACTGTATGTATATTTATGTACCAAATTGTTGTAATAAAGTATTGCAATCGAATAAAATCATTGAAGCGTATACATTATGCTTGGCATTTCATTGATACTTTTACTTGGTTGGTATTTACATGATACAAGCGTATTTTTGAATATGTAAAATCGATAGGTAACACTTGTTCCCAATCAAACTGTTATTTACAAAATGAAACCTCTTTCGTACAGTGCCGATTTCCATGTTATGGTACGCGAAGAATTTTTAGCATTTAGAAAGAATGTCTTTGGTTGTGTAAAAAAAACCAAGTCCCCGTTTCCGTTGGCCACTCTTAACTAAAATCGAATGCATAAAATTATGTATACTGTATAATATCAGGAACTAGCTGTTCAACGTACACGACTGTGGATAGATAGATATTACGTTTTTATTTCTCTGTTCGTAATATTCACGTCACCATTACATTAGGAGGAATTAAGTTTGGAATATGGCAATTAGACGTAATCGTTATGCACAAAAACATTATCGATTAACGAGTGTTCGTTTTGCTCTCTCAACAGCTGCACCCTCTTTACAAATACACGCTTCAAGTGCTTTTCTCGCGCGTACAAAAACATCATAGAAATCTTAAACTTACATTAAGTCTCGATAGCCTTTGCACACTTTGTAACTAGTCTCTTTCACACGCCAAAAGAGAAGAATGCCACGCAAACAAACGCATACATACCTTTTTGAAAATTTCAATGTTCCAAGGCCTAAGGATCGCAGTACATGTACTGTACACATAGAATTTTTTATCAATCGAACGAAACAACTCTTTTTCCAAATATACAATTATATGTATAGGGTGTGTTAGTTATTTTATCACCGAGATCTACATGATAGGATCGTACCCGATATAAAATGATTACAGATTCAACGTCACGCAAGTCACGAATGTCCAATTTTCTCAAGAATAACTAATTAACTAGAAACTATGATATTCGTAAACGATCCAAGTGATCGTTCGATTTATTCGGACTTTGATTAATTGTTACTAGAGTCCATCGACAAATAATAATAAATGTAGTATATTAATATTTGGTATTTATACATATACTACAGTAAGACATACATAAACGTGTATTTTGGAATTTTCATGTTAAAATTACTCTTATACCAGGGGCATGATCGTGAGACATAATGTAATTACTTGTTGGTATCTAGTAAATAAAAGAAAGCTATTTAACTTACTATTAATTTATATTTACAATTTATTCGTGTCGTGTACGAGTAGAGAAAGGAACAAAATTGAAACTAATCGTGAAAAATGCTTGATTCGCGGAAGAGAAAAAAAACCTTACTTTTAAAAGGAAATTCTCGATCCCTGAAATCGTATACATACATCTCGCATACACTGTACCGTACTGAACGAACCGGTTTCGTCCAGACTCTGGTCAGTTAGATTTTGAATACATATACACAAAAATGCTTCGATCTTTTGGTTCATAATTTAAGCATACTCGAAACAAAGTCTTTCAGTTTGCGATGTAATAATTTTGAACTATCGGTCGTGCATTCGTAAGAAACTAGTTTCAAGAAGTTACCCTTCACACTTCGTTGGTGATTATCATCAACATTTTTGATTCATTTTTTCCCCTCTTACCATGTACATTTTTGGTATCCTTGATTAAAAAATTCCATAGGCCAAGACGACACATCACCAATTCGATACACACCCACCCACACACACACACACACACACACACTCTCTCTCTCTCTCTCTCTCTCTTTTTCTTTTTTTTTGTCATTCGTTCGTGAAAATTAAATGCGGTTGTATTCGTTGGAAAAAGTTGTTCTCGATTCTATCTTGCACACACTTCCGTTCGATAATAACAATGGAAATTGAGAAATGATTGGAATAAAAGTTCCGCCAATGATCGTCTAGACCTAACCCAGACCATATAAAACTTTGCCCATCCTATTGCGAGTCAAACTAATCAAATAAAATTGCAATTGTTTGTTATATCTATAATAAATAAACGAGCCACGTCCGAGCCGTAAACTTGAGATTGCTCGTATGCGGTTCAGACCAGTGCTTCTCAACCACTCTAAATCACTGGCCTAAATACTATGTGCTTGTGTGCATACAATCTAACAATATTCTTTCCTCTCCAATCTTCTTCGTGAATTAGATATTTATTTGTTTTTATTCCTCGAATTTAACGCTCTATTGTACATTAGAAAATAATAATAAACAAGCTTTCCGTAAAAAATGACTTGACGTTCGACTCGCGTGTTTTGAACTGTCAGTTTTCATAAACTCTTTTATAAGTCCGAAGAATACTGTATTGATCCCGTTTGCGTGTTTTATAATAGTTTTTAACCACAACGACGAAAGTTGAAGGTTTCGACTGTACTGCATCGACTGCGTTCACAGTGTTCCTTAAAAACATATTTTATCAGATATTTCTTTATATAATTTTTAGTACTCCTGTTTGAAATTGCTGCCGCAAGTAAAACTGTGTTTTCCCGCGTACATACACATATATTTCAATGAGTACATACACGAGTACACGAGTACATGCACATTATTGTAAACAACATGGACAACCGGTAAAAATGGGCTATAAAAGTCCAACATTGAACGATACGGGATTACAAATGCATGTTTACAAACAGCATTAATGCTATCAAACTGTTTAACGATGCTCGTTTCACTCTCACAAATATACCAAAATTTTATTTAGCATCTAAGAAAGACCGTTTCAAATCTTACATCTTCACATAAAAAAATGATCAAGAAATTATATTCTATTTATTGTTTATTGGAAGATTTGCTTTTTCTTGAATCTCGTCCAAATTTCAACGACAGACTAAAGACAGAGTAGACGATGTTTCAGGCAAACAATTACTAAAATTTGTCAGGATGTAGGTTATGTTGACCACGTTGTTCCAATTAAAGGGTCAAAGGAACACTGAAAAGCGCATCGAGGTCGTCTGTTGGCTATATTTTTTCACGTACTCGACATTTACGAGGTCCCTTAAAATCTAGAAACGACATGGTATCAAGTTGGTTAACAAAGTCCCTCTCTTTAATTCTATCTTCGCCGCTGATAAGTAATTAGCAATAAAATAGCAGTACGATTATCGTAAAAAGAATTTTTCCTATATATTTGAAAAAATTGAGCCGCTTTGGAAAAAATTTGGCAAGAGATCGTTTACGCCTCGTTTACGCTTAGACAAGGTCGAACGTATACGAAAAGAAAAACCTTTGTTTTTAATGACTAGGATGTTTCGCTTCTTCCATAGATTGAAAGAGACAACGACAATATTCAGGTTTGTCTACTTTTATGAGATTTCGTCCGTCGATCTTGACCTTGCAATTAGATTAATCAATTAACGGCTAGAACTAAGTGTGTCGCTATTCTAGATGCACTAAAATCACTCATTTTTTAATAAATATTACAACTATGTACAGCAAATGGAACGTATACGTCTAATCATGCTTCTTCTACCTACACACTGTTCTCCATACTCCGTTGCAAAACAGAGAAATCTTTTCTCCAAAAACACTGAAACGAATATCGTGGAACTTAAACGCGTATATGATTTTCATTAAAAAAAAAAAATCATGGTCCTTTTGTCCAGAAACGCACTATTTTCTTAGGGGTGGATAAAAGCAAAAGCGAAAACAAAAATGGTGAAACGAAACGGTAGAAGAGAAAGATATTGTTGTATCTTTGCGAAACTTGTAACACTTAAATTCATAAGTTGGATAAATCAGACGCAACGTTTTGCCTCCTTCGCACTTATTATCGCAAAACGATTCACTTTGCACGCCAATTGCCAACTGCTTCTATTTACACATACGCTGAATAGGATGCGGAATATAAAGCCGTCCGCTTGTTCGTTGCAAATATCTTCATCGAATGATCGCCGAGTCTTTTACGCGGTTGTAAAGGAAGACTTTCTGCTCCGCACAAAATTCAGTCTCGATTTTCCGTTGCGCGGCTCGCGGTGTTTGATAAAACTCCACTTGACTTTCACGAGAATACCATCGTGGATTTATATACAGCGTTTAAGAGCCGTTTTTAAGGCTTTGCACTTTCACGCGGAACACGCAACATACATTTTGGTTCGCGTGTATTATTAGAATTTGCAAAGAAGCAGAGAACATTGGCCGTTCAAAGTCACTCGAGAGGAAAATCTTTACTATATTTGTTTGCTTAAATCAGTACAAATTTCTTCGTTTTTGAAACAGCAAAGACAAGCAAACGTGGCATAAAAGTAGGTATTACGACTAACAAAGATTCATACTAGGAAAAGCGACCATGATCGAAGAATATTCTCTGCTCCGAATATAGACAGTTGATGTCTAACGATTCCTATTTCTTCGTTTTATGAAATATTACATTTCAATTTTCCGTAACAAGTTATCAATGGATTACGATGGTATTCTCATTGACCGTATCCTTCAAGGATTTGGTAAAACTAGTTTCATCTTATCGATGTACTCTCGAAGAACATGTGTAGCGTGTCTCATCGAAAACCCAACACTTAATGTCTGACAATACGGAAAATCTTTCGGACGTTAATTAGAAGGTTTCTAAATGGGTTTCAAAGTTTCGATATTGTTTTACATAAATGCAAACTTGGTTTTCTTTTTACATCTTGTTGCAGACATAGCGTGCTTGTTCAACGATGTTTAGGCCTGTCGTAACGTATTTCCGTATTTTATATATATATATATAAAAAAAAGATAATAAATAAGCGTTTCGTTTGTGGTGGGTTTTCCTGTACATTCGATATTGACAAGTCAGCCGATCGTAGAACACGTTTTACCCATTATATAAATAACGAAACACCATGGCATACGCAGTATTTGCGTTTTCACCGTGTTTGTACTTGAAACATTTGCTTGCCCGAGTATTGGCATAATTGTTTTTTTTTTTTACTTTTTTTTTTTTTTTACTTTTTTCCCTTTCTTTTTAGTTCGTAATCGGTACATGTTATTGTTGTTACTGTAGTTTCGATCAAGAACTTTCGTAGAAATTCTCGTACGCTCGACGTCACTAAAAATTTTAAATATTAACGCGGATAATTATACATCTATATATCACTCGTTCCGTGTTTCGTGCGGTAACTTCTTACATGTATGTATATACGAAGTACATTTTCTCATAGAGACGCGTAATGTGTGTATACTCAAACGCATATCACAAACAAATCAATTCTATTCATCATAGATATTCCTCTTGCACGTTGGTGCACGATAAAAATGTATAAAGTATATAAAATTTGTGTCCGTGGTATATCGATCGAGTTTAGCGTGTTCGCTATGTGCTCGTGTAAACGTCGATTAAAAATTTCACTCTCTATAAACATTCCATCGATAAACGATAGGTATTCGCTCAATGTGAAAGTAAATGCAAACGAAGGGAATAGATGGGAATGAAATTTGTACGATCACGTACAAACGTGTTAACAAGCTTGGAAAGATGATGAAAGAGAAAGTTGTAGGCCACGAGAATTAACAATAATATATTCGAACGGTCGGTTGAAGCTTGAATCGTTAAAACGCAAATGGACATTGACGAATGTTCAACATTCGTCAAGAGTGGCTCGTTTTTTCAGTTCTCTTCGTAGGCAATTTAAACGGTAGTTTGTTGCGTATACGGCCCTTGTGCTTTTTTTCCTTTCGTAATCTTAAAGAATTACGAACTAAACAAGCCATAAGTATGACGACGACGACGACTTTTCTCTAATTGTTCACCCTTTCGCGCAGCTCGTTATTAGATTCGCGTGCCACTTAGTCGAGAAGCAACGATCATTTACAGAATATAGGCTAACGTAAACGGATAATTACTGTACACGATATACAAGTACAAAATCTTGTATATACAAGACCTTTCGTCGACGACCGTTTGAACAACGACAAAAGGAAAGGTTGTTTTACCAGCTTTGAAAATTCCCACCGAAAATTTCCGTAAAATACCGTTAATCTAAATGTATTATTCGGTTATCGATGCGAATAAATTGTCCGCCGTTTTGGCGGATTTTCGACGCGAATTTTTACAACGCAACATTGTTCTACTCTCTTCGCGAACTGTTCGAATCCCAGTACATTTCGCCCCCGTTATTTTCACTCACATTTACTCGCGTACCGTCTGCATCGAGTCACTGCTGCTTTTGCTCGCGCGTGTACTCCTTCGAATCTCGAAACGTTGTCGTGGCCATTGTAATTTATCGTTACCCTCATTTTTCAAAAATCTATTGAGAAACTCTCAAAGTTTCTTCAGCCAACGGCGATTGTGCACTCATCAAACTTGATATACGTATTCCGTTTCATTTCTGGGTACGGATCGCAGGAAGCATAGGTGTAAATTACCTTTTTTAATTTCCCTGTTTGTTCGTATAAAAAGTGCGACTTTCCAAATCGTACGTTCAAACGTATACGTATAAATTTTATCTTGTAATAAAACCTTTACCAAACGATAATTGAGCCATTTCGGGTGTGTTATATATATATTTATATATATATATATATATATATATGTGTATAAAAAAAAATAATAAAAAAAAAGAACAAATGCGCGTTAATGTACGCACATCGCTAGATAAATCGTTAAAAAGTGTAGAAGATGTTTTTGAAAAAGTAGTTCGACGGTAATGATATTCGCGCGCGTGTCCTACGCGATCCACGAGGTTTTCTATACTTAACCCTTAACGAACGTGTTTTGGACTTTGGTTTGCATTTTGGTATACGGAACGAAATCAATTGGTTGGTCAGTCGCCACGGAAGTGTTATTAGTCGAGTTGGCGGAAGACAGAATTCTAAAGATCTCGCTTTATCTACCTTTGTTAGCTATCGACTAGGTCAGATCTCGTTGATACCTTTTTAATCTAAATAAGTACGTAGACCGGTATTGACGGACTTGTCCGCCGAGAGCTAGCAAACAAAAAAAAGCGTCTTTAGCGGCCAATCGATTCTCTCACCATTACGTTCGACATAAACTATGGCATAAAGATCGAAGAGGAGAGAACGATGAAGAATTTGTCGATTATATCGCGTCAAAAGTTAGGTATATGCATCGGAACGTGGTACGATCGTGAAGAGTTAACGATAAAAACATGATGGATCATCTTGGTAGGAATATGGCAGTTTAGAGAGTTGGATTTTCGAATTACAGTTCGGTAACGGCGTAGAGATTTGGATCGCTACCTTGCACTTGGCTCAACGTAGCCACCGTTGTCTTATTATCCTGCCTGGACTGCGCACGAATGTAAGTGCCGTACATGTTTGGCACAGCGTTGACCTGAGCAGCGCCGTTGAACTGATTTCTCGTGAAATTTCTGTCCAACGTTCGCACTTGGTCTTGCATCTGATCCTGGATACGGATGTTCGGCGCCTTGTTGCGTACCAACGAACGAAACTGATTCATGTTGGTCTGAGAGCGTGATTCGAACTCCCAAGTCGGCTGACTAGCAGGATTCGGTGGCAACGGACGACTCTGATTCCAAGCCGGTGTCGGACCTCTCTTTAGATTCGCTAGATTCTTTGGATCAAGAGTCTGGGTCTTTCGAGAATCTTGAAAAGTGGCTAAATGAGCGGGTCCGTGAGAATTGTGAGACAGGGTACCGGTGTATGATGCCACGCTTGGTGTCCAAGGTGGTTCTCTACCTGCAATTCAAACACAAGGTTTTTCGATTCACCGAATTTGTCTGCGTCGATAACAAGATACAGAGACAGCTGTATACCGAAACCGTAAACGAAGTGCTTGTCTACATATGTGTTGTATCGTAGATGGAACGAGATCTACCAAGCATTTTTTAGCTCCATATCGATTGAATTGTTTGTAGAAACGCAGCGTAAAAAAGGTTCGTCTAACCGGTGGGTATTCGAGATAGTATCTTGGAGACAAATTAACCCATAAATTGTTTAACGAAATATTGACATTACCGGGCCCTGCGGGGGCGTGCCCTCAGTAGAAATCACTGGACTCAAGGGTCTTGCACTGTTTGCTCAAAGTCGCGTACTGACCAGGTTGATCTCCGAGTCCAGAACGGTGTTCAGTTCGTCCACCTGTCGACTGCTGATTATGCTGAGACGATTTGTGATCCCCGCCTCCTCCGCTCCCGTTAACACCCCCACCTCTGTAAATAGCAAATCGAAACGAATAAAGTTGCAGCATTATCTTTCTCTCGAACAGTTATCTGATATCTAAATCTCTGTATTCCTATCGTAGGGATTCTGGATCATTCGTTCAATCATGAAACAATCTAAAGATGTATATTATAAAGAGAAGAAAGAAAAGGAAAGAAATCAAGTACGAACGCTATTAAAGAAACGAAACCACGCACATAAGCGCACTATCGCTAATGATTCCGTATAAACGCGAACGTTTTCACTTGAAACATCGACCACAAAGAGTATCGAAATTAATAGTATCTCGGTAAATATGTAGCAATGTAGTTTGAATTTCGAAAATGCTGTAAGAACATCGGAACGGAACGTACACGAAACGTTTGTACAGTTATTGTACCGATACGCGATTAAACGCGTGTAATTTATTTTTTCCGAGTCGACAGACTTTCATTCGCGATTAAAAAAAAGTGATCAATAACTGTACCGTCATGTAACTTGTGTCGTTACCACTCGAGCGTCGTACACAATTAAAGCAGCATTCAGATCCTAATACAGTATCTATTGACATTAACAAATAACACTGTAAACTGTAACTGAGCCATTTCAATACATTGATAAAAATGGAAAATCAGCACATCTCATAACGTTGAATAAAAAGTAGATTGTCTATGTACGTCGATAAGTAAGCTACACCCCCGTCTCTAAAAAAAGAAATGTCAATAAGATAAAGCTTCCTTAACAGAATTTTTGATCCAAGAAGAAGCATTTTTCATAACGTCAAACTAATTTATGGATCGCGTGTCTTGAAAGAATTTGCGTCCAATTTCCTGATACCGTTTTAAACTTTGGTTTCGTTGTCCGTGTCTAAACTATTCCCAGCCATATTTTTCTTATATATTAATATAATTTATAATTTATTAAAGCATTATCGCGAGGGATAACCACCATCTTTCTCCTTTTATCGATAGATCGATGATTCGGAGCAATCACTTGCAAGATACACGGAGACCAATTCTTCCTCTATTTTTAACCCATAAGAATTTTCTAACAGCAGTGTTTCTCTTTTGGAATGGAAGTTGCTATGGGTGGGTAACTTACTTATTGACCGACTCACGTATTAAGCGAATAATAAAACGAACGATTTTATGTAACGATATTCTCTCTCACTCTCTGTCTGTGCGTATGCGTGTGCGTGTGTGTATGTGTGTGTGTGTATGTTAGCGATTGTGTGCCTTTCCAGGCGTTTTTGGTTCTCGCAGCAAGTCTTCGATACATGTCGGCAAACATGAAATGGGACAATTTTTTGTTTCAATTACTAGCCTTACAAGTTTGTTAATAAGGCAATAGATATGGAAATATCAGAACAATTATTTAAGGTATGTAGTAAATTGAAAGAAATATAAAATATAATCCCTTTTCAACGAGTTTGCCAAGTTAGTTTTAGAATAATTCTCTGCAGCTCGTACGGCTCTTTGTTATTTAATCTTTATCGCGTAAAAGATTACTTTTAAAAGAAAAATGTTTATGTAATTTTTTGATTCGTTATTTCATGTTGAAAATTCAAGTTTTCATGATTTCTTTGATAAAAATTCGCACGTGCCTTGCAATCTTGAACAAAAAAATTAATGTAAAGATTAAGTATTTGTCGAAAGGTGCTATAAGTAATATTGTGCGAGTACCAGGGATTTGATAATATTGTAACAATAGTTATTCGAATTGTTAAAAAGTAAACAGTGTTCGAACCTGGTATGTTTGACGAATCTTGAAATTTCAACATCGAAAGAGCAAAACTGACTCGACTTGGGCGATAAAGATTAAAGGTAGCTAATAAATAAAACTGAATAAAAACTCATGCACAAACTTTAGCATGCTCTCGTGCAGCTGACGTGCTCGAGCAGTCGCAGTAGCGTAGGACGGCGGGGGCGGCGTTAGCAAGAGAGGCTGCTTAATGGTATTTTGAGTGCCATGAGCATTCGGATAAAGAGAAGGGGCTGTAGGCGGGTACGACCCTTGGCCTCGAAGGGTCCGCGCTGCTATCGCCTGCGAGGCTGCCGATGGCGGTAGATAGGGATCCTGCTCGTCGACTTGGTGGTAATCTCTTCTAGAACAAAGTCCTCGTTAACGATACCGTTGGTCGCGTTAGTCGGTCGTTGGTCGCAATGCTCACCGTTTTCGTATGTAGATCCAGGTGTGAGAGTCCACCCAAACTAGAACAGTGAAGAAGAGACCAGCGGCCAAGCTCGCCAGTAGCATGAAGGTCAATCCATACCTGGGAATTTGATGATCGTTAAGAACGTAGTATCGCGAAATAAACGAAATAAAAGTTTCAACGAACACGTCAACTCGAGTCGTAGAACAATTTGCAAGTAGAAAAATTTTAGTCGCGACAAAATCAATTGGCCGATCGCTTGTTACGTGTGTCAGTTTGTCGATGATTCGTTGGCAGATAACCGACAGATAGAGAGCGGTAGAGATCGATTAGACTCGATAAAAGTAAAATGAACCCGACTCGTGATGTTGAAGAGCGCGAGGAAAAGTCTACCGGCGTAACCGTAGCGAACAAGTTTTCACCGAGGGGTAGATTCGCGTGTTAGCGACGGTCAACGAGCCGGTTCGTAACGAGTGTTAATTTATCGGTAAGATGATCGGGGTCTACGTTAGGAGACACTTACAACCCCAGGTGACATAGGCTCTTGGCTGCATGAACGTACTGCTTGTGGAGGGGTTTGCAATCCAGCAACGTGGTCAGTCCGGACATTAGTCTGTCGACGGTGTTTACGTCGGTCGAGAGACTGCTAAGCTTGGGTTGTAGCTGTTGTTTCTTGAACAGCTCGACCGCCAACCTTGTCACGATGTTCAAGTTTTGTCTTATGTTGTTGACCGTTTGCTGGCCGTCGCGCAGTCTCTGGGTGAAGGGATTATTGCGCGTGTTTTCGCAATGCGTGTAGTACGAAAGAACCTCCGAGGCTAGCGTCGAGGGTACTGCCCTGGTTAGGTAACCGTCCGGCGACACGCACAGATCGCCCAAGGCTACCGAAGTCGCAAGGTATAGCGAGGCCATCAGCCAGGAGACTATTACCGCGAACAGACCGAATACGGAGAATCTGAAAGCAAGTTTCGTAAAGGAACAATTGCTGAACATTATCGCCTTTTCGGAAACAACTAACGATTAAATAATCTTCGACTTTAAACGTGTGTACATGATTTTAATCCTACACGATTAATGTTGACGAGGCGAGGCGAGGTGAGGTGAGGCGAGGCGAGGCGAGGCGAGGCGAGGGTAAGGCGAGGCGTGGCGTGGCGAGGCGAGGCAACACGACGCGACAAAGAAACAGGTAATTTTTAATCCGAGAAAGCTTCGAATGATATTTTGCGTTAGAGGTTCGAAATGAATAAAAGAAAAGTAAGAGAGAAACGATGTTTGGAAAGCAAGAGAGACATACGTTATGAGAACGCATCTGGAGTGTCGTGCTACTCCGACGACCAGCACTACGCAAAGAACAAGAAGGGCGCTGAGGACAGCCATGGTGACGGGCCACCTTAATTGCTCTATCTTCTCCCCCAGTCCGATAGCCGCGGCGAGGCTGATCCCCGTCAGCGGCTTTCGAATTTCGAAGCTTCGGTTCACGGCGATGCTCGTGTTCTGCGTCGTCGAGTTCAGTGCGTCCAGCAGCAACCCCAACATAGTCATATTGTTCACCGGTGCGTCGAATTCATCCCCCATCGCGGTCAACTGCGGTTGTATCTTTTTCTTCAACGTCGTCTCTATGGTGTCGGTCTTGAACAGAACGTTTGTTCTTCAAAGCTTTTTCTACAATTTGTGTAATTTCGACCAAACATTTATTCTTGGAATAAACATAAAATAGAAAATGTTTAATCGAAAATGGGATATTTATCTCGGCGTACACAACCAACGTCGCTAACTTCGTTTCCATAACGGATCTCCGGGATACTCTCGTTGCTGTTACACATTACCTGATTTACACGCAACGCAAACGGAATTGTGCAACGGGGGCTATGCCTGACGCGCGACTCGCGGAAGGTGCACCAGCCAAGCGATTTTGTCCCAACTATAGCTACGATGCTGGAAAAATGCGGGACCGTTTGTCGATAAATAACACGCAGCCACTTTCACCCGTTGCGAATTTTTTGTTGAATCGATTCAAGAGGATGGATATTGTTCAAGAGTATGTTTGTTCGTCCGTACGTGTATCCTGTACCAACCTGATTCCGTACACCCATCAGGATTCCATCGACGTTCTTCGCCGCGGCTACCAATTGCACCAAGCCGTTGTGCACGTCATCGTTACCGTAGAGGCCGACGGCAACGGCTCCGCTACAGAGCAACGCCAGGATGGCCAGCGAACACTTGAGCAGTGTTATCGACCTCCTGGGGCGCGGCTTCCGGTCGCAGCATCTCGTTACCAGGTATACCAGCAGCACCAACAACGTTAGGATTAACCAGGCTGCGGGGATACTTCCAAGTATCCCGAGGCTCTGCCAATTAAAATTTCTATTAAACTACCTCACTTATCGACGTGCAATCTTTCGCGATACTTTCTCGCCTATTTATATTATTTTAGCTCTACGCTCGAACCGTATTTCGTATTTCGTATTTCGATTTGACTTAATTTAATCGAAAATCATCTCGTTGCCGCTCTTTTCCCTCCTTTTTCCAAACTTTATGCGCGAACGCTAATGGTCCTGCGAACCTTTTATCCGCTTTCTAATTAATGCTTATGCCCGTAGCTGTCGCTGATCTATGCGACGGTTTTCTTACATCAGGCTACCCCGTTAATTAACGCTCGACTCGAGTTTACGAGGGAACAAAAATTTCGCCTGCGCGATAAACTAGACCAGAGTTTCACGGACGAACGTATTTACTTAATTCTAAAAATCGATATTATCTATCGTCGTACAATTAAAACTTGATCAACGATACGATTAGAACCTCGTTCGTTTTCACGAATCTACCAAAGCATTTTGTTCGTTTCGAAGGTGTTCATGCCCAGCGTCCCCGACTTACGGTAAATGTGATTTTTCTGCCACGATACTGAAAAAGCCTCGCATGTCGCGGGGGGTCAGCAACCCTCGGTGATCGCGTGCTACCCCACGAAACTCGGAAAATCGACCCGTGCGTATGTCTATACATATTGCGTTCATTATTTACGCGACAAACTTGGATAACGTTGCTCTCTCTAATGCACATCGCGAAACGTAACGATACTCGATACAACCCTACCTAAGAAACGTACTCTCCCCACTCGGCAAGTTTAATTTCACAGCGACGTTGCAAGTAATTTAAACGTTTTATACGCAATGGGATTGTTTCCGCGAAACGGAATAAAAGAATCGCGTGACTGTGATAAATAACGGTAAATGCGATTTTGCACCCCAGCCCGAGGTACGAAATCATGGAACGCACAGAGGGAAGCGCAGAGTACGTAAAACTCGGCGTGAGATGCTAAATCGTTAACCATCGATCGAATTCGAGGTTGAAAAGAAACGGCCAAAGATAGGACAAAACGCCGTTTCAAGGCTTGGATCACCCGGTGATGTCGATGTCATGATCGAGAAATATTTTCAACCGAGGAAAACAATAGACGGGCATCCAATTAACGGGGGGTCGTGTTGCATCAAGGGTGCTTGGGCAGCCGTTTCCTCGAGGCTTCTACCTACCCTACGTCAAAGACGCCTCAGCGTCACCCAACTTTCGCGTACTCTGTTGCTCCAGCACCGATCGTGTGCGACGACTGACAAGAGAACAGAATATACAAAGCGTTAGGGAATCGTTCTCTTTAAACAGGTTGGAAACACGCAGAAATAAGAGATTTTAAATCCCCAAAGAAGGAAGCTGTTCGATGAATTTGCATTCGTACACATTATCGCAAATGTAAGAACATTTTTACGAGAGATTTACAAACAGTTTATATTGCCCTCTCGAGTATCCATGCAACTGGCAATAACCTTATCGAAACACGTGTCGGCCTCCTCTTCTTTTTCACACTACGTTATTCGTGCACCTGCCTGAACGATAATTAGAGGAAGGAGCACTCGCGCGATCGATACAAACAAAAGAAAAGAAACGAGGAAGAAGAAGAATAACAAGTTCGGTTCCGAGCACCGCTATACTTTCCATACCGTTCGAATTGTTCGAATGCAACGAGATTCCTTCGACTCTTTCGAAATAAAAACACGTTGCACGGAGATACGAGAGAGAAGCGAAGATGCAAACAAGTGGGTTAGCGATGACCAGGAACTTGTACCGTAACGCAGAATATACATATACATGTACATGTATCGTGAAGCATTCATTTCTCAAAAAATGACACTTTACACACCGGAAGTTACATTACACCGGCAATACGCATTAATGTACGGGGGTTCGGAGATATTTGAACGTTGAACGCAGCGCAACAAAGAATACCTACTAACGAGAATTCGATAAACAATTATCGACTATTACTCGTGGAGGTTTCGAGTATTGTTCGAAAGAATCGAACAAGTTTGTCGCGGCCAGGAAGCGTCTCGAGGCCGTCGCTAGTGTCGCGGTGTTCTGAGTGACGTACCAAGCCCGTTAAAGCCCGCGCACGCGTTGCCCCAGGCACATTATACCAAACCCTTTGTGCATTGTTTGAGCTTTCCCGGCCATTGTGCTTTCCAGTTACACACTGCTTGGATTCCCCTGCACTCGCGGCATCCAGCTGCGTTTCTTCCTATCCTTTTCTTCCTCCTCCCTGTTTCTGTCTTCTTCTTTTCGACTCTTTCTCTCTCTGGTTCTCGGCATAGCCCATCCGTTTCGTCGGTCGGTCGGTCGCTCTTACCTCCCCTCGAGAAGAGAACCGTATGATTCCCGTCTCGATGCAAAAGCTTTTGCTCTCTTTGGACAGCCGTCTCGCCGGAACAAGCCACCGAGAATACTCCGCCGCCGGAAGAGAGTGTGTGTCGGGAACTACCTTCGTGTCCGTGATCCTTATCCTTCGACACAGGTTATAGCGATCTCTGCCGCCTTGGAACCCTAGCGGGAAAATTCACGGCAGAACGATATAGGTACATGATTGTGCTAGTTATTTGAAATCGATCAGAGAGGAAAATCATTTCCACCTATCCTACGATCAAGTTCTAACTCTTATGTACATGTATATGTATAAAACGCGCAACGATTATAAACGGTAGAGAAACTGTTAGCAAACGCACCGACATATTTAAAACTGTTATCTCGTTCGTCTCTGTTTTAATAGAGCTGCACCTGCTTGCGAAACGTTGCCAAAGAATCATTCGATCGTTTCGTTCACGGGCATAGAAGAGAAACACTTTGTTCGAAATCAACGAGAATCGCTTTGTACGGTCGCCAAAACGGAATCAAGCCGGAATTACTTCCGGATATCGATGTTATCCAGTCCGGTGCTCCGAAGAATTGCTATCGCGAGCCTGTTGACGGTGGAGCGCACGATTTATTTTATCAACTGCGGACCAACTACAAAGTTTATCCGCAATCGTGCTCGACGAACGTCTCTCATTCCCACGAGACTTATTTTCCGAATTTTCCAATCGTTCGATGCTCGATCGAACCGATTCAAATTTCGATGTTACGTTCCCTATTCACCACAGAATATGTATTTCGATCGCATGATACATTACAGGAGCTTACGACATAAACGATCGTTTTCATTGGGTGGATACAATGGAGAGTTCAGGCTGGAAAAGCACGCGTTAATAAATATAACCAAGATTGTTTTTAGAGAAAACAGATCAACGCTGCAACCAATATGTATATGTATATGTTGTACCTACCTCTAGGTAAATTTCGGAATGTGGATTGAAGGTGTTGTTGACCGAATGCAGACAAACGTTGAGGTGCGGCAGGCTGTGGAAGACCCTAGCGAGCGGTGGTACCGTGTATTGTTCGGGAAGCTGCTGACCGCCCGCCATTTTGGAGAACCCTTGTCTGCCGAAAACCCCGTTGAAAAACCCCTCCTACTCGTCAAGACATGCTACGAGATCTGTAACAACAACACCAGATACCGTATTCACATTTGTTCGCAGCTTTACCTCCGAGCTTTCGTCCTCTGTTTGTTAACAACGAACGCATTGTCGCTCCTAGCTGCTACCTACAATTTGTAGGCTAACCGCGACAGCCACGCGCGAACAAGCTAGCCAATTTCACTGGCTAGAGATCAGATTCGATTTAATCCCGATCGAACGAGTTCTCGACGCAGTTTAATCTTTGTTAGGTATCGTCGACGCGAGGCGAGGCGACGCGACGCTTCGAAAACGCTTTGCCCGGGTCTGATTCAATTACGCCCGAAGCGCCGTTGTGGAAGCAACGAGCGCTTAATTAATGAAATCTGTGCCAGCTGCTCTCAGTTCCGCTCCTCGTGGTCGTCGACTATACCCAAAGAGGAGAACACGTGCTACTCCCGGAAGTATCTCGAGAATCTTTTTAACGAATTATTACCCTCTGGCTGCTCTGTTTCAACGCGACCAGCAAGGCCACAGAGTTCCCTGATTTACAATCGATTCCGATTTAATCGAAAATCGATCAGTCGTCGATCGTTTATCGATCGAAAGAACGCGCGAACCGATCAAACGATCAACGATTATCTGTCTTGTTCGACAGACTCTCGAGGAAATTTCTTAACCGTGAGTGTTCCGTTTCCGCTGGTCGTTAGCCCTCGCCGGAATTCTAAACGCCCACTAACAAAGGAGGAAACGAAAAAACTATCGAGGGTCGAGCGCCGACAAGTTAGGTTAATTCTTCAAGTTCCTTTTAGTGGTACGAACAGCGTGGGAAACTATCGGGTACACGCGCTCGCGCTCGCGCGCCCCCAGCTTTCGAACCGCGCGTTACATCTGCTCCTTTTTCGAGCACGACGCAACAATCTCTATAGTAGAAACTTTTACAAACATCTTTACCATACGATATAAACTTACAAATACATACTTGACGTGTTCGAACGATAGCGAGACATTTTCTTGCAAGAATCCATAGAATCCATTAAAAGAGTTTTCGAAAAATAATTAGATAAATAAAGGTACGCCTGAAGATCCGCGTACGTAACAAAATGAACGGTAACTAGGATCTTCCAAGTGCAGTTTCACCTTGAATTTTTCATATCGAGAAGAGTGCTGCAGAAAAGTGAAACATCGTGGAAACGAGGAACCGTATCAAGCTTATCTTATCGGATCGCATTTTTTATCATCTATCTGCACGATACGTTTTACTCTTTTATTATTATTATTATTTGTTAGTCATTTCTCAGTCACGGTAGACAAAGTATCATCACTTAGTTATCGGTGAAATCAAATATGTAGTTGCATTTTACGATTCGAGCGATTAAACTCGATACGATCGAGAATCGAATATCGTTGGATGATGGGGACGATTTCGATCGACGGGATTTAAAAACCCGATGATAACGAAATGAAATATCGAGCGGCAAGGCGTGGCATAAAGGAACCCGGCCCGAATCCGAGCCCGAGCTCGAGCCCGAGCCCGAGCCCGAGCCCGAGCCCGAGGGAGTTAACTGCCAGCGCAGAAATCGATCGCCGGAAGTCGTTGCTTCCTACTTCTTTCCCTTTCACTATATCGCCTTGTCCTTTCTTCTTTTAGCTATTCCTGATAATTCTATCGGTTTACCCATCGATTCTGTATACCGTGCATCGTGCATATTCACATCGATTTATTTAAAATCGTTCGCCAAGAATTCCTGCTACAAATCCAACCAAGTAATGCATTTCATTAGTATGTAATAGTAAAGTTCATTTCGAGTTATCATTTCACGTCGGATTTTACCTGATATCAAAGGACTGAGGCCCAAGATATTCTCAAGACGAGAAAACTTTCTCCGTTTGTATCCAACAAAATTTCGAAAAGCTTGAATGTTTAAAGCGATCAGGTTCGATTCGATCGAGGGAGAAAAAGGGCGCTTCGCAGGGCTGGCCAGCCCGCATTCGGTGCTATCCTTTTGTCAGATGGTGGCACAGAGGCGACACCTCGTTTACAACGATTACGCGTTACCGCGCCGCGCCGCGGCGTGCGTGTCACGCCTAAACAAACCTGCCCACCAGATGGTTACGATACTCCTTACGTCGCGTCGTCTTCCGCTCTATCGTTTTTCTACGTACACATCGTCTCTTCCCTTATTCACAGATTAGATAGCGTCCTTCCGAGTAATGCTGTAGGAAATAATTAAAAGAAAAATTCAACCTTCGATTCGGAGATTTATAGAGAGAGAGAGCGATTCTGGTTGCCCTTAATTTCTGGCACAACCATTCAAACATCTCGCGCGGAACGTAATTGAAATTGAAAAGCGCGCGTCTGTTTGGCTCGTCGAAACTAACCACGTAAACTTCGCAACGGTAGCTGTTTCACGAATTTACATTTACGACGTCCAAAAGTTACGCGCGCCATTTAACGAATAAACGCGAGTCGTTACGAGTCCCGATTATAGTAAAATGGGTATACGGATGAAAGGACGCGGCGGTCAAGTCGCGAGCACGTATCAAAAGTTTCGGAATCAGGCAGCCGTACAACGGAAAGAAAAACCGGGAAACTTTTATAATTAAAAGCTAAAGTAACGCAAATATCGCCGAGACCCGGTGCGCGCTCAACTCGCGTGCATCGAACACAAACATTCGGGATCAAGAATGGGTTGGACGTTTACAAGAAAAGTAATTACATGCATATCGTGAAACACAAATTACGTTCAAAATACCGCAGAGAAAAGACGAGTATATGTATATTTATATGCGTTCATATACCGTGCGACAGCAGACCAGACGACAGTCCAAGACGTTAATTCGAAGATAATTTGCGCCAGAGTCGAGTTTCAACGCTATCCTTCTTATCTCGACTATACGTATCTAAATGATTGTAAAGCGTTTTCAGCTGTCTGTCGACCGGTGTTAATTTTCACGATTCTTTAACGAAATGCAACGTGCCGTTTAAACCGATCGATATTAAATCAATACATATTGAACTTGATGCCATCGGTACCTACTTGGCAGTCTCACGCACGGGTGCGTGCGGTTCTCGCTTCTCGATATCAATCGAGTGTATCGCGATTATCCTCCGTTCTCGGTCACCGTACCAACTTTCAGAAACACACGCGAGAAAATGTCGGATCCATTCGATACGATAATTACCAGATTCGTACTCTGGCGATCAGAGATTAAGTGATATGTATTACCCTTTGGTTTCGTAGAAAAACTACTCTGGTTAAAAATTTCACCCAGATATCTATTTTCAGCGGTTCCAGTACTTAAAATAGTCTCTAATCCTTTCGAACCGCGTCAAATACTTTATCAATTATAATTTACATCTATTGAAAAAGTCACTTTGCTTTGGTGTAACGTGTTATATGTATATACTTCAATTCCAGTCGAATGTAAGTTTAATCGTTAGTAACTCGCACTGGTATATTTATTATAATACACTGGCGTACGAAAAATAAAACTGTATCTTCTTTTTGGTAAATTTAATTTGTTTAAATAAACTATTCCTAGTGTTACTTCGTGTGGAATACGTTTCGTTTAAAAATTGTGCGAGTAACCATGGATTAAGGAAAATATTGTTCCGCCGCATCGTATCGTATCGTGTGATGTCGTGTCGTGTCGTGTCGTTCGTTGTGGGTTAGGTTTCGTATCGAGCAAGATTCGTAAATATCTTCCCGTCGAATACAGAAATATCGTTATTGTAATCGACGGTAGACGAAACTTCAGTCTCCGAATTTCCCCTCCTTTTTATACAACCACGCCGTACTTACTGTCATTCTCACGCGTTTCCTTTCAGCATCGGTCGCCGGCGCGCTCGCTTCGAGATTGTGTGACGTTTCACGAGGTACCCGCATAACGCGTATCGTGCTGCGTACAGTTTTCTACCTTTCTTTCAGCTTTTCTCCGTGGCTAGACCGACAAATTCACCCTCGCTCTTAGGGGGCACGCACGCGGCACAGAGTCACATAACGACGATGGAAAGGGGCATGCACACCCGCATGAATATCCCGTACATACCGTAACCTTACACGAACGAACGACGCGCCAAGTGTGCACTGTGTGTATCGATCCCGAGAGTACACACGAAGAAGACGACTCTGAGCGCCACCACGTTCCGTCTCCGTCCCTCTTATTTTCTGGGAGAGGCACTGTCTCTTGTCTGTTGTTGCTTTCGTTACAAAGTACACGACGATTGCTTTCCTTACAACGTACCTACGTACGTATTCCGAGCAACCGAATCACTAAAACTTTATCGCGCACAATCTATCTCTGCATTAATCCGATGTCGGTTAACACGCTTTTTTTCATTCCAGCACCCGCACACAGGACCGATTATCGAACCAAAGAATACGTTTCGCGGACTGGATTCCACGATATGTATATATATATATGCTTTGCAAAAAGGTTCCCTTACCTTGATTTTCTGTGAGTAATTTAAACACTGATACGCAACGAAACAATACACGCTCCACGCCCGATGAAGGTCCGAGTTCGACTGAAACCCTTCGCGGAGTGGGGCGACGCCACGACCAATCCTAGCGTACTAGCACGCGATTCCATCTTCCTCCCATAGCCGTACAACTGGCTACAACGTACAGCGAGAGACGAAACTGAGTCTACATCTACACCAGTGTGGCCAGATTTGGCATAATTGAGTGCATCAACGGCGTCACTAGTAACGATGAATTTCCTTAGCGTTTAACGGAGTGGCGGCACTTCTTCCAGCCTAAAATTCAATGAAATCCATTAACTATTGTAGGAGTTATGTCCGTTTGAAAATTGGACCATTTTTATAGGGTTTTTCTCACTTTACATAATTAAAGAAAAACTTTTCGATTAGTCTTGAAATTTCTACATATTTTACACCAAAATACGCGTCGTTTGCCTTTCGAAACATTAAAATCCTTCAATCCGATCAGAAGTTATGATGTTTGAAACATACGCATGATCTTTCAGAGAAACATTTCTAACCTCACATTATATTTTTGGTAAAGAATTTTTTTCTCGAAAGAGCGTAGGAATTCGGGGGTATGTCTATTGACCAAAAATGTTTGTAATTTACTCCACAACCGAAAATAATTTTTCCAGAACGATTTGAAATATTTTAATTTTTGCCGAAAAATTTATCAACCTATTGAAATTTTTTTTCTCGAAAGTGCGTAGGATTTAGAAACATGCATTCCATTGTAATAAAACTAGTAAAATCCTAAAACATTCCTTTTATTTATAATAAAATATCGTTGTTTTGTTGTGTTTTAATTTTTTAAAATAAATGATTCCCACCTCTGCTCTATATCTTGTCGATACATTTTGGCGTTTATTGCTTTTACTGACTAGGATGATCGGCTCGAATATGATTCATAAAATTATCGTTCTTAAATATAGAGAGCACAACGAAATATCACCACGATTTATAACAAAGTCGGTTCATCGATTTTTTTAACGTCGATCAGACCTCGGATCTATCTTACGTCTCCTCTGCGTCTACATCTACATACATTACGCATGTAAAACTTATTTATGAAACCACTGAACGAGCTACCGAAGATATTCTTATGCCGCGTCAATGATATTGTATTTATTTAAAATACAGTATCCGAACTTATACTTTGAATCCATGAAACCAATTATAAAAATATATTCTTAAAATTAAATTAAGACCGCGCGTACAATTAATTAATCTCGTTACGTTTTCGAATAGATAACTCGTAAACAACATTCTAAGATATCTGAACAAACGACTGAGAACAGCAGGGTTACAAGTCGAAACCGTAAATATTACAATGAAATTTTTACTTGGAGCACTTGCATTCCTGAGACAGCTGTCAGGTGGTTTACAAGTAACAGCGACGTGGTGCAACGACTGCTGTTGCTGCATTTTCTGATACCAGTTAGCGAGCAGTTTTTCTTTGGATTCGTCGTCTCGCTTGAAATAACAGAAAGAAGAAAACTCGTGCTCCACTGATCTATTTCGTTCCAACCATCATGACACGTTACATTATTACAAATGTCCCCACCGACCGCGATGGTTTCTTTATTCAAAAGTCAGTCAAATTTATGGCTGACTTTGGCTTTCAACTCTCTAACCTATAAAAAATTGCCAGCCTTGGTAAGAGAAGTAAGTATGTACGCTCTGTCGGAAGGCATTCAGGTTGCAAGCCTGAGGCCGACATTTCCACGTTTAGGTTACCTTCATTTTCAAAACAGATACATTCATTATGTAAAGGTTTCTTCTACTATGAGCAATTTCGACTATAATGTCCGAGGCCCACCGAACACGGTTTTTCTACTCAAGAGTCGGGGATGTTTACACGCGGGAACACGTTCAAGGAGACAACTTTGCAACAACAAGGCTTGTACTTCTGCGAAAGAACCGTTCGCTCTTGAGAGGAAAATTCGAGTCGAGTGGACCTTAGGCTTTAGAGATAGTTGATTAGAACAATGCGTAAGTAACTTTTACGATTATGTGGTCGAAAAGCATATGGTGCTTCTCGTGGTGGAAAGAAAAAGGAGAGAGTGTCGACGACGACGGTAAATGGAGACGATCCATCGTTGGATCGAAAACTTGGCAAATGGCTCTACATTCTGCGAAAAATATTGACAAGTTTTACATCGAATCTAAGTAGTCTGTTAATTGTTATCTGCTTTTATGAATTGTTTACGACTGGTTTGTTCACAATTATGGCGAAACTAATAACAAGAATAATAATAATAATAATACTAGGTTGTTGCTGGGTAGGTACCACCTGTAACTACCAAATTTTCAAAGAAAAATATTGTATAATACGAAAAATTCAAGTATCAGCAATTTAAGGGTTATGTACCTGAAACTATGACTCGTTTTATAATTGAACTTTAATGTAAATAATTGAGAAATACATAATCGGCATCTTTAAATTACTTAGTTTCAAATAGTTCACCTATGAATATTACTTTTTATTGAAAAATCTCTGTATATTATGTTTTCTTTATCGTTAATTATTTATAAACTTTTTACATTAACCTTCGATAATAATATTATACAATGTTTCGTTTCGAATTCAATATCATCTCCTACATATTTATACATATACGTTTTATGATCCACGGAATCGACGATTAAAATAAAGTTGGTCCAACTAGATGCATTATCTTGTTTCGACGATTTTCAATTGTTTGTGTTCGGTAAAAAGCTAGGTTAACGACCATCTTGGACGATATTTCTTTGTATCTAAGGAAACGTTTCGGCATTTACTAAATATCGTAACAAAAATGGTAATTATTTTCTGCTTTTAAACTCGAGAAGTTTGGACAATATTACTTTTAAGGTTGAAAAGTACAATAATCATAAATCAAAACTGACATAGTGCAACGTGTACAAAGTGGAATGATATTTTGTGTCTGTGTGTGTGTGTGTGTGTGTGTATACACGTCATCTAATTATTTCAACGAAAATAGCAGCGATAATATGAATAATCTATAGTACATCTCTCAGTCGATTAATGTCGCAACTTTTAAACTAATAATAATAATAATAATAATAATAATAATAATAATAATAATAACAACAATAACAACAATAATAACGGGTAGCGTCAATCGTTCTCTCTCTCTCTCCCATTTCTTTTTTCTATCATACGCATTTCACGCATTCATTCCAATGAATACTTGACCGCGCATTAATTCGTCCATGTATAGGAAAAAATCAGCAACTCCTGTATCAACCAAGACCATTTCTTTCGCGGATAAATGTCTCGATTGGTGTCGGAGAGGATGATTTTTCTCGTAGGAATGAAACGAATCGTTACAGTCCGGCTGTACATTTTGTCGAATGCCACGAAAATATTTTCAGGAGCTGTTTATTACTTTTGTTTCACGATGGCACAAGGGTTTTTAAACATCGATAAAGGCATAATAACTTTTTGTGTCGTTTAAAATCGTTTAGATGCAATAATCGATTCCCTGATAAACGATAACAATTAATTAATAAGTTTAAGGTTCGCAGAGCTTTCAATAAAGAAGCATCATCTCGAATGTCGTAAATATCGATTTGTTGTTCGGGTCGCCATAGTACTCGACTTGCCCTAGAGATTTGTTGCAACGATCGATCGTAAAAAACAGGAAAGATTATTAAAACGAGCATACTCGAGTACAGAGAACGTACGCTTGGCTCGACGCTGACTCGCATTCAGAATTCTATCATCTCGTGCACCAATTTACTCACGCTACCACGGTCCACGATACGTGTGACTAGCAATAAATGTTATTTTAAAAATAAGTTAAATAACTTTCATTCGATGATTATGCGCACTCGCGCACGTTACAGCGCGTTAATCGGTTTCACTTTCATTCGTCTCTTTCCCCATCGTCTTTTACTAAACATGTCTAAGTGGAATGATCGCTGCTACCGGTAGATTAGAGTATTTTTTAACGAGGAGAAATAAAGATGGTTGGAAAGGTACATAGGTATATGTACATTAAGAAGGTAGGAGAGCCAGTTTTGTCGAGATCCGATATACTATACTTGAATGTTGAAACTGTAAAATTGAATCGCGCCAATCGCAGGAAGAATTGGAATAAACGGTGGAAGTATATAGATTTTCTTGGTCGACGATTCGTTAGAATGAAAATAAGAGTTGGGTATAGAGGTTTTCTAATTTGTTGGGTTCCGTGATGTGATGTCGATGTTTGGTAACGAAACGGTCTCGCAGTTAATCGGTATACTTACACGATTGCAAACGCCGTATCGAGATATATAAATATATATATATATATATATATATATACATATATATGTATATATGTATATATATAATATTAATTGTTGAGATAAGGCCACTAGTGGGTGATACAAATACAGTATAAATATTCTATAGTTAAGCATAGATTGAAAGCAATGGTTAGCGACTACAATATGTCCAGAGAAGAATCAGAATTCTTGAGAAAGAAGGTAATCGTAATAGGTGAATTTAGTAACGCGCAAGATTCGAGTTATTGTCATATTTCCATTATAAAGCGCGACTGATACTGGCTGTCGGTAGACTGATTTCGTCCGCACAAAAATCCATTCTTCCCGAACATATGTAGAATTTAATTACCTATTGCGTCGATGATCCAAGTATTAACAATAGACGCGACTCGTAACGAGGAATTCGTAGTTTTCCGTATTGAATATAATATTTGTCCTTTTGTTAAAAAGTTTACTAACAACTAGAATATACAATACAATTCACGCAATCTCTGTATACAAACACGTTATAAATTACAAAAGAAATCACTAAAGCCTCGAGAGTTTCGGTTTCATAGAGAAAAATCTCGTTCGACGAACACACGTGCGCGTGTGTTTTCCTCATATACGTAGAACGTTTCGGTTATCTTTTTGCGAAAATCGGATATATCGGTAGAAGGAAGCGTACGTATCGCTGCGTAGAAATCGAACGATTAGCGACAGATTCGAGTACTTTTCCAATAGAACCGAACCTGTTTCGGTAAAAAGATTAACGGATTCAAATATCGCGGCAACGTTGCCCTTCAACTTTGGGCGTTGCAAATGTTTTGATAATGTTTACGACGCACCCACCATATTTCAGGCACTATAGATTGAGCGTTGCTTGAGCCAGATATCGTCCGGCTTAAATCGTGTGTTACAACGTTGACTCGTGAATGATGGTTGTGTCTGGATCGCTACTGCTATGAATGATCGTGGGTTGCGGCACGTGCGGCGTTAACGTGATGGACGACATTTTTCTAACAGGTTTCGGCGAAGCCTGAAAACGAAGAAAAGGAAAAAGAATAAAAAAGAGGTAACGATATATGTATAATTATATTATTGGTTAAAAGTGTTTACCCATTCTCTCCTGCAAGGTGCTTCGTCGTCGGAATAATGGTCGATCTGTCCAATGTCCGTTTCCGTGGCAACGTTCCTCTTCTTGGGTTGTAACGTAGCGTAATTGCGACAGCCTCTATTGAAGTTCGTGATATTCTTCTCTTCTACGATCTTCTCTTGGCACAGTATCTCCTGCGACTTGCTTTGGTTATTGTTCGTGACGTTACTGCTATTAGTCTTGTTGTTGAAGTAAAAGGGTGGCATTTTGGAAACCCAATGATCGAGGCCCGATCCGGCCGAACTCGTGGACGCGGCCGAAGAATTGCCGGAATTGTTGGTCAAACCTCTTCGTTGATAAAACAACATGTACGCGGCGTTGGTAATCAAATTGGTGTCATTGACCGCTTCGACTCGCGTATCGTCGAAACAGTACCACTGAGTGTCGTAAGGATTTCGACAGAAGGCCGTGTAATGACCACCTTGTAGATCTTGGCCATGATGATTGCAAATCGCGTAAAGGTCGTAAACGTTTTCATCGTACTTTGGAATATTTTGCTGACGAGGTCTTGGTTTCTTCCAAGGCGACCAGCCAAGACCTCCCAAGCTCGCGACATTATTATGCGACTGCACTCCGTTGTGAGCGAGATGAGGAGTCATGTCGAAACCGTACAAAGGGAAATCGACCAACATGGTCAACTTCGAGGTGGATCTCTGTTTCGACTGTTGTCGGAATCGTTTCAAGTGTATGACCAAGATGTCCGGCAACGACCAGAGTCCCAACTTTTTCACAACTTCTTGCTTTTTGTTGCAGTAGGGGCAATGCCAGGCGTCTTCGGCGCCTAATATCTCAGCTCTGGTGTAGAGATCGAAACATTCCTCGAGCGTAACGGCACCACCCACCTCCGAGTTACTCTTCAACTGTTTCACGCTGGCGTGTTCCTCGATCTGATCTGTATCGTCCTGAATGATGTTGCATTTGCTCGCTTCGTCCCATTCGAGGATCAATTTAACGTGCTGAGGACCTGAATCGTCCGCGCATAGCGCCAATGCTTGCTCGATCTGCTCCGTGTAAAGAGGATGTTCGACGCAGGGATCTATGCAAGGGTGTTCGTCTTGGATCGGCGTGGCTGCCGGATCCGCGACCCGAATATTAAACAGGCCAGGACTCTGGCTCGACGTGAGGACATCGTCGGCTAAAACACTGTGCATCTCCTTTAGCAAAAGTTTCTGTAAATCTTCGTAGGACGTCTCACGGGACACTTGCATCGTATACGGGCTGCCGAAACGTTGCCTCAACTCGCCTTTCACCACAACGTTGATCCAAACTAACAAAATATATGCCTGCTCCGTAGGTTCCTTCAGTTGTGGCAGTTCTATACAGTAGAGTGGGTCGATTTCCGCGATAACGGACAGAGGTTGGCAATCTGAGAAAGTTCTGTAACGAATTTAGTTAATTACGTATCTGCTGCACACTATCGCTCGATCGCTAGAAAACAATAGAAAATTCGGCTAATTTAATCGACGCGTTTATATGTATACAGGGTGTTTGGCCACCCCTGGGAAAAATTTTAACGGGGGATTCTAGAGGCCAAAATAAGACGAAAATCAAGAATATCAATTTCTTCACTGAGGCTACGTTAAAAAGTTATTAACGTTTAAAGTTCCGCCCTTACTGAATTTTTTTCTCGAAAATGCGCAGGATTTCGGGGTTATGTCTACTCACCAAAAATGATTCTAATTGACCCCTGCACCGAAAATAATTTTTCCAGAACGATTTGAAATTTTTTTTTTCCGTCAAAAAATTTCACATCTTCTCGAATTTTTTTCTAGAAAGTGGGTAGGATATCGGGGGTGTGTCTATTCACCAAAAATAATTGTAATTGTTCCTCGCAACTGAAAATAATTTTTCCAGAACGATTTGTAATTTTTCAATTTTGTCGAAAAATTTCACACCTTCTCGAATTTTTTTCTTGAATCTGGCTAGAATTTCGAGGGTTTGTGTAATGACCAAAAATTATTGTAATTGACCCCTGCAACCGAAAATAATTTTTTAAGAACGATTTGAAATTTTTGAATTTAATTGTTAATAACTTTTTAACGAAGCCTCGATTAATAAATTAGTATCCTTGATTTTCGTCTTATTTTGACCTCTAGAATCTCTTATTAAAATTTTTCCCATGGGTGGCCGAACACCCTGTATAGTTAGACATTTTACAGAGCCGTTGTTAGTTACCTGTGAAATCCTTCGTCGTGGATTTCCGTGAGTAACATGTGATTATCCTCGATGCCCGTGTCGCTGGCCAAAATATCCCTCAGTTCTCTCACGTTGGCCGCCTGATTCACGCTCACGCCGATCTTTACTTGCCGCGGTTGCTGCGACGTGTACAATACGTTCACGAAAAGGTAGATCTGTCGATGATTCTGAGGAACCGGCACCGACACGCACAGGAAAGGATCGAACGTATTCGACTGGCGGTGACATCTTGGACAAGTCAGACTAGACCGAAATTGGGCTTGGAACACCGCGTGCACGAACGAATTGTTGCACCGGACATGATTCGCTAACGTTTCCGCCGCTACGATGTCGTCCGGTCTCCCAAACGAATTCTGAAAACCAGACAAAACGACAATTTATATTACTTTTCTCCCTTTCTCCCTCTTTCTTCTAGACACGTTTATCGAAAACTATTCTCATCTAGAGAGATCGCGTTGAAAATTTCGAGCAAAGTAATGTCTTTGTAGATCGGTGTCGGATCGACGGTGTACGGGAAGTTGAGAGCGTTTTAAATTACGCCGCCTCCGACATGAAAATTTCCGCTAAACACGAGACATTCCGTGGGGACTCGTTCTTTTCGCGAGACACGAAACACTCGCGAATCCAGTTTATCGGCCACGGTACACAAAGACGATCGTTTAAAACGCGTCTGTTCTAATAATAACCGTCTACCGACAGTTTCTTGCCGCCTATACCGCTTTTCTGTCTTTGGTTTCGCAATAGATCCCACGGAACAACCAAACCACCAACTGGAATACGCTAATAAATATTGGACAATTACGATAAAGCTATCAAGAAAAGTCGAGCATTTTATTTTTATCGAATCAAACGACACGATCTTTCATTCTCGACTGCGTATCTGCAATCTGCATCGAATCTAACGATCGTTGAACGATCACAGAGAAAAATAAGCAAACATCGATCATCTATCACATAACTGTTTGACGAACCTTTCAACGACCTGCCCTTATATTAACAGTTATTCTTTCTACATTGACACGTGCATGTATATTCGGAAAACCGTATCGTACCATTGACTACGCAATTACTATGACCCTGCGATCAAGGTCGCAACGGACAATTTTAAACGACAATCGAATTAGTCTCATCGGTATTTTCTCTTGTCTCTTCTTTTCCTTTTCGATCAGCGGATTCACAGAGAAGGCTTCCCCTAACCAGATCACCAATCTGCGACCTTCGAATCACGCCGAATCGCGTTTTTACCTTCTAAATACATGCACGAATAATTGTAACATTAACATCTTTACTTTATTTATGTATACTCGTTCAACAAACAGAAATGAACAAGTTCACGAAAGATAGCAATGCTTCTTTTACGTAGATAAAACCGTTTCGTTTTACCGGTCATTTTTAACGTGCGCTCGGAAGCCAAGAATAGGATAACTGTTGAACCATCCGCAGGATGTATCGTCGATCCAGTTGTCGGAAGTAATTTTCATTGCTTACAGACTGTAACGACTCACGATTGGTCAATGTCACGTTGGTACAAATGTACCTGGCGTGAACGATTGGCCAGCCGGTCGGTAACCCAACTACGACCAAACCTCAACATTGCGATTCGTTATACAAACTATTCAGCCATTTTCAAAAACAGTTGACGTGAAATTATGTATAAGAATTTTTCTTTCCGTGTCTCTCGATCTACTTACGTTATAGCTATCTACATACCTAACTACATTGCATAATAATTTAAATTTCTTTCTTTTTTCGTCGACAAATTTAAGCCATCCCCCTCCCTGTCGATTTTTCTTGAAAATTCACTATTGTAAGAGACCATTCGAATCAATTGCTTCTTCCTCGAATCCCTGAAGCTATAGAAAATTTTAATGAGGGATTCTAGACGCCAAAATAAGACGAAAATCAAGAATACCAATTTATTAATCGAGGCTTCGTTAAAAAGTTATTAACAATTAAATTCAAAAATTTCAAATCGTTCTGGAAAAATTATTTTCGGTTGCGGGGGTCAATTACGATCATTTTTGGTCATTACACATACCCCCGAAATCCTACCCAGTTTCGAGATAAAAAATCGGGTAGGTGGTGAAACTTTTCGGCGAAAAAATTATTTTCGTTTACGGGGGTTGATTACAATCATTTTTGGTCATTACACATACCCCCGAAATCCTACGCATTTTCGAGAAAAAAATTCCTTACCGAAAATCTAATGCGAGGTCAGAAATGCTTCCCTGATATTTCATGCGAATCTTTAAAATGTCATAACTTTTGAACGGATCGGACGATTTTAATGTTCAAAAAGGCAAACGACGCGTATTTTAATGGAGAATATGTGGGAATCGCAAAAATATTCGAAAAGTTGATCCTTGACCCCGAAAAGTTAAAAAACCCCATAAAAATGGTTCAATTTTCAAACAGCCATAACTCCTGCAATAGCCAATATATTTCAATGAAACTTTTTCCTGAAGTAGGGCTCATGGGCACCTACAAAAAAGTATTAGCCAACTTTTCTGTAGGGCGTCAAACAAAATTACTAAAAATGAAAAACGAATTTTCAAGAAAAATCGACAAGGGAGTATGCCTAAATTTTTCGGCGAAAAAAAATTTTTCAAATCGTTTTGGAAAAAATTATGTTCGGTTGCGGGGGTCAATTACAATCATTTTTGGTGAATACACATACCCCCGAAATCCTACCCATTTTCTAGAAAAAAATTCGAGGTGTGAAATTTTTTGACGGAAAAAAAAAAATTTAAAATCTTTCTGGAAAAATTATTTTCGGTTGCAGAGGTCAATTACAATCATTTTTGGTGAGTAGACATACCCCCGAAATCCTGCGCATTCTCGAGAAAAAAATTCAGTAAGGGCGGAACTTTAAACGTTAATAACTTTTTAACAAAGCCTCCATCAAGAAATTGGTATTGTTGATTTTTGTCTTATTTTGGTCTGTATCATCCCCCGTTAAAATTTTTTGTATAACAAAGTTCATCGGAATGGTTAAAAAGTCTAACCTTCGATTTTAAGCCGGATCAATTTTCCTGGGGATTTTCTTCCGGATCGGCAGAGCGAGACGACCTCTGCCGGTAGGAAGAACAACACGTGTCGCGTTACACACACGCAAGGTCCCGTCAAAGGTAATGGCTTTTCATAAAACCAGGCGTCACGGTGTTTTGAATTTATACACCTGCTTGCTCTCTTTAGTCGCTTATCCTTCCGTTGCGTTACGACGACGCATCGTGTTCGATATAAAGGATAACATTCGAGAAAATACCACGGGAAAAGTAGGAAAAACGCCTAATGAAAACTGAGAAGAACAAGGCGATAACGAGAGCAGCGTGATAGTTATTACGATTAGCTTATAAAACGGAACTGATTCGCGCGGTCTTAATACCGACTAATTATAAACAAACGATGAAAAAGTTATTTCTAGCTAATCACCGTTAACTTTGGATTTACCTATGTGTAACAAGGAACGAGCTGTGCTGACACGCAAACCTTCGAGTCGATCGAGTCCTGTAAACTTTTACCGTCTATCATTTATAAAACCAATCATTTACACATATATTACAAAGCATAAGTATTGCTGTGTGACCGATGAAACGAAATGTAAACTTTCAATTTCAAACATCTCTACTTTGTTATGCTCGACAAGTTAAAACAAATTGTTTACGTTCGTTGTACTTAATGCTTGGACGTACGACCATCGTTTCGAAGGATACTTTTCTACGGATGATAAATTATTCAAGCGACTGTGATCGAGGTTGCGTCGCGACGTTTACTTACGCTTCCTAATTTATGAGAAAAACTCACGCAAAGATAGAGAAGAGAATAGTTGATCGATAACGTTATCGAGGTCGTTTCTCGATTCGTCGAAATTCAGATATCCTAATTTTAAAAGGTAACTAACTATTGTTATCGCAAGATGGCACTCGACGCAGCCGGCATCGTAGTTTACGCTTGCTGGAATTTTTACAAGTGTCAATGATAAGGTTAGGAGATGCTTTTCAACGTGTTGCTCTATTCGTTCTTATTACATATTTACAACTAGAAGAAAACCTACCTATGTACATACGTAACGAATAAAAGACACGTTTGAAACGTAGAAAAGGTAAAAAAGATGCGTTTATATTTTTGGAAAACATGTTCGATTTTGAAGGCATCTCGATGTCTGGTTAGGAACAAGTCGGTCAACGTGTCCGACGACCAAGGGCGCTCGAGACAAAAAAACTGGTGACGAAAAAGTAGCACGAGGCAGCAGCCGTGAACAAACTACAGAAGCGACACGTCGGAGATTGTTGGTTTATCGCTTCCTTATCCGATGCTTGGTAAATATACATATACATAAGTACTTGGATCGCACGCAACAAATGGCTGATAAGATAAGCAACGAAGGATACGAATGAATAACCTATCCGGTGGGGATCGAGTGGTATGTACTTGTTTACATATTTATTACTAATATAAGCAACAAGTTTTTTTATAACGTAGGAGTTGATGTACGTATAAAATAAAGGAGAAACGAGGAGAAAGTAGCGCGTACAAGAAAACAAATAGGAGCATGTATATGTATACCATTTGTATACATAGATGTCGAGAAACGTGGTCTTGGAATTAAACCAAAGCAAACGATACTAACAACGGATAGTTTAAAAGAGTCGTTCGAAAGGTTAAACAGATCGATGTAGCTATAAAATTTGTTAGCATTAATAGATAATCGGTCGAGGGAGTTATATATTTGCATAATACCGCCCATATAAAATAACAGAGATTGTCGGAGCTTTTTCATTGCCGCGTGAAACTTGCTGTCTCGTTAAATATCATAATCTCAAGTAATTATCGACTCGTGACACAAGAGTGAACAATATAAATAGTCTTGTACTCTTAAAATTGCACGGAATGGCTTTACGATGTAAACGGATCGAAGACCAAGTTGCGTAAAACGACGAACGAACAAAGTATGTATAATGTGCACATGTAAACTAGAAACGTTTAAGTGCAAAATGACGATAATTCTTTAGATAATTGACGATTACATTTTACTACATTTACCGTTGCGTTTAATGGTCACACTAGGCAGCATGTAAGGTAAGTACACATATCTACGTCCACGAACGATCGTATACAAACGAAACTTTCCCTCGGGGTATTTTCAAAGTTGCATCACGCCCACTTATTATATTTTTCTACGCGTGTCGGTGAGAATGGCGAATTTCACGTGGCTGAGACTCGTATTAATAAATATCCAGCTATATTTTTTATACTTGGTAAATTACAATAAACAACGTTAAAGCTTTGTTTTAATTTCCATTTCTGTCCTTTCGTCGGCTAATATCGTTTATTGTCGGACGAGCCAGTATGATTCACGGTTTTGTTTGCTGTAATTTTTCTATGCTTTGTGCCCGATCGTCATGCAACTACGAGCATGTACTTGCAAATTCCATATATGTACACACACACACGCAGAGCGCTTTTAAACCGTACCGTAAATATTCTCGTCGAATAAAAAACGATGGTCAAAATACCATCGACGTTTCATCGTCCATCGAGTAAGTAGGTATGTACATAACCTGTAAACGATAATCGAAATAGACGTAATACGAACAGCTAATAATCGTCACGCGTGTTGCGCACTTTATTCTCGTTACGTCATTTATCATTCAACATCTCGAGTGATGATTCAGCGAACTAAAATTCTTCCCGTCCGCTCTCTTTCTCTGTCTGTCTATTTGTCTGTGCCCATGCAGTGACACGGACCGTGTCACTCGCTATTCAAGTTCATGTTTATCGAATGTAGATTATTTTTAGGATTGAAAAATGATACACTACCACAGTTGTGTTCTTTGGTCGCTTTACCATGCAATTTGATTATTCGGTAAATGGTCGCTTTGGAAATGTCACCAAGAAGACACGAAAAAACGTAGGTAACGCGGCACGCGCTACAACACTGGCTCGTGCGACAAGCTCGAACGTTATCTGAAACACGCGACCATCTCGGGAAAAATAATGAATTACTCGAGAAAATAACATTTTTCCATCGTTTCACTTTAATCGGTCAGTCACTTGTCATCACTTGTCCGTAAAAGTATAAAAGATTTGTATAGAAGAAGAAGACAGTTTCGAAATTTAATTTCTAATTATGCTAGGAATGGTTTAATCGCGGAGACAAGTACATTTGGACAGACGCATTTCCGGTTATCGAAAAGCCGGACCAATCTCTGTACGAGATTCCAACAGCCCCGACGAATCAATTTAAATGTATGGTTTGGCGGTTGTTTCAGGAACAGATTGATTTTCCCGCGGATCCGTCTGTCTCGATGCCGTTCAGAAAGCGTGGCACGTACTTTTCGAACGCGAAATAAATTTAGGTTAAGGCTTCGTTGCGACCGACTGCCTCCATCTTCTTCGCGCGTAATAAATAAAATCTAGTCAAGGCTGTACAGAAACCTACAGAAATCCCATTAATTTTAAAGATGAAAAATCAAATATACGTGCATGTAATATTTATCACTTTCGTGTAAACACATTCTCCCAGAGAGCGGGAGGTAATCGGAGGATAAATAAATAATGTGATTCTCGGATGATATTATATAACGAGGAATCGACGCGGCGAACGATAATAAACCTGTCCATCGGGTGCAACGATGCGAGAAACGACGACGACGACGAGGACGAGTCTCGCGCGCCCAACTTTCAAGCCATGCATGTCACGACCGACCAAACCAAACCAAACCAAACGAAACGAAAAGTTTTAAAGACACGTTATCTCACCTTGATGATCTTATACTTTTTTTTGGTTGCTTGATTTAGGTCCTCGTGCACTTTGTCCAGCAGCCACAACAAGAACTCTTGAGCATCGTGCTGCAAATTTCCCCGATACTGACTTCCGTATTTATCGACGACACTCTTAAACGCCGTGCTCATCTCGGGATCGTACTGGCAACTCCATATAGCCTTCAACAACAGGGCCAACTGTTCGGTGATCTCTCCTTTCGTCCCGTATTTCTTCGAGTTCAATTTATTCCGTCGAGACAAATCGACCTTGTACTGATCCAAGACAAAATACTCGGCGAGTATGTCGGTATGCGATAGGCACTGTAGCACGGCGTTCATGAAACACGTGTTACCGTGATTGCGTAAACCAATCACCCCTGGTACTTTATCGGGCGGTATATGCGCCGGTCTAGGTGGAGGCACCCTTATATCTCCGGCACTGGACCCGAGATCGTCTCTGCGAGACGTTTTATGGTTCTGGGTAGCCACGTTCGACATGTGCTGTACCATCTTGTTGATGAACTTCCTCCAGGACGGTCTGCGAAACACTTTCTTCACACCGGGTCTCTCTGGATAGCTTTGACCACCACCACCGTGCAATCGGCCCATATTTTGTTGCATGCTTTCTACTTGCTGCTGCATATTGTTTCTCTCCTTGGTGCTCATCCCGCAGCCGCTGTCTTTCGTATCGCGATTCTGCTTCGAACGTCGCCGTGACATTCTCCCGGCACTTTGAAACGGATTCCTCGGCAACGTGAACGTACGTTTCAATCGCGATACGGAATCTCGTGTTTTCGCTTCGGACAATTTAACCTCTTCCACGCCCAGCTCACCCTCCGACACCGATTTCATCACCGCAATGGCCTTTTCACCGTCCATTGCCGGCCACGGAAACAACCGTTCACGCTTCCGCGTGGTCGATCACATCACGCTTACTTTAACGAACGATCGGTACGCGACGCGTATTTTACATATCCCGTCCATCGGTTACCGTTCACGGAACAACGTCATACGCGTAAACCGCTTGTACACTCGGACGGCCATTTGCCTTTTATCACAGGCTTCCACGATTTCATGACGCCTCTACCATAGACTACGCAAAATGGCTGACCGGGGAAACCTTGCTACGATCAAAGAAAAAAGCGCCCTTCGTGGTATTAACACCAGAGGGCTCGACTGTCGATAAATAAGCGCCATCTATCGTCGAAGATCTCAAACTATTCCACGACAAACTTGGACGTTTTAGCACCAGGGGGGCCCGAGGTCGGTAAATAAGCGCCATCTACCGTCGAAGATCTCAAACTATTCGACGACAAACTTGGCCGTTTTGCCGTAGATGGCAGTGCAAATCGTATACCACCGATGGGTCACGCAGAAATATTTTCAATAAAGAATTTTTTCCTCGAAAATGCGTAGGAATTTAGGGGTATGTCTATTCACCAAAAATGATCGTAATTGATCCCTGCAATCGAAAATAATATTTCCAGAGTGATTTGAAACTTTTCAATTTCGCCGAAAAAGGGTATAGCCGAATAAAGGGGTCGAATGTGCCCTTGAACCTTTATTCGACGATCTACGTGATGTTGTTTAATAGTTTTTTGTAGGTATTGGACAGCTTAACGGGGGACCAGTGTACCTGTAAAACAAAGGAAGCTCTTTTTTCCTGCGAGTAATTTACGCGCGTGGCCATCGTTCTTGAACGATCCTGTATAATGACTCTGTGGATCGATTCCTCGCGATTCGCGCGCATCTAACGTGCACCGTTCGCCAGGAGGAATCGTGAAAAGAAACCTGCGCTTTTCTCGCGAGGTTCATTAGCGCGGCAAATTAGTGTCTGCGGTTCAACGAGCGTTTCGTGGCAATATTCCAGAGGTGGAACGAACCGAAGCGCGTTCGAGGTGCATTCACGATAAGTCCGCGGCGGCGTGTTGCGAAGGAATGCGTGCCTTCTCCCTCTTCCCCCACCACGCGTTTCTCCCATTGTTCGTCCCTTGGGCGCGGTTCGATTCGTCCGTATTTTTTCCACTTGATTCGATTCTTCGCGACGACTTTGTACTTTCTTTTATTTTTTCTCCCAAACAAAAATCTAGCGCGTAAATTTTATTCGAAGGCATGGAATTTCTTGAAACGATATCGCAAGAATTCCCTGACTTTCGAAACGTTTCAAAAATAATAGCAAAGGGAATTTTTCATTACTCGGATGTTGCTTGTCGGTTCGTCTCTTTTTCGACGATTCAAACGTGGGTCCATTAACATTCCAGGACAGTCGTAGATAAAGCACGGAAGGCCCGAGGGATGCTTTTCGACCCTCCCACGTCCCTATAAAGTCCTGTTTTATCTCTACCGAATTCCTCAACGCTAACTCATCGCGGCTCATTGTAATGTTGATGTCACGCTGCGAACGAGACGAGGCGTGTCCTCGCATTGATTCGCGTGACTTTGAATTCGAAAAGCAGATTACGCTGCCCGTTATAAATATCACGATTGTTGGACATGGTCGATTTCGACTCGATCAACAAGCTATATTAAAAGGAATTAAAAATTCCAACGAAGCAACAACGATAATGAATCCTTTTATTTCCCTTCTATAAAAGTCAGCGTGTCGAAGGTCTTGGAGGATCATCGATAAAAATGGACCTGCATTTGCATCATTGTGAATCTTCAGCGACTTTGGTATGCATTTAGAAATCTTGTGTCACCTCGACTGACACGCCAGCCATTGCAAGTCGATGCAAGAAAACCGGACTGTGCGTAGCTCTTTGCTTTTCACTGTCAATTTTCTGTTTTTCTTTCCCCCCTCGACTTCTTTGGAAACTATATATGCAGGTGTCTTATAAACGAGCGTTATACATATTTTCAGACTCGATAATTGATACAGTAAACTCATTCGACGGTTTCTTTACACTTTCTTGTTTAATCGGTGACTTTTATTTCGAGAAAGTTGCGCCTGGATTTCGAAATGCACGAACTTTGTAACAGGGATGAGACGATCTAGTCGAATTAATGTTTCGTGCCGCTGCGCCGTCACGCATCGCTTCCGAGTTTCAAGTCGTACAGAATTGAAATGAGAATTGTAATTATTTGTTTTCTCGAAACGATCATTAGGAGACGCCCATAGCTGTTACAATCATGATTCTACTTTTACTTTACAAGCTCTCGTTCCCTCGGTTTAGATTCAATGATAATAATTTGCATCTTGATCAGCTTTTTAGCAAAGAACAGAAGTCTGCGAGGCTCGTAGCAACGCGATCTTGGTTGGAAATAAAACTATTTTGCTCGAAAGGCCGACTTGGTTCTTTTGTACCCTCGACTTAGACGATTTCGAGAGACCGGTTTGAGGTATTCGCGAACCTGGCGGCGCTTTCCCCTTCAAACGGACGCTAACATCGCGGATGAGACCAGACCTAACCCAGACGGAGACACCTCATTCCTCTTTCTCACACTATTCAACAGATCACGCGTACGTGAGCTTCGATCAGTTCGGAGAGTCGACAAAGACAAACTGACACAATGTCCTCTTTTTCGATTCTCCGAAGCTGCTCGAACTAATTTCGGATCGTCTCGTGGGAGTCGAGAGAGAAAGGCTCACATTTGCCTTCTTACAAATAGCAAGTAAGCAATAGGAGCAAGTAGCAATCGTTATACGTTGTCAGAAATATAACCCAGGAAAGGCTTGAAAGAAAATATTTTGTTCATTATGGTACTTTGCTTCACTTGAGATCGGATCCCAGTTGTTGAAGAGTGAGAAGAGAAATGTGAGCCTTTCTCTCTCGACTCCCACGAGGCGGTCCGAAGTTACTTCGGGCAGCTTCGGAGAATAGAGAAAGAGGACACGTGTCAGTTTGTCTTTGTCGACTCTCCGAAACTCTATGAGCTCACAAGATTCGACAGTACAAAGACGCTTTATTTAAATGTTAATTACCATTTTCGTACGTGAATTTGATCATTAAAATTGATCTACGGTCAGAGAGATTAAAATTGTATTTGTAGATAATAATGAAACTTTGATCATTAATATTTCGCTCATTTTCCTGGTCGAGTTCCCCCCTACAGTTATTATTAGTGTTAACGAGATTACGTATAGAGGCAGTAGTGTTGCGCGGCTAATCGTTGGCTAAACGGAAGACTTCCACTTTCAATTTAACTCGTTGCTAAGTAATCAGCCCCTCTTGTCGACGGAACGCGGAGAACGAGAAGATTTATACGCGAGCATCGGGATTGTGTATATCCAGGTTCTGTCGTGTATTGAACCCGTCGTAGGTGGTGCGTCTCATTATGGTAGAGGAAATGATCGTGGATGAATGAGCAGTGGCGAGTGGGTGGCTACGATTGCCACGAACAGCGGAACCAGGCATAGCGAAACGTTTCACATACCTTACACTATCATATCTATGTATACTTGCTATTCTCATGCAGAGATTATATTCATTAAAGATTTTTTACTCGCCTTTAAACGTTCGTTTCTTTTTAAGAACAAAGTACTAATTTGGAAAGTAGAATAATTACATTTTTTAAAACCAACTCTTGAAACCTCGAGGCACATTTCTTTCGGTACCGTTGCAATCCCAATCTCCGGCAGAAAATTGAAAACTGCGAACAGTAACGAAAGAAACAAGCCTCGGAGTACCGCCTGGAGAACATTTCGAGAACGCGTTGAAACGGTAACGAGCAAACGACAAGTTCCTTCGAAGGCAAAATAAATTTCTTGATACAACAAAATACAATTAACACGTTACTCTGGCAAAATCACTTCCCCGGAAGACAAGAATTGACGTTCTCTTTAAGTACTCTTATTTTAAATACGAATCAAGATTGAAAATTGTCTCTATTTACAAAATATTGTTAAAACTTCAAACAAGTCTTGATATAATTGAAGTAGAAAAAATGGGGGGAAAGGGCTGCAATAAGTCAGCAAGAAATCGCTCAAGGTAAACGTCAACCGATAGGCATTTCCCCTTCTTCTTTCACCCTTTTTCTCGCTATGACAACTTCCTTCATCGAGTCTCCTTCTGAAACACCGGACGATGTGAAAGTGACGGAGCAGTGGTGCTCAAGTCCGAAAAAATCCGTCGATCCTCGAGGAAAAAGCTTCGAGGATCGATCGACGCGTAACGCGTAACGCGTATACACGTTTTCCCCGTTCGTTTCGTTTTTACTTTCCACGATCGAGCGGCGAGAATACATTAAAATCGAACCATCCACTTTTATATAGTTGCACACTCTACTAATTTAGATCAAATTACCGTTTCTTGCTTGCACGTTGCAATTAACGATCAGGTGTCGGTTTCGCGTGCCTGTTGGCAATTCTCGAACAAGTTCAGCAAAAAATAATGCGTTTCGTCGGCTCTACCATCGACCGGCACGGTTCTTTTTCATTTCCTTTCTCAATTATGGCCAAGAAAAAAAATTGTATTCACTGTAGGTGTCATTTCAATAATTTAAATTTCAAATCTTTCAGGCCACGAATGCTCGAAACAATCGATTCTCGAGTCTCGATTATGTGAAATCAAAGGTTTCGTCTCTGACAGCGTGAAAGAGTGGAAGAAAAAATATTTCCGTCGTTGGAAGCGTTTCACACGCGCGGCCCCCGTTCGATCGGGGCCCGTCGACACCTGGGGCCCCGAGTTTCGTGAACACGGTTTGGAGGGGTCTCGCGAGGCTCGTCGGGACGCGCGAAACCGGAGACTTCAGTTGTCACCGCGACTCCAGCGGAGCAACGTTGCGTTGTTTATCATTCCGCGAGGATTTTCGTTGTCGATCCATCGATCTGGTGCAACAACGACGATTTCAGTGAACGTCTCCAAGACCAGAGACTGACCGTCGGTTGTCATCGTGACAGCGGCCAAGCCGCTTGGCACCGTTTCGTTCGATCGGTGGGAGTCGTTCGTTGGTGTTCAGTTTCAGCGGGAAACGGTCCACGTCGAGCATCTTCGCGCGTTTTCCGTTCCACGTGCTCGCTGTGATCTACAACTGTGAACGATTTATGCTCGCCAGATTGTCCTGGATTTCTATTTCGACCGCACGCGGAACGGATTTCTGCCCGAAAATCGGTAACTCGGTCCTCCGCGGAATCGTGGATCGTCGAGAAGGAGCGCATTCGCGATAAACCGAGAAGAACTATGATTCCAAGATTACATAACTGGCTGCTTAGTGAATTCGTATGATATCTGCATCGTAATTCTACCTGAATCGTCATCGACCATTCGCCGTGACCTGAATAGTAAATCTTGGCGGGAATCGATGGGACGAACCATCCTCGTGCTTCCATGAAATTTAACGGATAACTCGTTCTTTAGGTATTTATGTTTATCATTTCGAATAATCGTTTCGTCGATTCCTGGTATATACGCGCAAGTTTCGCTCGTTTGTCTCGCGTGTACGTTGAGCCAACATCTGTACAATGTCATCAAAAAAGCATTTGGCTTTCGCGATAACGCCCGCCACGGTAATCTGCTGAACAAGTACACGATTGTAAACGAGCGTTTTACCATACGCAATACCCTTTCTTGCGCTCTTCGACGAAAATGATGTCTTTTTTCCCCTCCTCCCCTTTGAAAATTGCTGGGGCCAAATGCTCGTGGATCGTAGCGAAATACAGTGGTATTTTAAACGAACGCATACAGTGAAACGGTACAAAGTTTAATTATTAGATCCCATCTATCAATGTCTCCACAGATCTCGAGGCGATCGAGCGTTTCAGGAACGATCTTTTTAACTGCTTTCGTAATACGTTTACGAAGATCAGCTTAGATCACGCACGGATTGAGTTCTCATGCATTTGCTCATCGTTACGGATAGATCGATCTCTTGGAAACTGGTTCGCGAAATTCGATCGCGGTTTTCGCGCCTCTTTTCTTGCCAATAGTTCCTCAGCGACTAGTAACTGCGAGCTGCTGTTTTTTAACAAATTTACAGCAACTATAAATAACGCCCCTTGAAAAAAAAAAATAATTCCAATTAAATTTAAAACGTTGAAATTACCAAATAATTTGTTACTTCCATTTGCTCTTTGTGGCGATCGTTGAGAGACCACCGACGATATTGCCCCTTTCGAGGCTCGTATGAAAGACGTCAATGAATTTGACGAATCGCATAATAACTCTTTGAGGCTCGATAATGCTTCGCACGTTCATGAACCCTGGGAACGGTTTGTAACCGGAGAATTTAATTAGAACAACCGCAGGTCGCACGTGAGAATTGCCGCTTAAAAGTGCCTGGAATGCTTTCGATCGTTTAGAAACGCTTGCACTTTTCACCGCGTGAAACCTGCTAGCTCGTCGCCATCGACGAAATTGTGCCGTAATAGGCAAACGTTTGCTTATCGCGTCTCTAAAGCTGGCAAACAGTACTTAACAAAGTATCTGGGCCTGTTTATTATTCCAATTTGGATAATTCGTGCGTGGATGATTTGAATAATCCGCTGTGCAGACGTGGTCCTTATCAGTTTCTAAATTCAAGTCGACAACTAAATACATACGTGGCTAAAATTGTACGTACGAGAGGTTCTCTTAATTACAAATTATATTACGGATTGCGTGAACGCTCGCGTCGTTCGTTATCTGTAATACCAGCGTGTACAATAGATCTTACTACAAATGATCCATATTCTTTGCACGTACGGAATTAGGGACCATCGAATAATCTTATAAATGCAGTTTTTCTATTGTAACTTCACTATGTATGTAGGAATTTTTATCGCTCTAACCGACACAAGGTTGTTGCAGATAACACCAAGAATTATTTTCATGGACAGAAAAATCTAAGAAATATTGAATACGTGGGCCTCGTTTGTTTCGAGCTCCAGGCAGATGTATTTTTTGCCTGTAGGATACGTCGCTGGAAATACTAGTGTCGTTCCATTCATAGATCACGTACGCATTATTCTAATCATGAAACGTTACGAGCACGTATCAATTATAGTCGCGATCTGTTGAATTCTAATGAGATCATCGAGTAAAATTCATAGAATCGCGGACGATAGAATTTTATTTAATGGGATCGTGCACCTATACGACTCCATATTTCAAACGTCGTGGAATTAAATTATAAAACGTAGTCAAAAAGTTTATGCTTTTAACAGAAAGTGTACGCGAACGGGAGGAAATTTTTTTTCATAGAAACCGAACTAATATAGAATGGTTCGCTAAACTGGCGCAACGTGGCCGCCCTACCGCATATGTTAATGCAATTATATTACGGAGACTAACAGGTTGCCCCACTTGTTTAATGTAACATTGCGTACGATCAGATATTTCTCAATTATACATGTCCGAAACAATTGTGCTTTCCGCTGCCGTACGTACCAGCGTGCATAAACATGTTTATTTAATAATTTACGCATAGACAGGACAGTGTAGAAGTCGTAAACAGAATTCTGTCTCGGTACACTGTAATTAATGGTCGTGCAACGACGATAATACATTATTACCACGATCCTTTGCAATTTATCATTGCTCGCGGTTGCTTTTCCGCGTCGCGACAGATCCAAATATCGAACACGTCGCTATTTTATTCCACGTATCGCTACTGTTTAACGATTACTGTTTAAAAATCAACCGAGTATAAGTAGACGTTCGTAATTGGTTCGACGTTATGTAATTTTATGAATTCGTTATCCTCCTCGTAGTTGGCAACACTTCGTTTTGGCAGACGCGTTTGTGGTACCGCGTAATTCACAAATAGAACACGTTACGTTTATCTCGTTCCCCACAATTTACCGTGCGAATGATCGGGCCACGACACTTTTACAAAAAAGACACGAACCTGTTAATAATTACGATCACGTGGCACGCTAGAAAAAGCACGATAATAATTGTGTCAAAGTAGATAATAAACACAGAGATAACAAGTGGAAAACGAACGAGTTTCGTTACGAATAATCCTTTTGTTCCTCGGTTCACCGACTAACGCGTAACAAGGGATTAAAATTTGATCGAACGCTTGCAATTTTCCGGAGTTTTGCGAATGCTGTCGAGTTCAGTAAACCCCTGGTCACGGTGACGTGACTGTGAGCGCCGCATAAAGGGACTTAATGGAGAAATGGCTTATTTCCAGCCGTAACCCGAACACCATAGGTAGGTCACATCATTGTGTTAGGGTCCCAACGCGCCACGGTTTCATTGCGTTGCGTACCGAGTTGCGCAATACCGCTCGGTATTAACTTCGAATCTTGCATCGTGAAAGTAAAGCCCCGTTCACAATCGAACGAAAAATACGAGGCACGCAATTACGCTTCGAAGATCCATGGAAAAATTCCCCGACGCAACCTTAACCCTTTGTTTATTCGAAAATCATCCTTCGTCGTCGATATCGAGTAGCATTGGTGCTATAATTATTCACGAAAGGGTCAGGATCCCTATAAGCGAAAACTTTCTCCGCGTACAAAGATGGCGATGAGTCGTTCTCCGTTAAAGAAAATGTTCTATGAATAATTTTAAAAACCGGACTGTACGGCGATGCATAAATTCAGACGATTTCCTAGGGATGTTAAATAACCGGATGGAACAGGTTTTTTCGCGCGACGCTACGCAGCGTGCACGAAAACGTTCGGAATGCGTTCGAACGAGTTTGTTGACGTCCTTTTATTGGCAAATCCATCCAATCGGCCGCAACTATATTTTACAAAGTAAATAGGTACATGGTGCAGTGCGATAGGCTCGTCCAAAGACTTTATCCGTGCATCCTGTTGATAAAAAAAGTTACCGCGTTACCAGATAAATTAACACGCCACGCGATAGAGTTGTTATTTCCGTCTGTCTATGGCTCCGCTGAATCGGAAAACTTTACCCTCGGCCAGCAATTTTTTCACAAATTTCTTGCAACCTATTTATAAATATTTTTTTCTGCGGTAAATTATATATTTATAACAAAGTTGAATAACAGAAATTTTGGGCCTTGCGAGCCAGGAGATAATATCTATACGCGAGGTGCGTAATAAGAAGAATATAAAGCCATACAGTAGGAGATCTTATGTCTCTAATAAGGTATAATTACTCCTCGTCAGAGTTCAAAGTTAGCGTTTCTAATCGTTAGCCTCTTTCAAGCTCGTTGTTCGTTGCGATATATGTACGTGAACTTTAAGATTATTTTTTAAAGGAAACTAACTAATTTCTTACGATAATGAATATTTCTATCGGTATAAAAGAATGGTTACACGGTTGTATGTAATAATAATAATGAAAACGAAACGATTACGAGAGATTGCAAGTTTGCGACGACAATTTACGTATTTGCGTTTTTATTGTTGGTGGTGGTCGCTTGGTCCCAGCGAAGCGGACAGCGAGTGCAAAGTTATGATTCATTTGAAATTACAATACCGTGATTCGTCGCAGCTCGTTGCGCGGGAAACGTTATCTCGAGAGGAATCCGGTAGGCTCTCTGGACTTAAGAAAAACGTTGCGTTTTTCCCGTGGGAATCCCGGTACTCGTTACCAGCGTCGCTCGGTTGATTCGATAGCTTTGACCTCGCGGAACAAGGAGTCTAGTCAATTAAAACCGTCGACGTTCCGTAGACGAATATCCAGTTACGAAGTCACGTTTCGTTACTGTTTCAACAGTTCGAGACGACCGTATGCACGATATAATAATGCACGAAGAAAGTTAGGCCGAAAATCGAGTTCCTGCCGTATCGTAGAAAGCATTGTCATTACGGTCACGCTCGTCCTTCAGCCACACACCATCGAACCAACTGTATGCACACGATGGATCGAAAAGTTTCCGTGCAACGGTCTGGAATCTTTTCCTTCGAATAAAATGTATTAAAGATTTGTTTAACACGTTGCCTGTGCAGTAATGGTTTGGAGAATCAGATCAGGAATAAATTGCTGTAGGTTGGTTTTATTGGTTATTCGTCTATCCCGAGTAATTGATACAAATCGTCTGCGATGGAAACCGATACGTATATTCCCTGGTTGACGATTTCGCTAAATTTTTCAGAGGTTTACGGGGTGCTGGATGACGGACACGTGGCTGGTCACGTGGACAGAGCATCGGAGAAATCGACGAGCGCTGATCACGGCGATTCTTTCTCATTCCGGGACAACGAGGAATCCGACGCGTGACTTACGATACGTCGGAGTAGATTAAGAGAAATTTCCACGTCAAGTTGTCTGTGGAATCGGTTTCGTGAGTCATACGCAGCTCGAGGATCGTGCATCGCGCAGGTGTGCTTCCGGGAAGTTGAAGATTTGTGGTCGAAGAGCAACGAATAGCATACGTGGTTTCTCTGCCCGTGAAACGAAATCTCGATATGAGCTGACACCGGTTCTTCAGGTACAAATGTTACGTTTTAACTTTTCCACACCACGAGCCGTTGCGCCAAAGATACGAATCACTCGAATACTTTTAATTAGTTCAAAAGTCAAGTTTAAATTTCTGTCATCGATTTACTTTTTTATTTATTCGTTGGCTAACTCGTATAGAAAGATCCTTCGTCCGTTCATTTTTTCGAAGCATTCCAACGAGCCGCTATAAATAAATAATGTGCATTCAGATGCTAATGTATACAACACATTGACGAAGGCTACGACTTCGACTTGCCCGGGGCTGTTTTTTTCCATCGGTGTTATCGATGAAACAAAAAAATCGGTTTTGAAACGTCAATGTCGAAGACTTGAGAAATAGTATCCCTCGTTGAGTAATAATTGTTTTATAACCAGTTTTCGATAAAATGTTTACCCGTTTATACGAGCAGATATATGTATGTATTCGCAAATGTTTGATAAAAGAAAGCTTCGAGGTTGAAAGAACGGGGGGATGTCCTTGCTAACGTGGAAAGAATTTTTTACGATTCGCGTCGTAAATTCGCAGCCGCCGGAAGTGGAAAAAGGAATAAGTGCAGGATGCCGGGTGAGGTGCGCGCGCAGCCCTTATGCTCTAGCACATACAGTGGTAGCACGATGCAACCGGACGAGGAGATTCAGTACGCGCCAAGGAGCCGTCCTGTCAGCTTTTACGATAATTTTAAGGTGAGGGATCGTTTTGTGTCACGTGTCGTTGTTTACAATCTCAACGTGCCACCGAGACAATATGCAAACCGATCGCGTATCAGCAACTCTTTACGCATTATTTCTTCGATGATAATCAGAATCGAAATTCTTAAATAAAATTTCATTTTAATGCATACAAGTTTGACCGCTGTTCGATGTCTTCTATCGTTCCTACGACGGTCGCGATAGTATTCATCCAAGTTCTCGTAAGATAATATACGAAAGTAGATCCGTTTACGGATCAAATGCGCATAATCGACTCTGTGTACTCGTCGCAGCGAATGTTTTATCGGTAGTCTGGCCACGAATTTAGTCGAGTGAAACCGCAACAGTCAGCGTATCGGAAATATCGCGAACCGTGATTCATACTCTAGTGAAAATTGTATACAAATGCCGGCACTTTCATTCATAAATTACCATTATTTACTCCCAGAATTTTGCTTTCTTTTTTTTTATTTCTATTTTTTAATTAAAAATGTATACGTTAAAACATTGTTTTACGGCTTCTGCTACATTACACCGATTCTCTAAACGAGAGAAAATTCTATGCGCCTAAACGAAGGCACTTTCGTTCATAAATCATTTCTATTTAGTACTATAATTTTGCTTCTTCCTTAATTAGTGCACGACCAAGTTATAAATCTAGGCGTCTCGGATAAAAAGAGTTTCTTTCTCTAATTGAGATTGAATTTCTCCAAAAATTGTTTTACAGGCAATTGTTAACAGGCTTTCTTCTTTAAATTGAAATTCCGAAATCGATATCCGTTACTTTGAACCGTTAAGTCTGATCCGTTTAAAGCGATCTGTATATTCTTTTATTTCACTGTTCAGGACGTGCCCATGGTGACACCTTGCGTGACTTCCGCTTTAAGCGCTGACAATTTGAGTCAGGTCCGCGACAACAATATCAGCACGTCGATGGCCGCGGCCAATAACAACAATAATAACAATAGAGTCAGCAACGCGGTCAGCGCTGGTAACGTCTCAAAGATCCACAGTGCTAAAGTTACTGGTAAGTTGAACAAAATTTTCATCATTATATTGTTTAACGATCTTACTTCCCTAATGTCTTTGGGTTCTATACTTATTTTCTATTAACCCTAATCTACCAGAGTGACATTGGGTCGCATACCAAGCTTCGGTAATTATAGAGGAAGGGTCAGTAATTTTCTAGAAACACGAACCACAGGTTGGGACAACAAGGTTCAAAAAGATGGACGCATCAAGGGATGCAACTTTCAAAAAGTAAATTTCTTGGGTAAATAAAAAAAAAATCCAACTAATTTCGTGTTTCATGGCCGGTCGAGCCTCTAACAATGCATATATCAGTGACACTTGTTAAGCCGATCCGAACAACTAAAAAGGACAGAAACGCAGCTTGTTCGTGGTTCCAACAGGTTGTCCGATCGTTTTATTGCAATTTCGCGTGTAGTCGAGGACGCGGATGGTCGAGTTTACTCGTTGGTAGCCGAGGAATTTCAAAACGAACTTCTCGTACGCTTCTTTCTTTTTTCTCATCCGCTTAACGTCGTTGATCGAGACAAGCGGAGCACGATCGTTGGCGCAAGACAAAATTGGACGAGCCACCGAACTATCCTAGGAAAGTCGATCTGAAAATAGAACGGTCGCGGGTGAAATTCGGTCGTCGCTATAGTAAGCGCTGTTATTCGAGCAGACTTTCTCGCGCAATAACGAATTCGCGCAAAGATCCTAGGAAAACAAAACTCTGCAGAAAATTTCGCGCGCGCTTTCCACCTGATAACATCGTTTACGAAATATAAATTGAACCACTCTGCGTGGTTTTGCAATGGCCGGGAACTTTCTTCTCCGGTCGGCCACGGTTCATTGTTGGCTCTTTTAGCAATGGCTGGCGTTGTTTACGCCGACAGGTGCAGTGTCGACGGGTAACATCGGTAGAATCTACCGGCTCGAGAAGGACAAGGAACTAGGCCGAGCCCCGTCGATGGCCAATTGTTTGTCAACCACGGTTCCCGTTAATCTGGCGGCCTCGCAAATTGCTGGTCGACACACACCTACGAGGAATTCCCTCAGGCACAGCAGGATGATCGTTCTGCATCGTAGCGGGCATCGTAAGTAGAACCACTTTCCTTACCTGCCTCGTAAATAACCGCCTCGTTAGTTTTACCTGCCCTTCTGAATGTTTTTATCGAGGCGGCCGTACACAGAACCTTGCATAATTATCCCGTCCACATTTTTCAAACCCTACTTACTTTGGTCGTACAAGAACTCTTTTATTCCTAACTTTGATATAAATGCATTGTTTAGTAGCGCCATAAATGTTATTTTAATCCCACAGTCTCTAGTGAAATTCTATTTCAACTGACTCCGATACCGTGTAAGTACCAGTGATAGTTTTAAGCGTTACGATCGAGGTTTTAATTTTATCTTTCTAAATTCACAAAAAGTTAAGACCTCGGATTTACTCGACCGGAATATCTATCGCGATGAAGGATATCTCGCGTCGGATCTTTGAAAACTTTCATCGAGGGTATTAGAACCAGATTAGATACTTTGAAAGCGTTCTTCGAATGTTCGAATAATAGTTTCTCGAAACCTGTGCGTACACTGTCTGTTAAAATTGTTTATCGTTAGCGTCCTGGTAAATTTTTTGCTAACCGTTAGGTAACACGGACGCAATGGTTGTTGATTAACGAAATCAGAGATCGGAACGGATACGTCATCGAAGCTCGAATGTCACCGAGCGGCCTTTCACGGTGCGATAAACATTCTTGCGAGCAGGAAAAGTAACAATGTTTCTGCAAATCATTAATAATTTATATCGCGTGCAAAACCTCGAATAGGTTCCCCGAGTTTTTGTACTTTTATGAAATTCAGGCCCATTAAAAATTTAGATTCGGGAGAACGTTTCGAAATCCAAAGTCCTTGGAGTTCAATTATACGTGCTCGTGTCTCCTAGTTCCTCCTCGGGAGTCTCATGTTCATGAAATCACTGTGCTTCGATGGTGCTCTGATTTTTTAACAAAAGCTTCAGGCACAAGTTCACAACATTATAAACAAATATATTGTCGCTTGGGCTCGATAACGAGAGTGTTTGCGCACCACTGTTTTAATCGATGGTTTTAACGAAACTATCGAATCGATCTTGAAGGTCGATCGGGAGGAATCGTCGATTTCTCTCCAAGGACAGATCGAAAGACCGACCGTGGCAGGTGTCTGGCAGGTCGGGTAATAAATGTTCGCCGGAATGCCGCCTGCCCAGAACAGGTCAATTTTTCACGAGTTCTTTTCAGCGATCCCGCCGCCATTAGCTTGTCGCCGTGTTATGCGTGCTCTTGTAATTTCACCGTGCATTTCTGGCAACGATCTCGACGCGTCGTGACGGCAAAACAGGGTCGTCGAGGCCGCTGCAAGGTAATCTGAAAGATTATACTCGAAAGCTTTGGGATACGCGAAAGCGTGCAGAACTCTTTGTTTCGTTACAGCGAAGCCTGTTATCTCTCGTAAAACATAATATCCAACCGAACGAGTCAGGATTTTTCGTTAGGCGATCTCGTTTTCCTCGTCGAGGTGGATAACCTTAACCTCCTCAGGGACGAATTATGCTTGTTTGTAACGATGCAGAGATTTGAACCAAATCTCGTGCCAAAGCCAAGTCTAAAACTAAATAAAGTTTTAACGAAAATATATGCAGCGAGAATGGCGAGGGGTCAGCACGTGATTAAAAATAGAGACAAATGTATTAGATTGTTTTAATAAAATCATAGCTCGGGGAGACAGGTAACCCTAAGTGGGTGTACGCTTCTTGGTCCGTTGGCCACCGTACTCGCTTTAAAGTGGTTGCACATGGTTCTCTCCGAACAGCGGAAGTAGCAAGCCGGAAATACATCATGTGATCTTTTTAGACTGCACGCGTTCACGACGCCTTCGTATTTATCACAAACTTTATTTGCCATTTTAATTCTAAACAATTACCGTCCATACTTCCAAGATTTCTCCGATTATTAGAACCCTTGCTCAATTACAATTAGCCAAGTTCAGTTTATGTAACCAGTCATTACCAGAGTCATGTTCACCTGCAGAAGTATGGTTGCAACATTGCATCGTCATGCTTGTTTCGCGAAAAAAAATATTCCCGCGCGAACATGATTTCGTTCGACTTCTGCTGACGTCAGGCTAGGGTAAAAGTAAAACACGATAGAACCTTTGGTTATGCAAATTGGTCATTGATCGTTCAACCTCGATCCCTTACTGTAGAAAGGTATGACAAATGTTTGGCTGCTTATCGAAAGTAAAATTGTGCCCATCTCTGAATGCAAATTCCGTATCAGACTTGGTTAATTATATTGACACGTTTTTTCTCATTCATGTGCCACATGAATGGCACGTGCGCGTTACGAAGGGTCGAAAAGAACGAGATAGAAGCATCAGGTCCGTTTTACTTCCACGTGGTGTATAAATCCTGGTTTCGGCCCATCCCCGCTCGTCAGATTCTATTTCCAGACAAACTTTTCGAATTGACAGACGACTGGGTGCACGGAATAATAAACGATACCGGAGGCTCAGACATCGATAAAAGTCTGCCACGAATAAAGATCGCGAATAAACTTTTGCGTTAAAAAAGTTTCCATACCGCTACAATTTCCTAACGAATTCATAACAATGTTAGTTTAAATTGCACAAATGTTTCGTGCACTCGGTGTTTTAACGAGTCAAATGAGCCACGACGGAAATGTTTATCTAAACGTTGTCCTACATGCCACCGTTGATAAGGTGCCACGTGTTTTTTGTCTTTTTGTTAGAGCAATGCGCAGAAATAAATATGGAATAGACTCTGGACTTTATCAAGCACTGTTTGATAGTAAATTAATTTTATTATCGAATAGCACGAAGACTTTGGTACCAAGTTTCTTAAATCTGGTGCAAAGGGTTAACGTACGCGTTCGTGTGCATTTAGATCCGAGGAAGTTAAGGATATTCGCGAGATCGGAAGTACAGTGGGCGACAGCAATTCTCTGTAATGCGGTTACACAACTGCCGTGTTTCTTCTTACGCAAGTCATTATACATGTATCGAGGCCGACGGATAATGAAAACGTACCACCCAGTGTACGTTTCCACGTTTGGTTTACGCGATTAGGTCGAGTTTCCAACGAATTCGTCGACGGTACGAATCGTTGCAAAACGCACTCCTTTATCGATATTTAATATGTCGTCATTGCATCCGATTCGGAGACTTCAATTCCGTACGCGCAACTTTAATACGTATTCTTCTCGATTGTGAAAATTCGTAATTCGTATTGCGCGCTCGTAGATAAGATTACGTGGAAACTTTTCGAGATAGTCTCAGCGAATGTAAATGTAAATGTAAATGTGGAAATTATTTTGAAGTAAGGATTTCAAGAATTCAGTCTTGGTACACGCAGTATGCAAATACGCGTTTCCGTCTCGTTCGAAGATCGTCACACGCTTTGATGCATCGACGTATAAACTTTCTTCGTTCGAAAGGTGGGATACGCAGAGTTTTCAGAGAGGTGGAAGAGGATTCCTATCATTCCTAGATGCGATAGATGTCTTTCGTTGCAGCGAGAAGCTGGTCGTGATTTTTACCTGACCCTTGCATGCAGTGTCCTGGCTGCAGTGGCATTCTCTTCTCTTGTAATGAACGCACACACGCACGGCCTTACAATGGGAACGACACACATTCACGTCCCACAATCTTGCATCGTGCGAACCGCGTTTCTCGAACAAAAAACCGATAACCTGCTCGCCTTCCGTGGACTTGCATTTTACGAAAAATTCCAAGCAAAATGTCCAACAATTTCTGTCTTCTTCGTACTCGAATTCTATTTGAACTAGTAAATATTTGCACGTTAAAACCTGATCGTAGATCCGTATCATCTGGAGCGGCGAGGATCGAGGAGGTTCAATTCTTCTCCATCCCTATTCTTCCGTCTAGATTCTATACAGTTAGGACTCGTTTTGTATGCAACCCTCGCGCAAAAGAGAACCCGTATCGATTGCGGTACGACGAACGAGAATGCAGCGTCGCCTTTTTCTTCGTCGTAAACTTCGTACATAGTTCCTTCGCGCCGCGACGCATTCGTCGGTCGACGATCCGCGCGCGTTAATATGCCGCCCGCGTCGAGTAATATCCTGCGAAGGTGAAAGAATTTTCTTCCAAAGAAACCATTATGCATCCCGTTAAGTGCAATCTGGAAGGTTACGACTTCCAAACGCGAACCTTTCGTCGTAACACAACGCGGTCGTTAAAATTTTAGATTCTGCCTAAAGTGGAGGCCATTGCGCCGTTCCTGCGACGTTTATGTTATAAATATTTCAACGACAGCCAGGACACCCGTGATATTCCCCATTTTGTTTTTTAATTCTGCAATAATGTTACCAAATCTTGTGCAAGTAAGTATCCTTGTCGGTTAACAGAGACGTCGAAACGACGGAAGAAATCCTGTTTGTGCTTTCATTAAAGTCTCCGACTGGTCGCGAGACGATATTAGAGGTGGCATACGCGGAAAGCCCCTCTGCGGGTTATCTCGGTTACGCTCTGTCATTATCCACTGGTCAGTGAACGAGGATTTACTGCGGTTCGCTATTCTCCGCGGCGGAGATCATCGCGATCATTATTCTCTCTCGGTGGCATGGACCTCTGCCAACTTCCATCGCGGCCTTAAGCCGCAAGGAATTATTTTCCCCTCTTTTCGTGGCCAGCCTTTTCCAGCATCCTTCTAGGAATTTGTTTCACCGACGAGCCTCGAATACGTTAACAGTGAAAGCGGAAGAATGCACAAGAAACAGTCGGACGACCGGGTTGATACATTCCGCGGGTTATTCTGGACACGATCCTAGTCTTTTCTCTGGTTACGAGCTTCAATGTCGCTATCAAAATTGAAGAAATAAAACGCGAAACGATCTCCCAAAAGCACTGTTATCCATTGCGGAATAAAATGGCGGATTCTCGCCGGAAAAAGTAGGTTTCGCGGAGAGGAGAAGTTGGTCGAAGCATCGCATAGATTCTTACGGATGTCCTCGATCGTTCCTCTCACCTATCTCGCAAGATCTCTAACGAAATCCGATCCACATCGGCATTATCACCGGTCGGGGCACAGTGGGCGAGCGTTGACGTCGCGTTTTCATTTTTTTTTCGTTCCCTTCCCTTCGTTTCTTTCCAAGTATCGAGGAACAGCCGTTGCAAATCTTGTGCAAACGGACCTAGTGGGCGAGTTTCCTGACAGTGTCGATATGGCAAGGACGGCACGACGTTCGATCGTCCGGTTAAGATACCTTGTAAGGAGGGACAGCGAGGCCGTTTCGATCGGAAACTCTCCTTTCTTTCGGCCCTACATTCGTTTCTCGGAATCCGTCGCGTATCGACCGTTAATCGTTGCTTCGCTATGGGAAAATCTGTGTCGCAAACGACCAGATACATAGAGCGATAGCTTCATACGCGACGCGGCGTAAAAAGAGGCACGGCAGCCAGCCTCTGGAGAAAATCGCCTCGCGAGTTCCCGCGCGAGATTACCACGTAGACGCAATAAATACATACTGTGTTCAGTATGGCCAAGGAAATTTTATTCTTAATTTATTTTTAAGGACCACAGAAATTCCTGCCGCCGTTGGTTTATCATTGGCGACTGGGACGGTGCTTGGCCGCGCTGCAAACGATCATCGGCGTCGCGGTGACATCGTTATCGTTATGGTTGCTGCTCTGGGCACCTCATCTACCCGTCGCGGATAATCCTTACTGGAGCGGAATGCCGGTGAGTCGAGATCTCCGCAGGAAATCAGCGAGCGGATCGCTCACTTTTATCCCTCTGTTCGCAGTTGTTGCTTTCGGGCAGCTTTGGAATTTGCTTGCTGTGCTGCTTCAAGAAAGAGTATCCAGGCATGAGTCCTGGATTCTGCCTCTCCTCGACCAAGGTAACCAAAGTCGAGCTTTCAAATGTTCCATTGCAAGATCCTACTTTGTTCATTCTTCCAACTTTAAATAAGTCGTTTTGTTTCTTCGAGCAGGTGCTCAGTGTGTTCCTGGCGACTTTGGCAACGGTGACCTGTTCCATCGCATGCGTGTTCTCGGCGATGCACCTGATGCGCCTGAAGGGACTGGAATGCAACCCTGCACGTCTGCCAAGCGTCACTTGCGTCTGCAGATCGCCCGAAGGCGCGACAAATTCCACCGAAACGGCGGTCAAATACATGGACCTGAACTGTCCGGAGGTCGAGAGCATCCTGACGATTCTTTTGATCTTCTCTTGCACCTGCAACGCTTTCGGTGCCTTTCTAGCCGGCTGGTACACGTACCTTCACTGGAGCACCAGGAACAAAAGGCCCAAGTACATGCAAGTGAGAACCAGCCACAACTTTGTCACCGGCAGGCCCATATACAATCCGAATCTGAACGAACGATGACAATTTTATCAAGACACGGACGAGGATGCCTCTTATCTTCGGTACTCCTCGTTAACGATCAACGACGGAGCGTTTTAGCTCCACGACTACTGGTACCTCAACGACAATAGATTACCCAAACGACAATAACGAGTCTTATCGAATTTCGGTGTAAATCTTCGAAATGGAAGAACTGTTTCTCGACTTTGGATTCAAAAGATCCCCGATCCGTTAAAATACTTATTAGGACAAAGTCAATAAATCGTGCGTACGACGTTCGTCGAAGAACGACCGCGAGGTAGGTTAGAGATCGGAACAAGACCAAAAACAATTAGTGAACCGAGTAACGTACCGATCAACGGATCTTCAGGAACGAAACGAGTCGTTGATCGTTTACGTTAATCGTCGTAATGTGTTCTTAATATTTATTGTACCGTGAACGATGCACATCGTTAAGTAGATGATAAGATTTTTAGCGTGTTTGTGGCGACGATCAAACCTTGCATTTAACGACACGTGAATGCACAGTGGTGTCGACGAACGTTTACAATATGGCAATTACTGGACAAACCAAAGTTTCGTCTACGCGATTGGAGCAGAAAGTGTGAACGCGGATACATATCACTGAATTGTATTTAATTTAGACGGAAGAAAATTTGTCATTTTATCGTCGAGAAATATTTACACGGGGCAGAACCGGATCGAACAAATTACCGAAAATGATTTACTTCCGTAACGAATGGAAAATTCTAGCCCCGAACGAAGATAATAATTAAACGGATAACGGGTCACTCCGCGTGCGATCGATTTCCACGTGGATCGTCAGTATTTTAGGTGTAATTGATAAATGTCTCGCGAGTGTGTGTCCGTACGTGTACGTGTAAAAGTAAAACTATAAGACGGGGCGAAAGATTTTTAACTTTACCGTGTACCGTCGGGAGATCTGTCTTGGATTTTATACCTCAACGCGTGTATCGCGTAAGAAGCTAGCTGTAAGACTTTTTCAATCAATAAATTATACGGTAGCGTAAAAACGAATGTAAAGAAACGAATAAAAACGACTTCAGTATTATAAACCTCGAGGATGAAAGGAAACGAGAGCGCTCCATCGTCTTCTTACCAATATTTTTATTCTGTTCATCTCGAATCACGATTTTCCGTAGAAATTGAGCGGGCCTGATCTTCCGATTTTCCCTCCACTTCGTTTATGCGAATCTCCGGTATCACGGCACAGTCACTCGACTGTGACTCCCACGAATCACGAAGAACCTTCGTCAACCTGTTTTTACACCAGTTAGCATGTTTCACAATGCGACAGATAATAACAAGATAGCCTCCGAGCTACAAGTTAACGATAAATTACCTTGTTCGTCCACTGGTCGATCCACTGGCTTTGTAATTATTTTCGGAAGCAGGTGGAAACGGGTCCTCCTCCACGTCCGTTAGTTCGGCAGCCTCGACTTCCGGTTCAGCTGCAAGTTACCCAACCTTGTAGAGAAACAGTTAACGTTTGCTAGAATTAAGGAGCTGTAATTTAGTAACCTTTTGGAGATCTGGACTTGGTGGACTTTTTGGACAAAGCGGGTAACATTTTTTTCCATTTCACGACGGACGAGTCGACCAGCCCTTCTCTTTTCACAATTTTAAACAGTTTCCGTCGCTCCTCTGTACGCTCGTGACGCAATTGTATCTGAAAAAGGACAGAGAATGTTCGCGGCAGTTCTAATCGATCAATAACATTTTACTCGCTTCACCTTTAAATCGTTGTTAGCCTCTCTTAATGACTTTGTAAGAGACACCATGTAATAAATGATTAGAGTCATCAGAAGGATCAATGGGATCACGATACCTGGCGAAGCCATGTAATCGAGACACCTGAAACAGAGATATCGAAGAAAATAAATCTAAAAGTTTCATTTTCGCGAACAATTGGAGGGGTTTGGTCTGGCAGTACCTTTGAATCGTTTCCGGAAGGGAATCCGTGAGCTGTTTCGTAGCCAGATGGTAAATTTTTTTGTAACCGGAAAACGGGCCACAATGCCACGACGGTTCCACCCAAACGATCGCATAACCGACGGGCAACACGCACAGCAACAGCATAGTCAGCAACAGAGCGAAGTAAAAGTTGTTGGATCTGTAAAATATTAATGAAATAAAATAAAACGACACAACAGTTTGGAGGATCAGTTACCTGGAGGCTCGAAAAATCACTTCGTGGGGCACGTTGCAAGTGAGAACAGCCCAGGATCGCAAATACATGAGAATACCGAGCTTCAGAAGGTTCAGTGTCGTTAAACCAGGACTGAAGAACATCCCCATCCAAATCATCCCTTGATTGTTCACCAAGTGGAGTATGTTCTCGGCTATTTTAAAGTCGCCGTATTGAGGGAATTGTTTCTCCAGGTCCCAGCACCAGAAATCGTTCATGTAACGAATAAAGACCGCCCTGAAGAAGTCTATGCCGAGCGTGGACACTATAGTGAATACCTGAAAGATTTCCAGATCAATCAATTTTATTGTTAATAAAATTTAATAATTTTAATTTACCAGGTCCATGACGGTCAGTTTAGCGAGCTCTTGCCCGAACATCGTCTCCCAGCACAAACGACGAAGCTTCTTCCTAGTTTTTAGATCCAGTACCTTTGACGAGGCAACTGTAAGATATAATTGGAACCATTCTAGGGGGTGAGAAAACAATTTCTAGGTGAATAAATAAGGATATACTTGTATCTTGCGTGGTTGTCGTGCAAACTTGCTCGAAGCACTTTACAACGTAGTCTTTCTCTTCGAGTGGAATCACGTGCTCGTTGGACGATGTCGAAGAGTCGATAGCTGTTTTGTCCGCCGTTTCTGCGCTAGGTTTTCCGGCGAACATGGTTGTAATTACCGGCGGTTCGGTGTTGGTTCGTTCCGTGGTTATCGAATATTCGTCTACCGTTTCAGTGGCCGTCGAAGAAGTCGATATGTCCATAATGGAAGAACCGATAAGATCTTCGTTAACGGTGTTTGCAGTACTCGTACCATTAATTGTCGTCTCGGTTGGTTCATCGTGAGCCGTGGTCTCGTAAAAGTTCATACTAGATGACGAGGTATCGCTGGTTTGTTCGCTCGATTCGCTAACAGAAGTCTCTATGAAACGATCATCGGTAGAAAAGATGGTTGTTTGCAAAGTATCGTTTAGTTCGTGTTCCGTAAACGTAGAATTATCTTCCAACGCTTGCTCGGTCGAAAGCTGTGCGGTTTCGTTTCCTTCCAGGCCGTATTCGTCGTAATTCTCATAATAATCGCCGATATTGTATATCTCTTCCAGCGTCTTCTCGTCCATAATCGGATTTAAGTAGAAATCGCTGGGCAGCATCAAATATGGCGGCGGCGCTGGATCTACGGACACATAGAAATCTTTATGAAACGTTTCGTAACTATAACTAAAATTCCTCGAGACGTACTCGTTTTGTTGTTGCGTTGTAGATCGGTACCGTTGCTCGCCAAAATTAAACTTAGGGAGACGAGAGCAGCCACTTGTTTCGACTTGGAGGACTCTTTGTTGCACACGATAGGCTTGTACGAGCAATTCGTTGTCGTCGGCTGTAGATCTTGCAGATCATTTTTCTACGATACAAGCATTACGAACGAATATCTAAATTCAGAAACAAATATATTGCTGCGTCGTGTTACTTACCATCGAGCTTATTTTGCCGAACAATGCGAATATCAAAGAGTAGAGATTCAATAAATTCAAAACCATTATTCTGCAACGAATCGTTCGAATTTTGACAACGCTCCCGGACGTCCATAGCAGGGCAACGAAACGATCACGTTCGGATCGACTCACCGTGCAAGCTGCAAACGTAATTGCTTTCTGGGATGATAGCTCTCCAGCAGGCCCAATATCTCGAAGAATATCGGGAAGAAGTAGTTGATCAGGGACGTGACCACCGTAATTTCGTTCTGTCGCCACCAATCGTTCTGTTCCAGTTCCTCGGCGCTACGAGCGACCACTTCGATCACCGCGCACGCCGACAATGCTAATAGCGACATCACCGATATGTTCACAAAGATTCTCATGATTATGATTTTCCAACTGTAAAAAAAGATCAACGAACGTAAATATATAAAGATTCTAGAGGCGAATATAAGACAAAAATCAAGGATACTAATTCGTCGATCGACTCTACCGCTAATTGGAAATTAATCTTACTTCCTTTCGTCCTTTTCCTTCTCAGCCTCCTCGAGCAGAGCCTCCTTGAATCCCATGACGATGCTGGAGACGCGATTGTGGGCGGTTTCGGGGTTGCCGATCATAAAGTCCCATCCCGTGAACAGCTTCCACGAGAACACGTACTCCTCCTCCTTTTCGATGAGTTTGCTCAGACGAGAGTTCTCTGCCACTCTGGAAGCCACTCGCAACGTCAACGAGATTCCCTGGAATTCGCTACGTTAACGATCTTTTCATTTACTTGCGTAATATGGCGACGAAGCTGTAGATGTAGAGGACCAAATTCGTGACGAAGTAGGCCAAAGGTAGCCGATAACCGGTCTCGGAATCCTGATTGGTGTACCAGCCGTAGAAAAATGGAGAGTACTTTAGGATCCCCTCGAACTCCCACAGAGTCAGCAGATGTTTCGATTTGATCTTCTCTTCTCTGAGCATGATCTTCCTTTCGCCTGCCGCGGCTGGGTCTGCTGTGAGCACCTGCGTGTTATTTTGACACAGTTAGTGTCGGAAGTTTTCGCTTTCTGGCTTCCAACGAGCGAACAGTACCTCTGGAATCGCGACAAAGGCCGTGATGATGGCCGACATGACCAGATTGATCCAAAACAACCACCGAAGGAAAGTGAAGTAGGAAGCAACCGCGGACCCGAAATGAGATTCTATTTCCTTGATTCGAAGCTCCCAGGGGATCAGCCAGGTTTGAAGGTTGACCATTTCTCTTCTGCAATATTGCCATTTCTGCGAAAGAACAGCGAATAAGTAGCCTAGGATCCATGGATCAACGGGTTTTTGGCTATATTCCTCTGATCACCTTCGTAGTGAACAACGAGATGCGTGCAATGGCGTCTTTGGTGCTCCGCGTGTGGGCCAATCTTTCTTGAAGGACTCCCTCGTGTTTTCTGATATAGGATTTCGCTTGTCGTACGAGCCTGATCTTCCGACGAAGAGGCCATGGTTGTTGTTTCACTCCGCTCAACACTTCCTTGTGCAGTTTCAACTTCTCGAATATCTGCTCCTGGCTGCCGCTTTCCTCTATCGAAATTGCAGTTCTGTACAGGCGTCATTCGAATTTCAATTAAAATTCGTCGCGAAAAATTAGGGTGTCTGATGAAATACTAACTCTCCGGAGCTGATGGTATAGACGGAGGATCTTCGACGATGCGTGGGTTCGGACTCGGCGCCGAACGGCGACGACGGGCGTCGTTTGCGTCTGCTTTGCCGTCGGCTGGAGCTTCGTCGTTGCATGATCGCGAACGCCGACTCGGAGTAATCGTCCTCGTTGCCCTCTTCCTCTTCTGAAATCCATCAGACTCTCGGTGAATCAGAATTCCAAGTATTGATAATCTCTCAGATACGAACCAGCTATGGATATCCTTTGCATGTCGTTTACTTCTTCAGCGTCGGTGGTGTTGTCTTCCTGCACGTTTCTTCGATCGTCCTCGTTGTCGTCGTCTTCGCCGATGGCGAACGTAACTGACACTCGGTCGACCGACGGCTGCGGGGAGGAAGGTTCCACCTACACACGGAGGCAAAGCCCGGCAATTAGTTGCATGAATTTCCCTCGTAGATCATCCATCGTCACGCCACGTACAAGCCAGCGATTGGATTTCAAAAATACAGTTCCAGTTCCAGTCGTTTATTACCCAGTCGAAGCTTCTTATCGAACGAAGTAACTAATCGAAGGGACGGAGCAGTCTGATTAAGAAACGTTGAAGAATATACATAGTACGTAGCTTTTAAGCGGCAATACAGTAGGTGAAAATGACAATTTTCCTCAAACGAGGAAGAGAATTAGAGGGAAGAAGAAATATCTGTACCTTAAGTTTGATCGTGTGGATATGCAGTTGTTGAGAAGAACGAAGCTATTAGCAGATGAAGAAGAAGAAGAAGAAGAAATCGTGGATGAGTCAACGTCGATGGATTCGGAGGAACTGCCATCGTGTCGAGAGGGGACAACCTATGGTCATCCCTTGCTGGAACCGCGCCTGTATCGTCTATAAAGTCGGCCTTAATGCTTGTTCTACTCGATATCTCGGACATCCGTCCACACCACAAATCTTCGAAATCACGAACGGTCGTATATCACCGGCAAATAGAGTTACTTCCCTTTACGATCCGATTACATCGATGACATCCAGCTTACGCGACAAACGGCCCTCCTAACGATGCTCTAATCAACTTTATGGACAACGACCATTGAAATCACGATTGGAATTTCACCTACACACTCTTTCAAAGGTTCTGGTGAAATTAGAAATTCTTCCAGGATACACTATACGACGAGGAAATTTAAATTTGTAATCTGACGTTCAATAATCTCTCTATTCTCTGATATGTAATTTTGTTGGCCAGCCATAGTGGATACCAGAGATAAAAATACCGAACGAAGATGCAACGATAAACTGTTTATCCGTTCCTAGTTGGATAAAAATAAAAAAGACAATTTTGCAATGAAATATTTCCCATAGTTGGTTATTTTTTATTCGAATAAAAATGATCGCTGGTGGACGTTACGTGCGACGATGCCGCACCCTGAAGCAAAGCCATCGTGTTCACGGACACTTGGCATTCTTCACGCGACCCAACCCTTCTCTACCAACGTAATCATTTCACTCCCAGACTTTCCCATCGTGTTACACGCGAGTTCTGGAAACTCACGAAAATCCCGCCCCCTCGATTCCTTTTTTGTTTACAGTCTACCCTCTGGAGGCACGAATCCTAATTCGTAAAACGTCACGAAACGCAATGTCTATCATTATTTTCGTTCGTTCGTACGACACACCCTCGTCAAAATCTGACGAGCCCCTAAACGAGACATTTCTACTTTTATGATAATTATTAAACTTTACAGATTAATACCGGACGAGAGTATACTGTCATTACTCTATATCTGTAAATTCATCGAACACGATTTTTATGCGTTGCACGCGATGTCAGCCTTTGTAGTCGATACATTTGTTAATTATGTAAACGAACACAAATGCAACAAAAAAGGCGTGAACGCGATGTTGTCGATTCTTTGAAAATGACAAACTGTTCTGGAAACGTTAATTTATTAGAGTAACTTCATCACGATTATAGTCTCGGGGAAGAATGTAATAAAATTAATTGGTCACCCATAATTGTTGTAAAAAATCGATTAAACGTTACCTGTTGCAGGGACAACAACGGCGACGTCGCCCTCGTGTTCATCCTTAAAATCCCACAAATCTTTTCCACTGATTTCTGCCCTATCTCCTCAGAAATATCTCCATTCTCTTTATCCATCTTTTTCCTACCGACTTTTCCAATTAATTGCTTTTATTATAAATATTTTATTTCAAAAGCGTCGTACCGAGATTTTATCCGGCATTTATTATTCAAATAAAAAGCTGACTCTAATTTCGGTCCACCGCGAATTTCTCCGCCGGAAGCCAGTGGCGGTTTCCGGAGATTGCAGGGAAATTACTTTCTTCCAACCTTCGTGCAATCGATTGACTTCGTTATCGAAAAACAATTTTATTCGTGAAATAGTCTATTTGTTGAAAAATCACCACTTGTCCACTATTAATTTCTCACTTGTTGCTGACAATGTCAAGTTTTTGAGCGTGGATAAACTTTAAAGAATTTTAATTACAAATTGGGAGTAACAATGCAGTCGGAAGCATAACTTCCACGGAACGAATGCGTAATGTCTACTCGCGTGTCGTGTAAAAACAAAATTGTTCCGGTCTTTTCACGGTCCGATGGTATACTGGTCGCCAGAAGCATAGAAAACTGCGAGCATACTTTCAGAATAATGAAGCTCGTAACTCGATTACCTTATGAATGACTAAGAGATGGCAACAACACGCATTCGGTTGCACGCCATTTGCTGTTCCGGATGTACCATCGACCTGAAAGATGTAATTATTTACAGGGACCGGTAGTAGGTTTTACTCGCACAATTCAATTAAACGTATGGCTTTTTAGAGAGCATTTTATTCATTGGCCATTGTGATTATTAAATGGACGTTCACGCGTCCAATTAATATCTCGCTTACGAACTAATCATTCGGTTTGTTCCGTTTTAGAATTTTATTTATGTATTTCATACGTTTCCTTAATTATAATTTCAACGTTAAAGCATTACGAGATTCGACGCAAACAATTTCCAAATGCAATCTGTCTTTTCCGTTTGGAAACCATGTTCGCTAAAAACGATTGTACCCTTTGAATCTACGATTACTATATTGAAATTACATACGATAAAAAAGTATATTCTTTTTTTAATACACTGTCTTCCTACGGTCATAATAACGACGTGCTCCACGAAGTTCACATGTACTTTATCGTCCTAAATCTGCACCTTTTATAAACCGATTAAAGTTTAGTAGTATATACAAGAATGCCATTTTATGTACACTCATTTACCACATGCTGATCACAAACATATTTACTCGCTTAGGGACTTATTGAAAATAAACTCTTCCGAGGGGTACCTACTTTTTTTGGCACGAGTTCAACGATCTAAGGGGAAAACTAAATTCGTATCGTACTATTATCGTTAATTATTATTTTCCAATTCTACGCGTGGTTTTATTGCTATCTTTCATCGATCTATTGGTTCCAAAGAATTAACTATAACCGTACAGAGTCGGGTAAATATTATTCACGAATAACGAGCAAAGATTTTTAGATTTAATCTAAAACTAAGTTTCACCCCTGTTCAAAGAATTCACTATGTACATTTGTTATAAATGGTGCGCAACAGAAATCAAGGTATCACGTGCACTAATGGAAGCCACGCTTTTGTTCGAGCAAATTTGATACTAATATGTCCTCCTGCTACGTCAAAAAACTAACATTCCAGTTCCTATACGAAGTCCTAATCCCTAATAGCACGCCTAGTCAGGTAGAACTTATTAGGATAGGTCGTTTGTTTGGTGGATATCGATGCAAGGTGCAAAACAAAATTGACTGTGCATTACTTAATATTGTATGCCAGTTCTGATCGAAAATTTTACATTGGTCCAGAGGAAAATTCATTTCTAAAATTGTAAAAAGTTTTGCAGGAAGATTAGTTTCTAGGAACAAAACTGTTCTACCCGATGATATGTCGAAGACGTTTAGTGAATCTTTTAATGGTTACTTTGCGAAGGAAATTCTTCACTTTGTCGTGTGACGCGCCCAGGTAGTCCTTTGCACTTCGGACAACAGATCACTTCTGGATGGCAAACGTGCGCTGGTGGTGCGCGATGGCGGCGGTCCCGGTGTCCTCAGGATCGTCGCCAGGTTCTTTTGTATCTTGGAACTCTTGTTGTTGGTCGACGCCGTTTGGCTGTTCGAGTTCTCTTTGACCGACACCTGTTTCACCTTGGCCTCGGACCGTTTACCCTGGGGCGGGGGATCCAGCACGATCGGTGGTATTTCGTCGTGCAGATTGATTCGATCCTGCTTACCCAATAGCTCCTGGGCCAAGTGAACCGCGTTCCTATCGCCGGAATACGGCAACGGTCTTATGAACGGTATCTTCGAGTCCGTGATCTCTAGGTTCACGCCGTAATTGTCCGACTTGTGAGTCATTATCGGGGAGGACGAGAAGCTGTTCGGTTGGGAGACTCGTAGCGACAGGGAACTTGGAGACAGTTGAGCCGAGTTCTGTAACGTTTCAAGAATTGTTTAATCGAGTATATCGATCAATTTTACAGAGGTGTTACTTACAGAAGGTCTGCTGCTAGGAGGCAGAAGGAGACTTGGACCCATCGCGTACGGGGATGGTGTATTGTACGGTGACCTTTGGGGCTGATACGGACTTATATTGTGCAGTCTTTCCAACAACTGCGTTTGAAACTGCAACTGATCCGTCGAATTACTGTTCCCTTGAATTCCTATTGCGTTCAGGTTTCCAGGGTACAGAGAGTCCGGTGGGTAAGAGCAGTACGGAGAAGGTGGATCCAGTTCCCATGGTGAACTCTGACCTCCTGTCCGTTGGCACTATTCACGGATAGTTCATAAAACAGATTCAGAGTTTGAATTTACAATCGAACATTGAACTTTTGATTCATCTTCAAAGATCATCGATATCTTTGCAGTTGGTGATTTGTCAGAATGAATTTCTTGTTCTCGATAGGATGTAAATGATTAAGATTCATAGTTGTCAACGTTACCTAGCATTTGTTGGTAGCGCAAAGTCCAAAGTCCCGTGCGAAGACCTGTTACATAACATCATCACACCGGCGCTTAGCACGATTATTGGATTAGCGATTTAGCTTTAATGCCGGCATTAAATTGCTATCTTCCTGTCGGCCAACTTAGGGCGAAACGTGTCGCGCATAAGCCACAGTGTTTTCTCGCATTTCAAACGCTGAGCGTCCGTGGAAATTTCTCAATGAGATCAGGGACTTCGTAAAATATATCGATCGAAAGAACTTTATACAATTAATTTAAATTTGCTCAGCGTCTGTGCAGCGAGCGATAACAAAATAAAGCTTAACAGACAAAGTTTCTTACTGGTCGGCTTCATAAATGCAAACTGTTCCAAGCAACATAACCGTTTGTCAGTCTATCGACGTGCAAAAAAACTCGAACTTGATTCGGATTAGCAAACATTTTTCAACGTACATTCAGTCAGGTCTTACCTGTAAAAGAACAATGCAACGCAATCGACTTGTATAAAGAAAAGGCACGGTTCGAGAACACGATTACAAACTGAAAAACAAAACCAAACAGAAAAACATTCAAAAATCAGTGGCAAATACGTGGAAAATCACTCGCATAGCGCAGGTATTCCGTTTGCGAGATCAGTCTTGTCCGAGTCGGTCGACAAATCGGGCAGGTTTTATCGTTTGGAAAATGAATTTTCGAATCGTTGCTAAATCATATATAAAGTTTGCCCAACTCTGAGCAGTGACGGGTGCTAAACGAAAACAGAAAATAATAGGTGTTTGTAAAACGGTTTATTAAGAAGTTTTAAAAAATGCGTCGGTACAAAAGGCGTTACGGTATAGAGAAGGAAAGTATACAATGCAGTGTTAAACGTTAATCGAAATGCAACGTTCGCAGGCATACGGCTTGCTGGCTGTTGAACACTCGTGTCAGGGTATACGATAGAGCGTTACCTGGCCGAGGTTCGACAAGTCAGGAATGGTAGTCGTTTGCTGGATCGTTGCTGAGCTAGGCATCTGCGACTGAGAGGTCACAACATGGCCGCTCGAGATCCGTTCTTGCTCCCGAAGATGGCTGACCAGCGTGCCTATGTGCTCCAGCAGCTCTTTGTTTTGCACCAGCAACTGATGCGTCCTGGCCTAATGGAAACAAAATCGAACAGATTAATCGCCAACGTACTACCAAAGGGTTCATTTACTCCTGCGTCGCTTACTTGAGCTTCGACGCGAGCTGCCGTTTCGGCAGCAAGTTGATCCTGAAGCAATCGCGCGTGAGCAACGGCGGCTCTGGTTTGTTGGCTCTGTTGCTCCAATCGTTCCCGCAACAGTTGAATCTCATGCTTGAGAGCCGTCAATTCGCCTCCTACCAGTAATCCTCCGCAATCGGAGGTCACCGTGCCCTGCACGGATAATACGTTCCATTATGTATTATCGTAATCGCCTTAGAATTTGTTCGTTTCGGTTATTAATCTTACCGATGGCGATTGTCTGATCGGCGAGGTAGACGCTGTGGTCGCTGGGACCTCGTGCGACCTGAGAAGACACGGGACGACAGTCTTTTCGGGCACAGAGTCATCCGGGTCACCTAACAGCGATATATCTAAAACGTATTTCAGTTCTGTTAGGTGGACAATATTTCAAAGGGTAATTCTAGAGAGCAAAATAAAATGTTTTATTCGCTCCGTGGAACACAACGTTGGGATATTAAACCTTTGTGTACAGAAGATGGCGATGGCTGGGACTGCTCATTCGGTATTTCGTCTTGGTCCTCGTAAACGTCGCGGTGGTTCTCCCCGTGATCCCTCTCCCTTTCTTTCTCCACTCTGTCTTCCGTGGCGTTGTTTATACTTAATTTATGGCACACCTCGAAAGCTTGTCCTACCGTCCTGACCACCCTCATCGCTTGACTCTAACGAAATCCAACTTTTTCAATCGAACGTACGAATAAGTATAATATTTAAATGCTGTGCGCGATACGAAGATAGTACGCAACCACAAGATGTACAAATCATTACGCGTGATCGTCAAATTTCAATAAACACCGTACCGGTATTCGATGCAGAATATTTCGTATTGAAAACCATGCAACGTTTCATATGCAAGATCTTAACGTACTTGAAATTTTGAAACTTTACACGCGTGTTTCCTGTATTCGGAACTTTGGATTCCAAACACGTGAGAACCCAAGCGTTTCATGTTTCAAACGTTTAGACGTGCCAACTTGAAATATTTAAGCGCTCCAAGTTTCATATTCTGAAACGTTTCGTATTTCAAAGGAGCAAGCATACCAGTGTCGGATATTGAGTCAGCTCAAAACTGTACCTTTTCCAAGAAATAACGAAAATTATATTTAAATTATATCGTGGTGTGTTTCCCGTTTACCGCAAATATTCAATTCCATCGCTAGCTCTCCGCGAAGCAACAAAGAAACATTTTTCATCGAGAGATCGATATAAAATATAATAGTACACTCTGTCGCCATAATCGTAGAATTTATTCGCAAGGTAGAGGAGACGGTATTTCCGCTGTTATTCACGAGCAAAGCCGGTGGGTTTTTCGTGACATTGGCGCGAGACACCTTACCCCATAAACGGCGTTATTCTCGAGACATAGCGCGCGCGGGTTTTACCTCGAGTTCCTCGAGGTCATCGTTCTCCTCCTCGAAGGGGTTCTCATCGAAGCTGAAGTCGACGCAAGGCGTCGAGCGTATCAGCTGCAGGGGCGGCGGTTTCGATTTCGCGAACGGTTTCTTCGATCGCAGGTAATTCAGGATCTCCGGCTCCTTGAACGACAGCTTCTTCCTCGGCTTCGGGGTCGTCTCGACGCCGCAAGGACTTCCGGGGCCGGAATTCGTCGACGCGGGAACCTCTGAACCCGCGTTGGCCTGCTTGGTCGAATTCTTCAGCATGGCGGGCGAGCGTTGTCTCGCGATGGAGATTTATTAAAGCCACTTCCTCACGGAATGCCGTGCACACGCGTCATACCGAAGGCATTTCGGAGTTCACCGTGTCCGACACGCATGGCACGCGCTCTCCTTTGCGCTCTTATCTCGCTGCAGGCTGCCAGCGACCGATTACGTCAAATTCTACACGCTGCCGACCGATGGAATTTTATTACATACTCTCTTTTTTACTTTGCTGTTATTAACGGAGGGAAAGCATTGCTATCGATTACAATTTCACTTTGCTCGTTTATTGCGTTTCTCAATTTTGTTCGTGCAACAAGAATCCACGTACACCTAGTAAAATATTGATGCCTGGCAACCCTCCTGTATTTTTGTCTCGTTCTCTGTAAGATAGTACGAATTTATTTAAAACTTGGACGGAAATGGTTTCGATTTGTTGGGCAGTTCGAGAACGGCCGCGAATTGTATTTCGGTGCATGCGATAAACAGTCCCATGTGGGTCAGCGCGCACGTAGAGAGAAAGAGGAGTCCCCTATTGCTTGGTATAAATTTATTTTGAATACGCGCGGTCGCGATCCACGCGTTCAAAGAATCGATATTGGCGCGCGCGCGATACTCGGTCTTCCCGGTCCGGTCGGTGCCAATTATAAACGGCCGTCGGTGGACCAGAACTGGCAAACTACCCGATAAATCTTGCTTGGTTTAGAAACTACTACGGGCCCGCGTCGTTTACGACAAGTATCGCAACGAGCGCGAAACGTTTATTTGCTCCGAAGCGCTCGCAGAGATCCGTCGAAGCGATGTTTGCAACAACGTCTTTCCTCGCCGACCAGGAATTAATCCTACAACGCATAAATCACCCGAATCGTTCGTTCAACGGACACGTTTCGTCTCCGACAACCCGCCTAACGCGATAGGTGAATATATTTTTTTAGAATAAGAAAATTATCAGACATAATTGCGATGAAAATAATACGAAAGAAGATCCTCGAGTTTATTGAAACTGTCAAATCGTTTCTTCGTTTCTGGAAAACTTTACGACGTCGGAATCGTAATGTCAAGGCAAGTTTAAATTTTTATTTACGATTTCGCGAAAACAGAAAAACGGTTATACGCGTATATTTAGCGCGCTAACACTGTTTACTGAAATAAAAAAATCTCTATTCCCGAGTCGTTGCAAACTTAATAAATGCGTATACAGCCACCGAAATCGGTCCAAGGTTGATTTGAGATAGCAATCCACGCACGAATACACGAGTTGTAACAATTTGGAGAAAAAAAACTAGGTATTCTCGAAACGAGTTACTTGGGAATAAATTTTTCGAATTCTGAAACATGTAGAGATAATTAGGTGTCCCGTTTCAAGTGCCACACTCTGCACACAAGGTGACTTTAGAAACTAGGACAAGCTGTGCTTCTTTTCCAAGAGAAAAAGTCGAATGCTACAACGGGGACCATTTTCTGATAGTATTTCTTTCTATTTTGCGCTTGAAAGCATTACACCATCCCCATTTCAAATTTAATACTCTCGAAAATATTAATTATTTCACGCCAAGCGGCAACTGTATTCCAGCGAAAATTCAACGAACAAAGAAATCACCTCGAGCCGTTTAAATTTAGATAATAGATACGTATGAGCAATGCCCGCCATTGACAGATCGTTCTATTATACTTTCTAGAATTACCCTGTTTATAGAAAGAAAAATCGAATTCGAGAATGAAAGAAACACCTCTGGACAGAGAATGTAAACACGTCACTGACCTAACGTCATAAATCTCGCATTGTAGACGCGTTTCGTCAGCAGCTGTGTATTTTTACAGCGAGGCGAATACAAACTGCAACGCTAGATTCCCGCGAAAGGAAATTAAAATCGCGCGCGAAAATAATCCTCGGGGATTTTAATCGAATAGAATTAAAATTTTGTTGTTTTTAATAATAAAAAAATGTTGATATCAAGGTGCATTAACGATAACGCGTGTGAAAAAAGGTACTCCAAGGTGCCTGCTTTGAGAGGAATTCCAGCTGCAAAGCAGCCTTCGCATCAACGTATATCAACGACTCGACTCTCGTGCCGGTGAATCCACGGACGCGTCATTCATAATAAATCTTGAACTTGACCCAAGACGACGGTCATTAGTGATAACGACGGGAATAGTACGTTGCTTTGATTAGGCAAGCGTGCGTAACACGAGTGAACACGCTCGCTGGTGATTAAGCACCGGCCCTGATAACACGCGCCTTTTTCTCGTTCGAGTGCACGCGATCCCGTTCAGAGAGGTTTTCCATGCACGCAGCACGTGTTCGCCTCGCGATTAAACCGATAATCCGATGCCTCTACGTCCACCTTTTTTATTAATCAACTCCAACCGTTCCATCTTTTTTTAAAAATGATTTCTTAAATTTCAATCGCACGTAGAAAATTAAATATGCCCGATATATATTTTCGTAATAAGCAAAAAAGAACTTTCCACTCTTCTGTTGATGCATTGTACTTGGTTTAAAAATAGCTAGCAAAGCATAGCGATAGTATCATCCGGGCCACCCTAATAACATCTTTTACAGACAGTTTCGCGTGCTCGGTGTAAGTTGCTTTCAAAATATTTATTACGTCATTCGAGTCGAGGATGATCCACGTATTTCAAGCCGGCGTATTATTTCAGTCAGTAGCAACGGAAACGGAATCGCGGGGAATCGAACGGCTCCCTTGAAATTTCATTTCCTGAAAGCTTTCGCCGGCAAATATTCGCCAGATTTATGAAACGATCCCCGGTGTTTTCAATTACTACGCGAGCTTCCGGAGCCTACTTCGCCGCGATGGTACACGCGTTCCCCGTAATATCGCGATGAATTCTCACCAGGTACATTTCGTAACGGTCTTAAAAGATAGAAGAATCTTTTAGGGAACGGCAAAGCACTCCGGCCAGCCTCGAGATAAGAGCCAAAAGAGAGCGAAGTGCAAACACCCGGGTTCAACGACCACAAATATTATTCGAAATTTACGTTCTAGAAATCAGAAATCAGAAACAACGACAACTATAGTATTGATAATTATTTTTCTTTCGACGCGTCAAGTATTACCTACAAACCAATCTCTTTCAACACTAAACGCCTAAAAACACTACGTTTGCTCACACGTTCGAACAATCACTATCTTCCAAACTTAATCTTTTCAACGATGTCCTTTCGTTCTTCAATAAAAATTGTTTGAAAGTCCTTCTGAAAGCGTCTCAAACATTTTGCCAAACTCTGCTCCGAAGCATTCTCGAGTTATGAAAATTTCATTTTCCTCGTTCACGGCGCTTCTCGCCACCTGGCTTCTCAAACTTCTCAAAACTCGTCGCCGTCCAAACCTATCTCGACTCTCGGAACTTTTCTTCCCAAAGTTTCTTCCGATTCGATCCAAAAACTTGGTCCACTCGTAACGAAACTTTCGAACAATTTATCCTCGTGGCACAAACTTCCCGCGACGCGGTACCGAAACTTTTATCTCGTACCGTCTTCAACTTCTCCCGTTCGGAGTACAGAGACGGGTGAATATTTTTCAAACAACGTACTCGATAAATTATTTCAACAGGGAGTTTCCGTCGGTCGTTGGAACAAAATTGTGCTCGTCTGCGATTGGAAACACTCGACGAGTCTCCGTCCCATCGAACGTGGGAAAAGACGATCCAGTGCGACGCCGGGCGTCGTCTGTCCGTCGACGCGAGGTAGACCGCGTGTTCTCGAAATACTCGAAAACGTCGAGTATTTCGACGCGGCGGGCAGGTAGAGCTGAACTAACCGGCGCGAGGTTCCCGTGGATGCTGTTCGAGCGATAGCAGAGCGCCGGCGGAGAGGCCGTGGCAAAAAGAGCACACGCCACCCGCTAGTAGTCGCTTCGTGGCTGGATTTTTCCACCGGTTTATTTATAAGCGCATTAATATTCCTCGGTTTCGAGCCGCTCAATGGCATTTCCGCGGCCTGGACTCCACCGAGTCGATCGCCCAACGATTCTCCCTCGCTTTCGATCTATCGCGATACGCTCAGTACCATCAAACGCTTACAATCACGTGCAAACCACGCTCTACAAATCTTCTCAAACATCATTGTATATATTGTTCTATTATCATCTGCAAAAAATCCGCGGAAATTCCTCGTTAGCGTCGATCTCTTCCCGTTTGTCGGGAAGCGCGCCCCTCGATCCAATTCACCGACATCCATTTATCTTAGTTCTTCGTGCACCGAACCGCGTTTGTTCTCCCAAGTTGTCGCGGTTCCCCCTAATTCCCCGGTCGATTGTAAGTCGCGGTGCAAATCGTTTGTTGGTTGCTCTGTCTTCCGTCACGGTTGATCGGCGAGAGAGCGTCCGTGCGTTTTGTTAGGTCGCGCAGAGGCCCCGGCACTCCGCCTCCTTCGCCATCAGTAGCTCGTTTCGAGGTGGAACAAGAGCAGACCGAGAGCATAAAGTGCCCGGCCGGCGCAGCCGAGCTTTCAGAACGCGGAAAGCAACGCTCGAAATTCACTCTTCGCGTTCCGCTGCTCCCGTTTCGAGCATCCTTCAACGAGACGAGCACCGGTAATTCTCGGTCGAGGAATTCTTTCTTGCGCCGATAGCGCCGCGCGATAACGAATCACGCCTCGTCGAAGGCGCGGACATGCTTCGTCAAACGAGACCAAACACGCCCGATCAATTAACAACCGAATCCCGTCTGCTGTTGTCTCGTCTCGTCTCGTCTCGTCTCGTTCGACGAGGTACGGATGAATCTGTAAAATGACGGGAAAATTACTTCCAATCCGATTCGAAAGTCTTAAGAATTTCGATGATCGATAAGGTTTAAATTACCAGCATTTCATCAGTTTTTATTCCATCGAAGGATCTAGTTTCAGTTCTATTTCCACGGTATGGTACAATTTTATGTACGCCACTTCTTTTTACACGTTTCTCTAATTTTGCTTCGCCGTTGGACTGGTAAAACTTGGAAAAGTCGTTCCTTCGACTTCAAACGAGCCGTTACTTTGAAGATAAATGATCGTTTCGATCGTTGCGCGGCAGAGTTTCTGCAGACGGTCGAAAACCATACTCGACAAACAGAGGAAAGGCTTTCAACGAGGTAAAACTCGTACGCGGAGCTTAATTCATTCCCGGAATTGTTTATTTTTAGCCTGAACGCGTTTCGGCTTGAAAGCCAAATCACTTTGAGGTTTGAAACGTCGATGTTTGTTTCTCGAACGACAAATTATGCGCCGTGACGCGTGCCTTTGATTTTCAAGTACCAGCTAACAGGATGTTTTCGAGCTATCCAATCGCCTAAAACTTTGATAAACAGAGAAAAAAACAATTTACTCGAGACACGTGATACTCTTTACTTTTCTTTCGCGGACAAAGAAATAACTATAAAGAACCCACGATTTGCGAATCAGAGTGCCAGACTGCTGACCTTAATGGCTGCGAATATTAAACATCGGCATAAACATCAACGTACACGGATATTTCCGTAAGATCCTAGACGTACCGCTTCTATTTCCAGCGTAGCACGTTCGAAATTTTAATCCGTCCTCCGAAATGTCCAATAAATACAACATAAAAATCACCGGTGAAATAGGTACGGTAAAATTAAAAACGACGTTTCGACGATCGTGATCTGTTTTCTATTGGCTTGATAACGCAAACGCCGTTGTCCGAAATACTTTTAACGGATCGTACGTTCCATAAAAAATGGCAACTCCATAAAGACATCAATGAAAACGTATCGTCGATAAAATCGTGGAAAATGTTAGCGCCAACCTAACTGCGCAATCCTCGAAATCCCCAGAAGCGATAACTCTTCCTCGCCAATTCTAAAATACGCGCCTTCGGCTCTCAAAACATCCTGGACAGAATATAGCACAGATTTTTGCGCCCCGTGACTCGTAAACTGGTCAACCTTTCGAATTTCGATAAAGTCAGCGTATAGAAATGAATTCGTAACGATTCAATTATTATTCAAAGAATCGTTCTCCGTTTTATTATTTCCATTCCTTAATTGTCCCTGGGACAAAATTTTTATGGGAGATTCTAGAAGCAAAAATAAGACGAAAATCAGGAATATCAATTTCTTGACCGAGGCTTCGTTAAAAAAATTAAATTAAAATTCGTAAAGTCGACCAGGTTTTCGTGCATTGATCGAGGTTCTATTGTTCGTCGAAACTCGTGAAAGGAAATTCGAGTCCTGTTCGCAAGAGCGTGCTTGTAAATTTCGGTGTATCGCGAAGGGAAACAACGAAGTTGCAGATTCGATGCACTCTAAATTGCTACTTTCCAGTCTCCCCTTTGCTCCGACGGTGACAAGAAAGGGTCCGTTGAAGCAGAGGGGTTGAGATTCTCGTGCGAGTTGCTTCTGCCTGAAAATGACGGGGACGATAAAGTGGCCGACCGTTCCGGAACATAAATTCGTAATGTCGCGTTCTCGTTTTATCGTCGTACGAAGCCCATCAGTTTACGAAGCCCGAATTCTTAGGATCAGGAAACGAAGAGTGAAAAATTACCACCCATTAACTTGTCCTATAATAAATTCTCACGCGAGAATCATCCGGAATTCGTGTTGTTTTTCTATATGTATATAATGTAAGTCTCGTTTCACAAATAGCCGAGAAGACAATCAAAATCGAACGATACGATGATGAGCGATTAACTTCAGTTTGTAATTTAAGAGGATTATCGTTTGACAGATTGCCAAGAAGGATCAAAATTTGAAGACCGTGACTTCGTTCAACTAAATTTCGTAACGAAGGGACGAGAAGTTGACTGTCACGAACTATGAAAGACGTCGCGTTTCTCGAAGCAGGAGTTCCGCGCAAGGAAATCGAATTACTTTAAAAATACACCGGGTGTCGTAGAACGGCGTACACACACACACACACACACACACACAGTATGAAGGGGTAATAAGGGAAAGATGTACAAAGAATTAATCGGGATCTAGAATCCAGGATCCCGTTAGAGGAGTACCGTAAACGAGAAAAATGCTAGAAACTGCAAGGTTAATCGAGTGTGATAACGTAAGGAGTTCGACTCGCAGAAAAGAATGCCACGCGAGAATACACGATAAATTTGATAAACGACGCGTACAAAGATCCGTACAGTTACATGTTATTACTGGTAATGGAGCTTATTGGAAGATCAGTTCTAACGGGATGCAACCCCGGTGCAAGAAAAGCAAACGTTCTTTTAAACGTACATCCGTACTAAGTATGTTAGATATGTATAAAATTTCAATTGATACAATTTCTTTGTCGATTAAAAATTGTTTACCGAACCGAATAAAATATTGTGAAAAGTTCGAAGAAGAAATATTGTTGATTTTTGTCGCGGTGAGAAAAGGACTGGTGTCGTTGATTGTCGTGGGTGGATAAACTGGGAGGGTGAGATGCAAAGGGGCGAGGGATGGGGCATCGTTCTGTCGCGTATTCGCAGTGGCGGCCATGCCTGGTCGCCAGCAGGAGGTTATTAAAATAGCCCGTATAGCTCTGGCGCCATCGACGAGACTCGTCCCCCGTGCGAACGGGTAAAGAAAAGAATATTTTTCCGTGTCCGCGTCGATGTAACGTCTCCGATGCGAGCCGCGCGTCTAAGCTTAGAGATTCCCGTATCGCGTCACAATTTTCTCCGCACGACCGTAGCTTTCGCGGAACCGGACGACATGATATTTTGTTTCAAAACATACAAACTTTCGAGAAAGTGATTCTTTCGCTGAAAACACGCAGAGTCACGCGAGAGACTCGTGAACACCGTTTGGATACATCGGGGCGCCCCGACGTGGAACTGTTGATACTTTGATTTTCTCACGAGTTTTGCAACGCAATTGTTTTCCCATTTTATTCTCGGCTGCTTCTGATTCGATACAAATGCAAATATTTCTGTGTAAATGTACTATTATCTGTTATAATAATATCTGCCGCGGTGCGGAGCAACGAGAGCCAGTGTGGATAGAGCATTAGAGTCGCGATCTTATCGTCACACGATCTCCTGTGTGCAGAGACGGCGCCCATGATCTCGACCGAGAGAAGTGGAAGGTGCATTCTGTTCTTTGGCAGGCATGCAACCGTTGCCCCTCCATTTCTCTTCTGACAAGTCTAGCGATGGGCTCGAGAGTCGCCGGTCCGTGGTGAACGTTTCAAAAATCGAGCGGAATGGCGACCACTGTGTCGAACGAGACTCCGGGTAATTCTCACCGCGATAGACGAGTGGCGAAGGAGGTGGAAAGGTGTCCCGATCGTGTGTACCAGGGAATGCGCCTAAGAACACGAGAAAATGGAGAGGGACCGTGAGAAGGAGAACGTGTTTGCGCGAGAGAAAATTAGCAGAGAGCAAAAGTGTAAGCGCAGAAGAGATGAGCCGGGGCCAGGCGTGGTTATTTATAGTGTTACAATAACGTGAGTTGATAAAACGCCAGGCGACAGAGACTAGCCAACATGAATTATTGCGGGTGTACGCACGTGCACGACATAATGTTACGGTCCGACACGACCATGCACGCGATCCAGAACCCCGATGGAGAGAGAGAATATTAACCCCTGGGGGCGCATCGATTTTTCCATTCGACGTCAAAATATTTATTAGGCGTAAAACGACGAGGAGAATTCCGCGAGAAACGTTTGTGAAATTTATTCCATATCGGGGAAGTTTCGAAAAATATACTCGATCGTGCCCTCAATTATGTCCTCGTTCGATGTTCGTTTTTATAAAACAATACACAGGACCGTGGTGGGCCAGACGTCTTAGTCAGCCTTCGGGAAGCCTATAATTGTTTAAAATTTAATTTAATTTCGTAAACGTGCGTTGAATACCGATACTTGAAGTTTGACGATGTCGTGTACAATTGAAATTGAATATGGTCGTAGAAAATATACGAAGCACTTACCTTTTTGCTAGATTTGAAGACATTACACTTGAAGGTGTTGCTGCTTCCGTCGCGAGCAATGTAGCTAAAAATTTTTAAATCGTGGCTATCGTGGGAGACGTAAAATATCCTGCAACAATACAGAAAAATAGAATCTCTGATTATTCCCGTCTCGTTATCAGAAAGATTGATTGGCCAAAAAATCAATTTCGCGTATATCAAATTTCCAATAATTGAAAATACCGGAAATGTCAACAATCCCGTTTGGAATCTCAATTGAACCGTACCAATTAAATTTCCTACTATTTATAGCAGAACATTTTTCAATACTTTTTCATTGCCACTAAAAGTTCATAGGTGGAAGAATTATACGCGACAGCATCCGGTCGATCGCATAAATCATTTCGGGCATCGGTGGAAATATAAAGAAAAAGTCTATTAAAAGTGTCAACGGCGCAATTAGATTCTAATATAACTCAATCCCGATATAAACAGAGTGTCAACGATATCGTTTAAGCATAACGTAGTTATTCATCGCCCGTTCCAATAGCTTCTCGCATTTGTCACAATCAGCAACGCGCATACTATCTCGGTTATGCCCGTTTCACCCACCGCCACGTTTCTAATTTACGATCCTGTACGCGCTTCGGACCCCACCCCCACCCTCCATGGCTTTACATTCCACGCTCGCGGAAGAAAAAGAACATTTTCGCTTCGAGTTTTTAATTTTATCCATAATTCGTCGAAAGATCGAAGAAAATCGTGAATTGTTCGAGCGGCCATTTTGTATCTTCCGTTCGGCCTTGGAGTGCATCGAAAAAACAAACATTAAACCGTGCACGGTATTTCGTCATATGGAAATTGTAAAAGAGAAATCTATGGATTTACGCAAACCCGTTCGAGCCTTCGGAGAATGTATAAACAAATGCTCTTTTATTAAACCCTCTTCGTAATAACGTAACAAAGAACACAGGGAAAATAAGACTAAATTTTATTCTATCTTTATTAGGTGGTATTTAAGTTTGATGTGTGATATAGAAAATGTTTGAGAACCCCTGTGCTAGAACACGGACGACCTAAACCTTTTACTTTTCACCGCTCGAGACAATCCGCGTATAGATTATTAAATATTCTATCGAGAATATTGAGACTCGAAAGAGTCAATATTTCTTAAATCAGACTCTACGAAGCGATCGGATAGGAGAATGATTTGAAAATAGCAGTCGAAGCGGCCGTAGTAACTTGTTCTAGCAAAAACCTCGAGGAAGATCGTTCCCCTCCGAGCCGGGGCGCACAGGTTTGATCATCTTACCTGTATATGGGATGATGCATCAGGTATATCTTATTTTCATCCATCCACTGTTGCTGCTTCTTCTGCGAAGAACAGAGGACAAATAACGACTCATTAATCCATGATTCATGGGAGCGGGTCTCGTGCAGACAGAACGGTCGCGCGCAACAGCGTGTTCAAAGTGCTGTCGGTGAAGTTGGAAAATATTTGGTCGACTATTTTCCACCGGTCCGTTCGAACATCAAAGTATTTCGTTCGGTTTGTTCGACGAGTAGCGCGCGGAATATCATCGTTTCCGTTCAATCTCTTATTAAAAATGATTTCGTATTAGGAACCGCGGTGCTCGAGGAGTAGTTGTTTCCAAGTAACGAATTGCATCGATTTAATACAGTTGACACGCCGTACATGACCGGTGCAACGAAATAAATCAGGAGTTACCATCATACCTATCGATTACTTCTATTCGGATGAAAACGCGGTTAGCGAAAAGAAGAAGATGTAGACGCGTAGGTGGAGAAAGAGTTACCTTCTTCTTTCGAAGAGTGACTTTCAGGCCGTCCACCGATACCTCTAGCGTCACTTTCTTCTTTTTGATCCCTTTGGCCTTGAACTCGTACTGGAGGGAGGGGGGGACAGAAAATAAGAGCAACGTTAACGACATTAACTGCCCTCCGGGCAACTCCCCGCCGGTTAATTAGAGATTATGCGAACTCACGCGGATTCTTCGCATCGCCGCCACGATCTCCACTCGGCTGGTCGGTCGAGGAACCTCCATAGAGCCGATGAACTACGGGTAAAAAGAGAATTAAAGGGTCTGCTGTTGGTTTGCATAGGCGGCCGCCGGACCAGTGAGTCACATTCTCATATTGCCGGTTGCAAAGTAATTTTCTTAATTGCCTTAGCAGTTTATTACGTACTCTGATTCGCGGGGATGCGAGACGGAAATTCGTCGGAGCGTAGCTCGGGGCACAGGAGGTGAACGTTTCAATTAAAAAATTTATACCAATATTGTCTACTCGTGCTAGACGAGTCTGCTAACTGGAACAAACTTGTAACTCTGTTCGACGTCGATGGAAAAAACTTGTACGGGAACTTTTTGCATCATTTAACACGATTTAAAGTACGAGCAAATTTATTGTTGGAATAATAGAGTTTGTTCGTCAAAGTGTCTGCTCGTATATTGTTCGAATCCCCGTGAAATAATGTTAATTGTTCCCCCGGTGGATCCGGGGCTGTTATCCCGAGAAGAAGGAAGAAAAATAAGGGAGCCACGAATCGCGGTCCAGCTCGAGGATCCCGGTGGAAACCGGCGCGTAGGGAATAGACTCGGCAAACAGTGAATTTACGAGCGTTGAGTTTCGAAAACAAACTCGCAAATCCGGGGATCGTTCGGCGGGAACGGTTGTCGCGAATTAAATAGGAAACAGCCGGAGCCGTGCAGTTCTCGCGGCGCGTATCTATTCTGAAACCGCAGGTGTGCACTGTTTCCGATTCACGATCGTTCGCCACTACGGAACGAAACATTCCCGCCGCGTAAAACCGATTATACGAGCGTAAGACTCCGCAGAACCGCCCCCGCTATTGCAACGCCAAAACAGATCTCGAACGGATAACCGGAAATAGGCTCGGTAATGCAACGACGAGCAACCGTTTCGACCAATGATTTATAGAGAGATCGTACTGTTCGAGAGCTCTGTCGCGAACGCACGCGACGACGGTTCTCGATTAGGGCTACCATCATCCTCTTTCGTCTCGTTAAAATCAGATCAAACCTCGTCACTCGCTAATACATAAACATGATCGAAATTACGTCGTGTTTGATTCGTCTTAACTTGACGGAAATGCGTTGGTAAAAGATTCGTTTACGTTCGGTAGAAGATTAAAGCTCCAAGCTCAAAGTCGTATCGAGAATAAGAATCCTTGCAATTATCCAATATTTACCGTAAAAGGAGCAAGGAATAAAGAAAGGCGGAAATGAGCAGGGGGTAACGAAAATAAATTGATCGCAGGCGAACATTGAGCACCGCTACGTGCCGTATTTAGAATTTCCCCATTGAAACGATGACCTGGCCACGTGTTCGACCGACTGGTTGCACACGTGGTGATCTCCCACGCGTAAACGCACCAAGGATCGACAAAGGTGCGACGCGATCGAATTTCTCGAGAAATTCGCGGATCGATAGCGGACATTTTTCCGACGCGGGGGGGTGGTTCTTCGCGCTAGAGACAATGCACGCACGTTACGATCGAAATACGACTCGACGTTTTTGCTTATAGTCGATAAAAAAAGTATCACCGACTGACTTTCTTTGTCTCGGTTACTTTTTCAGGGTTGTAGAATATTCACGAGCAACCGTCGGGTTTACGCATATTTTAAACCACTTTCGAAGGGTGCATGAATAGATAGAAAGTAATTGGGAGGCATTTGCTATTATAATAATTTATCGACGAAAGAATTAAGAATTTAATCCTGTGATGCGTGTATTGGAAACACTGTTGACTTGCAACAAAAGTGTACTATCAGCGAAAATCATCGGAATAATTAACGAGTGTTAGCCTTGGTAACGACGCTCGAACGCGAGACAACGCTTCATGAATAACCAAACACCGAGCATACTTGCATTGTTTTGTACGCCGTAATCTCGGACAGAGATGAGTAAAAGTTTTATCTAGATAAAAATGTCGAATAACTAACAAATAAGAAATTAATGTTTACTCGGTGCTTGTTGTTAAAGTTCGCTTGATTTTGTTCGAGAAAATAATTTTCCATCGAGTCGCGATGTTATAGTTTCCATTCTCTTTTCAACGCGCCTGTACCAAACGTATATTCCAACACTTAACATTCACCTCTCACAAAATAACTGTCCAACGCTAGATTACTGTAACAACTCTGGTATATCCAGAAGCGAAGCTTGCTTCGATACGGTACTCGATGGCCACTCTGCCTCGGTAACGCGTTTTCCCGGAAGAGACTTAAAATGGAAAGATCGTTCGAGCGTGACTGGTCCATTCTTTGTTCTCGTAACGAATCCGTGATTCTCCGAAGCAAATAACAAAAAGAAAAGCCAGCGTATGGTTCCGATGATCGGTTTCCCTATAGAAAACTTGCCATTACAGATCTCTAAACGTGGACTGTGAATGTTGCAAGAAAAGGGAAAGGGCAAAGACTTGGGGGGTTAGGAATTTTGATCGTCCGATTAGAGCTGGAAAAGCGATCGCGACTCTTTCCAGAGAATCGTAAAGCGTCTGGCGAGGATCACCTTGGCGTGGAAGACAATTCCACGGTGAAATGCCTCCTCGCTGTGCAGCGGTATCCTCGTGTCGTACTCGTCATTATGCACGAGATTGTATTGCTTCTTAGAGGGCATGCTTGGCCCAACTTCATCCGATTATGCTCGTCCAGTCTCGCTGAAACATTAAACGGAGTATTAGAGACAGATGTTATCGTTCCTACTCTCGTAAAAGTTTCAAGGAAAACAAACGTATTCGTAGCTAGGCACGGAGCCGTTTTTTCTACCTCCGCGTCTACGTTTAACGGCTAAAATTAAAACGATCGAAGAACATTGCTCTCTCGGCCGGTTGTTTCGTTGTTCCCGCGTCTAGCCGACGTTTACAACGCGATACAAAAAAGAAAAGAGTTCGTTTCGAGATTCTGTTGCCCGCGGCGTTGACGATCACGAGGCTTCCCTTATTCCCGCCGATCGCCACCTCTTTAACGACCCTTTGTTCTTCGACGCTCCGACGATAGACGGCGATTTTAATTTTCTATTAGGATGTACGCTTAATGATAGATACGGGGAGAGAGTTCTTTAACCCTATCGTCGCGATGCAATCATGTCAGGAGGGGGCTTTAAACCGGAGAAAATTAATTGACCGTGCAAGGCCGCTTCCCCGTTGGTGAGTCACGTTCGAGCATGAATTCCAGTCTAGTTAAACGGTGTGGTGGGGGTAGCCTCGCGTCAACCTTGGGCGGCCAATTGATTTCGATCCGACTACAATAACGGACGCAGGTACTTACGCGGATTTAAGGAAATCTTTCGGGTTTTTGTTATCTCGTATAATGGAAAATATAAAGAAGTCACCCTGTACGTCCTATCGAAGCGGAAGGGACGTCCAAGATTCTCTCAGCCCCTGCGTCACATCGATTTCTACCCCGATGATTAACAAGCCCAAGGTAAACGCAATCGCCCTTGAGCAGAGCAATCGATGCCACAGAGAAGAATCTATACCAGGCTTCAATCTCCACCGACGATCTTAATTTTACCAAGCATCGACCAGTGGCAAATTAGTATTGCTTTACGTGTCGACGCCCGGTCGTACCCGGGCTATTCGAGCCTATAATCACCCTGTTCGAAGAGTCACGAGCTCGTTATCTACCCCCGGTCCGCCATCAAAGGGCTCGAAACCAGAATTACTAGTTGATGCTTCGTAGAATCGAGAAAAGGTACTCGAACGACAACTTCTTGACTTCGAGTACTATTAAAGCAAGCAGAAACGTTCTCTCTTGGATCTTTCTAAATCCTTCTTATCTACCCTGTGCTCGACTCCAAGTACTATTGCAACAAGCAAGGACACTACGTTTCCTCTTGTGTCCGAGCCTGTACAGACTGTATGAAAATAGCAGTTGTCGAATCTTAAGAAACGGCTACAGACACGCTCTGTGCAGCATCATTTACGATCAGTTTGTCGGCTAAATTCCCCCCGCTGGGCGCCGATATCTCTTCCAGCTTATCGTCGCCGCTCTCTCTCTCTTTCTCTGAAAATAGTTACGATCCCTATTTAAGGCGGGCACAGAGCGAACCCGACGAAGGCTGAGCCTGGACCGAGAGCACGTGCTGCAGCTGGTACCCCGTTCAAGGTCAGCCGGCAGAGACCTATACGGGCCGTAGCTGACGCACGTCTGACGTTTCTGATCGAGCCCGAAGGTGCACGGCTGAACAAAAAGGCAGGGAGAGGCCGAAGATAGCATCGAGGCCGAGAATAAGTACCGATTTCCTGTGCTCGTTCGATGCATGCTCCTTTTTTTTCTCTCCCTCCCTCTTTCTCTCTCCGTGATTGGACGCGTCTCATTCATGGGAATGAACCGCCAGGTGGCCTGGGCTACTCGTTCCACCACCGCGAATTCTTCGACGCTGGAATGCGACCTGCGTATATCACGAACCACACGAGCAACGACTAAAAAAAATACTCATTTTTTAGGTATCCACGAAAAACAGGACACAGACTCCGCAAGGTAAAAATTAGACCGCCCAGGTAACACGCTTGCGTCACTCTTACGGGGAGAAGGTCAGGCCTGATATCCTCCTCGATTTTCGACGATACTTTGCAGGCTCCTAGGCTCACGCGTGGAAGAATCGTGACCGGAATTCTAGCCTCAAACGAGTATGAAATTGTCGAGTTAATTTCTCACTTGCATTTCCCTTTCTTCGACCTGCCTTACATACACCCCTCTGCGTTCTCATGATCCCTTCCAACAGCTTTGTTAACTAATCAATCCCTAGCTAACCACGCCCACTCCTTCCCTTGAGACTCCAATTCGAAACTACACAGGGAACACCCCTCCAATGAATCCGTCCATATTTAAATGAGCTTTTCAACAGCCATCGTGCTCGAAATCCTGAAATTATTATAAGATTTAACCATTTGCGAGCAAGTTAGCATAACCAAAGAATTAACAGATAAATGAAAAGAAAATAACCGAAATACCTATATCTTCGATATCCTTTCGCGAAAGACCGAGCAATGCTTGACCTCGCGTGGCTGCTGAAAATTTAATACGCATCGATTATAATCCGTGGTCGATCTGTTTATTAAACTATAAATTTTCTATCCTCCCGTATTCTTCTGTTCGTTTTTTCGAGGGCACCGAACAGCCCTCGCGGCCTCGCCGCGCAACTAAACCGCGATATTAATCTTCCCGTCCGTTTCGGTAGTAGCATCAAAAAGAAAAAAAAAGCGTACCGAATTCAAGAACACAATCTTCTTTTGTTGGATTTACGTCGGCTGGCGACCCCACCTCGGATCGACAGGTTCTGCCCGGCTCGCCAACAAGTACCGGGTGGCGGGTACAAAACTTCCCAACAACCGCCGGAGCACCATCTGCCTCGACTTTTTGCTCCTCGGTATCTTCCGACAACTTTCTTCTTACCGAAGCTAGAAATACTCGCAAATCAACGATTTTATCCTACGGAAACCGTAGCCAGAAGAGAAAATTGTACGACTTTGAAACCTCGTGGAAACGAAATTAAAATCGAAACGAAATATGCCTGGGAGAAATATAGACAAGTTAACGTACGTTCCAAGACAGATCATGCTACTTTAACCATTTGCACTCCGAATTATATTTCAATTTTGTTACCAGCAGCTCCCAACACGCCTTTAAGTGTTTTATTTGAAATTTACCTGTTGAAATATCTGTTTTATTTACACTGTTGTTGCATTTGGTAACTTTCAAGTGTACGATATCTCTTTGGTTTGGACTTGAGTTAAAAGGAACCTGAGTCGCAACGTAAAGCGAAATATACAAGTTGAAAGCGACTCTGTACGTAAGTCTACGTGCATAGGAATTGCGTTGCAAAATACTCGGGCACAGGGAGGCTAAATAATTCAAACGTTCGCCTCGGAACACTGCAAATAGAATGTTAACGATTTTTCTATTTAAAATACCGTCACCTCCGCGTTATTCGGTTGCAGTCGATTCCAATTAAACAACAAGAATCTCGTAGCACGATCGATCCCCGTTAATTGGGACACATCGGGACAGAAACAATTTGGCCCGATTAAACGACTGTTCCGTTCGCGCGAATTTCGTGCAAATGCTTTTAAAATCTAACTAGTTTTGCTACGCGTTTTTGGAATTTTTATAAATAACAAAAAAATATACCGGCTGTTACCAAGAAAAATGGAGTCGGTTCGAGTCCGTGCAAGCGATTTCGTTGCACGCGCGGCAGCTGCCACCTTATCTCTGTATCTTTCCGTGACCATTCCCGAACGCGGGTTCAGGATTTACGTTTATTATTGCCCCGGCGAGCTGGATTCGCGTCCCGTGAAAAGGCTAATTGATGACACCGTTTTATTACATTAATACGAGACGTTGCTCGTAAATGGTAAGTACGGTGATGCATAGAGAGATAATCGTTTAATTCTCGGCTGGTGGGTTCGCACCAGGTCCGTGTCCAAATATTTTTTCACCCAATGGAACCTCCCCTCCCCCCGAAACTAAGTAAATCGTAACTGTCTAGCGGGGAACACTTTTATTAGTTATTTGCTGTTGTATGAAATTGCAGCGTCGAACGTAGGTGAATCATACTTTTTCGAAGAATTTCCCCGTTTTGTTAATTTGCAGGTAACGCGGTGATAAAAAGATTGCCGGAATAGGAAGCAGGTTTATTACATCCGTTTTAACGGTGCGGTGTATTACGAATACGAAGAAATAGGCTCGTAACCATTTCTGGCACTAGCAACGAATAGAAAGTCATATTTCGTGGAAAAATATTACTGAGCTATTTCCTAAAAAAGGACAGTCGGATGGTTGTCGATCCAGTGGCGAATTGTTTCACGAATGGCGGTGGCGGACCCAAAATCCCCAAAAGCGTGAAGTTTTTATGTAAACAAGAAATAGAGTCGAAACTATGTACATCGTAAGGAATGTACATATTTCGTTTCTATTAGTTATCATTCGCACATGCATCGCTGCTATACTTGTTTCATTTCACCTGGTGATTCAGTAACCTGTTTACAGAATACCAAACGATCTTATCTCACTTAGAAGTAAAAAGATTAAAGAAAAATTCGATCCTCGTGTTTATTCATCTCTATGGGACTATTTTAAACAGATGGAATAATTATTTGTTTAGATTTTTGATACCACAGATGAGTCATAAATGGGGTATTATAATTCGCCGCTCTATCGATGCTGCTATCCACTTTTACACGGACAAAGAAACTGCATACTTTTCATTTGCCCGTTCTGTTACACGCAGGCAAATGTGAATTAATTTGAGAAGAAAATCTAATTTACATTGAATGCTCGTACCGTTTCCCAGTATCCTAACGAGCTCCTGATACCCATACAATATTTTCTATTGCTCGTAAATAATTATGTATTAGGAATTTCCGCGTTCAGCCTAAGGAATTGTTATTCCCGCCCAGTTCGCTGTTAATAAGTCTCCATTTCGTGCGAGACAAAAATGATGATGAGAAAATAGACTCGACATTAAACAATAAAAAATTATTAAGTGAAATCTTTTGAACAGTTCATTGTTGAAGCTGTATACTCGCGCTTAATGCAGCGAAATAAATTCAATATTGCTTTCGAAATGCGTTCATCGACGGTTAAACGTTGGCAATGATAGGTGAAAGAGCTTGATAAAAAGATAATCGTTAAAAGGACGCACAGGCGGCGCGGCGCGGCGTCGAGACGCCAGAGTTCAAGTACCGCCGGAGGTTGCATCTTTGTGCGGGCACACCTGAATTAAGTGGCATTCACACGACCGCTTGGTGAATTGAACAAAGAGAGGCGTTCTTGTAGGAACAACCCGCGTCTAGCTATCGTGGCAATAAGTATAGAACGGTAAACGCGCGGCGCATACTCATTTCTACGTCCGTCTGATCCGTTTGTAATGCGACATCCATCGTAAATAGAATCCCGAGAAGGAAACGTGCTTTAACGCGACCTCCCCTATAATCCCTGCCTTCTTCGTACGCGGACAATCAAATTCAACGTGTTGGGGATTTGATTTTCAAAATGGCGGCGAAGGTAGTCGCGCGTAAGCGCTTGACTGGCGCCGAATTTCCATTATTTTCTTGCGTTACGAAGGGCTGGCTCGTCAATGCACAACAAAAAAGAATCGAAACTCTTTGTCTTGATTAAAAATTCAAATCTAATTTTCCATCGATAAACGAGGATTATGAGCGCGACAACGTCAAACACTTGTTGATTATGTACTATATAAAAATATCGACATTCCGACCAACTCTAAGTGATTTTACTTAAAAGATTTGAAAAGATCTCAGCCCCTACTAACACACTACGACCAACCCAAATAATAATTCCTATGGAATATAGGATTTCTAAAAAATCCGTTTTCATAGGCGTTTCGTGCGAGACAAGTTCATTTGCTGTTTACAAATATGGCGGGTGGACGTCAAGGAGACCCGTCGGAAACTGAGTCAAAGTGAAGGACCTCGTTTAGCGCACCACGTGCTATCGAACGTGTGTTTTACGGGACACGAGCACATATGTATATCCCGCTACTTTCGCACGAGTCGTTAATTTCTGTGGAAAATCCCTTGGTTTCTTACGAGTCGAAGCTCTTTAACAATAGCAAAAAACATCTAAAACTATATCCCTATATCGCATAGAAATCTAATACCCGTACTAAAATTCATCGGGCTTACTTTTGGTCCAAGTGTGCTTGAACCCTACGCACTTGGAAATTTACTTTCCCTGCAACATTCGTGTTTACAATTTCCAATTTATTGTTTTGCGGAATCGTACCGTTTCGTAAAAGTGAATCGAGTTCGGCGGTTAAAGCGCCACAAAGGTTTGGCGAATCCCGAAGGCACGATACATCGTAGATAGCAATCTTACCTGCTAGCCGATTGGACGATCCAAGCCGAACAGTCCTCATTAACCGGTTCGATTCGTGTTCCCGACAAGAACGACCGAGACACGGTCCCTGCCCGAAAATCGGCTCCGTTTGTGAATGCAGCTTAACGGCGGCAGGCAGGCCAGTCAGCCAGGAGAAATATGCACACATTCAGGTTCCGCCGTTGGTGAAGGACCAACCACACTGTCGCCCCATGCCGCGTATTATATACACTCCTCTGACCACACGGATCGGACGAGCTCTCTCTCTCTCTCTTCTTCGAAACAGATGACAGAACGACTCGGTCACCGTAACCCACTGGACGTCCCACACGGAATTCGCACCTTTGCGACGCGAAAACTAATTCGACGGAACGCGACCACTTGATCGTTGTACGCGACACCGGCTACGCCGGACCGTCCCCTTGTTTCGTCCTGTTCTTTCGTTTTCTACTCGCGATTCGATCCGAGTTACGTTCTTTTCACGAGCGAGCACGAGGAGTACACGCAGATCTCTTGTCGGCCGACAGCCGCGTGCGTTAACACGGAGAAAGGGAACGCAGTGCACAGGTCCGCGACGCAAGCACGCGCGAGATAACGAGGAAGGGATGCGGCGGCCACTTGCGTTCGAATCGTACCACTACCACCTTTGTACACTATTTTAATAACGCCGAACGACCGTGACACCACGAGTACACCATGCTCCGCCCGACTCTCCTGCGAGATCTCTTTTTCTCTATTTTACGATTTCGATTGCACGAAAGGCTGCCCGCCGTGACGCTTGCACATCGCGTGTACTTTTCGTGCGTTTCGACCGTGCGATCGCGAGTAAGGAGAGCGCGCGCTTCGGAGAAGCACCGTGCACGCCGTGCACGATCGTGGTACGTACAGCCCTCCGGGGATCGTGCAAATCACCCCCACCGTCGACAGAACCGGCATCGCACTGAAAACCGGCTGGTATGTGTGCGTTTCCCTCGAGCACGGAGCGGGAATGCTCGCCGACGTCGGCGACATCTGTCGGGACAACGGTGAAGCGTATCGTCCGATCCTTTGGTACGAGAGTACTGTTTTTCGGCGGGTCCGCGGTCTCAATTTGAAAATCGTTTTTTCCAAATTAACCCTTGCGCCAAGAATCAAAGTAATCGTGATTACTAATAATCGATAACTCGAGTACCTGAAGAAAAATTAAAAATTTTAAAGAAAAATCGACGGGAGGTACGTGGCCAAATTTTTCGACAAAAAAAAAGTTTCAAATCGTTTTGAAAAAATTATTTTCTGTTGCGGGGGTCAATTGCAATCATTTTTGGTGAATAGACGTACCCGCGAAATCCCACGCACTTTCGAGAAAAAAATTCTTTACCGAAAATATAATCTGTGACCAGAAATGGGACCCCGAAATTTTATGCCTACGTTTAAAAAATCATAACTCTTGAACGGATTGAAGGATTTTAATGTTTCAAAATGCAAACTACGCGTATTTTGGTGAAGAATATTTAGAAATTCTAAGAATGTTGGAAAAGTTGTTCGTTAACCCCGTAAAGTGAGGAAAACTAATTTCATTCTCTGTCTCACTTCCTCTTGTATCCATTTCTGTAACCTGTTGGTAATGTTGCGAGTGACACGAAAATGGTAATGGGGCTCTAGAGCCCCAGAAAATTGGACCAAAAAAATACATTAAATGTAAAGTCTACTCGTATACCTGGTCTGTGATTTTATCATAAAACTTTAGATAGTTAAAGAACGAAATTCGTAATACATGAAATTGAATGGAAACAAATATTATCGTACGATTGCTCCGAACAAAATCGAAACTACTTGAACGGAAGTGGAAAAAGTCTAATTTGAAAATAGTGTACGAAGAGTATCGGATCGAAGGAAGTGAGATTTAAAGGAAAGATAAAAGAAGCAAATTTGATCGTTAGAGTTCCAATCTAACACAAGTGTAGTTCATGCTTCTCCGAATATAAAAACTACGCGCGAGATAAAAGCTTGTTACTTAGCGCATACACGTCCAAGACGACCGGTGAATGAAAGTTTCAGGTATGAATACCGTTACTTGCGTAGCACCAGTGAACATCGCTGTTATAAAATATTGTACGTATTCTTCTTTTATTTATTTTTAATTGTTATAATTACCATAATTGTGGCAATTCTTAGTAAATACAAATGTAAGGGCAAATTATACGCAAAATGTATTATTTTACGATATTTAATCTAGTTTAAAATCTAATCGAATGTTATTCATAAAATTGCAAGTACTATCATTTCTGTTAGGTTACTCTATTAGAAAAAATGCTTATAATTTCCAGGCCTAATTTAGATGCGCGCCATTTTCGTAGTTCAAATTATAAATTCGAACAAACACAAGTTTTCCTATGTCCGCGAACGTTTTCATTCCTTTCGACTCTCATCAAAAAAGGTGCATGTATATCAAGTAATTTGCATTTGAAAAAAATACATTTAAAAGTGTTATAGGTATCTTTAAACATTTGACCTGTCATAATAATTTAAATTTAAATAGATATCTTTAAATACTATGCAAATAAATCGACGGCGAGATTGTACAATATACGTATTAATATTCACGATTTATTTACAGGGGGCAAAAGAGATGAAACGTTAATATTACCTGCAAATGATTCTATAAGTGCCACTTTAGATACTGATCAGGTAAGTATATAACTACATTTAACAGAGTTGTAAACAAACATTATAAACTTCAATTACGACTTTTTTAATTTACAGCTATGTGCAAAAACAACTGTAATGATCAGTCCACAATTCAAAGAAGATCGTATGTGGTTAAATGGAAAGTAAGTTTTAACAATTTATATATTTTGGAAATAAGCTTTGTTCGAATGCACTATAATTTTTCAGAGAAGAAAACATCAAGAACCCCAGATTGCAAAACTGTTTAGCAGAAAGTATGTACTTAATTACATTCAACCGTACTGAATATTTTAAAAGTTTAACTGGTAATGTAGCGGTGTAATTTTAGTTAAAAAACGAGCAGGCAAATCAAATGCCTCGGGACAATGGAAAATTCATATTTGCTCGAAAAACAATTTTCCAACTGCTGCTGGTTTGGCTTCCAGCGCAGCAGGTTATGCTTGTCTAGTAACAGCTCTTGCAAAATTGTACAAAGTTGAGGTATTTTAAACAAAATTTTCATATTATAGGATGTATAGTATTGCTTACACTTTATTTCCAAGCATTATATTCTAGGGTGATATCAGTTCGATTGCTCGTATTGGCTCTGGATCAGCATGTCGTAGCGTTATGGGAGGTTTTGTCAGATGGCACATGGGTTCTGATCCCAATGGGACTGACAGCATCGCTAAGCAAATTGTTCCTGCCTCTCATTGGCCAGAAATGAGAATTTTAATATTAGTCGTATATATTAATTTTTTTCTCTGCTATTTTAAATTAATTTTTTTTATAGCAAATATACTCACAATCGTACGTTTCTTTGTAGGTAAATGATTCGAAGAAAAAAGTTTCTAGTGCAATTGGAATGAAAAGAGGTATGGAAACATCGGAGCTACTGAAACATAGAGCAAAACATATAGTTCCTGAAATGGCAAATAAAATGCAGCAAGCAATAATCGGCAAGGATTTTAAAACGTTTGCTGAATTAACAATGAGGGATTCTAATCAAATGCACGCAATAACTTTAGACACTTATCCACCTTGTGTCTATATGAATGATATTTCGCACGCAGTCGCTGATCTTATTCACTCCTATAATGATGCTATTAACGACATCAGGGTATTATAGACATTAAAATATTCTGTCCTTCAAGGTTAAAATTCGTATGCGCGTAATTTTATAAAATAGTTGTTTCTTTTAGGTTGCATATACATACGATGCAGGACCAAACGCGACTTTATATCTCTTGGAAAAAAATGTACCAGAGGTTATGGGTTTACTGGATTACTTTTTCCCGCCATTACCCGATACTTTAATAGAATACAGAAAAGGGCTACCTATTGAAGTCATTAAACCATCGCAAGTAAATATTATTCCCTTGTATAAAATTGTGGTTTACGTTGCATATATTGAAACAAATAACTTCTTCGTCTGTTTTTAGAGTCTGTTAAACGAGATAAACGTGCAAAAATATTCTCCCGGATGTTTTAAATATACAATTTATACTCGCGTTGGAGATGATCCTAAGTATCTCAAAGATTCCAAAGATCATCTTTTAGATAACCAAGGATTGCCAATCAAACATGGCTGAGTAATTTCGTATTGTTAGAAATGTTTATATTTTATTTACTAATGGAATGCTGGTATTTTTACTTATTATATGATGGAAAATAAAAGATTACCTATATTATTTATATATGTTATTACCTTACTTCCTGTATAATAATATTTTCATTCAAAATTTATATCAATTGAGAATGCAACTAGGTACTACTGATTCTAGACAAAGATTATAATAGCATAAAATATCATAAATTTGAACTTTAGACTTTAATTTATGCAATGTAGTATATCTATTAGAACTATTGATGAATATACATATTTTTCGATTCACGATTGAGAATTTCTTAGCTAGTCAAGGTTTATAAAATTTACAGGTTAATATAATGGGTTACGTCGTGTATAAGTAGTAAAATCGAAAACTGATAAGTAACGTTTCATAATTAGTAAGTAAAAATAAATCTTACGTTAGTGCATGAAAGAAGTGCATCAGTTTATGTTATAAGAACTAAATATTTTACAGCGTAGAAACGTAAAAAATACATATACTATACAGAAATCATGACACGCGGCGTTGAAACTATTAAAGCAATTTTGAATACCATTGGTAAGAAACCCAATTTTGGACAGTGCTTAAAAAATGTAAGTTTATAGTACGTTCGATTTCCATAATAAATTACAGAATATAACCAACATCAAATATCTTTCAAGTTTCAAATTGAATTTTTTAACTTATATGTCTGAGAGAATTATTTTTAAATTAATTTTAAATATTTTCTCATTTTGTTTGCAATAGCTTCAAGTAATTTCAGCAGGAGATGGAAATTGCAAGGCACGACTCATTGTTTCCGAGGATCATTTGAATCTAGGTGGTACAATGCATGGTGGTTTTACGAGTACTCTCATCGATTGTGTTTCTACGTATGCTTTGATGACCCATAAGAACGGTGTGCCGGGAGTTTCAGTGGACTTAAACGTTTCGTACGAATCCTTTATTATATAGTCTTTTGTATTTTCAGAAAAGTAATTTATACACATTAATAATCAATGTACAGGTTTATGAAACCTGCTCTTCCCGGCGAATTGATAACAATTGATGCTAGAACTGTACGTGCTGGGAAAACCTTAGCTTTCCTTGCAGTGGATATCACAAAAAACGATGGGAAAGATCTTATCGCTCATGGAAGACACACAAAATTTGTTGCAAAGTGAAGTAATATATACCGCAGTAGTCAATGTACAGAGTTCTATAGATTCAATAATATAGTATAGTACCTGAATATTTTTTAGCATTTCTTAATGCGTATTTAATATATTTATTCAATGAATACAATTTCTTGGTTAAAAGTTGTATTGTGCTCTCTTGTACAGAATATATAAAATGAACACATTGCGACTAAAACATTTCTTTACTATTTAAAAATATGTATATATTATAAATGATTATAATACATGGTATAATGTTTAATGGCACAAGATTATGAAAAATGCAATTACTGGTGATATAACAACGATCGATGTTAGAATTGTGCAGTTTTTTTGGAAGGAAAAGATATTTGTTGCCGGATATAAAGCATATCGACGAATTAATTTCCTGCAATATCAGCAACTAACATACACGACGTAACACTGATTTATACACGAACACGTTCATAAAAAAGAAAATGTAGTATTATTATTACATAGAAAAGGTTTAAAAATTGTTAGATGTAAAAAAAACTACATTCGATCGTTTTCGTGTTTCTAAAGTACCAAATTTAAATCGCAAGCTAAATAAATTCGCGTCATAAAATTGATTATATAAATAATTTTACCTAAATGAATGGTGAAATGTGCCTACATTATGCTACTGAAGCGACACGCAATTCTTTGTGATCTACGAGTGACTCGTTTCATCGTCCGAATAAGCAAAGATTTAACTAAAAAAATAACAGCAAAGAAATAAACCCCATTGTTCTATTGTATGTAAATACCTGTCTACACTTTTTTAAGGTCTTTAACACTTTGCAATCCCATGTTCCTTATACAAGACATTGACAATATTTATTTTAACTCTAACGGTCTCTGATCGGGATGTAAAGTCGTCGAGGAAGTAAAGATGAACATTTCTAAGCAAATTTCAAGTTTGTCGTGTCATTTAATACATTTAAAAAAAATAAAATAACCTACATTTACGTCCGCCTATTTTTGCATATCAATCTTCATCCCAATCTAGCGTAAAATATGTCTGGATTCATTGGTATCGCTCTGTGACAATCCTCGTTGAAGTGCAATTTAATTCACGCTGTGATAAGGGAAAGTTACTAGCTTCGACACTAACCGAAACTCTCTTCGAACAAGCGTTTCCACTATTACCAAATGGATGAAGTGCACAGTTTAGTCACCATAGGCGCGGCGCGCGTGGTTTATTCTCAAACGTGGCAACTATCGTATGTTTACAAGGCCCCGTTGGGTATAAAGGCCCTGCTGTACCCCGCATCCTGAGTATAGAAATAAGTGCGATGTATCAACCTGAAGACTATTCAGAGTACAAAGTGTCAAAGTATCGGATACAGGACTAGAGATGCGACATTTAAACAACGAATCAAGTCGACACAGCAGAGGCCAACAAAGAATCGGTCTTCGCGCTCTATCGTGCAGCTCCTACGATTCACAGTATATGTACAATAATAATTGCGCAAAGTTAATAAAACTCTGAACTAGAACAAGTTCGAGTGAACAGAAACGAATGAACGGTGAATGCCTGGTAGAAGAACGGCGACAAGTCGTCGATTTTTCTACTTGAGTGTTTTCGCCTCCTCTAAGAACAATTTCAATTCCTTTACTCTGCGCGACAAAGACTCGGCTAATACGCTAACTCTTTTAGATTCTAGCTCGACCTCCTCGACCGTTCTTTCCAAGTACTCGATTCTATCGTTGCGATCCCGTGGGACCAGATTATTCGCGAGGTTATGTTGCTGGGGCATGTATTTGGCCGCGCTGCGCCGGAAACGCGAGATCGTATTGCTGTTGTCTTCGCATCCATCGCAGCAATCGGACCATATTCTTAGATCCACATGCGGTATTTCGTCGCAGTTTACGTATCTGTTCTCGCCTTCTGGTAATAGAAATACGTTCGGTTGTATTCGGTTGATGTTATCGCCGTTATCGCAGAGAACGCGAGCCAAACTCGCCTGTTTGATCTGAGCAAGTTGCTCCGGCTTGAAGACAGTGGGACTCTCGTACCAGAACCTGTCGCCGTTTCTGGTACGTTTGAATTGCTCCAGCAACAGGCACTTGAACAGAGGTCCCACTTTGGCGTTTGGTAGCTGATCCTCCAAAACACCGCCTACCCAAACATCTATATTCCCAGGATGACCATACAGCTCTCGTAGTTTTTGTCTGACCCGGGCGCTGCGTATATCACCGGCCAGATCCTCGAAGGTCTCTACGCGCGACATGTTGCAAAAACGTCGCCATTCCAAGTACCCGGGCAGAGCATGATCTCTGCCGCGTTGAATGTTCATCGCGGCCAGATCCAGTGCCACTGCGTGAGCAGTACGGAACAATTGCTCCGTCAGCTCAGAGTTCAAGTTCTCCTCGGGTAGTTTCAACTTGGCGGCAGTGGCGAACATGCCTCTGATCAAGGGATCGACGCCACCCTCCTCGACTAGTCTCCACGGCGCGAAGAACGCGTCTCTTAGAAGAAGAGGACCCTGGGGTATCGACTGGAAGAACTCATTCAGACGCTCGAGTCGCGGTTGAATCAAGGTGTGGCCGAATCTCAGGGCTGCGGTGGCGAAAACGTTCGACACGCTGGCGTCCAAGTTCGAGTCGTAGTCGCGATAAGAACCTAGAAGTTGTTCCGCTGTGCCATCGAACACGCGGGGTATCCAATGCTGATAAGTAATATGTTGCATCTCGGCACCGACGATCTTCCTGGCCTCTTGATAAAGCTTTTCTCCGTTCCAGTGAGGATTCATCTCCCGCAACTGACGAGCCACGCGGTTGTGCTCCCGCAGCCATATCGTGTGCATCGCCAGCAAACCCACTTGCTCGTTGGCTCGAATGTCCCCGGCTACGAAACAATTGATCGAGCTCTCTAGCGGATTTCGTCTGCAATCCACAAACTGACCGGAGGCATACGGGAGCAGCGCTTTATGCCCAGGGAAAGTGGGACCTTCTCGTAACAGGCCCTGATCCGTGGTTAAGTCGCGCAGATCCCTGGCCAAATCGTCGTCGTAACCGTACACCTGGGAAGCGTCCAGGTAGCTGGTAAGCTGGTTCAGTTGTTCGCGAGGCGTGAAGCTGCCCCACAACACGCTCGTCATACCGGAACCGCAGACCGCGCTGGTTCTGATGAAATCGATGCACCTTCTGTTAGATATTCGTGGATCACCCGGTGGGACCTCCATGGGGAAACACGGGGCAGCGTTGTCGCAGGATTTCTTGCAGTCTATACCGTCCCACGATTCCCTGGATACCGACGGCAGGGAGTGGTCTAGGTCGTGATCCAAAAACTGACCCCATTGCATCACCATGTGCGTGATCCTCTCGTCGGGGGTTATGTTGTGCGTAGTCACCAACGTTGTCGAGACCAGCCGGGCTGCTGGCTTTGGATACCCGTAATAACGACGTCCCCTTTCCCAGCCTACCGGCGTCGAGAATCCGTTCTCGTAGATCGGTTGCAAGACTCTGTGGAAGCCGGTGTAGGATGATCCCCAAGTCGGATGGCGTAGGTTGTTGCAACTACCGTCTATGCTACGGTACTTGTTGTGAAAGCACATGTTTGTGCAATTTTGCCGACGTCTGTGGCCAGTGCACCCGGACAATCTTTCGATCTCCAGGACCTGGGGTACCAAATAATATCTTAGGGTACAGAATTAGTTGACAGTCGTCTGTTTGAACTCTCATCATGCTTGATTTGAAATGAACAGCTTTAGACAGTTTTCTGGGTCGATTAACGTTTGTAGATCAAAGTATATCATTCGAGGGTGCTAAGAATATTATTACAAGGCACTATAAAAGTAGAGATATTATATCGAATACACAACATTATACTCGATGATAACATTATAACTGAAACAGTAAAGGACCGTCAAAGGTTTAAGATATCTGAACAAAAATTTACCTGTTCCGGTGTTAGAACTTCCTCGTATCGGAACTCTTTGGTGGTATTTGCCGCCATACCGGCATTTACCATTCGTCTTATGTTAACAAGTGTTCTTTCGAATACTTCTGCTGGCCTGGCTGCGGCACGGCCAACCGCGTCCGGAAACCGCGCGAGCGCGAATGGATTTACCCGCTGCGCGGATCTATCGTCGCTGAAGAGGCTTGCCAACGTGTTATTAATGGCGCGATCGATATCCTCTTTGGCATTTTTGAAAGCTCTGATCACCAAGACATTCGTCGCCTCGGGTTGGCGAACGCGAACCAGAGCTTGGGCGGTCGCGCGACCATATTCGTTCACAGCCGAGCACTCGTACCTGCGCGAACAATGTTCATTCAACTACAATCGAATCTAAGGAATAATTTTAATGTCAGAAGAAAATGAAATAATTCAAGTACAGTAAGATGAGAAGTTGGCTAGTGGGTCTGATCGAGAACAATCTTCTCCCTATAGACAGAGGAAGATGGACTATACCATACAGTATCTTCTTCCACGTAGTATACCATTCTAGAAAGATATTATTCTGTATTTAAACAGACTCGGTAGCCAACTTCTCATCGCTGCCTCTGAAAAGGTAAGGTTCGATCGTTGATCTGCAGCCTGATTCTAGACTCGAATTTATCTTAATACTGTTTTTAGGTACCGATAAAAAATGAATTCACCTGCCAGTGTCCGCAGAGGTAACATTGTAAAGGTACAAGCTTCCTCCCCGGGATATGCGGACTCTGTTCCCTTCGACGGCTGTTCCATCCTTCTTCCACTGTATCACCGGTTTCGGAACACCCCCTACCCTGCATGGAACCTCGATAATGGTGCCTGGTTCCACCTCCATGTCTCGAGGCTCGTAGGTCAACTTGGGCGGCCCGTAAGACGTGTCGACTACCTTCAAGTCGGCGCTGGTCTCCGCGAATCCGTTCGAGTTCTGCGCCCTGCAAACGTACCTGGCCGCGTCCGACTCTTTCGCGGCGAGGATACGCAGCACGTTGCCGTCTTCCTCGGTCGAGAAACGACCGGCCAAGTTCAGGGGTTCGTTGTCCCTCCACCAGTGAATCTTGGGCAATGGTCGACCCTCGGCTTGACACACGAAGCTCACGTCTGCGCCCACCTGCACCGTTTGAGACTCGGGCAATCGAGTGAATCTCAACGACGGCGACACGGTGACCAGCGCTCTGGCCTTCCGCGACTTCGTGGACCCCATTTCGCTCTTGGCCACGCACTCGTACTCGCCAGTGTCCTGCTCGGTCGCGTCCGACACCACCAGCGTCCCGTCCTCCTGGATCGTGTAGCGGCTCCCATCCACGGGCACCTCGTTGGAATCCCGCATCCATTTTATCTCCGGCGTTGGGTCGCCTATCACCTCGCAGGTGAAGCTGAAGGTACCGCCCAGTCTGACTTCCACGTCCTGTGGTCCGTTCATGATACGCGGCTTGGCTGAAGAAAGAGGATACCGTAACACATTCATTCCTTCTTTCAAAGTTAGTAATATTTTTTTATACTTGTTACTACCGTAGACTCTCTTGCAAAGGTCGGAAGAACTTTGGTACGTTTAATCATAAATACCTCTAAAAAACTACCGAGTATTTGCCTCTATGATGCTACATTCTCGTGAACAAGATGACTAGATCTACAAGTGGGGACGACTAGGAGGTTCGAGCTACTCAACTGCAATGGAAGTCATCCGGCGACATCGCCGTCAGCGATCGACCTTTCATCTCCACCGGCGACTGGCAGTCGGCCGCCATCTCAGCGGGTTTGCTTTGAAGGCGTTGCACCAGCCAAACGAGGTCGCAATCGCAGACTAGGGCGTTGCTGTCCAGACGGAGCCGCGTCATCGGACCCACGTTCTGAAACGCGTCGGCGGGCAACCGATGGAGCATGTTGTTATGAAGGAACAAGCGTTCCAGGCCGGGTAAATCATTGAACGTGCCCCTTTTGATCTCGCGCAGGTGATTGTAATGCAAATACAGCTGCTCTAATTTCGGCAGGCCCGCGAAAGCGCCCGGCGACACGCGCTCCAGACGATTTTTGTAAAGATAGAGGATCTTCAGATTGGGTGCTCCTTCGAAGGTTCCTGGTTGGAGGTGTCTGATGCGGTTGTCGTTCAACAGCAGAGTGTGCAGTTCGGATAGACCGTGGAATGAACCCGGTCGGAGCTCTGCTATATTGTTGAACCGCAGGTCACTGAAAACAATTGGTTTTTGGTAAATAAAGCGTCTCGATAATGGTATAAGTTGGTCGTTACAGTATGTTGGAATAGTGTCTTTTCTCTTCGAGAACTTATAAAACGTAAGAGTCGCTACACTATGGGCTTAAGACGACAAAGTATAAATTTTTAGAACCGTCTACCCGTTAAAAGTACAAGGATAGCGCCGATGCAGCCCGTTGCACGCCTCGTCGCTGCGAAGATCGTCAGAGTCATAAAGCGCGAAGCTCTTAATTAACGATTTTACTCGACTCGTTGCGCATTACCGTCCCCTTCCCTACCCTCTAAATTGTCGGGCGAGTTCTCGGTTCGACGCGTCGGTATTTTAACCTCTTTATCGCCACGGCAGATCTTCCAGTGGCTGGTTTCGTCGAGCTCGATCGGAACGAAAATGGGACGAGTCGCGCGGAAGCTTGATTTTCGCGCTTTCCGCGATACGCCGCGTAATAAAGGAACGATTCTTGCAGGAAGAATATTCCTTGGTAAAAGAAGCTTGAAATCGTATATCCCGCTCCAGTTAATTACGTGCGCACTGTCACGATCGTTCATCTTTATTTGATATCTCATTAACGCTGATAGGGTCGTGCGGATTAAATGAAAACCGATGCCTGCCTGCGCTCTCGTACAACTTGGATTTAAACGTAGTTGTTGGATCGGAACAATGGGGTCGTAAGTTACTCTATAGAAACCATGTACAATTAGTCTCGCGGGTCCATAGAATTACATATACAGCGAGTCGCAAAATTATTGGCACAGGTACGCGTTTAAAACAGAAAGCGTCGATTCGATGGCTTGCAATTTCCTGGAGTACATTTTTATCGTGGATTTATCACATGGTATTTATAGATTAAAGCGATCAGAAATCATGTTCTTCACCGTGCAGGGAGTAAACTCAAGAGTTACGATCGCGTGAGCGATTCCGTGATTTCTGTCTGTAAAGAGTTGACCGAGCGAATTATTGATAACACGAAAAATAAACAGAAGTTAATTCGAAACTCCACAGTACAGACATTTGGCCTCTAGTAGTAAAGGACTGTTTACAACACCCTATATTTTTACTAATCTTTACCATAAAAATGTACTTACTATATTTTAAATATGTTTGTCTCTTATGCCATTTGATAACCCGTTCGATTTGTCTGACTCGCTCTGTACAACTCTCTAGATGTCAACTCACCCAAGTTTGACTATCCAAATCGTTCAATCGTTACGTGAATTATTGATAAAATGTACTTTAAAAAAAAAAGAAAAGGAGGAATGGCAACCATTAAGCAGAGAAGCAACTCCCTTTCACCGATCATGTGTTTTGACAAGCCAGTATTAATGACACATGGTATTTGCTTCGCGCCGCTTCAGTAATTTGCCTCAGGTACTCGTCGATGTCCGTAACTATTTGCGTTTCATACGTTTAACATCGAAATAACGTAATACGATCAACGTTGCTCGTCGATTTGTAAAATTTCCGCGAACCAGTTACTCTACGGATTCCGGTTTCAATTTTTCTTTCGTTCGCCGACAAACGAATTACAATGTCTAATAATAACGCGAGAAATCGTAGCGAGAAAGCGATAGAAAATAAATATTATTAAACAGCGTTCGATAGCTTCGAATTTTGACACGTGTTTATCGATAGCTCGGACCACTGATGCTACTATATGTATATTGCTCCAATAATATTTTTACAGATGCTGCCGCGGGGGAACCATAAATATCTTCCAATGTTTGATACCGTAACATTTCGCGAAGAAACTTTCGAAGACGAGTGTTACAATGAATTGAATCTGGACGCGACGTAAAACATTGCGCCGAAATGAAGAATTAATGGGAAATAAATCATCGGATGAAGCGTATTTGCAAAGAAGATTGATAACATGGTAATAAATTTTGATATACAAGATATATTATTAGATAGGCTAACTATCGTTTTAACTATTAACTATTCTAATCCGTACGAGAATGGCGTGGGGACCCACACTGCAACATCGATATTTCAGTTACAACTAGAACTAAAACGATTAAATATTTCAGGCATCGTTCAAAGTATCCAAGTCCAAATTTTCAGTATCCATTCGAGTTGAATGGCGTTTGTAAAATAGAGGTGCACTTCACCGTGTACCATAAAGAGACGCTAAAAGCGCCTTAGCAACTGCGATACGCGTCCGATCCAAGTTTAATTCGATTACGTTTAAGCTAATGAAAACATTCAGCTCCGTAACGAACAGTAATTTTATTCATGTTCCGCTTTACAGGCCCTTTCAGCGATATCTGCCATTGAAACTGCTCGAGGCGGGCAGAGCCGGCTTCGTTTCTTTGCTAAGATTTTTACGAGGAGGCCTCAAGCACCCATTGTCTACCCTAGGTATAAACAAAGAACACCGTGCAACGCGGATAGCCGTAGAGCTAGGAGAACACCGACGAATCTGCACGAAAATAGAAACTGGTAGAATGTAAACTACGAGGCCGGTTTATTGTGGCTAGATACGCGAAAAAGTTTAATAGCATCGCTGGCCTTCTTCGGTCATTCCTTATTATAAACGATTTATCGCATTCTACGTGACTTCTGATCGCCGTTTAAATTTAAACACTCGTACGTGCACGATTGCAAAACAGATCGACATTTTGTAATTTGTATTTATGCATTGTAAGATGCATTTCATTCTATCTAAGTAAGAATTTCGTTTGACTTCGGTTGGTAACATCGCGCCGGAGTCGGTCAAATTTTATTCACGTATAATTAATGGAACGACGGATTAAAAAGAAGTCTGTTTATAGATTCTAGTTCACCAACGAATTCAATTTAAAAGTGCGTGTCAGCGTTGAAACATTATTAACCGTTACCTCACGTTCGAGCAGAGATAAGAATGATCCGACATCGGTGAGAAGATTGGTCATTTTGTGCGTTTCACGCGATGCTTGTCCACGTAATCAATTTATCGTACGAAAAATAAACGAGCGGGATTTAATCTTTCATTATAAACGCGACCCTGATCCGCGGAGCCGCGAGGTCGCGAGCTGACCGAAAAAATTATCATTTTGCGAAGAGGTCAGGTTTTACTAACAGCATTTTACCTTGCCCCCTTTGAACTTATGCTTGCCGTCCACTTCAGAATTTTACTCTTGAAAGTCGGTATCGAGAACAAGAGCCTTTCATACGACCGAGAGCCTTCGTGATGGAACTTGCCCCGTCACTCGTAAGCTCGGTGTATTTGTGTGAAAAGACCCTTACTCTCAATGCTGCATTCACTAGAACAGTGGTGCACAATCTTCTCCGTTATCGGATTAAATATTAAATACAATTATATTTCTTGCGGGCTCAAAAAACTTATTACTACTCTTCTTCACGAAGAAATTGTACATATTACGAAAGAATGAAAGAAAAGAAATTAAATTACCACCCTTCGTGACCAACTTGTACAAAACTAACTAAGATCGGTTAGAGGATTAGATTGTAATTGTTTTATATAGAAGGTTCTTTAGAACAATTGGAAGGTCCTAGCTTAACTAATCGCGATTTCTTTTAATTACTTATCTGGACCAGTATACGCATTAAAGCGCGCGCTTGTTTCTGAGTCATCTCTTAATACAAACTGTTGATCTGTCTTTCTCTAAACGAGATTTAATTGTCATTGAGTATCCGATGCTTTCGCAATTAGCTCTGGAGCTATCTAATTAGTCATCTGTTATTCATCAAAATAAAATATATTATTTAAATACATTCTGATATTCTGCTTAATAATTGGACTAACTCCTGTGTTATTAGTTCCACTTTTTTTCTGCTATCAGAACGTACAATACCATTATTACTTATCGTTGGTTTCAACATTTCCAGGTATGGTGTGGAAAACGATCGGTGACAAATATTTAAACGAAGTCCTTAACCCGATTGGGGGTGTCGGAGGCGATAAAATATCCCGTCGTGTAAATATGTCCGTAGATACCGTCTTATCGTTTTTTTCCATCCGTGAAACGAGAATGTCCGCTTATCGTTTGAAAAATTCAATACAAATCGTTCGCATAAAGCGAAAAGAACAGAAAACTTGTTGCACGTATGTATCTATATGCACGAGTATACGATTCGTTTCGATGGAACGTACTTGCGAATTTATATATTTTATCTAAAGTATCTTTCGTATATCACAAATTATTTTTTATAAATTAACGTACGAAGAGCCAGTATTTCGACTTGTTGGTATATGTATACGAAGGATGCTAATTAATGTTTAACGTATTGTCACCGGCGCGAAGCCAATAATTTCTCGGAAGAGGCGTTGCACGACGCGTCGAATTCGCGAATTGGTGCATCCGAGAATCAGCGTTCCTGCGATTGCCCTTTGTTGTTCCCAAGAAAGATTCATTTCCAGCTAGCGTCGGCGTGTTTTATTGTAGATAGTTCGAGCGGCCGCGGCGGTCATTCCTATTTTAACCGAATCCGAAAACACCTTGCCGTTCGCCGCGGAAGAAGAGAAATTCGTTCCGACGTTTACGCTGACAGCGTACAAATAGCGGTACAACCGAGAACAGGACGAATCCACCAGGGAAAATAAATAGAACCATAGATTTCGATCTTGGAAAGAAACAGCTCAAGAAACTGGTCTGCGCGGGCACAGGAAGACACGGTTCAAGGGAGCATAATGTGGATCGTTTAAGTGTGTACACACAAAGAGTGGCAAGGCCATTAGGTGGTGCAGCCTGAGAGAACGTAACTCGAAGCTTCAATTCTTTTTTTTTCTTTCTTTACATCCTGCTGTTAATTTAGAAGTCGTTGGACATTCTGTAAGACCAAGGATGCAACAGAAACGGTGATTAACGCGACCTGTGTTGTCTTCGTTCTTTGAACGCATTGAAGAGCTTTGCATGCAATTACGAGAGGTCAAATAATTGGAGGATTGTTCCAACGACTTTGTTGGAACAAGGTATATTTGGCCCTTTGAAAGCTTAAACGCGAGATACGAGCTTCCTTATGAAACGTGACAATTAACAATGAAATATGAAACTAGTAAAAGGACGTTGTACGCGTGGATAATTACGTACGACACGAGAGTAATTTGATTCATCGGTCAAGCGATTTCTCGTATCTCTATTTCGCAATTCTAAAATACTACTATAAATTAGCCTAGATTATATTTTCAATGTTACATGACTGTACAATATATCTATTGAAGAATAATAAAAGGAGCTTGTCTAAATATCCGTGCTTTTTACTGGCGTTTCCACGCTATTAACTTTTTGATGTACGATAAAATATAAAATAAAACCGAAGTAGAATACTATAAAAGAGTTGGCAAATATCCAGCAAAATAACGTACAAGACACTAAACAGGCCTGTAACTTGGAAAAAAGATCGGGCAACGTAAATGTTTATAGGAGCATTTTTTATTATTTTCATTCGAAACTATTATTACGCCCGTATTTCACGAAACATCTTCCACAAGTTGGATATTCGGTGAAAATATTATTACGTTAAGTATACGTTATTGGTTTCGTCTCTGTTGTTCGATTCATCCCTCTGAATTGCCAAGTAACACGATCCCATAATTATATCGCGCAGTATATAGTTTTAAACGGAAACAATTGCTTCCATACGATAAAGGACGCTCATGAAAGGCCCATAATACCAAATTTCAGTTAAGCCTTTATAATTCCAGGTGACTTCAATGGTTATTACCTGCATTTTTCATGTCTGATTTAATCCTATTATCAATGTATATCATTATGATTTCAGGGAATATACGTATATGGTCTACAATCTGTTTATAAGTTTTCACGCGATTATGGATACAGTTGAAAGTCTGCTATTCAAATATTTCACCAGTTGAATATTCAAAGATTCCAATAACGACATTCGAATACGCTATAAATGGTTTTCTTTCACCATCGTCAATAAGGTGATCAATTTAATTTTACATTTTCCAAACAATAATTGAATCTATAAAAATACCTGAACGCACAAACCGTGTCACCATTAAATTTCTTCGCGTCCAAACCTCCTGTACCCTTCATAACTATCGTGAGATCTTAACTGAAATATACGAGCGTCGTGTACCTACTCTCCCCGTGAGATGATATATTGTGTTTTCTTAGAAAGGATTCAATATAGATCTTGGCTCCTAGTTCCTTACAAATTATGCTGCATTGTGCGTACGACAGTGTATAATTATGATCGTATCTGTAATAGACTTACTATGCAAAGACTGGAAGTTCACGGGAAATTGGTCGACACCATTTTCCTTTATAAAAATCGTAATGGTCGAATAAATTGTCCAGCTGGTCTCGAGTAAATGAAACTGACACTTTCTCTAGATCTTTTCGTACGACTTTCTTACTCAACGTTTATGGTCAATCTCATTTTACGATCCTATTACAATAATTTGTACTGTTGGAAACTGCTCGAACTCTGATTTTCTCTCGGTTTACTTTGCTTCCTTTAAGAACTCTGATTTTGCGATGATAATATTACTTCTGTGTTATTTGTTAGCCTGCGAAACGCAAGAATTTATGCCGTGTGCTTTCAGTAATGATACGAAAACGTGCAAATGATGATATTCATCCGATCAAAACGCTCGAAAAAGGATACTAGAATACTGAACCACCCGAGTAACGATATTGCAACGCTCAAATACAAGATTATTAATGATACTCAAATACTCAGACGCTCGAGTAATGATATTAAAATGGTAAAACACTGAAATACTGTAAGGTTATCCGCAGGATCGAAAGAGAAAATAATTGGAATAGTCCCGAGCCCAGTTCGACGCGCCTGAACCGCCTCGAAGGAGCAAAGAGGGCAGGCGTCCCGCGTTTATCCGGCTCCGCGGGGCTGTGGATACGATTTTGCTCTTCCCACGTGCATTCTGTACTGGAAATACCCGCAGCCTACACCGTGAATTGCCCGATTACACCGAACCCAATTTCTCTCCGGTGATCCACGGGGCCGCCGCGGGGGAGGCGGTTAAGAGCGAGCGGTTTCGAGGCTCGGAGCGCGTCGATCAGATAAGGAGGACGAGTAGTCGCGGGCCAAGGGACGCGAAGGAAAAGAAGAGTAGAACCTGAAGTGGCCACTTACAGGACCGTCGTGTTGGCCGGTATCCGCGGTACCCGACTCAGCTTCTGAAACATGCACCTCACGGTCTTCACGAAGCACATGCACTTATGGGGGCAATCAGTCCTGCCGTCCTGACGCTGCTCCGTCCCGGTGACCTGCAGGGTCAGCAGGGCCCAGCAAACGACCAGTATCAGCCTCATGTCTATCGTCCGCATGATTCTTTCACATCAAAACAGCTCGCATCGTTTGGTGGAGCACGTGCTACACGGCATCGATGCGAACGAGCGGTCTCTCGAGCCTTTGGACGCTTTAAGGTTACTTTCACCTCTTCGCGGCGAGAGTATCCGCGAATAGCCCGTTCCCTCGAGTGTCCTGACACTCGGCTGAATCTTCTCTTCCCGACGAGCTTTCCTCGGAGGACTCTTGACCTCTTGCTAAGGCTTTCCAATTCCTCGGAATCCTCGGGATTCCAATGATTCTTTCCGATCAGGAATCTTCCAAGGTTTTGCGATTCTTATTCTTGCTTCGGGTACTCGAGGTACCAAGATTCCTCTAAGAGAACAGATATCACACTTTATTGTCCGAGGACGCTTACGGATAAACTTTAGCTTGTTATTTCTAGACGCTCGGTATCGAAAAATGTTGTTGGGGTCCCAAGGACCCGAGACTCGATGTACCTTTTCGTTCTCCCGGCTCGCAGGATTCCTCGGCGGCGAGCGAACGACTATCGTGCCAGTCGGTTTTGAAGCAACGGCGGCGACAAAGGGAAGAGGCGCTGGTGGACGCCGCCGCTGCGTTCTGGTCTCGTCTGGTCTCGTCGCGGCGGCTCGACTACTACTGGAGCTCCTCTGCGCCACGCCGCGCGCCGTGGACCCACGAGACCGACCATAAACGCGTCGCGTCGCGTCGCGTCGTTCGGGAGCACGAAAGCTTTTCCTCGCTAGGCCTCTCCCCCTTTCGTGTCCCACAGGTATCGACGGGATTCCAAACTTTTCGAATCTGTACAATTTTTTATCATTATTATTAATTATAGCTTCACGAAATAGTTCTATGTATTTTATTATTCGGTTACCAAGTTTGAGGGATACATTTTTCTATTTTATCAAGTCCCTATACTTTTCGCAAGTACCTACATTGCACGCGTGTCGTACGCATTGGCGCCACGCTGTGCTCGCATAAACTTCCACGGACTATTTATGAACGCTCGAGACAAGATTTTGCATTTGTCTAAACAACTATTGTAGATATACTGGCGAGGGACGAGGCGAACGTCGGGCGTCCTTCTGCTGACGCGACTACTTTCTTGGAGGTCTCTGGAGCGATCGTTTTTCTGTAACTTGCAATTTCAAGGAAACCGCCGTCGCACAATTGGCTGCTTTGTATGTGTCCACTTGAACGTTTTTTGCGTACACAGCACTTAGGAGCGTCGCGTTCTACAGGACTCTGTGTTCTCGCGTAGAAACGCTGCCCGTATTACATCTTTGCTATCCGTGCTTTGGACTCCCTTGATGCAGAAATCCATGTTACGAAATTATATCCTAATCTAGTCCCTGGAATGATCGATGCATCTCAACGAGCCGGGGCTCCCGCTTGTTCGAACTTCATCCATCCGTAGTGCTGAATGTTTGAAAGGCTGGGCCAGACCTGCAAAGCAATTGGAAGTTCAGTCGAAGAACATCGAAAGACAGTTACCGGTAGCTAGAATGAAACTGATGTTACGATGGCAGCTACAGTTAGTTCATAGAACGAGAGCCTGGAATTAAAAGGAGTGTCGTACGAATTCTAGCACGTTATAAATTCCATCCATAATAAACGCGAGGCTCCGCCCAGAATCACACGCTGCGGACTTTGCGAATCGAGAGTTATAGTATTCTTGCAACGGGTTCAACGACAAATACAAACCGATCTACATTTTTCTCGACGATATCGTTCGCAAACGAGACTAAATGATTGCTTATCGAATATCAGCGATGATAATCGGTAAACATTCACCATTAAATATGAAAACTTTGCGAAGAGTGCGTTTGGAATTTGATCGGAAACGGACGGAGGGAAAAGGCCTTTGATGGTCCGATTAAGTATAATATAATTACATGTATTAGCTAGCTATACTCGACGTTTATCCAGCAACTCGACTACGTTCTTCGTGAACGTTCGATACGAAATCCCCAGACGGATAAGCGGGAATGCTCGGTGCACTGACGCGTTTGCATATGCATTATCTAGATGCTGGTTGCATCTGCGATCGTAGAACGTGCATGCACGCGCAGACGTGCAAGTTCAATGAGCGCCAGACACCGGCGCCAATCTATGGCTACGCGAGGCTAACAGTACCTAACCGATCTATAATCAAAGGCTTCTCGACTGCAAGCCCTCCGATGACACTTTAATCTGACGTACAGCATGTGGACATAATCGAAGATCGTGTTCGCCAGCAATCGATCAGATGTTATAATCGATGTTGACGTTGCGCCAAGGATCGCGCGTGCATGCATGAATTATGACGTTAGATGATGTTTTCAACCCACGATCGACGGACAGGGGTCTTCGCCATTTCAAACATATATTCGTTAACATTTTTAAAGGGTGCAATGTCGTAAAAAAAGGCTAATTCGAATGGTCTGTTAACGATCGTTCTGTATGTGCACGCGGAGCAAGGTTCTTTGGCGTATAACCCGGCTACTAGGACCTCCCGTAAAAGTATTTTCTAGCCACCTGGTGTTCTATTCATCGAACGAACTCAAAGAGAGCGTAGGAGAGAAAAAAACGGGGCCATTACCTTCGTGACCTGTTATCGCATTGTCGCGGAACAGCTGCCTCCTCAGGGAACAATACAGGTGCATTGGAGCCGGAGAACAAAAGAATACTTAACGAAAGAGAAAGTATTAACATACTGGGTCACCGGTTGTTAAACGCATTCTTGATTAGAATATGAATACACGAGCGTTTAAAGGACGACAATTTGGTCAGACGAGATAACGGTGAAGATTTGTTTGTCATTCGCATATAAATTGTTACCATTGCACGGGAAAATCTACCATCGTTTTACCAAAACTTGTGTTCTTTTCCTGCGCTAGACTATAAGGGGCGATTCTCCCGCAAATAGACTCGAAAGGAATGTAGCTTAAAACTATGACAATACTCCTATGTGTGTTTTAAGATTTCTCTAATCTTCTTGGTACACTTTCCATCCAAAAAAGAAAGTTGTTTAACGATCCGAAGATAAAAAGTCGAGGGAATCGAGAGGAAATTCTTGCGCTTATCATCGAGTCGGACAGCTCGTTATCTGTTGTTCCTAATATTTGTAACAAGCGGATTACGGAGTTCTGTCCGCCGTCGGAGCGAATAATTCGAAATGTGGGGAGACGCGTTATCGACTCGGAATACAAATTTGTCCGTCGGACGAACTAATAGCGCCGAGCGATAAAGTTAATCGCGAACCCGTGCAATGTATGCAGAAACGAAAGAGGAACGGAACGACGCGATTTACTAGTTTTTTCACGTGGCACGAAAGGAACACACGCTCGCATAATCGCCGCGTTACCACACCGTGAAGATAACGCCGCGGGAGAGAAGGCTCGTGAGATTTTCATCGATGGCACAATCTCTTGCGCAATCTCCGATCGCGAGGAAACCGAAGATTCGAATTTATAATATATGTATTATATGTATGTAAAATGATCCACGATAAGCCTAGGAGAATTGGCTTGGCGATCAACCAGTTGTTAATTACGGTAAGAATTTTCTCATAAACGGTGTCATTGCTATGCATCCTTCCTCCGAAAGCCCTTTCACTTTCCTCGCGTTCTATTTTCCAGAGGCTGCGGTCCCCGGTTTGGGAGCCTCTGATTCGCAAGGACACCCCGTGGAGAGGCTATTTCAGTTATTGGTGTAATCGGATTGATCTCCGACGAAAGTGTCAGCGAAGATCGAAGACGTGGAACTAACGATGCGACGTGGCTGTCGACCGTAAATAATCCCTGTGTACAAAAATTGATATTAATGCGACAGCAGTGGTACACCGGGGCGGATTCATCCGGGTTCCCAGCGACGATTTCATCGACGTCTATTAAGACTGTCGTTGACGCGGCAGACACAGCTGGCACAGTTCATGCCTAGATTAATCATCGTTACGTCGTTCATCGATGCGACGACCGTGAACGGGGAGGAGCTTTTCAGACTCTTCGTATCGTTTTCATTGGAACTGATCGCCTAAGACGATCTACGATAGGACAACGTCGTCGAAAGTCGCCAGACCGCGTGGTGGATCAAAGGCCAAGGCACCCAAAGATCCACGTTTTAAAAATATCTTTGCGGCAGTTTACGTTGCCCCGCGTGCACATCCTTCACGAAGGAGATTTATCCAATAAAACTTGTATCGCACGATAATGGCGGTCGTGGAAAAGCGTTACGTCGATTCCATTGTTACGGGAGGGAGAATCGCGTGTGCTTCGATGCGTAATCAATTATGCGAGGCCATTTCACCGTCTTCATTCGTCTGGCGGTGCGGCTGAACGCGAAACCGAGCGAGGCCTTTCTCTCTCGACTCTCTGTGCCCCTTATGCCTGGTGTCCACTAAAGAGTTTTGCTTTCAAGAGTTGCTATCAAAAGTAAGACTCTCTAGTGCAGTGTTTCTCAAACTTCACCTTACCTTTTACCCTCGTGGCGAATGATCAAGTAGAATCAACCCTCGGATGGCTGAATGTCGGACTCAGGATCCCTAGAAATAATTGAATTAAACTTTCAAATTTGTTTTAAAAGAAGAAGAAGTTTTCCCAGAATACTGACCTTATCGACCGTGTAGGTGTTTCCTACATTTGCTTTTAAATTTATTGCGTGCCGTTTTGAGTTGAAATTGGTTCCTTGCTGCTTGATAGGTCATTTGTCATGGTTCGAAATTCGTTTTCCGTGCCTCCAGTTCCAGCATTACAACTATAATAAGAAGAATATCGATCGACGGTGTCAAACATTGATATATTATTCGAGTGCAAGAATAAAGTAATGAACGGTGAAACCTTTGCGAGAAAGAATCTCTTTGAACATTTAATGAAACGGTGAATGAATTATATCGGTATAAATTAAGAGTGCACGCGAAGGGAAGGACGCCACAGAAATTGAGTGTGAATGGTAGCGGGCCACGAATGGTAAGAGTCCTCGTGAAATCCAATTATATCTCCAGAATCTCTGCATCAAAGGAAAAAGTGATATTACAGCTTGTATAAAACACGGTTCGCGATGATGTGGATTCTAGCTCGGTGGGCCATTCAATTCCGATTACATCAAGTAAATATTGTGGGAGTAAGTTGGTTTGTCTATCTTTAGAAATAATCCCATCCTTCTTCGAGGGCATGAAACAAGGCTTAGGGTATTCTTTGAGGATTAATGGGATACTTGGTGCTCGCGATGTCTGGATCTCTTGGGGTTCTATTAATAGCGCCGGTTTCACGGATTAAATCCTGATCGCGGATATATTCGTGGTAGAACAGAATCGTACATTCTTGTACGGATCAAACCAACATTCACCGACCCCGGCCGAGGCATTCGTATTAGATCTAATTCGCTGTTCTCGAATAGTAAAACGACTCTGTGACTAATTTGCACACGCGACAAGGGGATTAGTATTTTAGCGTTAACCAACTTCTGTCAAGACCGAACTTTGATCATTTCTTAAAATATCATCCTCTCTGGATTGTCTTGGCTTTTATTTTATTTAAAATTTTTTCACGTTTGGGAATATACGAGGAATCGGTGGTATTATTCGATAATCATATTCGACGACAAGTTTGCTCAGCTTCCAAAGATACTACACGTCCCGAAGGTATCGATATTTAATTCTCTCTCTTTTCCACTGTTCCGATGATAAATTTCGTGCACGCCTGACTCGACGCCGACCTTCATCCTACATCCGAGGCCTCTTTTTATCCTCGATACGTATATGGAACGCACATGGAAACCCCCTGCACTCGGCGAGGCTCTTCTTCTGTAAATGGTCCCGGCGCGAGAGTTAAGAAACGCAACGGTTACGTCCTTTGGCAATTTTTACATTCCACGAGACTCGCTCTCTGTAAATGGCACCGACGCAGGACTCATGCTGCACAGAGACGACGATCTTTGATTATTTTTATGTAGGTCGAGGCTCATTTTGCAAATGGTCCTAACGCGAGAGTTCATAAATGCTAAATTTACGTATACCGGTCAGTTTCGACGCGCGAAAAAGAAGATTAAGAACCACTGTTTCGTCCAAGGGTTCCTTTCGAAAAGTGTTTACACCGACGATCGCTCGGCGGATAGTGCGTATCCGGCTTTAAAACGGATCGAGTCGAGCAAACAACGGAAGAGGCAAAAAATCTTGCTTGTACAGAAGACGCGTTTTATTTTTTCGCGTGTCGTAACGAGCATCTGCGTTTCTGATTAACACGTGCAAATTTCGAGCCAGTGCACGATCTCTCGTCCACGACCTTCGCCGAGCAGACGGAACTCCTCTCCGGCGAGATAAGTTAAGGAAAACTTGTTGTTTCTTGGAACGCGCGACGTTACTCGCCGAAGAAAGGTACTCGACTTCTTTTCCAGCCATTTTCCAAACCCGAGAGCGAAACAGGTCGTTGAATAAACGTGAAAGGTAAATACAAATCGGTTTCTCGATTATACGGCGCGAACACGTTCTTGCGTAAGCCACGACAATGCCCTGATCGTAAATAGCAATCGCGCGAGGTTTATAAATTACGTCCATCGCAGCGAAAAGTTTTTCGATCCTTTCGTCCGGTCGAATTGCCGCGTTAACGATATAAAATCGTGACTACTTTGATAACGACGATAAAAGCAGCTACAGTGATTAATTTACAAAAATGCTCAAAAAGAACATCGAAAATATTTAACATTTAAAATGAGCAGAGACGCGGTTTAATTTTTTTACGATACACAGTCTGTCGCTGAGAAAATAACAAAATGAGCGTAGAATATGAATTAAGCCCGTTTAGTCATGCGTGATTAAAGAAACAGCTGTTGGTACAACGAACAGCCAGAATAACAATGTTTCCTACGGACGTGATTATTTACTCTTATGACAGCCCAATGAATCAGAAAAGATGAGTGTTTCGAATGAAGTCACGCCGATATAAAGATACGAGATTATCGCGTTTCGGTTCTTTTTTAAACGATCCCAAAGCTACGTGCCTCGTCCCTATGTATGGCAATTACGCTCTTAAAAAGTTCCTGCCTGGTTTTAAGGGTTTTTTTTAAAGGGATTCTATTTAAATACTTGGCTAACAATGGAGATTTCGTTTCGAACGTGCTTCGGAAATGCTAAATTTAGGCTTCCCGCGGCAGAAGGTAAATCGAACAAGGTTAATGACTGGCTTCCTTCGTCGATAGCTCAATTATGATCAACTACGCGTCAAAATAGAACAGCCCGGTTTCTATCTCTGTCGTTGATTGATATTTCAATGTTTGAAGCAATATTTTCTAGTATCGGAAGGGAGGCTTCAAGGGTGGGTACAGAATCTTTGCTCGAGTAGAAGTAGATCATCGTATTAAGTACCTTTACCCTTTTTTTAGTACTATTTTAAACGTACTTGTTTCAAGAGAGCATCTTTCTGGAAAGTTTGGACACTGGTTCAAAGGAAAAGGACCGATCGAATGCAAATAGATTGAACGTGGTCGCGTCTGGAGCAACCGCGCGATTCGTCGGCCTCTTTGTTCGGTTTAAACATCTGAACCCTCCCATTGGGCCAAGGACTGCTTCGATTCTAATATTAATCTGCGTCTGTCGAAGACTGGGTCCTCCGCGCTCGCCGCATCAACGATTCTTTCGTTCTCTTGAAAAATCCTTCCAAAATTATTTAGTAAATACTGAAACAGAAAAATGAAGATATAAAATCCATAAACTTGAAATAAAAATTACTCCAAATTCTATTATCGTCGTAATCGCAAATATAAAAGATAAACAAGAAACGTTAACGCATGGAAATAACAGTGCCTGTTGAAATGTTGTTTAGGAGAAGCGCAAATAAACTATCAACTATAACAACCACTTCTCTAAGTTCATGAACAGGGAGTATCGGTACTCAAACACAAGGAGAAGGATACAAAATAGTACTTGAATAAAAATAACAAAATCTGACTCAAGAGTGCTTATACAAATTAAAACTAACGGATGTTAAACTGCGAAGAAAAGCTAGTTTCGGTCGAGCATCGCGGCTACGCTTTGTTGCATAAACAAACCATTAAACAATGAGCATAAATTCATACCGGGAACGGCTTTGCGCGACGGAAATTTCTTCTTTACCGAGAACCGTGCCCCATAAACAATCATTAACGTATCAATAAACGCCTCGATAAACCACAAAGGTTCGAGTCAGAGTCCGTTGCGTTCCTTCATGCGCAAACCCATAAATCCGGACGATTTCGCGTGCGCTGACATTAAGCGTCCTTGTAGCGCCTCTTGTGCGCAGTTCGAATCGCTTCCGTGGTCTCTGCAACCAGTTAATGCGATAACGCCGTGGCAACAATACAGCAACGTCGTCGAGTACGGCGTCTGCAAAATAATGATAGACGTCGAATTAACGTTACGTAAGCGTCACTTATAGTGCGTACGTGCCTTTTGCAGGACGAGCCTGTCGTACGCAGGAAAAATCCTACAACACACCCGACAGGCAACGACGCTCTATGCTGGCTAAAGTCGTTCTTACGCTTGATTCGGGCGTCGTAAAAAAAACGTTGCATAGAAAGGGTCCACGAGTTCCATAGAGTATTCTTGAATATTTCATGCGACACGTCGAGAAAGCACATTTTCGCATCTGCTGGTCTCGTCCCACGTTAGGAGTATCCCTTTTCCTTCTAAGTCGGCGTTGACCAGTGCCGGATCATCGATTTTCGATCGCAAGGAGTGGGTACGATCCCACGCGAGGCTGTTCGTGCTAAATGTGCTGTGGCAAATCAGTGCTGCCTAAATATTGAGTCACTGGCTATTTCTGTAGCCGTTCTCCGCGCCTAGGCTCGTAACGCGAGGTAACGCGCTCGCTCGCTCGCTCGCGTGCGTTCAGCTCGAGAGATTTTGCGCGCGGTGCATGCTGAAACGCCTAGCGATTCGCAGCCATAAAGAACGGCGACAAGCCGCTAACGAATCGGACAACGCGAGCCAAGACAACCCGATAACGCGAAAAGAATGCCCGCGTAACGAAGACAGAGGCCAGTCGACTCTAAGCTCCTTTGCTTCGATCGATGATATCTTTCATCTCCGCTCTTCGATCGCCTTAAGGGAACCTGAACGGGAAAGCAAACCTCTTTTTATTGGCTCCCGCAGAGTTCGCCAAGCCGATTACTTAGCAACGAGGAAAGAAATTTATTAATAACACGCTTTGAAACAGGGATTCTAGGTTTAATAATTTCTGCTTAATTTCGACATGTGTATTTTTAAACTGCAAAGGGTTAATACGGATTAATAAATATTATAGTATTGATAAAATATTGATCTAGAGGAGCAAAACGTCCACCACCGTTTTCTGACCATAATTCAAAGATGGCGGCGCGCGTAGAGCGCTGCTCTCTAAACTGGAGGATCGATTCGCTAAGTAAAACATACGATGCAAGAATAAGTCGCGGGGATGTTGAATATTTAACATAGACTCGAGTGTGAAAATTGTTTAGCGTCGAATACCTAACCCCGTTTACTGGTAGACGGAAATTGACCGATCGACGAAACGATCTCGATCCAGATCCGTCTCGTAAATTACGGCAGTGCATATTTGCTCGTTAATGACAGATGTTTGAAGGCACTTTGCCAGGTCCACGCTGCCAATCGAGTTTAGTATCTCTATGATATTCGATAGTCATCGGACCGAGTGCGATAAAAATGCTCGTGGTTATTTCGAACTCGACTCGTTTGATCTCTGAAGCGTGTCTAGTACAAACGACTGTCACGTGTTTGTCATTAGATTATGGCCTATTGTTTTGAGCGTGCTACACGTGACGAGTGCATAGTGTATTTACGCCGCGTAACACTATTGACTTATTAGCCGAGCACTTGTTAAGAGAACGGGATATTTTATCTGTCTTCGTTAGATTTAACTGCTCGGAGTTCCTTAATGTCGAGAAGGGAACGTTCGTCGTAAAAAAAAAAGAGCAAGAGAATGTTTATCGTTTAGAGACTTTCAGCCTCGGACAGCAACGTTATCCGTTTACATTATAATTTACTCGGACTCGAAGATTAACGCGTTAACCGCCAGACCAACGTAACACTTTTCACGATACCAGAAAAATTAAAGGAACAAGGATTGTCCATTTTTTATATTACAAACCAAATGTAGCTACTTCGGTCTACAGTTCAATTTGGGCGTTCCTCTTTTACGAGTCAGGAAGTTGCCACCGGAAAACAGTAATTTGGGATTACGACTGATCGAATTTATTCGTGCATCTGTTCCCATCGAGTTCGTCGCGGTTCGATTAAATTCTTGGGATGATTTATTGTATGTAAATTAAGAGACGGTAATAAAATCGCGATCAATCTCGTTCGCCTAGCGATCGACGGGACTTGCCAGACAGGTTACGCGACGCTAATAACTACATTGGGGAATGCCGCGGTTTGTTTGCATAATTTTTACTTAAGTTCGACAGTCTGATGCCGGTTACGTAATTACGTTGCACTAGAATCGTAAGAGTTTATCTCGTGGCACAGTTTCTACTATTTTGCGAGTCTCGTTCATTGTTTACAACAGCCTACGTAATATATCAATAGGATAGTCCATTTTAATCCGTATATACGTACATCTGGAACAAATAGTAACGCGTTCGAATACGAATAAACTTTCAATTTAAGAGCATTCGTACATAACACATTACCCATTTTCAGCATTTTCAGCATTTTCTTCGTGTCACATCCTCGCCACACTCATACTTTGCACGCACACTCTCTCCGTTTGAATTCTCGATGGCCGGGGAATCGGTTAGTCAAAGAGGAAGTCGTGAGGTCCGCGGGCAAGTTCATCCAGATCTGAAACATCACTTTTACTCAATGTAAATCTCACTCAAACAGGTAAGGACAAATGAAGAAGCCTATAACGATAGCCGTTGCCGATGTAAATACAAATTTATTGAAGTCTTCAAGGTACTTATACTGAAGAGAAACATAGGGTAAAATGAACGATTAAGTACACCTAGATTTCATCGATTCATTTGCCGTATAAATATTACTTTACATTGATGTGGAGCATATATTGTATTCGTTTATTACCTATATTTATACTTCTTTCCCTCTCTGTCTTTCTTTATATATATCATCTATATACAAACCGATGCAACGTAATATATGTAATGTACATACATAAATTGCTGGTAGAAAATACGGTGTGCCAATTGTTCCCCTAATTTCCACCGCATTCGACTTTGTACCTTTGACGAGCAGTTTCACAACGATCGTAAGTCGAGTGCAGAGCAAAAATGCGCTTGTGTATATGCTCGAACTTTGTACTTTTTGTATACATTTGTTTCTTCTTATATTTACGCGTTATTGTTCCTACGAAACGTTCCATTTGCAGCGACGTCGAACGTTTCATGATATGATTAAATGGCGTACACGAGTGCGCCTCCACAAGTATAACGTGCAATGGAATTCTGTAATCGCCGATGCTTTCGCATACCCAACGGATTAAAAATATTGCTTTTGAAATTAGATAAAAGAAGCCTTTTTACTGTTCTCGTTACCGCGATTTCTTTGGAACACTCGCTCGGTAAAAAAGCAGGCGAATGGTTCACGCGCCTAACAGAAATTTATAGAAGGAAGCAACGCGGCACAGATCCCAAGTTCAAGATAATTTACATCATATGTACAAACCTTAACGCACAGTTAATGGATATGGGAATATTACAACGCAGTTGACGATCGATGGAATAAAACGAAATCGTTCCGAATTTCAATAAAAAAAAAGGCAACAATCGACAATAATGTTCGTGGTAAGAATTTAAAAAAAAAAAATGTGCTTACGTATCGATGGTAAGAAAAGAAAAAATAAAATGGAATTTTGAGCGGTGAGGTCGGTCTCTTAAAAATAACTAGAAAACAAAATGACACCACTGTCGCTCGCTAATATTCTCTAAGCTTCGAGTAAACACCGAGGTTGGCGAACAAACACCCACACTTGCGTCCATGGTACGTTTACCTTTGGTCAGCGACAACAAACGCTCGTACTTCCGGCCGAAGACCAACTTTGCACAAGATCGTGCGAATGATGCTACCAACGAGCTACTCGATGACGTCAGAGCGACGCAAAACAAAGGTTACCTTCCTAGAAGCCGTGTCTTCTATGTACAAATGAAAAGAGAAAACAAAAGATTGCGAATCAACGACGAGCATCTCGTCAACGAAGAACCGTCTTCTTCTTCTTCGTCGAGCACACGATTCGAACCGATTCGCTGTACCTTGGTCCTGGGACCGGAGTAACTATTGGTCGATCGGTCGCGTGATCCCTGGATCTTTCGACCGCATCCGTTACCTTCTCAGCCTCGAGGAATGCGATTCGGAGCTACCCCCTCCATGTTCCTCGGACATCGTTCACGCGAGTTTCATGTATATTGTACGATCCCTCATCTTGCAATGCTTGAGATCTCTGAGCGCCCTCTGTGCTTCGCTCGGCGACGCGAATGCTACCCTGGCGTCGCCTGTAGGCATACCCCTTTCGTTGTATCGTCGTATCACGTTCTCCCTCTTCACGTCGAAGTCGCCGAAGAACTCGATGATCTCGTTGATGTCGGCCTTGAAAGGAACGTTCTCGAGGGACAGGACGCAGCCAGGCTTCCCGAAGCCCTCCACGTAGTCCATGGAGCCGGGATGTCTACCCAGCAGGTGCCTCGGTATGCCCATCAGACCTGGCGGACACCTGGGTCCGAATCCGGAGTTTCCAAACCGCGGCAGGTGGTTCATAGGTCCGGAGAATCGCGGTCGTTGCTCTTGGAGCGGCGGGAAGTGCTGCTGTTGCGTCTCCATGATCTGTGGGTCCACCATACCTAACGTTTCCAGCATCTTGGCTCGCGGGACCAGCTCTATGGTCGGTACGTTCTTGCCGAACGGTAATCCGTTCTTCGCGGTTGCTCTGAGGGCCTCGTCGGTGGTGTCGAACTCGCAGAAACACTCGCCGGCTGGCTTCCCGCTCTGATTGAGCAGCATGTGTATTCTGTGGGGCACGATCCCGATGTCGGAGAAGAAGTCGAGGATGTCGCGATCGATAGTCTGGAACGGCAGACCGCGCATTATCACGCAGTCGGAGGTGGCGGTCTGGTTCATGCTGTTCTGCTCGTGATCGCGTTTCGCTTGCGCGAACTTGTCCTCCGTGATCGCTGTCGCGGTCACGGGCTTGCTGCCTATCTTCAGCGACGTGTTCACGGACGCCTTGGCATCCTCTATTCTGGCAAACTGAACGTAGGCCATGCATTGCATGCCAACGGACTCTTTGGTCGTCGTGATGAACAGATCGTTGATTTTCCAATCGTGGAAGAGCTTCGCGATGTCCATTTCCTTGGTGAAGGTCGGTAGATCGGTCAGGACGATGCACGCCGAGGACCTCACGTCCTCGAGGTTGTCGTCCCCACGATCCCTCTCCTTCTCCGGCGAGTAAGAGTCCACTGCTTTGTCGAAGATGCTCTCGTCCAGGTGAAGCACTTCGACCTCGGACCCGCGGACGTATCTCGCCGTACTCAACGCGAGTTCTTTGCCCTCAGCTTTGCTGAACTTGACGTACGCGATCCCGACGCGGTTCCCATGATTGTCGTTTATCAATTTTAGCCCGTCCTTCCTGATGTAGATCCCCTGGAAAGCGTGACGTACGTCGTTGTACGTGGCGCTCAACGGCATGTTGCGAACCTCCACGCAATTACCGACACCACTACTGCTCTTGTTCTCGTTAGAGAATCTCGAGGTGCTGTTGGTCGAGCCGCGGTTCGCCGCCGACCTATCACCGTCGAAACCGTACTGGGAACTGTTCGCCTGGAAGGCGTGCGGATTACGGCGACCCTCCAGTTCCTGCACCTTGCTCATGAACGGATTGTTAGGTCTGATCGTTGGCCTGTAGTTCATCGAACCGTTTGTGCCATACATGTCTGTTCCAAATTGGCCGGTTCTGGTGGGGAACCTCGCCTGGTCCACTCTGGCTGGTTCGCCGCTTTGGTTCCAAGACTCTTTGGATCGGGTCAACGCACCGACCGCGGTGGTTAGGCTAGGCAGACTCGTGCTGCCTATGTTTTGAGAGATCGTGTTCATACCTACGGTGTGACTGAGCGTTTGCACGTGAGACTGCATCAGGCTACCCACGCCGTTTATCCCGTTCACGGAGAACTGGTTCTGTTGGAGCATCGACTGCTGCCCGATCACGGAGCTACTGAAGGTCAAAGGTCGTGGTTCGCCATCCTGCGCCAGAGCAGCGACCCCAGCGCCCAAAATTCCCGGCGCTAACATGGCTGCTTGCATCTGCGTCTGCGGAGGAACCTCCCAGATACCGTTCTCCAACGGTTTCTTCGCGTTTGCTACTGGTTTGTCTTTGTGAAACTGGCCCACGCAAACTACGTCGTTGTTGTCGTCGTCGGTCGCGTCCTTTCGACGCTCCGCGGTCGAGCTACGCTTGGTGTCTCTGTCTCTGGACCGTGTACGATCGCGCGACCTGGATCGATCCCGACGACGACGTCTGTCTCTCCTGTCTCTTTCCCTGTCGCGCGATCTGCTCCTGTCCCGACGTCTGCGGTCCCGTCCCCTGTCCCTGTCGCGCCTGTCTCTGTCCCTGTCGCGATCGCGAGACCTCGATCTGTCCCTCGATCGCGATCTGTCGCGTCTGTCCTTGCGGTCCTTGCTGGACTCGCTGTCGTTATCCTTCTCCTTGTCCCTTCTGTCGCCAGGGGATCCTGGCTTCTGGACCACCGTCGAAACGGCGACCGGTGCCGTCTGCATGAACGACTGCAGGCTCAACGTCTGTTGCCTCGCCGCCTCGATCACTTTTTGCATCTCCGTCCGGGAGCTCAGCAACAGCTTGATCTTCATCTCCTTGATCTTGCCGCCATCGTGCATCATCGCCTGCCGGGCATCCTCGTCGGTGCTGCAAGTTTCAGAATTTCGTCAATATACGGAGTAAATGATTTTTAGAAATTTTATTCTATCAGCAGATTCGTTTTATTACCTGAAGGCGATGAACGCATCCCCCAGCTCGCCACCGACAATATGGACTCCTCCTTCCGGTATGCTCAGACCTCTGAAAAATTGGCGAATGTCCAGAGCGTTGGCGGACCACGCCAAGTTCTGTAGTCTGATTATGACGCTCATTTTCGACTGTTGTGCGAGGGATCTGTAACCGAGCCGAACGATTCGAATTAAACGAGGCTGGGAACATGTGCACCAGGGATGATCAAGCAACCAGCACGCATAAATAAAGATTAAGAACGTAATTAAGGTAGCTCAAAATCAGGGGAATAAAATTGAGACATTGAAATTTCTCAGTTCTTTTATTAGTACTTTTATTACACGTACATAGTTTAAATGATAAAATATAGTCGCGTCAGAGCGTTATTTTACGCAATCATTGTGTTTCTTTCGGACAATACTAATGTTCGTCCGTTCAGCGAAAATTTCAAAGGCAAATTTCATTTCCAAGAATATGCGGTACGATAATAAATGCGCAAAACGCGTTTGGTTTAACATGCGAGGAAGCAGCGCAACGTCAGCGTTTGCGTGCTATCGAGCAACGAACGAACCTCGAAGGCTTCATCGATCGCGACCGCTTCGTTCTATTCCTCGACGAAGGACTCCAGGCAGCATTTCCTCCCAGAACGTCGACATTATTTCTGTTAGTTTAGCCCGAGCATAAATTTAACAGTCGATAAGAAGCTTCGGCTACTTTGGCCACAATGTTTGCGGGGCAGTAATTTTCTTGCAAATTCGTCTTTGTTTATTTACGCCGACGTTTTATTTTTTCAAGGGAACGTATATGCATCGACGTATGCGCGCTATGGCTTAAAAGGAACAACTTGGCGAAATATGCACTCGAATAACACCGCACTAATGCAAATATTGGCATCGGTTCGCTAATGTCAACAAAACTGAATGACTGGGCACTCTATGCACCAAGAGTTCCTTTGTCTCGTGTGAAAACATACCAACTGCGTTCTTCGGAGCTCAAGTTTTCAAACATTCTCGCGTAATTGTACGAGTAGCTCTTATCTTCCGTAAAAAGAACCGAGCAGTTGGATTCCTCCAACGTGAACTCTCCTTTGGCAATTAATTCCAAAGAAACGAGTCAAAGATCAAACTCTTCCTCTTACACAATGTAACATTTTTTTAATTAGGCATATATAAAGATATTCCAAAACAAAATTCCCAAAAATAATTCTTTTCGAAGTGTTATCAGAGCGATTTTCTTTAAACTACCTGCAGTAGTACCTGTGAGTGGCATTTTCAGACGACTTCTGGTCATTATTCCATCAAAATACTTCCCAAAGTTGTCAGAAAGGCGTTCCTTTCTATTAAAATCCTTCCAAAATTATCAGAACAAGGTGTGAATCATGCGTTCGAGTGTCAAAATAATCGGGTTGCCTGCAATTACGTTTAGAACCGTTCTCTTCCGTCCAAGTCCTTTCTAAATCGCCGGTGAAAGATGTTAAACCACTCGTTGGAGTGTACAAGCGTTCGGATCGCTTCTGTTAAGTCTTCAAAGCGTTCGTTTCCGTCGAAATTCATTCGAAGACGACAGTAAGGTGCTTTATACTGCATACATGCATCCGTAATTTTTATTACTCCGTTTATTTTTAGGCCTTACGCGTCGCTCGTGTTCGCCGTCCCAGTTCCAAGTAATTCATTCCGGAAACCGAGACACGATCTAACGTCGCTCATTGTCGAGGCGCGTAAATCGTGGTAACGACGACCTCGATCGTAAGATCGTTCCAGGTACTTTGTTTCGTATCCCGTTGCCAAGATAGATGATGCAACGAGATCCTACAGGACTTTCTCTCGTGGCTTGATCGAGGGTTTGAATAATCGTAGTATAAGATTTACGTAACGATAGTACCGAGAGATTAAGTAATACCGCTATTTCAGGTTTAATAAATCGAGCTATTTTTCATTTTTCTCCTTAAGCAGAAGCTCTCGAGAGTATTTTCCAGCTAGTCCTGCTCGAAAACTCGAAAAAACAACGAAAATATATAATTCTTTTTCGCATAGAGGGCGCCACTTTGTTATCGTCAGAGACGAACAAAATTCTTATCTGAATACAAATTTTAAATAACAAATGAAAGATAAAAAAAAAAGGTCTCAATATAATATCGAGCAACAGTGTAGAAATTAAACCTTCCTTTTTGTCATGTTCCTACATTATTGGGATCATTGTTACATTAATATCGTTTTCACTATTTAGATTAATCTTCTGCTATGTTTAAACTATTTTAATTATCAAAATACATTATTTTTAATTCGCTATTATTGGTAAATATTTTTAAATTGAGTATGGACGGGGCAATAACTGATGTAAGTGATAATAATAAAAATAGTAACTCTGGTTGTGTTCGTATTATTCCTATGATAAAAAAGCTACCGTCACGAGTAATTAAGCAAGTAATTGGCGGGTAATTGCGCGGTCTTTGTACGCGCTAGTCACCGTTCCTAAAACGTTAAAATTCCTTCCGTTCCGTTAAAAGTGGATCGGGGACATTTATTATTTCAGCGAATTCTCCGCGCGCCGCAGATCCAACGACTAGATCCTAACGGTCGTAAATCCTTAAACTCGACGTGTAATAAACGTTATGTAAAATTCCGTTAACGGTCCCGTGAAGTTTGGCAAATCCAACGATGCTTCGAACTAAAAGCACGCGTGTATTGTCGCTGCTTCGAATAGACGCTGAAGAGTTCAATGGACCTTACGTGTTCCCGCACGATCGATGTCAGCTGCTATATATTATGGCTAAACACTGACCGAAAAGTTCAAAAAAACCAACGATCAATGGTAGAAAAAAAAAAAAGTAACAGTACTTCAAGAATTCTTGGCAATTTCGTTTTCTATTTTTCCATCGCGTCGACGTGCGAAGAATATACAGTAGGGATCTCCATTACTATTATTAACCCTTTCCCACGGTAACCACATGGCTCGTGTATTTAGAGTCGGTGAATAAAATATCACTGTCGTTTATTTTTTCAGTTCCCGATCGACTGGTCATAAAAATCGACGAGAAACAGCAACGGCAGTTGGGCGGGGAAAAAATGAAATCTAGATTACATCTAACCATCTTTCATAAAGGGAGATATGGAATATGCGTTTATCGTTCGAAATATATCAGCTGGAAACAAAACTTTACTGTACATGAATCTCATTCGAAATTTAAGAGAATCCAAAGTCTACATTTTTTAAATCCTTGGAGCGATCGGTTAAATGGTATTGACCCTTGAGAATAATCTGGCCACTCGCGAGCTCTCTCATTATCCAGAAGCCCGTTTCGGATCACTGTAATCGAGACGTCGATTTTCGCCAAAGTACCAATTTAACGCCATTACAGTTCCTCCACCCACCACGCGTATATCATCTTTGTCCCAGAATGCGAAAGATTGTCATCGATAATATTCGTCTCTTGCAACCGAAACCAAAGTTCAACTAAAATGATCACAGATAGGTTGTTTGAAAAAACATTTTTAATTTACCTTTAGAAGAAATCAAATAACATAATTTTATATGTTTCACGAGTATACCCTAGCGTCCGAATATTATCAATTATTAAAATTAAATAGTACTGGTAAATAGAATAGAAAACTGAATATGTATTACTGTCTCTATTTCTTCTGATAAAATTTGAGAAAGCAGAAACAGGAATATCGTCTACGCGCGAGCGGGAATAACTCTGTACCACCGTGTTTCCAGAACTCTGTCGCCTGTAACGTCGTCTAAAGATAGAAAACAGACTCTCGGATGGGTTAAGAATCCTACGTCGCATACGTGAATATATATTCGACGTAATTTCCGACTTTAATGCGCGTTCGACCGACGCCCAAGTCATTGCCAGGGTGACCGAGTATTCCTTTCCTCGAGTTCTATCTCCTCCGCGGTGTTATCCGCGACGTAATTGGAACAAACGAGAGATTCCAAGGGCAGGACTCCCTTAGCAATCCTGGGAATTTCAACGGAGGGTGGTTCGTGACTTCTAATGTCCTCTCTAGAATTGCAAAGGCAAACTGTTGAATCGAGAATCGCATACCACTCGTTAAAACTATAAACTAGGTCGATCGATTGTACAATGTCTAGTTCTTCGTGTAAATGAACTATAAAGTTCGTCAATTCAAACAAAAAGAGGTAGAACAAAATAAATCTGCCGGATCCACGTGTGGAAATTGAATTTTAACGCGACAGAAATACCCGGGTTTGTTTCTTGCGTGAAAATCATATTTGAAACAACTATATCGAGTACAGAGATTCGTTTCAATGTTCGTACGAAAACGCTTTCAAAGGTGCAATACTAACTTTGGACTTGGACGAAGAGAAACTACGAAAGAAATGTGGTAACACGGGGAGGAGGTTCGTGCGCCGTATATGGTGCACGGCCGGGGGAAAGGGTTAACAAACGAAAAAATAAACGCGACGGTCGAGGGTTAACGGAAGGGCCCGTACGAAAACCTGTTTCAGTGACGCTGGGGCGGGGATTCCCGGAACGCAGTTTCGCCTCTTTCGTATTGGAAAGCGGCGCGAATCGCGGTCGATTCGTTTCTCGCGAAAGAAAATCGACAAGTTCGAGGGCAACCAAAGACTTCGCGTCGCAGAAAGTTCCTCCTCGACGAAGTCGCGGACGGTCGATAACGATCGAAGCGAGTTTGAACTTGGCTGAACTTTCTTCCTCCGTCCAGCGAACAATTCGTCGCAAACTATTCTATTCTCGTGACGAAGTTACGCTTCCCGTCAAAGGTTTTTCAGCCCGCCGGAGTCGCAGTAACTTCAAATCCCATCGGAGTATCGTGTTCGTGTGATTTTTTTTTTTTTAAAGTTTCGTTAAAATTAACGTAGACGGTGGGAGTTGGGAGGCGTTGGTCGATTCGTCGGTCCCAAAAATCGCCGTAATTCGAGGCTGGCTGCACGTTCAGCTCGAGCGCCAAAAGACAGATCGGAAGAACGATTGTACGAACGTCCATCGACAGTCGAGACTCGGCGACGTTCCACGAGGCTTTTACGCGGCCAATCTGAACCTGTAGCTGCATCAATTTACGAGCATTCACGGCGACCATGACCCATCTCATGGTTGCCACGACCATGGCCAATAATATCGCACACGCTCGTTCGCTTCCGATTGATAACGTGTTTATACTGCCCGTCGAACTAAATGTGGGTCGGGACGGTCTTGACACAGGAGTATGCTGAATATAGAAGAATTATGTACCGCTAGTCTGAAAGAATTTCTAAGGCTAAAATATGTAGGCTATACGGCAAGGGCAATGGTGTTACAGTAGTTGGAAAATGTAGTAGAATATTTATTACTATGAGAAAACCTTTACGTTCCTCTGGACGTTCGAATCGTATTCGTGATTCCAAGTACGGACAGTCAACGTGCGTTGATGCGTGTTTCCTATCGCGTGCTAGAGGACACTAAAGGCCTCCTAGCGTTCTATCCGCACTCACCTTTTCCTCAACGCGTTCGCAGTCCGCTGACCCGCGCGAATATCGGCCTTATGGTTGATCTGAAAGTTTCACTAAAGCTAGAGAATGTATAGTTTGGCGGAACAAATATAACGACCTACTTGAGTCGGTTTCGAGTGGTTTGTTCACTGTTTGCGGTGGAATGCAGGTGACGTAGTTAGAAAATGATCGTTCAAACGTAGCGATTAGCGCTCTGACCACTTATCCCATGCATTTCCATCGCTTTGTCACGGGGGATAAATAAAATTCCGAAAGGGCGGGGGGAGAACGAAAAAAGGGGCCGCATGTTCTGTTCGCTGCTCACCTTGGAACGCCCAGGCCCTTGAACGTTGACCGCCATGTGCGTACACACACACGTCCAACTTCCTGCGATTTATAAATCGCCCGAGAACAATGCATCGATTTTATATGGCATATGTATATTAATGCAAATTCTAAGGACAGTCTATCAATTTAATCGATGAATTATAGTTTAAAAAATTACATTTTTTTAAGAGGAAAATTTACTTGAAATTATATAATTTTTAAATGATAAATGTCGCGAAAAAAAAAATAAATTCATTCGGTTGAAAAACCTTATTTATATTATCGAACAATTTATACTTATTTTGGCAAAGATGGATGCAGAATAATAATGTGTTAAAACAATCGCATTGACTAGCCTCGGAGGATATTTTTAGCTGAGAAAAATATCCTCCCCTACCCAAGTTTAACGGTTAAAAGATTTTCAAACGAAAATACTTCCTTATGGAGTTACACCAGATTGAAGAGAAAGTATTCATCGTAATTAAAAAATATATGTTCGAAATAATGAATGAATCTTTTCTTACGTATCAGCAGAGAATTAATTTTCATCAAAGTTCTCCAATAGTTTGATTACTTTAGCTTCTTTTATAATTCATTCGATCGCACCTACACGATAAGAAATACGCTTCTTATCGGTATCTCGAGCATCGACAGCATACAGACAAATAATTGTACCAATTACGTCCGAAACTATCGTCAGATTGTTGAGACCTTGGTTAAAAATGTAAACAGTAGTGTTTACGACAATGTAGGCGGGTTTTCGTTCCAACCAAGCGCATCGTGACTTCTTACTCTAGTTATATCTGCTTAAGTAACGCTCAAGATTCTTATTTAATTCGTATACCGAAGCTTCTTCTGAAACAAGCACAAAGCTGATTTTATAAGTGTAATAAAACGCGTCGCTTGTTTCAGCTTTTGTCCACTTATATCGGTTATAAACGATTCTGGAGGACTATTATTATGCCTTCGATGTTTATCGATCGGATAACGTGCGAGCCGTGTTAGTTTCTTCGTATCGGATATGTACAATTACTCCTAATTGCTAGTTCATAGAATACGCTAAGCTCGTCGATCGATTTCACTCTGAGCTTTCCTTCGGCACTCGTTCTCAAAGTATTCGCATTCTTTATAACATTTCATTTCCAGGTCAATGATCTTCCATTCATAATATCCAACTAGATAAACTAAATATTCCAGCGACGAAAATCCTCTGTTAGAAACGATATTAATCACTAGTTTATTGTGAAAGAAAGTCTTGATTAACTAGTGAATCTGAGTTCCATCCAGGGGCAATCTTTCCAGGTTCCCAGTATACTTACCATACATGCTTAGGATTAAGGAATGTTTGTTAAGCGTCCATTATTTTTCAAACTATTAAGTAAATAAAATGTTTTACATATCTCGAAATCTCCAATCTGGTGTAAATCCTTACTACGTTGACAGCCATAGCAGCTTTTTGTTTATGCCTACGGGCTAAAGTTTCAACGTACAAAACAAATTCCTCCAGAGAGGTGTCTCTCGACTTGTCGGCATCCTAAAATTTTTTATAAAATCGCTATATTTGTTCCGCCAAGTATAATATCTATGTTGCTGGGACGACGATGCATGCACGATGTCCAGAAAAAAAGGTTTATCATTGCTATTTTGCATACTGCGAACTGCGGACTGCGAACGTATCGTCGCAATATATTTAGCTATTTCTGTTCTTGAAACCGGCATCGGACCAATATCGATCATTTAGCCGGGGATCTTTGAAACTTTATGGCTAAAACGAAGGCGCAACCGATGAGATTTTACCAACACACACATGGGAAGAGAGATCTTTCTCTTAAACGGTCACCCATCCAGGCACTCCACCCTGTATCCAGCGCAGATTACTTCTGTGTGGCAGTCGACGACAAGTTCTTAAGACTTAAAACCGCAATTTCGTTCGTCACGGGAACCGGTGTGGGGAAAAAACGTTTCGAACAACCTGAAGCTCCGCGTGACGAGAAAGGTTGCGACATTTTATAACGAATAGATAACTAAATACACGCAACGTTCTCGTTTCCCCCATTTCAAGCCCTTTTAGTTTTCACGAAATTTATCTTCGTTGCTACAAAGTCGACTCGGAATCAACTGATAGCTGCTCGTGACCACTTTCCGGGCTTTGTTTACGAGAAGAAACAAGAAATATAGCGGCAGAGTAGCCGGTCCTCGGCGACCTCGAGCAACCAATTAATTTCGTTTCGACGCAACTTTGCGACCTTGGATTTTTCTAATGCAAAACCGTGGTAATCCTAAAAGCAGAGATATTTTAAAACTCAAGTACACGACTACTAAGATAGGTATCGATTAGTAGTTAAACAACGGGCGAATACGTGTTGTATACCGGGACAAGATGTAACAACAGCGATAAGATTTTCTATTACGCGCACGATTTCTCCGATATACGTTCATGTCCGAGACTGCACAGATGTGTGCGCGGCGATGGAAGCATGTAACAGGGTGTACCGTGTAGGCAGTGGGTAATTGATTAGATTGCCGAGTCGTCCATGTGTACGTTCAATCCATCCGTTTCCCCGTCGCTCAGCACCAGTGTTAACCACTTCTTGCGACATAATGAAACGTTCATGAAAATGATAATAAAATAATATATAAGTGTCTTTTAACGCAGTGCAAATAAACCACGAAAAGTTCAATCCAGAAATGTTTAGTATTACGCGAGTTTTACGATTAATATTTAGAGATTCTATTTTATAAAAATTCTGTTTTACGCTGTTTTATGATTAACGCATGGTTTAAATGTTTTAAGAACGCGTATTAATTTTGTGAAACTTAACGATATCACGGAGCTGAATAAAATAACTCGCTTAACAGAGACTGATTAGTAATGCACTTCTAGTACAGTGTTTATGCGCATTTGTATCGCTAGCCTTACTGCGAACAAACTGTAAGAAAAAGATACTGCACATTCTACACATCAGTGCATCCTATGAAACATGAAGGAAAGCGCGTTCGGGAAACTGTAGAGTAATTCGATGACCACCGTGTCCACGTAGAACATGCAACAGAAATGCACTTGATTGAGAAGGCGATGACTCCCAGCTCTCAAAGACCTCGCAAGAAAAATGCACTTCGCAGCAAAGAAGAGTAGTAAGATTTAAATACGGCGGATATGTCGCTTAAGGGTTCTTTTTTCAGCTCCTCTCGAGTCATTTATCCAAATACTACACAACACTCGGAGACTGTATCTAGAAAATTTCCTTCCTAAATCCTTTTCTTTTATATCTTTCGGCTGCTTGGTACGTTAACTTTTGCCAAGTATTGAAAATAAATTGTCATTAATATTAAAATAGGATTTCGCGTTGTAAGAACCACATTGATTGCTTAAAAAATAAATCTATTTTCGAAGATGAAAAGTAAACTGATATCATAGGAGCCCATTAAAATGTAAAGCATGTTTATTTTAAACTTTGCAAAATATTTAAATATTTATTTAGCAAAGTTTTTTCAACCGTGAATAAACTTACCTTCTTTTAGAGCATAATAAATGGATCAAATAATCATAGTTGCTGCATTCTAAAGTATTAAATACGTACCATAGAACAAAGGTTTAATAAAAAAAGTTTGTTTATGGTATGTTTTAAAGATATTGTATATATATTTAAAGTATAATTTTATGCAATTATAAGCAGAATCCATGATTACGATCTTTTACGTTAACTTAAAATGTTTTACTGCAACGTATGAATTGTAGGAACTATTATTAACAATCCAAATGTTTACACGAGGAATGTTACGTTTCGAGTGCAGTTATAATACTTTTAACAATGTATCGATAAAGTTTAATATCATTGAACTTCACAATATGTAGCACATGTGAAAAATGATTAGCCTTTCGGTCGAATTAAGGTAAGTTTATGATGTCAGGGTGCATTTGATAAGTAATATTATTAGAAAATGAAGAACATACGAGACCATCATGCAAATATAAAGAATGTTCTCCATTTCTATGTAATATTTTGTTTTCAATTTCTTTATTAATTCCGTTGTCGCAATTTCATTAATTACTTACCGTTCCTTGTTAGAAAGTGCGAATGTATAATGAAAACAAAAATATTTCGCATGAAATATAAAATATGAAACGGTGCTTAAATCTCGATAACTGTCTCGGAACATTCCGAGACAACGAAGAATTAAATGAGCCTGTAGTAAATCACAACACTTCCCACCAGAATTATGAGCTAAATTTTATTACATTACTTATGATGCATTACCTTCGGCTTTAGATACTTGAGAAATTTCTTCCTTCTGCACCCTCGGTTAAAACGTACGATGAAAGATAAGAAGTCGATGAGAATAAAGACGACCAAGCAGCAAACAGTCCATCAGCGAAGGACAATAAAATGGTGAAGCAGAAAAGTAGTTAACTGCACCATGTCATTGTACAAAAGTCCACTGATGATGCTGATACCTGATCTTGACACCTAACACACACTGAGTTGCCTAAGATCCTGCAACACACACCATTTTTTCCATACTGTACCTATAATCTCTTATAAAAATCACAGACTGAAACTATAAAAATATTTAGCACCAACTTTGTTAAAACTTAAATACAAAATAATGTAAACCATAATAAACCATTTCGTGTAAACCGCGTTGCTTCTTTATTTTCTCGTGCATTGTTTACCAACTTTTTTTTGAACATTTTTCACGCGTAAGATCTAAAACCTTGTACGTTTTTACCAAATCAAATTCTCTAATCTTTTAAAATTTACATAATTTTGTGTTAATCAAGTTAGCACATTTAATACAATATTAATATCTACATTCGTGTGACCAAATGTTTAGTTATATGTATATCTAAATTAAGAGTAGAAATATTCTATAGTATATATTTCTACGTATTTCAATTTTAGTCGATCGATCGATACGCGGAGCATTTAATCTTATCGAAAATATATTGTTGATTACAATTATTTTTATAATACGCTCTATAATCTTGCTTGTTAATACATTCAACACGAGTGATTCATGGAAGCGTCAAATTTGATACGAGGGAACGGTTTCGATACCTCGTTGCTTTCAAAGCACGAAAGAAACAATCAACACAAACACAATTTTGCCAAAAAGATTGCTATTAAACAATTACAGAGTAAACAAACTAAAAGATCTCATGCACGATGAAAGCTACGCTTCGAAGGCAGTGGCTAACTTCTACGGCAAGAGAAAGAACTCTTACGTTCATTACCCAATTCGCCATTTTCGAGACATAGAAATGTTGGTTGAAATATTTGAGAAGCACACCAGAATATTTGACTCACCGAACTTACTATGCAAAACCGACGGATCTCATAAGGAGAATGTTGACTACAGACGCCGTAAACAAATTATAACGCAACAACAAAGGAATTTTCTTTCCCAATGAACACCAAACGCATCCTCTTCTTGGCGTATCCCGGAATGGCTGTCGTTGTCCGTGCGATCGGTTATGCAAACCCCGCAAATGTGTTATTCATTGTTACCAATATTCACGGACAAAAATCTTGAAGGAACTTTTTACACGATTATATACTGAAAATTAATTTTAACTTTCGACTTCTTATGCACGAATCACTCAGATTATATAAATTAACACTGTTATACAATTTTTTTTCTTTTCTAATATATGTTTGTAATTATGATTGACACGCTTGTTACACGAATTCGTGCCGCACGAGAGAAAGTCACTACACTCTAGTTGTCACACGAATGAAACACTAGGCGGCGACACTTGATGTTTTTAATAATATCATTTCACTATTAGTTTCCAATCTATACAAATTATCGATCCAAACATTGAATTATTATTGTTATAAAGATATGTAAAATATTTAAATAATGTCATTTAAACGCGCTTACATTTTCTTTTAATAGTTTTTTCTTGTACGTATTATATTTACGTTGTCATAGAAACAACGTGATAACAAACAAGCAGCCATGTCAAATTAACAATTATTCTTGAGTGTTAAATAAAAGACGCATAAGACGAAATTTGCCGAAAATAGTAACATTGATTCGATTTTACGACACGAATCATTAATAGACGTGTCATTTGTGACATCTGGGGCTTTTTAATGACAGAGGTGCTCTGTTGTGGGCGACATTTTCGTGACGCATAACGTTCTTGACAACACGGACAAGAGTGGGAGAATGCTAAAAACTCACGAGTCCTAGCTCGAAGAGCATCATTCTAAAGTTTTCTCCGTGCAACAAGAAGCTTACCTGGAACAAAGACGTTTGGTATACCATATTCCCTTCGAGCGAAAAAAATTGATGGACAAGTTTTGCTCGCGATAATTAAACTTTATAAATTTCCCTAGATATTTATTGTGTCGCCTGTTGGTTATGTCGATTACCGTAGGGTAGCGCTAGCGTGGCACTCTATATCTGACAACACCGCGTACCCCGCCAATTGTGTCGTGACGTCGTGACATCGAGAAGGTACGAAGTTGTTCGGTTACGCGGGCAGACGCTGGTTCGGTGAGTTTGCGGAGCGTAACGTAGAGGAAAATGGCGATGGCAACAACTCAAGTTAAGGGAAGTGGATGGCCGAGGAGAGCAAGTAATAGTTCGTTTGAAGGAAAAGTGGTTCAAAACCAATCTGTAACTATCAACAGGACAGTTAATTTGTAAGTGATAATCAGTATGTGACTTGATTACATTATTTTTTAGAGTTAAGTTTTGACTGCCTCTCCTGTAGAACTATGGCCGGTTAAGAGACGCTAGCAATTAAAATTATGTTCCTAATACCTTTCAATGCATCTTACATGGTACAACCATGAGACGGCTGTTCACCTTTTTGTTAAGTAATTGCGGAAATTTTAAGCAATAACATATTTGTATTAGTGTAGCGACTGTTTTATAATTTCGTAATTATTCATTTATATGCGTTATAATACGACATAACCAACTATTTTAACAAGCCTTGAAATTTTTAACGTGATTATGAACTTCCCACGATTTCACTGTATTATGTTTTCGTTATTAAACTAAAGATGCGACCGTTTGCTTAAAATTTCCATGTATAGATTAAAACAATACCTTCTGTGCTTCATTTGCACATGGTATATTACATTTGAGTTATACTAAGTCCTGTTTATTAAGAAACTGGAGAAAATTTGATTTTCATTACAATATTATATTTGTACGTATCATTACTGATGAATTTATAAAAGTTGTAGCCAATGTGTAACATAATGCATTGGCCTCTTTTATACATCGAATGTATATTTGCGTACAAAAGACATTTTTGTTATTTCTCGGTTACCTTAACAGCGTGACTGTTAATTTGTAATGCGTATATAATTGAAAATAGTTGTATTGTCGGTATTCATTTCTTTTACTTGTACAATACGAATTACTTTGATGCCTTGTATAAAAATGAAGAATGTACAAAATAATTACACAAGTTAAATTGTTATGTTCTAAGAGTTATGAAAACTGTAATTTTTTAAATGAAAAATATCTGTATTTTTTTTATTCGTAAATTGGCCTCTCAAGTTTTATGTGAAATAAAACTTACAGTACGAAACAATTTTGTAATTACATTGTTGTGAATGTATTTATTTTGTGTCGGGTAGTTAATAATTACATTTAATTATTAATCTAAGGAACAATATCGCATTCATAGATGTTACGAACGTTTCGAGTAATTCTTTATGAAACAGTGAACTGGTTGTTTTCAAGTTAATAGGAAGAACTCATATAAAATATCATATATCACATTTTGGAATTTATATTTTTTATCGTTGCGACATTTGTAATGTTCCAAATATACAAAAGGATATTGAAGAATGTAATAAATGTACTACATATCTACGAACACATTACAAAGCATCATTTGGCAATTATAAGTAAATAATGCTCTTAATTTATATAACGTAATGAATCAATTACATAGATATAAGTATTTTAACGAATTATTTACATTTTGGCATGCAAGTATTAATGATTGTGTAGCCTTCAGAAATACCAGAAAGAATTAGAAAATGATACTTGTGCTGACAAGAAGTTGTTAAAATCATATTAGTACATGATATTGAAAATGTATTTTGTTCTTTTATCATGTTGCACATACGATAAGAAAATATCACAGAACTATAACAGATAAGTATTATGTACTTTTAAACAAATGATACGAATTTCACTACTGTGAAATGTAATATTATAAGTGATACACTAACGTGTTTGTATATATCAACTGTAGTTGGCACTTTGTACTTTATAGTTAAGCAACCACAATGTATGTGGCTTCTATATAGTAACTTGCAATCATACGAAACAAAAAACTATTATTTAACTTGTTATATGATACTTTGTTGAACACTGTTGAACATTGTATTTGTATACAAGCTTTGTAAATCTTACAGGTATAAATTGTATTAATTGCCACATTAATAATTTCATTATACACGTTTATTTCTTTAATGTACATACATTTTTTAAACATGAGAATTGTCAAACAACATAAAGTTTAATTATTTTTACATTATAAATCTGTATGTTATTCTTCTTGTTTGCATGAAAAATTATATTTTCCGTTTTGTGTCAAATGTGGAAGTTAATGTAAGGTTACTGGAGAAAAAAGTTACATGCTCAAATTATTCAATGCAGTTGTGAGTACCTGTATAATCATTATGGTTATATACTGTAATATTGTTTGTGGAAATAGTGTTGAAGAGACTGGATTTAGTTACTGAAGGATTATATTAAACATATGAGAACCTAACACAAAAATACAACTCATTTATCATAGATATCCTTTGACAAACTATACATTTGGAACAAAAGAGCCACTCTTTGAGAAAGATCCATCGGTACCAGCAAGGTTTCAGCGTATGAGAGACGAGTTTGACAAAATTGGAATGCGACGCAGTGTAGAAGGAGTTTTGTTGGTACACGAACATGGATTACCACATGTTCTCCTTCTACAGTTAGGAACAACATTCTTCAAATTGTAAGTAAAAATTCTGTTTTAAGGGGACGTATACATCTAGGAGGGTGAGGGTGATAAATGTATAAAATCAGGATAAAATACCTATAGCGCGCTCCAATTAGAACTACGTATTTTTTTAAAAGATCAATCTTGTCAAAATAAAATAGGAAAAAAATCTATTTCTGTTTAATTTATAAAAAATTTTATCGACATTTATCGATGTATGTGAACACTATTTGTGTTTACTTTTTTTTGTAGGCCTGGAGGAGAACTAAATGCAGGAGAAGACGAGGTAGAGGGCCTAAAACGGCTCCTTACAGAGGTAACAGTTAGCACGACGCCTTATGCTACCTTACGAGGTAGCTAGGAGTGGCACTTTGATATGTTAGATTGTAACACTGTCTATGAACCTATTGTATCAATCCTAAAGATGTTTGTAGAACTTATGTAACCGGGCCTGTAGCTCAAAATAGGGATTTTTTCATTTATTATATTAGGACTTACACTTTTAGTGTGCTGCATGCCCGGACACTTCAATGTTCGTAGTAATAAAATTATAACTTGTTACATTATAAGTACCATGGTTAGCTAAGAACATTGTTCTTATTTCGCTCGTTGTATGTATTAGTTCAAACATGAAAGAGGCAAACCACGAAGATTGTAACATTATAAGAAGATTGTATTGTACATGCCATTGTTAATTTTTTGTTATAATCCGTGAAAAAAAAAAACGAAAGGGAAAATTGTATTAAATTATACATAGTTCACATAGTTCTAACAATTCTCGGTAGAAAATAATTATTTAAACTATGCGGGACTATGGTTTTTCCTCGTGTGATCAATAGGCAGTTTCCAGATATGCATTTATCGAGTTTCTAATTAAATTGACGCATATCTGTACAACAGCTGTTTCATTTAATTAGGTATCTGTAAGTGAAGAAAGCCGAAAGTATTTCAACAAATACTTCTGGTCTGTGCTACTGATTGTATAGAAGTTACAGGAACATATTAGGAAATCGTTGACGAGGTCAATTGTTAACAAAACTGATTACAACCGTTTTAAATATGTAACAATTATCGTGTAACCATGTTCTTAGTGAACTGAACGAAGAAGAATGTATCTTAAACCTATACATCAAACATACACGCAGTGTAGGGTAATTAAAGTAATAAGCAGTACAATATTGAAATAATTTTTAGACATTTGGACGTCAAGATGGAGTTAAGCAAGAATGGGTCATAGAAGATACCATTGGAAACTGGTGGAGACCTAATTTTGAACCACCACAGTATCCTTACGTACCACCACATATTACTAAACCAAAAGAACACAAGAGGCTGTTCCTCGTCCAATTGCAAGAGAAAGGTATCACCTCTTTCTTTTAAAAATAATTTCTTTCGTTGGGAAATTAGTTAATAAGTTTGAACTTTCAGCACTATTCGCAGTACCGAAAAATTATAAATTGGTCGCGGCCCCATTATTTGAGTTGTACGATAATTCACAAGGATATGGACCCATCATTTCATCATTACCACAGTCGTTGTGCAGGTAATTAGAATGTAATAAATTATTAACGTAGCGTGTCTTTTTACTGTGCCTTATTCCCTGTTTCGTATTCAATTTTATTTTACAGATTTAATTTTACCTATATGTGAAAGAAAAGTGAGAAAGTGGAGTAATTTTATTTAAGTTAACAAAAAACTATTATAAATACATGTATGTGTGTATGAGATGACGAGTGAAAAGGTAAAAGACTTGTTCTATGTACAATATGACGTGCACTAAAAATTAAATCATTTTTTAAGTAGTACTTATACAACTCATTCGCAATTTTAATCTCTAATCCTTGTATTTTCGTCATTTCTCCACTTTATGCTTAAGGATAGTGTCCATTATATCAACGTATGCTCTAAGATGTACATATATTGTTAAACTTTATCGTTTATATGTATAATTCCGAAGTGTTTTAGTTTTATGTTATAAATCCTGTCATGAAAGATATTAAATTTAATATACATATAATTTTATGACAAATATAATTTTGTAAAACCGCAATAAAATTCACAACTTTTAATCATATGAAAAGTAAATTTTATATTAACAAAAAACGTTGACGTTATTGAACACTCCCCTCAAATTTTTTAATAACGATTGTGTTAATATCGAGTTAATAGCTGTGAATTTGCAGTAGTTTCTTTAAATATCTAAACCACTGATATTACACGAGGTTGATATATCGATTCATGTGTTACGAAATCCTATTAAACGATAGGTCTATTTTGTACCTTGTTTATAGTGAAATAGGTATACATACATAGGTCGGAAAATATAAATGCCTGAACAGTCGAGATTCGTAATTATATGTCGATTGACGAAAGTCGAATTTCAACTGTTTCGAGAGCGAGAAGGAAACGCTTATATTCGCTTTTTTTCTCAAATTTTCAAAGCTGTGAAACACAGAAATTGTTGCATACGTGGGCTGTGATTAGTGTGTGCAAGTGGTCAGTTTCCTTTTGGGCACCGATCTGCCGTCTGGTGTACCGGTGTAACCTAGTCTGTGGTTCTAGATACCGCCATTTTGTATCTGGAAAGGTGTTCGAAACGTGCATCAACGTGTACATACCTGCATTCAAAAACAGTATAGAATAGTATTTATTTGAAATGTTATTGAAAACTTTTGTTTAATACGACAAAAAAAATATAGAAATTTATGGGAGAGATGACACGACAAAAGACTATTATGACACAGGTACATGCAAAAATAATAATGCTGCATAAGTTTAATTGGAGATACGAAGTATCGTATCTTGGTAAGATCTTATCACTTTTGTCTAACACTTGAACGTCGTTCGCCGTAGATACAATTGGTGGAGAATGTTTTGAAAGAGTCTATGTACAGGGTCGATGTACTTCAGAAAAGACTTGATTCAAAACTATTGACAACGGAAAGTCGCGAACAGTTGGAGGCGGAATTAGAAGAAGTTAAGAAGGTACTTAAAAGAAATGCTGATGAAATACAAAACTTAAGAAAGCAGAACACAAAGTCGTTTATGGTTGTAGCCAGTTTAGTTTTTGCATGTTTTCTGCTTTATGGATTATATTTAATGCTTTATGATAAAATATGATTAAACATTTTTTATTGTAATTGTGTTATTAATTTTATGATCATCGATTGCCACCACATCATAAAACAAATTACTTTTTGTTGAACAATGTCCTTTTATATGCTACATATTTATAGATATTGGACCAAATAATATTCCATATAGACTAACTACTAGCTTTATTGTAGTTTTTATGATCTACCATGGAACAAAAGGGAGATAAAGACAATGTATGGCGTATTTGCTAATTGTACAAATGTTTATTCAAAAATTGTTTTATCATGTTTTTGTTATAATAGAATGAGATTTATAGTTAAGTGATACAGTGCTACATACATTTAAGAGATAACATAATTATGATTAATATCCAATTTCCAATGAAAACAATACTACATATGTATAGTACTATTTCACGAAATAAATTGCAATTGTCAATATTACTATGCAAATAATAGAAAAAAGAAATGCTTTCTTTATTTGAGTCTTATAACGAATATTCCTGTACATTCAAAGATTAGTATCAATTAGATCACTGGCAATGTTGCGGACAATGTTAACGATGCAATATATTATTAATCTTGCAGAGAAAGTTAAAACATGTTAATTTAAGCAGTAATCAAATCGTATTGTGGTGTTCCAGCAAGGCGACTTTGCATATATTTAGCATGTACTTCGGTATCCAAGTAACTGTTTTGAACTGCAGAGTTTTCTTTCATGGCGGACCTCCATTCCAACTGGAATTATAAATAGTAAATATATAATTATTATTTATATAACTTAATATTTAGGGTAACAACAAATTTATATAAAACTATTCAACTAGTCGGCTTACCAATCTTTTGAAACGATCTTGAGGTATAACAAATTGATTTCCGCGTAAAACTCTCATCATATCTGACCTTTCCCACCATGGCCATATCATAAAATCCAACATTCCAGGGGAATCACCGTTAAAGAAAGGTGTTCCTCTTTTAGCAAGTTCCTTTTCAAAATGTTCTAGACCAGCTAGCGCATCCTCGAATACATCACGGTGTATAGATGTGGCAATGTACAGCTAAAATAAAAGTATCTTTGTTATAATTACAAATTTTATTATAATAATTATATACAGCGAGTCTTTGAATTATGTAGTTGCATCTAACATCTTGTAACAAAGATTGTATGCCAAACGTATAGTAAAGAAAAAATAAGATCAATCCTGGTAGGAAGTACTAGTTGTATTAAATCATACATTTTAACCAGCATTTAAAACTACATTAATTCAAAGGTAGATCTTTTTTTTCTCCGAATTATGTGTTATGTGACTTACATGGAAAGGTTCGAATCAACTACATAAGTCAAAGACTTATTAAATTAGAAACAGATGTACCTTGTATATAGTACTTATAACAGAGTTGAATCTATCGATCAATAACTTATCCTTAGCTTTAGCTAGAGGATTAATAGGGTACAGTTTCTTTTGTGGATATGCATCATCTAAATATTCAGCGATAACAAGACTCTCGTACAAAGTTTCTCCTCCTTCCAACTCTATGCAAGGAACTTTACCCAAGGGACTTTTTTCCAACAACCAGTCAGGTTTATTGACCAAGTTAACATAAACAACATCGTATCTGTTAACATGGAACGTCTTTCAATATAAAATTAAAAGAGTAAGCAAAGGAGGATATTATAAATAAATATTAATAATGTATGGATATTGTCCTACTTAAAATCAAGAAAAAGAAATTGCAGCGATATAAAATAGTTGGAAAAAAGTAAAAATGAATTAAAATACAATTCGAAAGAATCAATTTACTCACGGTATATTTTTTGCGTCTAGTACCAAATGAATTCTTTGTGCGTACGGACAAAATCGCATACTATATAAACGTACTTTTCCAGGTATAAGGGGTGGGGCAACAGATCCTGGAGTACGGTAACATTAAAATAATTATTTTCTAATGGCATAAATTTCGGATTATACGATTTTACCAGCAGCTAGATGTTTGGAACTCATCGTCATCCTGGTTGAATCGTCAGTCGGAAGCATTCGATAATTTCTACGTTCAAACGTGCAATTCACCTTTCACTCAATAATGTTTCATATTTCCTTGTAGTCTAAACAGTCTAATAACATTGACGAGACTGTTCAAGGTTTCTACGCGTAGGTTACTTGGATGTAATTCCGGTAAAGTCTTTCTCTCGAGTTTACATATGTCTACTGGTATTTTTATACTTTTAATTATTAGAATGCGTTCAAAAAGTAATCTTTCTATGCATATTCATATTAGTTATTTTCTATTAATATTCTTTTTTTCTGTTTTTCGAGGCAACAGAAAATTTTCGATCGCAAAAATTTGAAAATGTTATATTTGGTTCATGGCTAATAACCTTCTCATAGAAAGATTCTAGCGTATGGTGAAGAAAATTCTAGAACATTTACAACTAGGGATGTTTAGTGTTTAAGAGTTGTTTTCAGAAAGTGGAACACTAGCTCCACCTGGCATCTTTAAATATTTGAAACTGTAACGGTTACGGAGCAGTTTGTTCAAACGTGCAGTGGTTTTTAATTAATGATATTAAATAAATGTACGATTTTTATTAGACTTTTAATTGTGTGTGAGCAAGAATCTTATTCTCCGAGCAACGAAAGAATAGGAAAGCTCTTGTATTATCGATTGTTGCATCGCGTACGTATTTTACATGTATACTAAAATACACATTTTTCAAGTACGTGAATTTTCTCGGCTAGCATGACCAAAGTGGAGAGCCATTTTCATAGCTAACATTGAATTTTTGACCAAGTTTATTATTCCACAGCAATATTATACGCAATTTTTTTACTCTCTTCGTTAATGAATTTTGATGAATTTGTAAGTTTGATGAAACTTTGCAAGGCAACGGACTTGCATTTATGTATCTGTGATTTCTCTATAATTCCTATTATTTTTGTCCCGACGAGAAGTATAGGCTATTTAATTTCCGCAAATAATTAGCTATAATTATTATTAGATCAAATAATATAAAATTAATAGTAGTAAATTTCTAGTCTCAGCGATTTCGTCGACAAAACGAAGTACATAGTTCCCATTTCTGACGTTAGATAGCGCCATCAAATTTTTTATAACGACTCTACAGATGGTTATTCACATTCAAATTGTGTGTCTTTGTGGTGTCCTTATAACTTTTGTTATATTTATTTGATCCAGATAAAATTTGATTTACTTGTTCTTTATGTTTCTAGGAAAAGTAGGCTACTTTACTGTAACCAAATGTACTTTTTAAAAACTTTTAATTTAACACGATTGGGTTGTAAAAAAGAATAGAATTCAGGAAGCAAATAGTTACCCAGGACACAGATAAGAAAATGTACGAGCTAACGCGTATTTTGAAGGGGAAACATTCCGTGCGAGCAGTATTAGATCAGACGTTGTGGTCAGCCATTATTCTACTTACTCGTAGTAGCACGTTCTCTTTAACACGTCGACTGCTACACCAGCTTACCAGTGTTCTTTATAGCTTTATTCATGAAAATAAACATTCCTTTTTCCAATGTTTCTAACATTGTTTATTCGTTGTAGGTTGATTACTTGACGATACAAGAGACGAGTCACTGGATGATAAAGAGGTCTACTAGAATTTTCGATGTCGGCTGAACTACTGGAAACGTGTTACGGTTTTCGCAGAAAATTCGACATAACTAGAACAACGCACATCAGGTGAGTTTGATTCGTGCAACAATTTGCATATTACTCTATAAAGACGCAATCGTTCCACGAGACTTGTGTTTTCTGAAACGCTCAACTATTAGCACGTTTAATCCATCGACGTTGAAATAACTCTCGTTGAAAGTTTTTAGAGGAAAATAAAAATTCATAGGACAGCAGTGATCAGAGCACTTGGAAGATACTCGGACAGGTCGTCGATCTCTCTTAATTGCTCGAAATGTTTAGCAAACCGTGCATCGCGTTACGATTTCCATCTTAAAGAAGGAAATTAGCAAAAAGAGGGTTAATCTGTCGATTGGCCGGCACTCGGCCCGGTGTCTCTATCAAGGCTCAACTCCTATCCGGTCGTAATAACCGTACACAGAGGATCAGACGGCCAGGTTAGGTAAGTGGTATCGCGAAGGACGCACACGTAGGTGGATACGAGAGGGTGGCGTAGGGTGGGATAGAGAATCTCGGGTCGAGGGTGGCGAGGACGGGGGTGGAACGGCGCGGGCGCTGATTGGTAGCAGAATCGATTAGCCGAGCCGAGCTAAACCTCCGGTACCGCGGCAGCTTCGACGACGCCACGAATTTCCCGAATGGGGGTTTCCCGTTGGGGCGGGCCCGAATCCAGGGAATACCTCGGCGTTCTCCATGGCAACCCGACCAATTCGCCAACCGCCGACAACCAAGGCTGACCTACCGTGTGTTGCTTATTTTTCTTTCGTTCCTTTCTTCGTTTTATTTCCATCCAACCCCCCACCAAAGAGCTGTCTCGCCCCAACGTTCCTCGTTCGGCGTTGCTATCCTTTGTGTCTGCTCCTTTCCCTTTGTCTCCTTCCTATTTTTCTGGCTTTCGTTTACGCTGCAAGAAAGAGAAAGAGAAAAAGAGAGAAAGAGAGAAAGAGAGAGTTAGTGAGAGAGTGAGAGTGAGAGAGAAAGAGAAAGAGAATGACGGTGAAGAGGCGAAACGGTATTACGTGCCTTCCACCTCTTTCTCGTCCGCCTAACTTCGGGCACAAAGGTTCGCGCACATATACCTCGTTACGCAATCTCCGGGCGTGTACGTGTGCACAGATACGAGAGAGGGCACATTGATTTTGCCGACGACTGATACAACCCCGTCGGCACGTTTAATTAGAACATGGCGACTTTAATACAAGCGCACGACAACAAGAACAACAACAGCGCCCCTTCCCCTCCCCCACACGCCCCCATTTCTGTTGTGTGTCTCTTCACCGTCCGCGGCACACGGTGTTCTTCCCTCCTCCGTTCCTTTTCCTAGCTTTCTGGCGGCGGCGGTGTCTCTCGCAGGCCCGCGTCTTCTGATCTCCGGCAAAACTTCGCTCTTTCTCCTCTCCGTAGTTCGAAGGGGTCGCTTATCTACCTAGCCTAACGCGGTATATGCTAGTGCCAGACACCCCGTCGCTTTCTCTCTCCCTCTCATCCATCATCGTCATCATCGTCACCGTTATTATTATCATCCATTTTCAGTTCGAGAATTCACGCCCGTTCTACTGCCAGACGCGCTACACACACACGCACACACATACCCACACCCACGTACACTCTCACGCAGTCACATTCGTACGCGTCATCGTTTCGTCTCCGTTCCGTCTCACGCTCGGCTCAGTCGATCTTACGTTGCATCTTTCGCATATCGCTCACACGGACAAACATTCTCGCGCTAAGACTATGTCCTCTACACGCCTACGCTACACATGAAAACACCCTATCTACATTTAGAGCCCGTCGACGTTCCATGGAACCAGCTTGGAAAATGGGGTTCGGACGGGGTCGCTTTTCCACCGGCGATGGGCTACGGACACGTCGAATCGCTTCAAATATTATTCTTAATGCCAAGAGTTCGTCGATGCTTTGTTGGATCTTGAGAGTCCAGAAATTTCTTACCCTTTTTTAACGTGGATTCTTTTTGATTTCAGACAAGAATCACGCAAGGCGTTCTATAGCCTGAACCACCTGGTGGACAGAGGACACAAACAACGAGAAAAGTTGCCCTGCTTCGCCTTCTTTCCCAGTTACAGCCATTTCTTATAACACAAATTAATCCGATCTCAGAATGTGCCTGTTAAAATGTTCGAGCTTGTATCAAAGTTCCATTTGATTTTAATTTTTATGTAACGTATACAAGATGTCTGTAAGATCGAGAAACTTTATAACAGAACGTCCGAAGGTAGCCATTTTGAGCACCACGCGTTACTCGATCACGAAAATGGCTGTAACTAGGAAACAAGATTAAATAGAACATGTTTTGACTTTGTTCGTATATTACGAATATTCAAAGAAAATTCGAATCGTGTTCTCACCAGCCTGTGTACGATAGCAAGGACTTGTCTTTCGGATAGAGTCTATTATTCGATCAGCTCTACGCGCGAGACCCTTAGAGTTTCTAAATACTCGAGACTCTCAAGATCGTTCGAAAGTTTCGAGAACTTCTAGCACCGAGTAACAAAGATTCAAGATGCCCATCGTCGTTTTTACACGTCCCGGAGAACGACCGTCGACGGTTAATTCCACGGAGCGGTCGACGGGTCGGTACGCTAATCGTCAGAGTAATTCTAAAGATGCTTACGTCTTACGAATGGTATGATACAGTATACGACTTAAGGAGTTACGCTTCTTCGACAGAGGTACACCTTTCGCGGCGGGGTAGATCGTCGACAGGTAGCCTCGTTGCATCGACAACTATTTTTTCACCCCCGAGTCCCGGAGACCTACCCCCTCCACCTTTCGCACATAGATAGAGCGACCGCATTTCTAGCGTCTGATCGGTGAGAAACGACAGTGAACGCGACTGGGGGGATTTTACGCATTGTTTTGATATGACTCGACGTTGTACTTTTCAGTCTCGGTTATCGCGACTCGAACTCTCGTCGGTCCGGGTTCGTTGAATCGATCTGGGGATTCGTCGATCTTCTACCCGGAGTTTCCTTCTTTTTTTTCCTTATCGATCGTTTATTTGCACATTATTTTTCTGTTCCCATTTCGCACGGATACCGGATGAGAAGAAGATCCTCTCGGGAGATCGTTTCGGAGTTAATTTGGGTACAAGGAGTGTTCTCCCTGCAGGATTTCGATGACACTTGTAAAATGGTCAGAAACAGGGGACACGTATCTTTTTCGTAGGGTAAGCTTGGTTCGGAAAGGGGTTGCGAACCATCAGAATTTTAAATATGGAGATTTCTTCGACTTTAAGCGTAATAGTTTGAACGTTTTGTCCAAGTCTACTACTTTGTATTTTAACCGGTGAAACAATTTTTAGGAATCCTCGAAACTCTCGAGATCTCACGATCGAATCTTAGACTGGTTTTTGCGTGAATTTCGTTGGTCGTTCGCAGCTGACCTCCAACCTCGAGAAACATGTCTCGCGATGACTTTCACGAACGGTGATATGCGGTTCCTCTATCTATACTTCGTTATGTAACAAATAAGTTAAAAGACTTTATAATACACGCATTACACTTGGCCCGAATCGAACATGGCTCACATTCCCGAGCGTTTTGTCGTCGATGAAGGTTCCGCGGTGTCTAACTTTGTCTCTAACTTCTCAGTATTTAACCAGTGTTTTCCAAAGTAGGAAGTGGGAGGGGGCGCCGTACAATTTAAAGGAAACTTAACACGGAACAATTAATCAACGATTAATCGAAGTCAGCTGATAACAATTCTATTAAACGATTTCATAAAACTTACAAAGTCAGTAAACGCAACTTAATTCCGAGTAAAATGAATCAAGCGTAACGGAAACTCTTTGTTTGTACATTTTTGGCGCGGAAATAGACGTTTATTTTGAAGGGAACGCCTTTAGAAATCACTGGTTCGATCTTTTCGAACTTGGCGTTTCAATTTCGGATTGATATCTTCTCGATTCTATTCAGTTTGTTCGACGATAGTTGGATGAACGATGAGAAACCGCTTCGTCGCCGCTGCCGTTAAGGGACGCCCCCTTTAAAATGTGCATGTTCGATTCCATCCAGTCGGAAATGCCGACGTTTCTCTACGGAAGTACGCCGGCTTGTTATTCTCCGTGCAAGGCGACGTTCTTTTGGACAGGATGATTCTCGACACGCGGTTTATCGCGACGTTACAAGCGAACGATTTACAATCAGGCAACGTTCGACGCGAGATAAGAAATTCTTCAATTTTTCCGAAGATTTTTAAACGAAACAAAATTATTACCGGGAAAGTTATAAATTTCGTTTACTTTGGAACGATGTAGTTTTTCGTGAAATACAAAACTTCCTCGAGGTGTCGCCATTTCAATATCAACGTTCGCTGTCGGATAAGATGGCTGACGAGAATCGTCTTGCGAACGTGCAACCCTGTACTTACGTAATCCATTATATTGTATGTACAATGTTCTTACAATAATTCGAGCGCACCGTCGGCCATGAACGGGAGCTTCTGGAACAATTCTCAGCGATCCACGTCGATCGCTCTTTACTGGGATGTGGATCAAACGATCCGAGAGACGCGGGATCGATTCGATCGTTAAATCTGTCCACTCGCGTTTCTACACGTGATCTATTTCGGTAGAGCTTCGATGCAAAACTAACGTGAAACAGATAATATGTATAGAATAGTACGTGTAGGCAAATACTTTGATTTGTTTTACTAATTCCTCTGCATTTATTTCAGCAGATAAGCGAGGCTTGAACCGGTGTCAAGAAATGGCGACGCAAGAGTACCACTTAAATAAATCAAGTTCAACTTTTGAAAACGCTCCACGTTTGATAGCAAGAACACCGACAGTACTCTATAGGTGAGTCTTCATAGAGTAGTATCTCCAAGTTCCTGTTCCCACGAACAAATGATAACGTATCGATGGAAAAATGCAAGATCCAAGGTTGATGACCGCGAGTGGACGGATCAGAGGGACTCGTAGACGCGCAACCGATCCGGAAACGAAGACTCGAAAGCTGGTCAGGCCGACGGGTGCACGTAGACCGCGGTTGACGGCGGTCTCTTTAATTTTCTCGGTAGAAACTCGTTAACGTGGCGTACCCAACGCGCCCCAGTGCTCGGCGGTGGGTCATGCGTAGTGCGGATAGGTGCCCAGATGAGGCGGCACATGGCCAGAGGCCGTGTGGTGACCCGCGTACAGGTTAGCACCCGGACTCGTCGACCAATAGCTGGACGCTGATTGGAAGAGGCCACCTGGAACGGAGACCGAGACCGAGGCGGCCGGCGGCGGCATAAGGTTCAGCTTTGCGTGCCCGTAGCCAGACATGAACAGCTCGCTTTGGTATTTGTAGGCGGCTGGATCCGCCGCCGCGGGCTGCGTCGCCGCTGCCAGGCCCTGGAAGTCGAACTTGTACGCGTACCTCTTCCCGTGGACCTTTGTCATGATGTTTTTGTCGTAATAGTACCTGCAAGCAGAGGAAAATCTGCTCGTTGCACACCGTTCACTCGATCCCACTGCGATCCCATTTGGGAGGAGAGAGGGATTTTGTAGAAATAGAAATACGATGATGTCCAGGTGAAATTACCGGGGTTTCAAGTCAGCACTTGGATAGGCTCGAGTTTGTTTAGAAAATTGAGGACTTTATAGTTTTGGATGATAGCAGGGACGTAATATAGTCGACGCGTCTGTTAGTTTGTTTATTCGATTGTAGCGAAAAAGCTTAAAAAATGGTTGGGGCGTAGTATCGGAGCGTAACCAGTGCCAGATTTGACGCGATAGCATCAAGTTTGGCAGCTCCGGCTGTAACTTTTCGCGTCGACGTCGACGTCGGTTACGGCTGCGGAAGAACGGAGGGAGGGGAGGGCCGAGGAGCGAGCAGTCGCGTAATATAATCAGTCGATCTGATCGAAAAATAATAGCCGCGTCTGCCGTCGGTCTGACTGTCGGTGATTGAAATTTCTCTCCCCTGGCCTCCGTCCCGATGGCTCCCGCGCGCCGAACGAATTTACTTTCTCTCCGAATCTTCGATACGGACGTTTACCCATTAAATGTTGGGCGTTTGATGGATTTTTCTTCTTCTTTCGCTGGGGGTTTCATTTTATTTTTTTTCAAACTCGATTCTGGCTCGCGGGAAGAAAATAATTAAGTAATTCGTCCGCTCGTCTCTGAGCGGACCAATTTCTTGATGCCAGAATTCGATACGTCGATGGATCCCGAGAATAAGATATTTGAAAATTTATTTAAAGAGAGAAGGAAGCCTCGTTAGATTTATAGTTCGCCAATGGGAAAGATAGTTTTGAAACAACTACGACGAAAGATACGGAGCGTCACTCACCTCAAAGCCCTCGACAATTTGTCATAATTCATGTTAGGCTTGGACTTCCTTTCGCCCCAGCGTCTCGCCACCTCGTCGGGGTCAGTCAACTTAAATTCGCCATTGGTTCCTTCCCACGTAATGCACGCTGCGTTACTCGAGTCCGACAGTAGCTCGAGCAAGAATTGCCAGAGCTGAATCTGACCGGAACCGGAGCTTGCGAGACGACTGCTCGTCGCTCCGAACATTTGGTACGGATCTGGAAATCATCGAGAGAAAACGTCGCGTATTAATTTGGAAACTATCCTAAAGGCCTGATGATCGTTATCATTCTATAGTATTTGAGGGAAATCGGTATTTCCAACCGAGTTTATACAGAGACGATCGTCGACCATTTCCCGCGACGAAGAAAACGGTTCGTCGCGGGAGGGCAATTTACGCGCAGGCTTTTATTTTCCTTCGGAGATTGTTTCCACTTTCGAGATTAAACGATTGTTAGGGGCACGAAATTGCCGAAATTAGCAGAGCGGTTTTGTTCTCGCGTGCTGCGCGCGGCAGAAACCGCGGAAGATCGCGTCCGGTACGTTCGTCGAGAACGAAGCCACGTAAAAATTTTCGCTTCTTCGTTTCGCCGAGCGAGCCGAACGTAATCTTTTTTCTCCGTATTTCCCCTGCCCGAACATATACCTATCCATTACACGGTTGTTTCCCCAGCGCTCCCTGTATCGCCCTTTAAAAGCCTTACAATGCGTCATCACCGTCGTTCGCTACTGCTCAGACCTGGAGTGCCCTACAACCGTACAAAAGGATATAATCGCAACCCTACAATAGAATGGAAGTTCGTTTGGATCATAATAATTTCAATTGAAGGAACGAACGACGGAGTGGTTCAAAGGGCGTGCACGGAATGTCTTCCGAGAGAGCGAACGCTGCACAATTGAGCATCGCGTTTTTATCCGGTCGCGCGACTGATCCAACGATATACGTACGCGACCATAGATTTCATTATTTTGGTTCCAACGATCTTGCTAACCAGAACGATTTGTGTTTTAGCCGGAAGCTTGTCGGGGAAAGCAGCTGGTCGAAGAAGAGGAACAATGGCGGAAACGTAGCGAGTAAAAGATCCGAGGGAAAATTTCAACCTCGACCGGCTCAAGACGTCTCCCATAAAAATACGTTTCGTCGATTATGAGAGGGGGGAGGCAGAGACTCGTACGACGGGGGTGGTTGGTGAATGGTCGGACCTCAAAGGTCGTTTCGCCCGATGAATCCCCTGAAATGCGTGGCGCGGTGATCGCCTTTCGATCGAACGGTAATTCACTTACAAGTTAATAATGGGAAGGGGCGCGGTACACCCATTTATCTGGCCGAGCGAGGGAACCGGAATCGCCGACAGAAATAGCGAAACGCTACTGTTACTCCCCGGGTTCTGTATCTCTTTGGTCGGTCAGCCAAGAAAATAGGAGACTCGACGGATACCACTGACCCTGTTCCTACTTTCGGAATCTATCTGTGTTCTCCTGGTCGAATCGAGCGTTTATCCTATTCCGACGTAAATTTATTCTAATTTGCATGGGATCCTCGTCCCCGCAAACATCCTATTCACCCTTTATTTCATGCAAATCCGCGATGCCCGTTGGTAAACTTTCGATCGTGATCCGATAATGAAATGCTGATTCCGTGAAAAATGGAGGAAAGCAGCGAGGATATGGACAATTTTATCGGACGCATTGTCGGTCGAATTTTCTTTATTTGCCCGGCAAATGGCTTCAAACCCGAGCAAACATCCCCAAAGATTTTGCAAATAAAAATTTCAGGATATTCTGCGTCCCCGTACTTTTAGTTTTGTTCGTGTTTATATCGTGTACCGTGCATCGTGATTTCGGACGAATCAGAGTAATAGATTTTGCGTTTGTAATACTTGTAATGGCAGGGGACGGAAGCACAGAGGCCGTTCTCGGAGCACTTATTTAAAGCTATTGATCAGTCGGAAGGAGTAATTTTTGGGCGTGGCGGTAAAAAGTCAGGCCTGAAACGAGGGGGTTTGCGTGATTAGCGACGAACGTAATAATCGTGAAGGTCATTCCGTGCAATTGCTTTGGCAAAATTGCTTTGGCAAAATTGCTGTCGATTGTGTCACGCACCAGTGCTTATTTCTCTATAGCGTGTGATAATTTTTTAAGCCCCCGGACACCCTTCGTTATCTTCCTAATAGCGCGATAATCGACGCTTTATTTATCGCAGGTGTTAAATATTCGCTTTTATAGCGAATATTTGATAAAAAAAAATCTGTCTCGCGTTATTTTCATTACCGTTAAAATCTAAAATGTTTAAGTATTTTTCAACAGTTTCAAGCGCTCCTTTTAGGTATGTGCTATATACTATCGATTAAGGCGAAACTATTTAGAAGTTTAACTCTATCTCCAACGTAGATTAACGCTGTAATGGCCATTGACGCTACGATGATTTAATTTCTGTGTTCCAGGTATTTTCACAATGATATTAGCAAAGGTACTATATACGGCCAGTAAAGTGTTAACAAAGGTGTAGTGCTTTAACTTCTCAAAAATATCTACCTACTACATACCAGGCTGCCTGAGGTGGGTGTGCGTGTCCAATGCTGACTTGGATAAGCTGCTTCCGTAACCTGGAAAAAGATAGACACAAAATTATGCTCCAAATCTTTCGGGTTGCTTGCTTTTATAAATTCCCCATTAATCATCAACAATGAGTCTGAGCTAGTTTGAACCGCGATAGCTTCGCCTTCTCTTTTAAAAATGTAATTAAAAATGTAAACAGAAAGCCTCCGTTAACGTTCGATCGCGCGACAGCGTCCAAGACCGGGCAAGACATTGATTTGCACCATCAAACATCATCCAGAGTCCATTACCGTATCGCAAACACGAAATTTGCTCGTTCGAAGGCGTTTAGTTCTGATTATTCCGACGAAGAGGTTTAATTTTCGCGGAACGAGATTCGCGAAAGCGACGAAAATTGGTTCGATCGGGTTTTGCCAGGGTAAATCGGTCGGTCCGTCGAAGATGAAAAAGTACAAGCTCGGTCGGGCGTTAGAATCCGTTAGAGAGGATTTCCGTGTAGGCAAACACGGGGCTGAGTGCTCCGTATACGTTTCTCCCTGCTTCCCGTCCCATCGGCATTTCGTTGCTTTCCTCCGCCTTATCAGCTCCGACTCCTCGCGGCGTGTACGTGTGCCCAACGGTCACGTTTTCGCACGAGTGTGCAATCTGTTTAAGGCACAATGCCCCTTAATTTCGCCTCGTTATATGCTCTCGTTACGGGAAATCCCTTCTGTCGTCCGATATCGTGCTATCGGTTTGATCTTCGCTATCCACTACCGGTGGATTCCCGAAATCCGAAATCGGAACTCGGTATAAAGATTTCCCTTTGATATCCAACAGTTTTCGCGATCCTGCGCCTCACGGGTTAGAAACTTTCATATTTATGGAGGAATTTGTACAGGTGCCACTAGAAGTGGTTTGAGATTGGGTAGAAGAACCTATTTGTTAGACCTTCGAAATAAATTGGTATTTATTATTAATGGGTTAAGTGTACGGTAGGACGAGTCGTAGGAATGTCATCTAACTAAATTCTGTACTCCTTTTTCAGTCCACCGGCATCCCTGGAATTCTGCAGTCGGAATGTGCGAGGCAGATGCTACCTCTAAATAGCAGTTGGTGTCCGCTGTGTTAAACAATTTGATTTCGTCTCTGATTGGGAGCCTTGGCCGAGGGCGAGGATGCCTCGGGTCCAGGTCGTGGGGTCCGCCGCAATCAGCGCCGCCGCGGGGCTACGAGCTTCCTTTGTCCGCGTCAGAAGGCAACCTCCGCTGACGCTCTGATAACACCAAATCCCGACGTCCCACCAGCTAAACTTTGTTTATCCTCTATGCGACGATCCACGACCCAGAACACCTCTTTGATGGACTCTTGCAAAGACACAGAGTCGTCGACGCGTTGGGGCGCATCAAACACTTTTACAGTGAGTTTGGTACATTTTTTTAAACCAAAATAGCTGACGCTCGAGATGTAAACTGTATAAAGTGTCGCGAAACGTGGCGGTATACGCGTTAGATATCGAAGAAGACTCGAACCGTCTATGGGAATTAAAGTACCTAGTGTAGGAGTATCAATTAGAGTAGTTGGGTAACTGTGATTAAGGACTGGTTGAAGCCCAAGTTCTACGCTGTAAAGTCATCTTGGTCGGGTATTTAAACGATTTGCGAAAGGACGTTTCCCTGCGTGGTCGTCCAAGTGGCAAAGTTCGAAGGTCAGTAGCGCCGGGGATCGACGATTGCACGCATACATAGATACGTCAGACGTCACGTCACCTCGAATCGACGTGCTCCCATTGTCGCGCGTCTATCTGCGCATTCACGAGCAATTACTTGGGGCGGGGTAATCCCGTTAGGCGGCGTGCAGCTTCCTCGGGGGAGGATCAAAGGACCCGCTATTCCGAGCTGCTGCACTCTTTGGCTGTTTCAGTCGCGTACAATGCTACTCGACGAACAGGGGAACCCGTCACGACGTACGACGGACCCGTCGTTCCACGACTTGGAGAAATTTTGGACGACTTCCAAGCGCGTATCGACAGGAAGGAATTTCGAATCGTCTCGAGCCCGACGTTTTAGCAAGCTTTTGTACGATCCGCGGTTAAAAACAAAACGTCGAAAGATCGAGCTTCTCCGTTTGCTCGCATTATTTGGTAGACGTTCTTTGGTCGTGGACGCGCGAGTGTTCGTTGACGAGTAAATTAAAAACTGAATTATACGTAGAAAAAAATCAGCTCGAACGATTTAATCACGGGTGGACGATCGTAATCGTTATCGCGGGTCTCGATCGAGGAAATCGCCGGGATATCAAAGACCCAGGCTGATACGGTAGGCGAAAGCAAGGGAAACGAGCGCGACACGCAACACGCTCTTTAAACTCGTACGGCGAAGCGAGTCGCGTAATCACCTTTCGCGTCACGGCGCGATCTTTTCCTAGTAAAACCGCGATTAATCATAATTAAGTGATTGCAGCTACTCGCATAATTTCTCCAGCCCTCTGGCCTCGACGTATGGAAAACGTAGCGTATCGCGCGTGAAAACAATTAAAATTCGCGTCGAGGAGAGCCCCGCGGGACACGGGACGCGGAACGGCCCCAAGAGAAATTGCAATATCCTTCCGTAAGCTCGTTTCGTACCTCGGGACAAACGTGCTCGGATAAACTGTATAAAGTGCCGTGTATGCTTTACGAAAACGTACGTACGTTTATCTTTCTAAATCGTAAAGTCGACTTTCGCGTGACGCGTTTTCGGCCTCCGAGTTTCACGCAATCTCGAGTCTTTCGAACATACAGATTTTATTCGCGAATAACGGATACAAATTGTTAAATTGTTACTCGTTGTTCGTAACTGTTTGTCAAACGTCAGCGGTTGGAGTCGTAAGTCCGATTAGAAGTAAATTGTCGCTCGTCGGACAGTCATCACCTCGAAAGCAATCAGATTTCCGGTGTTAGTTTATAGTTGACTAGCCTTAGAGGCACTGCAGACTGTTAACCGAGCAATCAGGGTTTATCAGTCAGTGACCAGTCGAGTATCGATCAGTTTCAGAAAGCAATTAGACTCGATCGTACAATTGCAATTATCTCCTGTATGTTATGTATTATTCCTAAAATTAACACTGTCGATCTTCCGTATACCGAGCTACGATCACGCTTGCTTTCTTAACTCTTTCCATTAATTACGATAAAATCTAGTAATGCGGTGAACTTTAATAAGTTATTATTTTCTCGAATCTTCAGGTGCACGGAGCGTCCCATGTTGGTCAAGTTCGACGATCGAGCAATAGGATAATCGAATCTAGAGATAACACGGGCCAAAGCGATCGGTCTAATCGGTTCTGAACGAGGTTAAAACAGCGGCACCCGTCGGTCTTATTTACGTCCGACAATAAGTCAATTCATCACTCGGCGATTCGGCCTTAAGTGGTATCACTGACTCATACATACACCCGTCCAGACAGCGGAGCCTATTTCGGGCATAAATCAGTGTGCCGTGACGGGAGTGGGCCGTGCGGTGCGTAATAATGAGCAAGCGAGCGTAGCACGCGACCCTTTAAGCGTAGCCGGTGAAACGAGTGCCTCGTAAGGTAGAAGGGATTAGCGTGCTTTGCTGCCTGTCCCTACTTGATCCTGAGAGCCTCGGTACTCGCGGAATTCTTTGCCTGCATTCAGCCGCGTAAAAACGCGACTTTACGACCGTTCGAGTGGCTTCTTTGATAACCCACCGCGGGGCGAACCACCGCATTTTTCGTCTTTCGTATCGACTATGCCGATTTTCGTTGCCCCAGGTTCGGGTCACCGTTTCAGCCTTAGTGGTACATACTTCTCCATAAATTTTAAACCTCCGGATCTCAAAGGTTGACAGATTTTCTGTTCTTCAAAGTCTCGATAGACAATAAAAATATTCACTTGCTATTGATAGTCAAGATCTCTAGGATCATTTAGATTCTCGCAAACAACCGACCGGTCGAAAGATTATTTCGACTCGGCGGACTCGGTAGAGTGTTCCAAGCCAGTCTGGTAAAAATTCGCGACTGGTGTTCGCAGTCACTTATATTTCAGTAGAGACGTTTTTACGCAGGAATTCTTTGCCTGCATTCAGACGCGTAAAAACGCGACTTTGCTAGCGTTCGAGTGGCTTCTTTGATATTGTACCGCCTACGTCGCGCCGGGGCGAAGTAGCGTTCCTTCGTCTTTTGACGATGATTTTCGTTGCGTCGGGTCCGGGTCAGAATCCTAGAATATTATAACGAAAGATCAGAAATAAATTCGATGTAAGACTTGGACTTGGACGCAAGTGGAAACATCCCTCGATGGTCAGACAGGCAATCGACTCGATAGGAATGATATTGCAAGGGTGTTCGAGGAATATTTAAACGAAGCGTGTTCGGATATTCGACAAGAAACCCTCGAAGGGCTGTTGCCAGTCCGTGCGGTTGCGATGTCACGAGTCGCGAGTTTTTGGCTGGGGAACCGGCGGGGCACCGGAATCGTGGCCAGGAAGCACGGAGAACCGAGCGGATCCGGCGTAGTTCTGGCACGGTTCTCGTTTCGCAGGCTCTCGCGGCCGTTGGCCACGAAAACCCGGGGGACATGGATCGTGGGCAACAAGTCACCGAGAAACGGCGCGTGACCGTCGCGTTCGCCGTGCAGATTTACGACGATAAAAATGGGGCTGCGCGGAACAAACCGATTCTTCTCTCGCCGGTAAACAATGCCCCCGTTGATGGAATTACGGCCTCCTTCGATTTTCGATGCAACGATTTTCTTAAGCAACCCCATTGTTCCCGGCCAGATCGATACTCGCCGGGCAAGAATTACGATTTCGCGACGGCCAACAATTATTAATCGCGGATCGTTGTTTCACGAGTAATTGTCCTGGCTCGAGAGCGATCGCGTTGCTCGTAACACCGTTAAAACGCGGAGAACGCTGTTGGAAAGCTCTTGGGGGACGTTGGAGTCTTTGTCGGAGGGGGCGTTAAAGACACAAGAAACTTTAAGGGAGGATCAGCGTTGGACTATACCGTTAGAAAAAAAATCAATTTTTTTCTCGAGAAGGGTTGATTGGAAAAGTAGCTGGATTCGCGCGGGGTGGTGTCTTTCCCGCAATATTATTCTTTTGGCCGATACAACGTCGAGTAGAATGGTACCGTGAAAGAAACGTCCGCAACATATTGGAGGGGTCGGCGGGACACGTCCAAGTCGCTGTCGCAGCTCGTATTATGTCTTTTCAGTAGTACATACACGGCCACGTGCCTATGCGTGACACGTTCACGCATCGCTGCGTACGTTTCCACTCCCCCTGGTATCGGCTCGTATTCATCTCTGATTCCTTGTTGGGGTGTGCACGGATTGCGTTTCCACTTTAACCGTGCGTCGTTGAACGTCTATCAATGGTACACGGTCTGCACGATACTTGATCCGGCTGGGCCCAACGTTTGATAAACTTGTCGGTCACCGCTTCCTTCTTTAGCTTCGAATAATTAACACTCTCCACCCTGACACCCTTCTCCATTTCTCTACGCAAAGAGTCGCTCGAACGTTTCTTATTAACTTTGCGAAAGATCCGACGCGGAATCTGAATAATTCGTTCGCGTTTCTGACCGACGAAAGGCACGTTTAAAAATTGTTTCTCCCTCGGATCGATATCGTTCGCGGTAAGTTTATGGGCTACGTTAGATCGCGGCCGTAAATGTAACGTTTGTTTCTTTTCCGTGGGCGACGAGGGAAACGCCGTGTTGTACACGGGAGGATGTTATTTGCGGCGAAATTATAAATTACACCCGCTCGAAACACAGGGGAGTTTCGTGTCGGTATTAATTGAACTTTTGCTCGATAAGCATTCGCGCTCGTATCGAGGACTTGATTTCGTGCGAAGGGAAATCCTCCGCGCGTTAAGATTTGAGGCCGAGACAAGAATCCTTTTTTCCCCGAGACTTTCGTTCGGTGTGTCGCATTCACGCTATGCGATAATTAGGAAACGATTAATATTGCTCCGTGTAACGCGTCGTTACAAACGGGATTTGCTACAGCCGTCTCGTATCTGATGAACAAAAACATATTGCCTCGTGCACGAACCATCTAACGTACCAAAGAAAATAGTTAACGGACCGAGGAACGAAACGGTAAAAGCTGCTTGCCGGACGAATCGCGATAACGACTCGAGTGTAAGCCGATACGGCCAATTATTGGCTCTCCCTCCTCCCCTTAATTGTTCGCCGTCTTTGATTCGATTCGAACAACAATTTTATTAACAAAAGCTACTCGTCGAATTAAATAATTGCAACTGCTCGTTTTTATCAATTTTCAGTACTTGGCCGCGCGAAAGCGATAGAGGCAGGAAGTTTGGGAAGAACAGAAGAGTCAAGGCAGTGCTCGTCAATCGGAAATGAACGAGACGTTGGTACGTTTCTGAATTTTCGATTTATACTCGGTAGTGTTCTATAGTATTCTCACTAATTTAAGAAATAATTGAAAATAATATTGATTTTTACAGGACATGTAGCAAAGCTTTAAAACGTTCCGATTGTAATTCTTTCGAAAAGCGTCGATCACAGGCGGAGGTCCTCGAAGGGAGGAAAACCGGGTGGCTCGCGATCGTTACCTACGGTGTCGAGGTGTATGATAGTCACGGCATACGTGATCGGACGCGTGAGCGAACTGCCAAGGCACGCGCCGTGCCGGAGCACGTAATTATCATAGGGAAGTTAGGGGTCGCCGTCAGACACACGGGCGCGCAACAGAGGTCGAGGGTCAGGAAGTCACGCGAGGCGGACCCGCGGCGGACGTGAAAAGAGGGTGGAGAAGTTACTTTTATTGTTCTACCAGTTGTCTTAGAGTCGGGCTTTTCCTGGCCAGTGGGCAGAACCCGTTGAAAAGGTCGATATCCCGAGCCGAACGGCCACCGAGCTTTCGCGGACGGAACTCACCCTTGTACATACCGTTTCTTCGGCCTGACTCGCGACGAAACTGTACCGTTTTAACGCTAGATCTATTTAGAAAGTTTATTCGATCGAACTTGCCTTCTTACGAAGGGAATTTCACTCGTTTCTTACAATAATATCGCGAGGCTTGTGCAACAAAGTTGAACAATAAATTGGCGACGAGTTGGCACGATTCCGCGAACTCGTTTCGACGAGAGAGCTCGACGGTGCATTTCAGGGATAGAATATTGCGCGAGCATGATTTTCTCGATCCGCGTTTCGGGTAGCGAGCACGCGAGCAACATTAATGGCCGCGCTCGAATTACCGGCCGGCAGATATATCTCGAACGTGTTAATTCATAGTCGGGCGAAGCGTCGGTTTGTCATTGTCTTCGTGTTACAGCAGGACCGTGATACAGGGAGGATCGGTCTCTCGTTGTTAATTTGCCCGATGGCATAAATTCGAACCGTTCGTCCGGTCCGGTGGCCAAGGAACGGCGCCCGCGGACCCGAAAATCGCGAAACGGCGCGTCTCGCGGCCACCGACGGATTAATTTGCCCCGAGAACAGCTTGCAATTTCAATTTCACGGCTGCAAACTGCCCCCGGGGGCCAACGCGCGTCGCCACGTAATTTCGCCAACTTCGTGACGCGGACCGGCACCCTTTTGTGTCGTCCTGCAAAGTGTAAACTAAGTCAAAAGAGACACGCCCTGGACCGTGCTAGTTTAGACATCCTGGAGACAAAAATAATTTACCAATATCAGTTGAGAAATATTTTACTCGCGAGTTTCGTTTGCAGTCGTAGTTTTGAAAACGTTCGGGTGGATCTTGGGTGCGTAATAGAGGGGGGACATTAGAGAAATCAGAACATTAAGACGACCGAATTGGCGAACAAGTTTCGAACTTGTTCAACTTCTTCGTAGGCCAATTTCCATTCGAAAACACTGATGAGGTAGACGCGCACGTGCGAACTAGAGCATCAATTCCCCCTTTGATAGTTGATCCATGGTGATTGTAATCTAACGAGGCTTCGCAACCGCAAGCCGTTTACACGAAGCTGCCCCGGGGCAGGGCTCTGATCTCTGCGAAATGATTATGTCATTGCGCGTTATCCTCTGCGAGGAGCAGCTATTTTCGGACGTAGCCGTGATATTCACGCAATGTTTGTACGATACTCGGTTAATTGCTACGACAAGATTTTTATTTATTCGCTGTAAGAAATTCCGGCGATGGTTCAGGAGGGGCATTTTTATCGAACGATTTTTAACGGTTTCCGAGCACGTCGTGGCCTTACATTTTCCTTAACGCGACGATTACTGGTATACTTTTAGAGTTCACTCGTGTTATCGACTTTCCGGCGACCCGACGGTTAGCAGAGGACTGGGTAGAGGTGTTAAAAAGCATTATCCTGTACTCGAGGAACCGTCGACTGTAGGCCTTTTGGGTAAAAGGGCGGTCCTCGACTAAATTCTCCTGCGTCGGAAAGTCGATAGCATCGGCCCTTATCATGCTCGTTTAAAGGACCACGGAAAGTGTCGCGCGACGGAAAAAACTTTTAGGAAATCCTGCCTTGAACAATCGTGGATTGCCGTGACCGTTTAACGATTGCATACCGAGGGGTTGGAGGGGTTGGAGGGGTTGGAGGGGTTGATCTTCCATAACCGTAAAGTTAACGATGGTTCTCTGTTTGTGCGCAGATCGGACGAGTTGGTCCTGCTTGGAGATCGGTCCTAGGCTCCGGGGAATCAAAGCGTTAATTCGCCCTTTGCCCGACGATCCATGGCGACGCGGTTGTAACCTGACCGGGCATCGAGGCCAGGCGCCGTTTATAACAACCTGCCCGCGGGCAGGTCTCTCTGATCTCCGCGAGATGATTGTGCTCTCCGTCCACAGGGTGGGGCCCTGGCTCTCTTCGGTGTTGCCGCGCGGCCAAGCGTCTCTACACAGCCCCCGGGGCTTGCTCTCTCGACGACAAAGGGGCCGCGGTTCAACGCGCCACAAAGCGCCGGGACGCCCACCCCCGCACAGACGCGCGCACACAAAGCCGTGTTCACCGTTTCGAGCGAGTCGCGGGGGAGGAGAGGGTGTCGCGACGCGTGAACTTGCACCCAACGGCGCCCACGACCACCCTTTCGTCGGGTGGGTGTATGTAGCGAATCGACGAACCACGGGAGAAGGAAAATTCCACCGACCAGGTCCGCGGGGCTGCGGAAGAAGCAGTTGGAAATCCTAGCACCGGTGCCCGATAAGAAGCCACCGGGGGGATCGATCCGCGAAGACGACCTTTTCTCGCCGCTGCACGTGAGTCCGTTTCCTCGTTTTATTCTTATTTTAACCCTTGTCTTATCGGGTTGCCACTTTGGGCCTTGGACGGGAATTTATACGGAGTATTAAAAGAGAAGTCGTTCTGTTTTTACGAGCCAGATAGCGGACATAGTTTAATGGCGGCGTGGAAACTACTTTAAAATGCTCAGACTGTTCGTAAGATGGAAATTTTTCAGTAAAACAAAACATTTATGAAACTCACCCTGTCCAGGAGCCGGCGACGTGGCGTGGCTCCAGCCTCCCTTGTACGAGCTGCTGGCATCTGGAATAGAAAAGAAAGGCTCGCTGAATGACGATCGATCGGTCGATCCTGATCCGGGGGCGACGATCTTCACGCGACACGGAGCGGTCGATAATTTTCGACGCGAGTCGCGGAGTTCTCGATGCCCGAGTCGAGATTCAGCATCGATCCGGGCGGCGCACGTGTTATGCTCGGCGATCCGCGTGCAGAGATTACGCTCTTTTTAGGTCACGTTATTAGAAGACGTATACCGTCTGCAATTGCAAGTTAATCAGTTCTGGGAATCGCCGAGGGGTCGTAAAATATATCTGATCGCCGGTTTTCAAGTAGTCTGTTCGGGGCCCCCGCGATGGAGGGAAGAAACAATCCTCGGGGAAAATCTTTACGACGCCTTAATGACACCGGGGGCTATGCGTGACGTGGCTTCAAAATATGATTTAGAGAACGGCGGAGTTACGTCGCGCTACTTAAACCCTTTGCTTTTCCTTGGAAACTAATCTCTCCACGCCCTTCGTGCGCGCGATCTCGCGGCGTTATTTCAATACCCGAGCTCCGAGATTCCATGGAACCGCGTACTAATTATTATGGAAAGACTATTTAATTGCTGATGGGAATCGTACATTTATTATAATAGTTGGTTCAGGGGGGTTAGTGTTATCTTCTTAAATATCTAGGATTGCTAGGACCTTTAGCATGGAAGATAATAAATAAAAAAAAATTAAATATTTCGATCGTTTCTTGAAAAATCGGAAGTATCGTTTCTCGCGTTGCTTGTGAGTAGTTGGTATGGCAATATTTTCGTCGCTATAATCTTGGAACTCGCGCATTGCTTTCAGGAGCATCGCGTTCGCCGAGGTTTACCCGATTCCTGGCGCTGTCTCCGCCGCCGCCGGTGTGTTTGCAGACAGATATATTTTCATTTGGCAGTTATTGGCACGAGGGTGGCTCTGGTGTGTACATACGTACGGCAGTACGTCATGCTGCTGCAGAAACTCTGTCTTTCTGTGCAAACAACGACTCTGGTGTACGGTACGACCCGACCTATCGTCTTTGCCCCCCTTCATTTGATCTAGAGGCCAGAGTCCATTAATGGAGCCTCGAGTTTCACGTTCCCGAAACGTGGACGGGCTAATATCTCGCTCCAGGTTGCGAATTACCGAGCTTCTGCTCGGATTCTCTCGAGGAATGCAAGATCAAGGCTTTCGAGGCACAGAAACGGTCAACTTTTCACGTTTTGTTCATTCAAGATTTAACAAATTTATTTTGATATTCGATAATATACAGCCCCTCGAAGAATTATACTCAGAGTTACAGCCACTCCTGATCTTACTCTTAATTTGTACTAGAATACTAGGATCGTCTCTTTTCTTGCGTTCCGATAGAGAGATTCGACAAGAAGTATCACTCGATAGTTTTAAACACTTTAACTACTCAACCCCAGAAACTGCTAAGGCTGAAAAAAATGAAACGAACAGAGCTTTTGTTAAGTATTTAATTCAGATAAATAGTTTAAGTTGAATGAAAAGGATATCAAACGATACTTAAGCTTGGTATAAAACAGTGACGAATCGAATTTGAAAACGTTGACCCAATAGAAATGTTTCAAGATGAAGAAGCACTTGAATAACACGAAGAAAACGATGAAACAAATGCGGTAAGAAGTTTAGAAAAATGATTAAATACTTGTTTTATTCGGTTTATCTTACTTTCTTATCCGCGACAGGAACGGAATATAGTTAAACAGAAGTTTATTTCAGATTTCGAGTGTAAGTCGGAAACCATCCCCGACGGACCGAACTCCGACGGAAGAACGCAGGATGAAGAATCAAGAGATCAGCGACATAGACATACCGTTGGTAGCATCTCCACTGTTCTGACCATCCAAAATAATCGAAAAAAGACCACAGTCGAGAACGATTGCAGGTATTCTAGGAAGAATGAAAGAAATTCCGCAGGGAGTGCTTTCCGCGCCTACTCCCCAGAGTATGCAACACCGCCTTGCGTCGGGGCTAAGCGGCAACCATAAACAGTATCACCTATTGGCCGATACGACCGTCTTTTCTCACAGACACGCATCTATCAAGTTGTCCGACAAGTTCGTGCTAAAAACAATCTTGTAACCGTCCAACCGTTTGTAACACTTTGGATTAAAAATAGCCAAACTGGGCAACTACTGTTCGCGAGATAAAAACAGCACGAACTGATCGGACAACCGGAAATACTTGGACCCGTTGTTGAAACACAATAACCGGAGTCAGATACACACGGGTACGTCACTAGGGGGTGAAAGGCACGGGCGGTGTCGAGTACTCCCTTGCTACCTCGGACGTCTTTCGAGAGATTCTCTGTTTCCGACGAGGTTAAGATCGCTACGTTTGTTCCACCAGAACTGTAACACCAGACCACCGTGAAACAGCCAGCCACGTGGTCGCACACGCATATCGAGTCACCGAACACGAGGACGTACCCGCGAACAGCATAGAGAGGTTGGTGAACGCCGTGGTGCGTGGCAGTTCCGCAGCGGTGGTCCCGCTACTCTTGAGGTCCAGCATCTTGTGGTCCCGTGCGCCTACACGGGCGTTCGTCCAACGGTTTGGTTGATCACTGTCACACTGTGAACGTCCGGGATCGGTGGGTGCCGCGTGGACGATGGCTGCCTGGTCATATCAGCCCAACGGGAGCCTAGCCTGGTTTAGCCGCGTACGATCGCGCTGGGGACGCGTTCCACGACGACGATCTCGACACGTTGGATCGCGACCTCGGTTGTACGATACGTGGTTGCCTGCGCGATAAGGCCGCCGATCATCTTGGCGACCCGTTCTGAGTGATACTGGCCGTTCCGACGCGGGGATGCCACCGGGGGCCGAGACCAGAACCCCCTGCGCCCTGTCCCCGCCCCCAAAACGACCGAGAACTCGGAGAGCTCGTCGCGGGGGTTGGTTCGACGGTGTCGCGCAAAAGGCGGGGCCTCCGCTCGGATCTACACCCCCGTACGTGGGGGCGTAGGTGCACATGCGCGGGAGAAGGAACGGGGAAACCGACGCGGCTCGATCAAGACCGACGTCGCGCTCCGCGGGGTTGGAACCCCCGTCGAGGAGGCACCGAGCGACGCACCAGGTTGCTAGGTGGCTGCCCGCGAACCTACCGGACCTCCTGCACTTACCGACCGGCGTTGTCGACGACGTAGTTTGCCCCGGTAACGACGTGCCACCGGTTCCCTTCCGGAACAAACCCTCTGTGGTAACGGCGCCCGTTTAGAGAGAATGGTCAGGGAATTTTGGCAGTAATGGGCCAAGGTGTTTTCCACTTTATTCTTCGGTCCAACGGTTCTCCGGGTTTAAGTTCGGGGCTGCGAGATTTATCCACCAACAGTTTTTCGGGGTTTGAGAACCTCCGTTGTACACGAACCTCGATAGAGGTTTAGATTATATGCAATTCATTTTTCCAACGAATATTCTATGACAAATGTAGCGTTGTAAGGAGAAATCAAGATCAATTTCAGGAGTTGCTAGTCATATTGGGTCAGACGCCTCAGTCCGGCTCCGCGAGGCCTGCGACTAATAAGGAACCTCCTAATCATCTAATCGACAGTTTCCGACTTTTGCGAAACTTGCCACGTAAATAGAGCATCGACGGATATTGTACGCGTACTTTTATCGTGAACTGATGTTTACGTTAACGGGGTGAAAACACGAATACATTATTTTCTTATTCTTGTCTTCCAACCAATGACAAAGAAATTCCATATATCCGATATAATAATGGCTTCGATAATGTTGTTTTAGTTGCAGAAATTCGGTGGTAAATGTTTATAATAATTGTGTTCCACGGCGTTATCGTTCGATTCGTACACACAGTTGCTATCAAATGCTAAAGAAATTAACGCGTACTGTTATTTTGGTTAATTAAATTGTATCGACAACAGGGTATTCGTTAGCAAAGCGAATAATGTCTACATTGAGAAGAGAAAGGAAAAATAATTGACATTTCCAATGCGATACCGTTATTGGAAAGAGGAGGATGATATTCGACCGACGTGATATTACGTTTTAATTTGCCACATTGGCCACCGATCAACGAACTACAGATTTCTCTTGTCAATGAATATCATTTAATGGGCCGGTATTTTCACTGCCAAATTATAATAATTACACGCACGTGCAGCTACTGCGCTCGCGTTTCGGAGAATTACGCGATGACCCTGTTATTAACGCGATTTGCATTTCGTTGCAATTACTCCGTTGTCTCTGGCCACCGGTATAATGTCCGCCCGTTATTTCCATAAAATCTGCTTTATTCCGCGAAAACATGAGGCTGTCTTAATTAACTGATTATTTACCGCGATTATAATCCTGACAAAGAAAGTTTACGATGCGTTCGTAACGCGAACGAAACAGATTGCGCTCGCCGTTTTATATCCGTAATGTACGCAACTTTGTTTCGCGTTCGCGACCATTCTGTCGATGATCATGCAATTTTACGCAATCATCGCGATCATAGAAATTTCACCACTATAGATTTTTAAAACCTTTACACTTTTCTTTGTCCCTTTTATTTTTAACACTCGATCTCGAGTCACCCGTCCAATGATTCATCGAAATGTTTTATTCCACAGCATGGCCTACTGAATATTCTCCAGCCCAACGAGGAACCACGATGGACGATGAAGTTGAAAGTGACCACTGTATATGCTCGGCCACATCGATAGCTCTCGTTTGCCGTTTATGTCCGTGATTCACGCTACCAGGATATCCCGTACAATCGGAGCTGGGTAAGAATATCAGTCGCGACCGTGCTTGTTACGTCAATCTAACTGGCTCGATTCATCGCTGGTTCTTCTATAACGTTATCCTCATTCAGCACGATCTCTTTATACGCGAGACGAACGAATCCGTAGATAAAATTAGATAATACTCGTGTATTATAGGTATTTATTCTCGACTTGAAAAAATTAGAAACATCGTTTCTGTGAACGGATGGAGTTGGTCGCAACATTCGTGTTACAACTACTAGCAGTAGTT